GAGCATTATATATACACCCTCATTTCCCCTAGATAGTTACACTCTCTTCGTAGCCAACTCATGTTAACTATTGGACTTATAGTTCTTAGTGACAAGTGACTTCTCATACCTCGTGTTCTTCCCAACCAGTTCATACTATTCAGATTGTTACTAGGAACCCTAACCCAGTTAGGCCCCAGTAGGATCTCTAACATATATACACCTAGTTTTTCTTAAATTTCGAAGTTCTCGACGATCTCCGTAATTATTTCTGCGAATCTCTCTCTAGTATGAGAACTCTCTATTAATCTAAGGCCTAGAAGAGTCTATTGTAATTAAAGAGAAGAGTCTAAGAAATGTATATAAATACCGAGTATTAGTAGCGCTAAAGATGAGGTCCAGGTATTAAAACTTAGATGAATTCGTGACTAACTATTCTGTAATAGAGACGTAATATGAGCCTTTCCTTTATCGAACTCGTCGTCGATTCACGCCGTAATGGTTTTATATGATCTCACTAGATATCTTTTAAGAGAAGGTTAAAGATAGAGTAATAAATTCCGAAACTCTCTATATTTTACAGCGGAATGCGGGACTTATTGCTGTACAATTCATCGAACGAGTAAGTTCCTAAATCTCTCGATATCATAGCGTGTTATAAGTGAACTAAACACTGACGGTACTAATGGAGTAACTAGATCTTAACTCGTAACACTGATAACCTCGTCGTCCTAAAGGTGGCTGTCAACCCTTACGCGTTTACTAGTGATTCCGTGTTCGTTCTTAAGATGCCGATTTACGTTCGAGAGACTTTCAGCCTTTTTTATTAAGATCACGCTGTCGCAACGATCATAGATCTAAGAGGCGGAATCGTTAGGCTTCGAGATATCGCAATACTCGTCACTATGTTGCCAGATATAAGACGACGAGATACCTCGCCGTTTATTAGTCTTGCGGCCAACCTACAACCACATTACGTTACCGATCCGTCTATTCTCAGTACGGCGCGACGGCGTCTCGCTACTCGACGTTCGAAGAGTAACGATCGATGGCGAGGGCGTTTTAATGAAAGGTTATAAACTGTCCGACATTTTCACATATAATTTGTTAACAAAACAGTTATCTCTGTTATTGACCGCCATTTTATTCCCGGTGCCAAGCCTGCCAAGTCTATGACTAGTCAGGACTATAGTCCCAGCGACCCTCGAGACTATAGTCTCACGGGACTATAGTCCTGAAAGACTATAGTCCTGAGGACTATAGTCTCACCAACGCTGCGTGTAGCGAAGCGCTTCAAATGTTCGATAAACTTGGTGCAATCCCATTCACTCACAAGAGGTTATCAACTGTCTGAAAAGTCTGGATGTATTTTAGAGTGTGCCTCGGATTTCTGGCTCCCTCAAGGCCACGTCCAAGGTGTCGCTCCCCCCGCAGGCATAATCAAACATTCGCCGACGTCAATAGACGGTATTCAAAGCTTTTAAGCCTTCGCGCTCGATGAGTTCGATGTGTGCCTGGCTGCGAGGCTTGACTCGTAGCTTGAATGGAGGCCTATCAACGCTGTCCCACATACTGTTGTACGTGTCAATGGGATGGTCCTAGCACAACTGTCAACTTCTTCCCCAGATGTCTGTATAGAACGATTCGCAAAAGCATGACTTACCGGATCCTGTTCGAAGTTGTAGCAATAAAGTAAGCATGCGGTGGCTATCCAAACGTTATTGAATCCGACGTTGTAACCGACACACACTCGACGACCTACTCATATCAAACGCTGTTAACTCACCCACTGTTTAACTAGTGCATAGATTCGGGGGGCCCACCTGCGCCGAAGGACCAGTGTCCTTTTAGAGGGTTCTTCAGGTCAGGACTGTCCAGCCAACGCTCGGGCAGAAATCGGTGCGCGTTCTTGTACTCTTTCTCATCCAAGGCAATGGCGTAGGCGTTCCAGGTAAACAATGTCCCTTTTGGGAACCGATAACCCTCGTATTCATCGTCTTGCGTCAGCTCATGCGGGACACCAGTTTGGACGAAGGGACGCCATCGGAGAGCTTCCTTGACTACTGCTGTGATGTAAGGGAGCTTTTCGCGATCCGACAACATGGGGAGTCGTTCGGCATTGTGGCCACACACCTCGTCTAACAGTGCTTGTGTCGTCTTAACCCATTCGGGGTAGACGGCAGCAGCAGCACACATTTGGGTGGTGGCAGTGCGCGACGTGTCGCTACCTGCTTCCAGAAGCGTACTGAAAACCATGAGCTTCTCATGTTCTCCCAGGATGAATTCCTTCTTGGCAGTTCCCTGAATGATGTCAGCAGCGAAGCAAGGATTCGCTTGACCGTTCTTCATCTTCACAATGTAGGCGTCGACTTCTTGCTTGTAGATACTGGGGCAGAGTCAGATGGGTTACGAATGGAATTTAAGCAGCGCGACATTCACTCACTCTAAGGTTCGCTTGAATAGGTCTTCGCCGTATGATCGCCACCACTGAAGAGGCTTGGGTAGGTAGTTGAGCCACGGAACGAAATCTGCAGCGCTGCGCAGACTCGGGCGGAAGGCTAGGCTCCCAATCTCAATCATCTGCTTTAGCATTTTGGTAAGCACCTTGTCATCCAAGGCGGCCCTTCTTCCGAACACGACACCCATAATGACGGAGTTGGAGAACCGCTGGTTGGCGTTGTACCAATGCTCCGGATCTTTCAGGTAGTCCCAAATCAGCTGCCTCGACTCAAGCTCTTGGTACTTGACAAATTTGGTCTCGGCCTGCTGGGAATTGAGAATATTGTGCATGATTTTCCTTTGATTGCGCCACTGGTTTGTGTGCCCCATGAACAACATGCGGACGCCGCCCGAAGCAATGTCCTGAGCCATAGGCCGATCTGGTCGTGAGGCATAGATGCTAGCTCGTTTCTCGAGAAGATCGGTCACGACGCGGCTCGAATTTAAGTAGACCACATTTTTGTTACCGATGCGAATAGTGAACCTGTAAAATTTGGCCATGATCAGGATGCTGCAAAACGCGAGACCCGGGCCAAGAACGCCCACAGAGATGATGTCTATACCTACATTTCGCCGTATTTCTTAGCCAGGTCGACTCCCCACATACCGGCTGGCCATGGCACATCCAGCATGTTGCCGACGAAAGGTTTCCCAGGAGGCGAGGGGGGAAACCTGTATTTCCTGTTGAATCGAATGTCGGATATGACCTTGCGGATGACAAGCGCGACGGCTATGGCTGCAAGAGCCAGCATGCCTGATATGAAAGTCATCTTGGATCGCTGCACTGAGGCTGGGACAACAAAGCGCTCAAAGACTTTGTATGGCACGATATACCCGGGATCTGTTCTTGAATTCGGTGTGGGAGGCAATCGTCTCGCGAGACACGTCGAGAGGCCGAATATCTAGGTAGGTGCTTGGCCTCAGATGTGTGAGTGCGGACAGGTATCTTGCTTGGAGGGGCGGGAAGATGAGAGAGAAAGTGGTTTGAAATAGGAGTCTCCCAAACCCCTCTAGCACAATGGGTCGAATCCTGGTCAATCTAGGATTGGACGAAGTCACATAGCAAGGCTCATCTCCCTGTTTCCAAACACGCAAAATGCGGAGCAACTCTGGGTGCTGAGACGTCCCCCCACTTCCCACCTTTCACGGAGTGGGGAGGTGGAGGACCTTAGAGACCCTCCCCAATTGTGTGGATGGCACGTTGAGCAGAGCTTTCAGGCCGAGGAGCTTCAGTTAGTAGTCTGGTCGACCTGAAAAAGTTTTCTTCTAGCTCGATGGAAAACGACTTTTCGCCATCCAGCAGTACTACGTCTTTCCGGCTTCCGTAACAAATGACGGCCTCCAGCAACGTAGGTCTGGTGACCGGGGGTGCCAGTGGGATTGGCCTTGCTCTCGCTCGACATCTTCTTCAACGTGGTTTCAAGGTCGTGGTGGCTGACTTAAATGCCGAACGAGGAGCAGAACTGCAGACAGAGCTTGGATCCAACTTTCTCTTTGTGAAAGCCGATGTGACAGACTGGGACGCACATGCTGAATTGTTCAAGAAGGCGTATGAGTGGGCTGGGCGGATTGATTTCCTCGCAGCCAATGCTGGTATAGCCTCGATTGAGCCGGTATATGAGTTGTCGATCGACAAGTCGGACGTGTTAAAGAAGCCGAATCTTGCGACACTCGAGGTAGATCTTCTCGCCGTGTTCTACGGTCTGACACTATTCCGATACTATCATCAGAAGACGGGCAGCAAGGGCAAGGGCAAGATGGTTGTCACCGCCAGCCAGTCTGGTCTTTATCCTCTTCATTTCCGTCCGACCTACTCGGCAGCAAAGCACGGGGTAAGTCAAATTTGGGACTGGAGACGGTCCATGATCGTCAAATTTCTGATCACTGCATAGGTTATTGGCTTGGTCAGATCGGCCGGCCAGCGGCTGCTCAAAAGTGAGGGGATCACATTGAATGCCATCTGTCCCGGACCCGTCCTGACAGGTATCGATGCGGATATGCTGAAACACATTCCAAAAGATTGTTTGACGCCCATTCAACTCCTGATGGATGCCTTCGACATGAGCATCGACGAAGGTATCTCTGGGGCTGTCATTGAATGCTCTAACAAGAAAATGTACCTGCGCGAGCCGGTCGACTATTGCGACGAGTGTGCACGCTTTCTCAGTGTAGACCTCACCAAAGCGGAGGTCTTCCATCAACCGGGAGCATAAAAGTCACAAGCAAGGTTGAGGCCTTTAAGTCAATTATATACTAGGCGATAAACGTGAATCTGCAAGCGGGATCAGATTGTTGAGGATCCTGTTTCTCTATGGGCAGAAGATTCTATATAGAACTGTAGCTCAACGGATATATTAGTTGACAGCCCTGCTGAGCATAGCTTTGAACAGGGTACGGGCAAGGAAAGGGCCATGTAAACTAGTCAGATCTTCGTTTGTGCGCTCGGATTGCCCGATTTGCTTGATCCCTGCTCCCGTACAACCCCATTTCCTCAACTTCTAGTACGAAGCTGGGCAGATGGACAACAGGCCGCCGTCCGTTACCACGGTACAACCATTGACATATGCACCGCCCCTGGAACAAAGCCACAGAACCACCCCGGCCAAGTCTTGTTCGTTCCCAGCACGCGTAGCAGGGAGAGCCGCTTTCGGAAAGGTCCCTTCAGTGTCGTGAATCCCGAGTTTACCCTGGGCTATCACAAGTCAATCTGGATGTTCTGAAAACGCTACGAAAAATGGCACAAGCAGATCATCGGGGAGCTAGTAACCTTTGAACATGTCATGCGTCATTTCGCTGTAGTAGAAGCCTGGACAGATCACATTGGCTCTAATATCATACGGTACCAGGGTCGTGGCGAGTGACTTGGTGAGGTGAGTCACGCCAGCTTTGCTGGGACCGTACGACAGGTTGGCTAGGGGATTGCGTCTGAATGCTCCAACAGATCCAATGGTGATGATCTGGGGTCGAGGCTTGAAATTCTCCAGGCACGGCGGCTGAGGTCTTTTTAGATTTGCTTCGTGCAGCAGTGGTAGGAATGCTGCCACTGTGAAGTGGACGCCGGTGATGTTGACAGCATAGGTTGAGTTAATCGCCTCTGGACTGGGCTTCCACATATTTTTGGCCAACTGCAAGAGAGGAAGGCTTTCCTGGTTCTCGTCTAGGACTGGAACTGACGGGCCTGATACTCCCGAATTGGCAATCAGCACATCGACTGCGTCGACATATTGCTTGACTTGATCTACGCAGGCCTGCAACGAATCTTTGGACGTGATATCGCCAACGATGGGGATGATGGTCCCACCAGGTACCGAGCTGGCAGCCTCGTTTAACGGACCTTCTCGGCGGCCAATGACGAAAACTTTGAAGGCACCGTTAGCAGCGAGGGCTCTTGCCATCATTCGACCAAGTCCTATTGAAAGTTCTCGGTTAGTCCCAGTCGTGTTGTTTGTAGCCGATGTGGAATTTGGCATCGATGAGGACTGAAATCCTCTTTGAAGGGCGAGTAGGGGTGGTCACTTACCAGAGCCACCACCCGTGACCACAGCAACAAGGCCATTGACTTTGAAGAGATTACCTGCTTCGATCTTTGACGTATCTTCAAGACCCATTTTGACTGATTCAAACATTATCTACGCCGCCAAATTGCTCTCGATGCGTTCGTAAGGTTCTTTTTGTCCCCTGCGATTCCTGCAAGCGACGGCTCAGCTCGTGTTATCCCCCACGCATCCAAATCCCGGGAAAATGTCACAGACACCATGTTGGATGAACCATGATCCACTGTCTCCCAGTATGATATAGTTGCGCTGCGGGGTTGGAACGCGGTTGTGGGATGCCCGCACTTAGACACCGAGATCCTCCGAAAACACGGAGCAGTGCCGCTCTGCCAATGGAACCGTTGTTGAATGGTTTACCAGGATGCCGTTGCATTTAAAGAACCCCTTGCCGTGACTCTGAAGGACGCGTTATGCCACCACACGCAGACCCAAAGTCCTCCAAAATCGTATTTTCTTGCAGCCTGAAATGATGAAAGCCTATCAATGGGACGGTCCGGGGTCAGGGCTCGTCCTGAGAGACCTCCCAATCCCACAACCAGGCGCGGATGAGGTCCAGATCCAAATCAAAGCCTGCGGACTCTGCCATTCTGACTGTCATATTCTTGACGGCACAGGGTCGCAGTGGGTTAAGAATCGACCCATTACTCTGGGCCACGAGATCTCCGCCCAAATCACGGCGCTGGGAGAGGGCGTGACCGAATTCCACGTTGGTCAGAGGGTTGGTGTGGCGTTGATCGCACCTGCAACCGCCATCGGCCTGGATTTCAACGGTGGTTACGCCGAATACGCTGTTACGCCTAAACACACCATCGTACCTCTTCCAGACAGCCTGAGCTACGAAAAGGCTTGTATTGCAGTTGATGCCATGGCATCGGCTTACCATGCGGTCGTGGGTACAGGCGAAGTGACTTCATCCATGACCGTGGGAGTCCTGGGACTCGGCGGCCTTGGGTCGACGGGACTGCGGGTGGCGTGTCTTCAGGGGGCAACCGTTTACGGCTTCGACATTAATCAAGAAAAGTTCGCAGCAGCGCACGAAGCCGGTGCCAAGGCCTGTTATAAGAGCATTGACGAGGTCAAGGATGTCACTTTTGACATTGTCTTTGACTTTGTTGGCCTCAACGCTACCATGCTTGCCGCCATCAATGCTGTGAAGAGGGAGGGACGCATTGTGCTAGTAGGTATGGGCGAGTCCGATATGAAGCTACCCGCAGGCCTGATCGTGATGAAGAATATTGAGATCCGGGGATCTCTTGGTGGGCGTAAAGAAGAACTGTCGACCATCTTCGAGCTCATTGCGCAGGGCAAGTTGACTCCTCAAGTGGAAGAGGTGCCCTTTGGCAGCTTGGTGGAGTCATTGCATCGACTCGAGCAGGGGAAAGCAAATGCGAGACTATTTGTGCGGCCGAATGCATAATATGCTCATGAATAAAACTGTCGAGAGCAAATTTCCAGTCATGATTGCTTTCGACATCGTGCATCTCAATAAAAGCTATACCTTTAGTACCCATTCAGGAACAATTGCTCAACTTAGATTATGATAGGCACTTTGTCCAAAGGAAAGCACGCTCGATATGTCCTTTCGGGCGTAGACAGCCAAATCGACGACAGCGACATCGGGCTGACAAAAGAAAAGAATACGACTGTTCATTCCATTATGACTCTCGTCAATGCTGCGCAGAACTATTCTAGAGCGCCTTGTTGACGTAGGTTTCGACTCTTGAAGGAGTTGATATTCACATTCGGACCCGCGACTGGCTGCTTGATTCTCTCTTGCCACACTCAGTTAGAACGATGTGGTATTAACCCATGCAGATCCATGTAACACCTAACCCTATCCCCCGCGCACCCCGATTCTTCAGGCGGGGGAACTCCAAAACGAAGACAGTTTCGCCTTGTAGCGCAGCCGTAGATATTCTCCCACATCGGCCTTTACCGGCGTTGTCTGTGAGCTTGGTCCTCTGGGCCTGTCTGGATGAGTGTTCCCGGACGCGCTAAGCCGAATTGTGACCGACCCTGGTACAGCCGTCCGCCACCACAAAACAAGATCCTCTCGACGCTTCAGGTGCCGTCGTCACTGGCTCAAACAGTCTTCTGCATACTAGGATATATTTCTCTGTCGCAAAATAATGACATCTAGGGTTTGCAAGTGAAGTCTTGCTCTACCATGGCACGTCAAGGAATCCCCTTGGGGCTCCTCCTATGGCAAAAGTAAGGTCCGTGAAATACAGAATATACCTTTTGTTTATGCTAGGATTTAGGATTCGTGGACTCAATATTCGAAGTATCATGGGCGTTCCAGGTGATATGAATCTTGAGTTACTGGACTACATTGATGCAGTCGAAGACCTGACCTGGAGTGAATTCCCATGATTCCCCTTTTGAGCCCCGAACTGACGTCTTCCTCAAGTTGGCAATGCAAACGAGCTCAATGCCGCTTACGCTGCGGATGCATATTGTAGAGTGAGCGGATCTCCAGGAGTTGGTAGGCATCTTCTGCGCAACTCCCCGAGTCATTGCTCATGAGCGAAACAGTGGTCACCACCATGGGGGTTGGAGAATTGAGCGCTCTTAATGGCATTGCCGGGGCATACACAGAACAAGTCAAAGTAATACACATTGTGGGAACCACTTCAATTGCGGCTCATGACAAGCGCCTCATGATCCACCACTGCTTGGGACCGTCTCCTGATCACAAGGTAAATGAACGTTGGTTGCCGGCTTGCTCCTTCGTCAAGGCTAACAAAAGGAAAAGGTCTACGAGAAGACATCACAGCACGTCCGAGCAGCGCATTGTTGGTTGAACAATCCCGCAATCGCGGCGCGTGAAATCGATGTACGGTCTAGAAAGATAGGTTTAGCTTTCTGCTAACATGGTCATCAGAGAGTCGTGCATGAATGCATAGCCCAGTCACTGCCAGTGTACATATTTGTCCCTGCAGATATGGTTCACTGTCCGGTTCCTGCTCCATCACCGTCTCGAATTGATCTGGCACTTCTGACGGACGAATTCAGCAAAGCATCCGCCATTGCTGCTACCCTATCCCTGCTCTACAAGGCGAAGGCCCCGACAGTCATTGTCGATGCGTTGACCGCGCGCCATTCGGGAAAGGACGTTACTCGTAAACTGGTAGATGTTCTACGGTTCCCTACATTCTCGACGTCAATGGGTAAAAGCATCATCGATGAGACCAAGCCCTATTTCTGCGGAATCTACAATGGACAAGTCTCCATTCCGGGCGTTTGTGAAGTGATCGAGCAACAGAGCGATCTCGTGCTCGACCTTGGGCCGATTCTATCAGACTCCAATACAGGAGGCCACACTCGAAACATAGCAGAACAAAAGATCATCGCCATTCACCCACACCACGTTATCGTCGGCGGTACTGTGCATCGAAATATTGGGCTTGTGTCGTGTAGGTGGCAGTATTCGAACCCAACTAACATCCAGATTGCTAACTTTAGGTAGTTTTGTCGAGTCTGCTGGAGACGATTGATAAGTCGAAACTCCCGCGGCCTACTCTACCAGGGAGAATACCGATGCCTCCAGCCAAAGACACTGACACAGAATTCATTACACAATCTTGGATTTGGACGCGCTTTGGTGAATTCTGTCGGCCCGGGGATATTCTCATTGCAGAATCGGGCACCGCCCAATTTGGCCTCCCCGACGCGTATCTACCAAGAGACGTGACATACCTGACGCAGGTGTACTACGGAAGTATTGGGTACACCGTTCCAGCTTGCTTGGGGGCCGCCGTCGCTAATTGCGAGCAAGGCGGCCAGGGAAGAGTGATTCTCGTGGTCGGCGACGGGAGCCTACAGTTAACGGTGCAGGAAATCGGAACTATGGTGAAATTAGGATTGAAGAACATCATAATGTAAGGGCCTGGGGTGCAGAAACCTACGTTGTAATTAACTTGAATAGCGTGGTCATCAACAACAACGGATATACAATTGAGAGAGCGATCCACGGGCCAGAACAAGGTATGTATCCAGTGAGCCGTCCCCGTGAAAGCTGCTTGCGTGGTTCCTGTCGCAGCAAAAGATGGTGTCGGGCTAACAACCACCGGAGCATACAATGATATATCTACCTGGAATCACTCTGCCATGCTCGATTTCTTCGGAGCCAAAAATGGTCGAGCTTGCTCTCGGACGGTCCGTACCAAAAAGGAATTTGACGAGGTCGTCAGCTTGCCTGAGTATCAAAGTCCAAGCTCTATCCAGGTTTGTCTGAGTTCCTTCCTTCTGGCATAGAAATTACTATGCGACGAGATTTGTTGACTGACTGGACTCCAGGTGCTGGAGGTTTTCATGGAAAAGATGGATCTGCCGTGGCGGCTGCGGATGCAGGTTGAAATCATCAACAAACGGAATGCGCAGGCCAGAAAGAACGAGCAAGCTGTGTTGTTTCCAAGTTAGCTATGACTTTGCCCAAGGCGAAGATGTTTCTTGGAATTGGAAAAATGGGAGCGTTTGTGCAAGATTATATGTCCGTCGCCTAGTTAGAAACCTCGCGCCGTACTTGCGCTGATGCCCCTTGCCCAAGATTCCAACACACCCTTACCGTGGATAAGCCAACCCTTCTCGTAGACTGCGTGCGCAGCTATCTGCGGATATCGAATCCTTTCCAAACCCTTGCGCCTGATGTAGTCCTTCACCAACTGCAACATCTCTATCTGGTCCGTGGGAAAGAAGCCCCTGGGGTCGTTGTACTCGTAGACCATCGAAAACAACCCATTGGATGCAGGGACGGTGTTGGACGGCCTCGTGGTCTCTATCTCTGAAGAATCAGCTTCGACAGAGTCTCCTCAAAGCCTCAGGGCTTCTGAGAATGAAACACGGGCTAGAAACACTATACACGTATGTGACACCTCCAGATCGGTGGTTACTACTGGGTAGTGTTCTCCGTGGCACCACATAGACTCTTCCGCTCATTTCGACGAGCGCACACCCGTCCAGAATCGGAATTCTCTCCGTCACAATAGCCGGCCTAGAGCGATCGTTGACGTTAGCTTTTCGGGATGGTTCGAGATGTTCAGATTTCGAGGGAGGCGGATTGGCGTCTCGAAGTCAATCAGCCCGAATTGTCAGCAAACGAGTCTCCTTGAATGCTACCAGCTTCGGACGAGGATGGCTTGCTCCTAGTTTGGCTTGTTCTCCTCACATCCAATTCGTGCATTGTTACCGGGATGCCAATCGAAGCAAACGGCGACTTGCTGGTTTCGGTGCTGACATGTTGCAGTATTACGGAATTTTGAAGATAGTATGACAACTTGGCAAGATTCCAGTTGTTTGATTCGTTCATTCTGAGGCATTTATCGTATAGGCAAAAGGTATTAATTTGTAGGTATCCGTGTGTCAGAGCGTACCCCAATATAGCCTCAGGTTGACGTTGGCGTTCTTCAGACTATGTAAATGTTCATTTGCAAACGGTTGTGCCTCGCAGTATCACCAGGCCATGCGAAGCGAACTAGCCCAGATTTTTGTTCTCCGAAGCCCAAAATGACAGCGGATCACATTAAATGTGAGAATTCAGAAATAAGGTCGTCAGGCATATCCAGCCAACGTCTTTCATGGGCAGGGGCCAAGTCTGATGGCAATAACACGCTATATTGCCTCGTTGTTGTCAACCGAGTCCCGTGGTCATCAATCACGATTCTAGATATTTGCAGCTGGTAATTCTAGCGGCTCAAAGTTAGCTCTAGCATCCGTCGAATGTCTAAAAGAGAATGCTGTCCGGGCCACCAAGATGGTGGAATGGGATACCATTGATAGGAGAAAAAAGCTAATGTAAAAGGGGTCGATGGGTGATGGCATGATGTTATTAAGTTTAGACCAACTAAACAGATCGTGCCAGCTCGGAGCCTTCCTCATACGTTTTTGTCTGTTTTAATGGGACGGCAGCAGGCGTCCGGCAGCCTGCCCAAAGCCAATCCTTTTCCCGTCTTTGCCCTTGGCCCAGCCAGTCAAAACGACCTCATCCCCGTCTTCAAGCCATCTCAGTTCTCTGCCGCTTCGCAACTTGAAAGGCTTCTGGCCACCTTCGGTCAGTTCCAAGAGGCAGCCCAGTGTCGGCATCTCGTCGGTGTGTCCCGGAGAAGATGCCGTTCCCGTACCCAACAAATCTCCTGTGTTTGCTCCACTCCCAGCGGACACCCAGTGCGCCAACATTTGACCTGGTGACCAGTACAAATCCTTCAAGTTGGAGCGGCAGACCAAAGTTGGTGGCTCGTTAGGGCCCGACACCGTAGCTTCTAGGACAATGTCCCAGGAAACCTCCATGGCACCGACGGCATGTCGTAGATGAGGAGGATGCGATGAGATATCAGCTTTTGCTTTCTCCGACACAAATCCCACTTGGGCGTCTCCCAGCGCATCAGGCATGACGACCCAAGGGCTGATCGTGGTTGCTGTGGCCTTGCCATTGCTCGGTCCCATGGGGATCATCTCGCCGAATTGAATGTCTCTTGCTGACCAGTCGTTCAAGAGAATAAGACCAAAAATGTGCTCTTTCGCTTCGTCTGCCGAGATCCGGTGGCCAAAAGGAATCGGCTTCGAGATAAAAACCCCTATCTCGACTTCATAGTCCATCTTGGTGGAAGTTCTGAACTGAAACTCGGGACCTTCTTTGAACCCCGGCGGCCTCATGATCATTCCTTTAGGACGTTTAAGCGGTTGTCCGCTGAGAACAATGGATGTCGTACGGCCCGTGTACATTGGGGGAAAATGGTAGAAGGCTGGTATCGATTTCCCAGACATGCGGTTGCCCTAGGATCTCGAATTAGTTCACTTGTGTGAAAATGACCTCCCGCGAGTCTTTGGGAAGTACACACTTACATTGTCATGGTGCGTTTCGGAGCAGAGAAAATCGGCAAAGGCACCAATTTGCAGAGGAAGGTGCAATTTCGCTTCTTTCTCATTGGTGAAAGCGCTAGAATTGATTTCCTTGTCCTTGAACAGAATTGAAGATGGCTCCTCTAACAAGTCGATCATGCGCTGACGAGTTGACGAACGGACAGATCGAGGCAGTGAGGCAAAATGGTTTAGAGTTTGTCCCAATAGAGCTGTTCGGAGAATAGACAGGTCTTGATTAGACAGGTTGTCAAAGGCGCCCTGACGTGCAAGCAAGTTGACGTCGATAATCTGGTCTCCAATGATGGTCCCGACTCGAGGAGTTGGCTAGTTGACTTTCATCAGCATTACTGTCGAACCTTGGTAGATGAGTGTCGTCTTACATCCGTATCTGTTGAGAAAATTCCAAAGGGAATGTTTTGCAGAGGAAATGGCGAATCTTCCGCCACGGGAATCGGATATTGCACACTCATTTTTGTCTCTTGATCTCGTCTCAAGGCGCGTGCTGCCCTGGGTAGGTATGTGGAATTGCTGTTGCGAATTAGCAAGACAGGTCAATAATGAAGACATCGCAATCCCAAGTATCTTATAATTTAGTCTCTTATGGAGCGATCCCCTAGCATTCAAGTGGTTCAAGAAGACACCTACCTCGCTCACCAGTGCGCAACACATGTCTGGTCCACATCAACGCAGTCCGACAAATCCTTTGATAGAGAATAACCCATGGTTCCCAGACAGAAGCTTGGCGCTTCTTCGTTCCCCCGCAAAACGCCAGGTGGATGTCGAGGTGTGGGAGTAAGAGGAGGCATCCCACATGGGGATTGTTGGACCTGGCTTTTTGTGAGTAAAAAGCGACACCTCGCCTCCCTGCGGGGAGGCACCTTTTGGCAGTACGGCGTGCAATGCTTGTAGGATGCCGAGCACCATGTCGCTGGACTCGTACCAGTGGAAAATACTACAGAGACCTCAGAGATTAAGAATCCTCACGAACGAAAGATCGGAACAAGGAAAGGAGAGGTAAGGTTGTAAAGCCTCGAGACTCGCGGACGCATTCGCCTACTGCAGAGAGTGGAGCTATTGGACTTAATTACACTGGAGGCTTCTACAATGGTATAGAACGTTTTTGAAGGTCTGCTCAACCATGGATGATTTGCTCAGCCAACGGAATCTGATGGGTAGGGGCCTCACGGGCCAACAACCTTCGGCACATTCAGCGCAATTGCATTGGTAGGAATTTCGAAGAGCTTATAACCTAGTAGAGTAAACACAAGCAGCCTCACATCTCCCTAGAGAAGCAATCCTGTCGAGATTTCACCCATTTGCCTAGAAGCCTGCGTTTAGTCCTTTGAACCAATATTTTTCAATCACTTATGTCGTTCCAATTTGTCGAAAATATCATGCTTGTGCCACCAAGCCCGGACTTTCTTGCCATACATGTAGACGATAATCGTAGTGGCGCAGAATGCCAAAGAGATTCCTCCAATGGTGTTGAAGACCTTTTCTGGACCCCACTTGGCAAGCCATTCGTTGAGGAAGACTGGTGTTGAGGTCAGCGATCAACGTCGGTTAAAGGTGCTCAAATTAAGTGTCCCTTGACTTACAGGAGAATCCGAAGAACATAAAATTTTTGACAGACATCGAGACGACAAAGACTTCGATGCTGACATTGCGATAAGCGTCCACCAAGTAACTTCCCAGAGAAGCTGTGACAACCACGCAGCTGGCAAAGCCAATACCCCAGAGCACTGACATGATGACTGGACTCTTACCCTCGGCCGCAAAAGGACCAAAACAGAAGTAGCCAATTGTGCTCAGAATGGGTGCGAGGCCCATTGTCATAAGGCGAAATTCGGGTTCATATATTCCATCGTTTCGAGTGCTAGCCTTCTTGGCAATTCGGTCAGACAGAGCTCCGAAGAGAAGACAAGTGATGCTTCCGAAAACCATGGGACCAGCTCCAATATATCCTAGTTGCGCCGTGTTGAGTAGGTAAGGTGGCGGTCCAAATAATTGTCCCAGCATGAAGTTGATGACAACATTCCATAGCTGGAAGAAGGAAATCAGCAAGACAGCCCAAAGGATAACTGGGTTGAGCAATATGTAAAACGGACGAAAAATCAGTTGGATCAAAGACTCGTTGCTATATGTGGTTGACCAAGGCTTCATTCGCTTCAAGAAGGAGTCTCGCATGACGCTGCCGCCGGTATCCGACGAGATTGTTCTTTCTAGATGAGCAGCCACGCCAGCTTCATCGACTGTTTTGCCGCTTCTGAGTTCTTCTATGACGTGGATATTCTTCACTTGGTAAGCAAAGCCCTAACGGACTAACAGGGCAACTTACATCTCGGGATGAGGTATCGACATCGTAAAGTTGATTCCGATTGTAGGCCGTCTCCCATCCGAAAAGGATAATGAGGACCAAGCCAATACCCAGAAAAATTGCTAATAACCAGAAACACCACCGCCAGCCAAGGTTGACGGAGACGACTCCGGTGAGGAGGGACGGGAGAAGGACGAGCGCGACTTGAGCGACAACGTAGATGGCCATGCGGGAGCCTCTCTGATGGACGAAGTAGAGGTCCCCAATGAGCGTGAAGGTGACGCTTTCGAAGATGGCAGTGCCCACACCTTGAATCAAGCGGCCACCAATCATAGAGTCATACGACGTGGCTTCGGCGCACCAGATGGTTCCCGCCAACAAGAAGACCATGGATGTGAGGAACCAGGGACGCTTGCCGTACTTGTGACTCAGTGCCGCCACGAGGGGAGCAATTGAGCCGACAAGGGCTAGTTGATATCCGGAGAGCAATGTAACCTTTTGGAAGTCGATGTGAAAGGCCTGGACCATGTCGAGGGCTAGGACGCCAATCAAGGGTCCAATGCTAGGCACAGTAAGCACAGTACACTGCAATACTTCGGCAGAGCGACATACGCGCCGACACAGATATTGGTAAGGTAGCAAAACAAAACCAAAATTAGGTCTCGCTGCCACAACGGCCAGTTAAGCGGATCATTTTGGCTGTTGGACGGTTGGGGAACCAGGACGACATCAGTGTCGTGGCCTGTTCCCTTCTTCAGATGAGCGGTTTCCGTAGGAATGGCATCTTGGAGCAGGGCCGTGCCTGGCACATGCTCCAGACTTGTATTGGGCTCAAGCACTCCGAGTCCCATGTTGAGAGATTGCAACGGAATCAAAGACGTCAAGGGCGGATGCGTGGGGCTTGTGTAGGGAGAATGAAGGAAAAGAAAAGGGAAGTTGCTGGGCGGTCTCAGCCTCTTGCGAGGTGGGAGACTCGGTCTTATAAACCAAACAACCAAGCAGAAATAGCGCTGCCCGTTTGGTACTGGTCTCGACTAGGTGGGATGCCAGAAGAGCGCCCCGACCCTGACATACCAAATCAGTAGGACTGACACCTGAATTATTCAAGCCTCTACCTTTCAACTTCCACAAGAACTCAGAAAGCCTAGAAAATAATGCGAGCCCTAGTAGATAGGTGAGCTCTTAACCTCCAGTCACGTTGTAAAACAGTACATCATCTCATTAAGAGTGCGGAATTCTCATACTCTTCAAATGACGCTATTTGAACGTCCCGACTATTTTGGCCACAGGCTTGGCATGTCACGAACAAATCTCGCCTCTTTCATTGGGAAGTCGACGAGCGGCCAGTAAAGCGCGGGCGAATGCGAGCGACCGACGCTGTGGGCAGAGGTGACCAGGTCCTCCCCCGCAAATATCCCCAGCTAAGCCCTCCGCAAAGGCCCATTTCTCCACTTCTTCCCCCCTCGGACCAGGTAGAATCTCGGCCCACCCACCGACATCCAATCCGATGATCCTTTTACATGGAGGATCCTAGGCGTGAGTCAAGAGAATGGCCGCGGTGAAAGCAATTGTTTCGGGCCCTGCACCCAGCTCATCTGTCGAAATAATAGCTGATGCGTAGCTCGAGTCCATATCTGGCCCTGATGGCCGAGGCGCAAGTTCCAGTGTCGCTATTGTGTGAACTTCGCACAGTCAGACGACATCCGCAAGGGTGCCTCATTGATGCGGCGCAATGGGAACTTTGGTACAGTATGATGAACTCGCCGGGGCGACGGTGCCTCAGTACAACTCAGTACAACTGCATTTTCGATCCCTAGACGCTAGTCCTCCATGGTGGAGGAATAGCCAAAGTTGAAAACAGAGGCGTTGAGGGAATACACCAATCGAGCCCTAAAGCGTATAGTTCCTACCAGGCACAAGGAGCAAATGGCTATGCATGGCGTTGAAACTAGGTCAATTCAGGAGACATGAGCGATTGTCACCGACAGTCATGACAAATCCTAGTCGAATGTGCGCATTGTTGGCTAGCAGCCTGCCTGTGCAGTTCCCCTGGGAGGAACTGACCGGGCATATTTCCGCACGTCTCCTAGTTTGCTCCTGTTCAGGTGCAGCCCAGTAGTAGTCGCTCCTAATGGACATGTCCAAGCCATATACACTCAAGGGCCGACAACAGGGTCAGAAGTCTCCCTTGACATGGCCCTTAGCCTCCTGATTGGGGTACCGTTTCTGAAACAGTGCGACACTGCGAGGAACGCTGAATAATGCGAGCCCCATTTGTAGGAAGCATGAGCTAGAGTATTTAGGTTTCAATAAACATAAATAACAGGCAGGCACATGTCGAAGCGGGGTGGCGGGGTAGCGGGGTAAATTGGCGCTAAGTGGGGGAAGCCAATTCTCCCTGCTGGGCGAAAGGAGTGCGGATGCATGGATACGGAACGTTTGAGCGAGGCCAAGGCGTGGACAGGGCAAGCGGGGGGCGCATTGCTGCAGCATCGGGTCTTTTGTGTGAGACTAGCACTCCCTGTGCTCTGAGTCTGTTTGGAGAGGCCTGAGCCCACATTGACGCCTCAGTCACTGCGATCCATGCTTTGGAAGCCTAGCTCGTTCAATGGGGAGGGGTCTGCCTTTTCCCTCTTTTTGAAGCTATTCAACCGTTCGGCAATAGCAGGAGTGATGACAGCAAAGAAGCCGTAATAAGTTTCGTCGGTACGCCAACGCCATGGCCAGGAACATGGTCACCCATCAATCAGCAGGGACTCGCAATTTGTCACTTCAGCAGCGGTTCACAAGGTAAACGGCAATTTGGCCCTCATTCAGAGACGGAAGGGGATCTGCCGTCTCGATTAGACGACTCTTCTGAAGTCTACTAGCTGTAACGAGTCTGTTTAGAACGGCCCTTCTACAGCTAAAGTGATACATCTTGACCATGCAGGCTCTCGAAGAAGCATTTGTGGCCGCGGTCTCTGCGGGCAAGATTCCCGGCGCAGTGTTGGTGGCGTCTAACAGGTCGGGGAACTTCAGCTATGCAAAGGCTTTCGGAGCCCGATCCCTTGCAGAAGGCAAGGAGGAGCCTCTTGAAATGGACAGTATTTTTGCTCTCTTCAGCTCGTCAAAGTTGATCACAACTATCGCTGTCCTGCAAGTCCTTGAGCGAGGCCAAATCGGCCTAGACGACGATGTGACGAGTATTCTGCCAGAACTTGCCGGGAATCATATCTTGATAGGAATGGAGAATGGCAAGCCCGTGTTTACGAAGCGACAGAATCCCATCACTCTCCGGTGATCCCTTCCGCATCTCATGATCCTAGACAGAGTACTGACCTACACCAACAGCCATCTTCTCACACATTCGTCGGGGCTTGCGTACACGTTCATGTCGCCAGTCCTTCAGGAATACCACGCGTCCCTAGGCGTAGCCGGACCCCCCAAGAACGTCGTCGAGAGCTACAACTTGCCCCTAGTGTTTGAGCCGGGGACATCGTGGAAGTACAGCACTGGCTTGGATTGGGCCGGCGTCCTGGTGTCGAGAGTGGCCAACGTCGACCTCGAAACGTACTGCCAGAACAATATCTTCGCGCCACTTGGCATCTCTGACATCACCTTCTGGGCCAAAAAGAAGCCGGAGCTAGCGGCACGACTGGTCAGCATGAGCATCCGAGATCCTGCGGATCCCAATGGCAAAGCTCGCGCATATCTGGGACCGGACATGCACTCGGCGGCTCAGACCGAGATGGGTGGACAAGGGCTCTACGCGTCCATGCCCTCATACCTGAGGATTTTGCACAGCATTCTGGTCGATGACGAAAAGCTGCTCAAGAAAGAAACGACGGCGATGATGTTTCAACCACAGCTTAGCAAGGACAGTCGCTCGGCCCTTCAGGCTCTCTATGACAGTCGACCGACCAGAGGCCCCTGTGCTATCGGTCGGTTTCCACCAGGTGTTCGTTATGACTGGGGCCTCGGCGGCCTCCTGACCAGAGAGGACGTCAACCTGGAGGGAGTCACGTATCGGAGAGCTGGCTGTCTGAATTGGAGCGGCATGCCAAATCTATTCTGGGTAGGTGAACCTGATTTCCACTGTCTGTATCCAGAGCCAATGCTGACCTCAATTCTTTCTTTTGCTTTAGTTCCTTGACAGAGCCGCTGGGGTGTGCGGTATTTATGGTGGGCAGTTGATGCCGTCCGGGGATGCCCAAGTTCAAGAGATGATTTACCTTTTTGAGAAGACAGTGTACGAGCAGGCCGGAGTTAAAAGCAATGACTAGAATGCCCTGCGCCCAATTCATAGAATCTCCTAGCTAGAAAAGTAGGATTCTCGAGAGAAACTATTTTCCGGATCTTAATCTGCAGACGTAGAAGGGTTCCTATCTAGGAATTTCAGCATAATCCTATGTAGCTTGGGTACTTCCAGTCCGATTATTGGTCGAAAGGTCCGTGATACCTTGATTGATTACAAGGAGAGAAACCTATCTAGTGGCAAAAACCTTTTGGATGTGGAGGATTCTATAGTGCGCTCTAGGTAACCTGGCCTCTTTGGTTAGGGCTAACGCCGACTAGAGATCTTTTTATTGCCTATTATGTAGTTCTTAAAGAGGATAATAAGCTGCGAGACCTCTGTGAGTGCCAACACTGAATTGTGATAGCCTCCTTTAGGAGAAGCGCTTCATATCCTCAATCAAGAATCTTGAGTTATCGTCCGAATAGTTCACTGGTTCGCGCAAATAGAAGGTCTGGTTAGAGCACTCTGCCACTTGACCAGTCACGTTTTCCTCGACAAACTTCTCAAACGCGCCCAACACCACGGACATGGGAGTAAAATGCTCTGCTGGGACCACCTTCTTCATGAGATCGCTGATTCCAGTGTCCACTGGGCCAGGGCAGATGGTGTTGATGGTAAGAGACTCGGTCTGCAGCAACTTGAACGATGATGCTCTCACCAGCCCGACAATCTGTCACTGGGTTAGTCACCGCATGTGTGCACGAGTGTGCTCCAAGGATAGATTACCGCGTGTTTAGCAGCGCAATACATGGGCGCTGCAACGAAAGCGTAGATTCCCGCCATGCTGCTGGTGATGATCATCTTTCCGAGTCCCAGGTTGCCGCTCTTTTGCCAGTAGTACCGGAAAAGCCTGAGGCCGTAGATGACGGCCACAAGGTCGACGTCCATGACCTTGAGATTCGGCTTTTGGGGCTCCGCGTTAACTTCCGGAATGGTGTAAAACTGCTCCTTCTCGTCGATCCCAGCATTGGCGACACACATGTCGACTCGGCCGTGCCATTTATACGCCTCCTTGAACATTGCCGCTTGCGAGTCCCAATCCGCCAGGTCACACTGGACAAAGAGGGAGCTGGAGCCCAATGTTGCTTGGGCATGGGCTCCTGCTTCAGCGTCGATGTCGGCGAGAACAACGTGATAGCCTTTACTGATCAGGAGCTTCGACATCGCCATGCCGATGCCTCCCGCAGCGCCGGTAACGATCGCGACTTTAGAGGTCGCCATGGTTGGTCCAAGTTGTGTTAGGTTGCAGCGTCAGCTGGGAGCTTTGAATTTGGTCTATAACGGTTTTTTTTAAATAGGTAGGAACATTTCATCTGAGACTGCAATTTTTTAGACCTTTGATCCGGTTTAAAACACCGACCCCAGGCGACGAGGCCAACCGGACTGGAGTGTATCATGCCAAACCCGGTCCTTCAGACCCCCGACTCCGGAACACCTAACTCTGCATGCCGTCACGGGTTTTCCACATCCCCCACACTACCCTACAAAGTACTCTTCTTCACTTATATGGGAGAGAGGGGGTTCATCGTTGAACAAAATATAGGCTAAGAGAGGGGGAAAGGCTATGGTTTGCACTAGTTAGTGGAACCTACGACGCTGTGATCTCGAGGAAAACAAATACGAAGCCTAATTAGATTGCACTTGGACGTGGCGCCCCCAGAAGAGAAGGCTCCGGTGCGATGTTGAGGAATTGGCATTATTATATACTGCTCATGCACCGCTAGTATTCCTAACGATGGATTCATAGCTATCGAATCGCCAACCCTCAACACGGATCCGAGAGGCCGCGCAACGGGCCTTTTCCTCAGAGCCATGGATGTCTCGACATTGCCTATGAGTCTCGAGCCCTTTGATGCTCAGACTTACCCTTTCAGGTCCTCGATCTTTGTGATATCACCGGTTTTGGCATTGAACTGCCGTGCAACTGCTAGAGCGAGATCTTGGGCAAACTGGGCTTCTTCCCTGGTTGCCCCATGCTGAAGCAGCCCGTTCAGATGCCATAGCATCTGAATGGGTGAGTTGTTGCATATTAACAAAGCCACATTGCACAACTGAGTTTCGATATTGGACAGGATGGCGTCCTCGCTCATCCAAAGCTCGTAGTTGGTCTTTATGTTGAGCAAATCTGTCAAGTCGTCCATGCTTCAGCACCAGAACTGGCCTCATCGAATCGGAGTGTCATACAAACATCCGGATAATATTTACTCGCCCGGTCTCGTTGTGCCTGTCCCCCGGCAGGTCCGCCCCAGAGGGTGTCAAAATACTTACGACCTCTCTCAGCCCTTCTCTGCTCGTCGCCGGGGTCGTTGAACTTTTCAGTTCTCCATTTGGCACCGTTAGAAACAGAATAAAAGGGGTCGGGAACACGACGCATCAGCGTAAGCCAGGAGGTGCTTACCTGGGGCTATAGGTGTCGATTTCGTCCTCCGGTAATATGGCATAGAGAGCACTGAAAGCTACTGCCGACCGCGGGACTCCGCAAAGGATCGATGCTTTGAGGAGTGCCTCTTTGATTCTTCGTTGCACGATCTTTCTGTCTTCCAGGGGCAATCCAGCCGTTGCCTGACGATAAAGTTCACCTACGTGCTCCCCAGCGGCCGCAGCTGTGAGAGCCGATGCCTTGACGAGTCAGCAGTCGTCATGGGATCGTGTGTGAAGCCTCGTACTGCGATAATGTACCACCGAGCCTGGCGAATGTCAACCTCGCCTTCGCGGCTCCGAAACTCAGACAGAAAGTCCATGCTCATATCGACTGCTTGTTGCTGTTCGGAAGCGGCGCGTAAAATACAATTCTGGCTAAGAAAGCGACAATTCTCAGGAGGACCAGAAAGCGGAATTTATAGCTGGAATGGCTGGAATTGCTGGAATGGAGCAGCAGACCGAGATGTCCGCTCCGAACAACCCGACCGGGGCCAGCACCACAACGCAGTCGGCACTGCGGCACCACCAGGAGGTGCCAAAATTCATCGGACAGCCGAGAGCGGCTACTAGCACAAAGCCCCCAACAGCTATATTTCAATTGCATCGGACGGCACCAACAACACATCAAAACAGCAACAAAAGAATGTCTGGTGCTATTTCAAAGCCTCAATGCATCGGTGAAAACTCCTTGTCTGTCTAACAAATTCTGACGCCCCCTGGTGGCACTTATGTCCATTATTCTCCCTCGTCAATCTTTTCTCTCACATAGACAATGAAGCCAGGCCGGCTGGTCTATGCAGGTCACAGTCCTAAGGCAAATTTTCATGGTCAAAACCTGGACCGACGGAAGAACGGCACAGACTCCAAAGTCAGTGGGTGGCATCAGTTACAATCATGCCACACCCCAACGCAACAGAGGTGGGTTGAGGAGGAGCGGAGGTCGTGTTACCCGCTTCAAAGCCTTGCGATCGTCCCCCCGACTCCTCAACCCCACATAGCCATGTCGCACGCGTTTCGGCATCGAATGGGTCCTTTGAGAAAGCTTCGGTTCGCCATCTCAGCCTCTTATGGCCCTTGTTGGAATAATAAAATACTAGAAGTTCTCGACCTAACCAACAGATTCCATCAGCGCTCCAGTTTACAGAAGTTCAGGCAGCCTGGATCGATATTATGTATTCTCTACCAGACCTTCCGTGTTTTCTCCCCGCGATCCCCATTCCAGACTTCGTAGATCTCGATGCCGTGGCCAACTACTTCCGCTCAGCTTTCGAGGTTCTCAGTGAAAGCCATTTTCTCCAAGATGCCCTCTGGCGCGACACATTTGCCATGACCGGCACCTTGCGGACATTTTACTCTACCAAATCCATAGCCGCTGCATGGAAAGATACGTCAGCAACCCACAAGCCAACTTCGTTCGAGATTCAGGGGAAACCCAACTTGATCAAAGCTGGAGATTCCCACTGGGTGGAATTGAGGTTCACCTTCGAGACTCATGGTATACCGGCCACCACCGCCGATGGAATTCTTTCTGTTGCCCTCGACAAGCATGGCATTTGGAAAATCTGGATCATGCGCACGGTCATTGGGCAGCTCAAGGACCAGCCAAATGTGGACAAGCTCGATATGGTGCGTCAGTTGGATGGCGAGAAGCTGACCAACGGTACCACCGAGCTTATTAATGGCATAACGACAAACGGAACAACTCCCAATGGTATAACCACAAACGGAACTACTCCTAATGGCACGGATAGCCCGAACGTGGATTTCCAATGCGTTATCATCGGTGGCGGCCAGGCTGGTCTTTCCGTCGGTGGTCGACTCAAGGCGCTCGGTGTGTCTTATGTCGTTGTAGATAAGTATGAGCAGGTGGGAGACAGTTGGGCGAAGCGATACGACTCAACCAGATGTCAGTATAGTCCTTGTCCGGAATTTGAGGCAGTGCAAGGGAGCTGACAAATATTCAGTGCACACCGTTCGAGAATTTGGTAAGATTTGTGGCATTACTCACGTGTATAGGGTGGTACTGATCGAGATGCGACAGCTCATTTACCTTTTGAGCGAACTTTCCCCGCGACATATCAAGAATTCCTCACCAAGGATGACCTTGCTAAAGGCTTCCGCGAATGGGCAGCTAAGTTTGACATCGTAATTTACCCTGGGCGCTGAGGAAAAGAAACTACGGCTAACTACAACAGAACATTTGGACAAGCACCACTGTCCTCTCAGGCTCGTGGATCTCAGAGCATGATACTTGGGAACTGGAGATCCGGCGCGATGGCATGAACCAAACTATTACCTGCTCCTACGTCGTTCTCGCTGTGGGCGCAAATTCCCGATTCCCTGTTGCCCCAACATATGAGAACCGAGTACGTCTACAACCGCCACCCGATGCTAGTTAAATGAAATACAGACTTACCTTGCCTATCTAGGAGGCCTTCCGGGGCGTTATTCTACACTCGGGCGACTATACAAACTCTAAGGAATGGGCTGGAAAACACGGTGTGGTCGTGGGAAGCGGAAACACAGGTCAGAACAATTTAATTATGTCAAAGGTGCTAATGCTGATGCCCTAAAGCGCATGATGTCGTGGAAGATATGTATAGTCAAGGCATGGCTTCTGTGACAATGGTTCAGAGAAACCCAACATGTGAGGAGCTAACATTGTCGACTCCTCCTGCAATGGTCTAACGTGGACAAAATAGTCGTTATTCCCGTCGAGCTATATAGAGAGACTCACGACAGTCAGTTCTTGACCCAGGGCACCGGAGGAACTGCTGCTGATAATTCCAGGACTCTACAACGCCGACACCCCGACCGAGCTAGCCGACTTATTGTTCTTTACTGGCCCAGCGGTCATGACTCGCCTAATGGCCGGAAAGATGTTGCACGCCAAGATTCGTCAGCATCCTGAGCGATTTGATGCTTTGGAGAAAGCTGGTTTCCTCCTCGATCGCTACGCCGATATGGGATATGTCATCTACGTACGCCAAGGAGGCCACTACATGGATGTCGGAACATCAGGAAAAATCGCATCGGGCCTGGTGAGCTCACTTCCATTCATTTACGGTTTCTAGATCTAATGGTAGTAACTAGATCAAGATGAAGACCGATTCTCTTCCCGTTCGCTGGGTCGAGGATGGCCTGGAGTGCGCCAACGGCGATCATCTGAGGGCAGATGTGGTTGTCTTCTCCACTGGGTTCGTTGGTAACTTGCGACTCCTCGTTGCCGAACTCCTGGGTAACGACGTCGCTGCTCAAGTAGAGGACTACTGGGGCCTCGACGAGGAAGGAGAACTTCTTGGCGCTTTCAAACCATCGGGCCGTGAGTATCTGCTTCTCGGTAAAAGACAACTTTGATCTGACCGATTTTTATAGATCCCGCTTTCTGGTACACCGGTGGCGCGATTGGCCAGGCACGGTACATGTCTCGTTTTATCGCTCTGCAAATCAAGGCAAAATGCCTAGGCACGCCGCTGCCGCTATACACAGAAACCCCTCCGCGAAATTCCAGCATTCCCATGAAAGTGTTATGATTTATCCTTGATCTAGTGGCCGTTCGGTTGCGCTAGTCAGAACACTTGTCAGATGGTGCCCTTGCGTGGGTTATTAGTAGCGTTCGCGCAAGTGTGACAAGTCCTGCTTGAACGTGTGGGAGTTGATTCCAGAGGTTGACCTGAAGTCATATTGAGGGTTGTATGAAAGTGCTATTTAATCCGTCGACAGGAGTTTCACTTTTAGGTATAGGTTGATCCTATAAGACTGAGGACTGTTAAATAAACGGATAGCATTGATATGTCTTGAGAGATGTGTCTGTCTGTCTCTCTCTTCCGCAAGACCTTGCCTATTTATTTAAACGAGGCTCTGTGTTCAGAAGGCTGTTCCTGAAGATTCCGTGACGGACTGATCCTGTTCCACATCAATGATGGTGATTTAAATGGCGTTGATGGCACTCGCGATCATAGACGTGGGATTCTCATACCCATGGACACCTGATTTCAATCCCAGGGGCCGAGCCGCGAACAAAAGTAGTCGTTGGGCTCTCTGACAGGTTTGTGCTGGTGCCTTGAGTGTTGAGGGTTGCTCATTAGGATCGCAGGTCAACACGGCACGTGACTGGTTGTCTGACCCCAGTATAATGTGGGGGTAGAAGTTATCCCTGCGCAGCGAACTTCTAAGTTCTTAGCATCGCCGAATATAACTATTCATGGCCTCTTGAGCAGCGCTTTACTCTGTTTATAGTTTCAATAGGGATGATTTCTATAGAGATTAGCATACCAGAGCCTATCGCACTGCTGGTTTGTACCCAGGTAGATATTACAACCAACACAGGACGTGTAAACCTACCTGAGGCGCCGGTTCGGTCTTGTCTAGGTTACCACCTATTCAACGCCCTCCTAGTTCCGTGTAAGCACTCTCAAACTCAGATTAGCTCAAAAAGCCCTTGAAAACGCTGTTCTGGGTTCATAACTGCATGTAAAATAGGCAACAAGGGCAGCGGACAAGGCAAAATATGGGTGCCAAGTAGTTACTCGGCAAAGTTATCTGTACAGGGGGACAAAACATAACCTTCCTAATTAGGCAAGGATATATTGGTTGAGACATGGAATGAAATCCTCCCTGTAAACTAACTTAATAACCTAACCACAACTCATAATCGCAACCTAAGGCAACAAGAAAGGCTGAGGATATCGATGCCATGACGTCAGGCATGGATGAACACGTTACTCACTTGATTGTCCTCCGTACTGTGGCATGATTGATTCAGTCGGCATGCAAGGAGGCTGGAGCGCTGGTCCGCGGCCTCGGCCCTTGCCCTCAAACGGAACACACGGCAGAAACTTTAAGAAATCCCACATTCATTACCCCACAGTCGGTCGCCATCCGTCTCATGACAAAATGTTTGAGTCGGAAGAGTCCTGGGGAGTGAGTCTCGCGGGTACCGCGTCGAAGTCTGACAATACCACGTCTCGCCAACATTGATCCTATGTTTAAATAGGCTTCTCCGTCAAGGATGACTCGCGTCCACGGGCAGCTTGGGATCAGAAGGCGTATCCATCCCGAAATAAGTACGAGGCAAACTCACCTCGCTACTTTGAGGCTTTTGGCAGGACCGGGACCCGTAGTGCTCGGCTCGCGAGTGCTCATAAACATTTCCTCGAGCTTCTTTCAAGATATTCACAGGTTCCTTCCGACTTTCTGCACGACTGTATCGAGGGCATATCAAAATGCCGGAGCCTATTGAAGTTCCGGTGGTGATTATTGGAGGAGGCTGTGAGTCGAGCGCTTGCCAAAGGTTCACGATTGTGCTGACACTCTCCCAGCTTGTGGTCTTTCCCTCTCCATCTTTCTCTCGGATCATGGCGTACAGCACATTCTTTTCGAACGTCATGCAGGCACCTCGATTCTCCCCAAAGCCCACATCATTAACCAAAGGACAATGGAAATATTCCGGCAGCACGGCATTGCAGATGAAATCATCGCTCAAGGGACCCCTCCTCGGCAATTGAGCCAAGTGGTCTGGCAGACCTCTCTCGCTGGCGATGGGCCTCTGGATCGTAAGATCCTGGGGACTATTCACACTTGGGGCTGCAAGCAGGGCACAGAGCGCAACAATACCTATGTGTATGTTGAGACCTCGCCGGCACCAGTCGACCCAACTAACCTTTGTCCTCCCCAGGCGAGATGCACCTCACCTTCCAACAAACCTGCCGCTGCTTCGCTCTGAGCCTATTCTCCGTTCGATCGCAGAGACTCGTAACCCAGGTAAAGTGCTCTTTTCACATACGGTCATCGACTTTGAAGAAAAGGAAGACTGTGTCCTCGTCTACGTCTCGAACAAAGATGGCACCAACAGTGTCTACCGTGCTGCGTATCTGGTGGGCGCGGATGGCGGCAAAATGGTTGGTCCAAAAATCGGGGTTGAGATGGAAGGCCCCAAGGGTCTCCGCAAGATCGTTTCGACGCACTTTAAGGCAGATCTCTCCGAGTACTGGGACGACCGCACCGGCATAGCCCACTTTTGCAACCCATCTTTAGGTCTCGCGATGCGAAGTGGCTCTATGCTGCCTCTGGGCCCAACCTGGGGGAGATATTCGGAAGAATGGCAGATGCACTTCGCTATCGGAGTTGATGATCCGCTGTTCCCACGTGAAGACGCCGTGGCCCGCATTCGGCAGCTGTTAAAACTACCCGACCTGGAACTTGAGGTCTTGAGCCTGAGCAATTGGGTGCTGGAGAGAGTATTGGCAAATAAGTATTGTCAGGGGCGCGTCTTTATCGGCGGTGATTCAGCACACCGTCATCCTCCGACAACCGGCCTGGGACTCAACACGGCCGTGCAGGACTCGCAGAATCTTGCATGGAAGCTAGCGTACGTGCTTCAGGGTAAGGCAGATGTGAGCCTACTGGACACCTACGAGATGGAACGGCTGCCGACTGGCAAAATAAACTGCGACTGGGCCTTATTCACGTCTCAACGCCACCACGTCATAGCGAAAGCCATTGGATTTGAGGAAGGGAAGCCCGAGGCCAATGAAGCGCACTTTTTGAATATGTTTGACGAAGGATCCGAGATCGGAAAGGCCTCACGCGCATATTTGCAGTACGTTATCGATGGCCAAAAGGTGGAGTTTGCTGCACATGAGATGGACCTAGGTTTTGTCTACCCACAGGGCTCGTTCGTGCCCGACGGTACCGTACAGCCTCCACGCGATCCGATGCACCAGCATTACACTCCTACGACGCGGCCAGGTCACCGCTTGCCTCACGCTTGGTTGGACTGCCGCGGCACCATGATCTCTACGCATGATCTTGTTGGAACTGCTGCCGACTTCCTCCTCATCACCGATCGAGACGGTGCTGAGTGGGTCGACGCTGCCCGCAAAGCGGCCAAGGCCAGATCCATTGGGCTCAGAGTCGCCCAAATTGTCGCTCCCATGGACAGACCCTTGGTCGAGGAGTACGTCGACCTTGAACTACAATGGGCAGAAGTGAAAGGTGTTGGTGCCAAAGGAGCCGTCCTTGTTCGTCCGGACAATATCGTGGCTTGGAGGTCGTCTGGACCGGGATCCGCCCAGGACATCGCGAGTGCTTTTGATCAGATTCTGGGGCGAAGGGGCAAGGTCACCCTCAACGGAGTGAACTGAGAAGAGAATCAATGTACGTGTACCACGGGCATCAATAGAGCCGCAAGATGGCTACTACCTCTATACCGAGAGAGCATGGAGTTGCATACCAGAGTTAATCCTATTGCATGTAACCCATGCCAGTGAGATACAGTTTCACACATTTACTTTGTTCTCGAGCCGACAACCACCCGAGGGCCCCCTCACCTCGTGATTGTACGCCTCGTCTGCTTCAGTGGCCCCATCCCACAGACCCTCACTGCTAGCCAGGTGTTCAGTGTTATCGTCCTCCCCCGCAACATACCCCCGCTGAGCCACGTCCTCCCCGCAGCTTGGACGAGGGCGGCAAGCATCGGTGGCAGCTCTTCGGGTCTCCCGTTCGCCGCTTCGGAGCAGCGGTCTCCTTTGGCCCAGCTAGGGCTGTACCAATGCTTCGGGCAATTGGCAGTAGCTTGGTTACTTTTATGTGACCTTTACCAGCAAATATCCTTGGTCTCTGTGGCATTTATCGTGACGGAGCAGTTGCTCTCCATTCAACGTGAATCACAAAAGATCTCTCGCCACTGGGTAGATTACGTGCAGCATCCACCACCCCCTGAACCGCCCGTCTTTTGATTTTCAACCAGTAGAGCCGAACCCTCAGAGACCTATTCATTTTACGTTCAAGTATGTACGTCAACCGGAAACGGAGGATGTATGGGACACATCTCGAAGGCGGTACGGGCTCCGTCGCTGCTGCGAGGTGTAGGAAAGCGCCACTTTATCGGCGGGCGCCTTCGAAATCAACTACCATATCACGATGGCGGAACAAGGAAATTGCAATCAAATATACAGAAGAATGGATGGATCGAGGACTCCAGCTTGATCAGCTCTCCTCCGGCGCATCCGGGGTAGCTCTGTTCCCTGCTGAAGGCTGCCGACAACATTCCAAGGCCCAACATCCTGTCAGTTCATACTCACAGCCTCACACACCTGCTGCCGACCTGTCAATGATCCCCGGTGCAACCTGGAATGGCTTTGAGGATCTATCCCGAGACTCTCCTTTTGCTGAAGACAATAGGCCTTGGGACATTACCAGGCGGCCGATCAGCCGACGATCCGACTCCGTCTATTCGCCATTCCTGGATGAGATCGAGGCGGGGTTTGAGAATACGGACCTTGAAACGGAGTGGTGTTCAGATGAATCATGCTTCCAACTTCCCCAGTCGGCTCTGCCCGGGCTCAACATCATGCTGAATCTTGCGACGACCACGTCGGAGGAGTGGAACTTTTTCATGACACTCGCACCGCCGGGTCTCCAAGATCCATTAAAACTCATGGATGCCGTTTTGGGAAAGCGGCATCAAAACATGGATACGTCACAAGTAGATCTGCAAGACCCCGAGAGCAACAATCCTTCGAGAGATCGATTATCTGGACACGCCCTCACGCCCTACGGTACGGAGTTTTCTTGGCATACGGGCAATATGGTTGCTGATCCTGGTCGGTGTCCTCCCATCACCAGAATTTGTCGGGATTGTGAGATCTTCCCCCAAGGGAAATTTGTTGGAGCTTAGACCTTGGTGCTGTGTGCCGTCGAAAAAAGTGCTGCAATACGAGGTATATGTCCCCACCAAGAATCGACAAGATATAGAGAGCAAAGCATTCGCTTCGGTCACTCAGAAAAATCATTTCGACTGTCACGTTGGAGGCCCATTGAAGCGTTGGTTGGAATTCATGCACTCACCAGTCAGCGGTGCGTACCTAAATAAGCCCAAAAAGATCCTAGAGACGATGAAGATACTTGATCCCCTTTCATCATAGGGGAGGATCACGTGTTTGCCAACAACGTGGGCACCGTGGGCCGGGACAATCATGCCGGCCTTGCCAAAGCGAGTGGCAATTGACGTCCAGATGAGGCGACCAAACACGAAATCCGCAATGGCAACCAAGATCTGATCTCACATCAGAGAAGTTCGATGGTACTCTGGTGGCTGGTTATTTACATAGTATGATATTGTAACAGGCGACTTGCGGTACGTGATGGCCAGTAGAAAGAAGCTGGAGGCGTTGGCGAGAGTCGTCCGAGGCTGCGGAACGCGAGAGAATTCCCTTCGCATCGGGTGTCGGAGGGTCGGTCGGTCGACCTTTGGCGTTCTTGGAGAGGTACCAGGTGCTCATCCAACGTGTTTACATGCTCTTTCTCGTTGGCCTGCTTCTCAGACCTTTCGACCCTGCTTTAGGGCTGGGCTCCCTATCTAGGGAGATCGGATCAGTCTGTGTTCAATAAAATTCGACTGAATACACCGCACTTACAGCGAAAAGATAATGTTCACCTAACATAGAAGACGCCCATTTAGCCTATGTATTCCGGGGTTTGGGCCCCAAGGTCTGGGTTCAACATCTGTGGTCTGGAGAGAGATTCGAGGTGCAGATGGCCCTCAACACTTGGCAGAACAGGCTCATGGACCACCGAGTTCTCCTGGTCCAGCTGCTCGGCTTCCGGATTTCTGAAGCGGTCTTGCATGCAGTTTGTGAGAGTGAGTCTACGGAGCCCGACTCGTGCAAAAGAATCTAGATACCCTAGACTCTTGAAATTGATGGCGACCGAGGCAAGTTAGTTTGATTCGCACAGACGTGGGTGTGGAAAACATCTAAAGGACATACCCTGACTAAGCTAGCCTGTAACTATTTTACTGTATCAACAATGAAGATTCTCGATCGCGCCGAGGTCCAATACCTTAACCTAGGCGCACATTTCGAGGGTCCCGCTTAATCAACTGGAGAATGGATGCTCTGAAATTGCACAACTGTGTCTGTCCTGGCAATGAAGTGTGTCTCGTGCTCGTGCGTTTGGTCTGTAGGAAATGCTCTGAAGCCCTCCTCCGCTAGCGCCGTGCCGGAACCCGACACACTATTCCGCCTGGACAGCCTGGAACACGCCACCTAGTTGGAACACGCCACAGACGGGGCTTGTGAAGGCCTGCGAAGGCCTGTAGCCAGGAGATGTCTTGTGGGGGAGGCCAGCCGCCCATCCCCCACAGCTCCGGGGCTCTCTTGCAAGAGGAGTCTAAACACCAACATGTCCGCGCTCGGTCGATCCGAGCCATGAATATGCTCTAAATAATACAAAAACAGACCCTCAGGTCCTGTTTTTACGGATATAGACGCAACGATGGCTTCATCGCCTTTGGAATATCTGCCTTGTGCTCTGCCCTCTCGACCTCTACCGGCAGATTTGGACTCAGAGGCTGTCTGCAACAGTTTTCAAGATGTTCTATACCATCCGGATGCATCTATCTTAACAACCGATTCTTTGTGGCGGGACCTGTTTGCTTTGACGGGCAGCATTCGCACCTTCTATGGAGCGGACAAAATCGTCAAAATCTGGAAGACGCTTACCGCCAACGCGCGCCCGAAGCGCTTCAAATACGTTCAAAAGAGCTCGCGCACAGTTCGGTTTGGAGAGTCACAGTGGATTGAAGGCACGTTTAGCTTCGCGATCGACGACGCTCCGGCCAGAGATTGCACGGCCATCATCTCTTTGGTTCCAACCGCAGACGGGAAATGGCAGATCTGGATCTTTCGCACGTTGATTGACAAACTGCAGAACCATCCGAGCGTCGACAAACTTGCCCCGGTCAGCGCCCGCACTACCGATGCCAAGTCAATCCTATCGATGCGAACAGCACAGGATGAATTCGATTGTGCAATTGTTGGTGCGGGCCAGGCTGGGTTGAGCGTTGCCGGCAGACTTCAGTCGCAAGGGGTCAAGTACGTGCTCCTGGAGAGAAATGCTGAGGTTGGTGACAGTTGGAAAACCCGTTATAAATCCACCAAACGTAAGTGCTGACTTCGGATGGGCGAGCTTTGGTCACTGACCTGGGTGGACCACAAAAGTACACACTACTCGAGAGTCCTGTATGTGACACGGTGAGCCTGTATGCTCGACGTCCCAGACTGATCGCACCCCGCAGCGCATCTACCTTTCGACAGAACTTTCCCACCGCATTATCCGCAATACCTTACCAAGGACGACTTGGCTCAAGGCTACTTGGACTGGGCCAAGAAATATGGCATCGTAAGTGCTCGCACTTGGGCAGACGTAATCTGTCGTTGTTGAACCGAGAATAGAATGTCTGGCTTTCAACTACGGTTGTATCTGGGCGATGGCACGAAGACGAGAAACGGTGGACACTGAATCTTGTCCGAAATGAGGAAAGGAAGAGTATCACAGTTACACATCTCGTGATGGCTCTGGGTGCTGGCTGTCAAATTCCCACGATGCCCACGTACCCGGGTATTGTAAGATTTTGACCATCACGAAAGCTTTAGAGAAGCTGACGACGTTCCAGGAGCGCTTCCGGGGCACTGTTGTCCACTCTGCCAACTACACATCCGCCGAAGGATGGGAAGGAAAGCATGGCATCGTGGTTGGCACTGCGAACACAGGTGGGCATCCAACGCTCAGGAGCCTCAAGTGGTACCATTACTAACTCGAGCAACACAGCTCATGATGTGGCCGAGGATATGGTTGCCGCGAATATGGCCTCTGTGACCATGGTCCAACGGTCGCCCACCTGTGAGTTCAACAAGTTCCACAGGTTCTGGGAGCAAGTACTGACAAAGTAACCTCAGACGTACTACCGGCGGAATATTATACCAAAGTGCAAAACCGTAAGTCAGAAGCCATGGTCCTCCCTTCCGCATAGCACAAAAGTCCCAACTCTACAGAAATAGAATTTTTGACAATGTACAGTATCATACAACCCCGAGATCCCAACTGAGGTCGCCGATCAGATGAATATGACGAATCCGCTGGCATTGAGCCGACATCTCAGCATGCTCATGCTCAACGAAATGGCGAAAGCTGAGCCTGATAGATTTGATGCACTGGAGGCGGCCGGTTTCAAGGTTATTAGATACGGGGACCTCATCTACCAGGTTTTTGATCGGTTTGGCGGCCACTATATGGATGTTGGAGCATCCGCGAAGATTGCCAAAGGCTTGGTACGTCTCCCGCATATGAGCAGGGCTCCTAATGAGCTTTGGACAATCTAGCGGGTTTTGGAAAGTTGAACGAACTCATCACGTCGTCCTGCATGCTGACCCTTCTTTTGGCCTCGCAGATTAAGATCAAATCAGACGCGCTGCCCCTCCAATATACCGAGGACGGACTCAAGTTCACCGATGGGGCCGACATCAGAGCAGATTTCATCGTGTTTGCCACCGGCTTCGTGGGAAGCATGAAAGTCGCCATCCACGATATTCTGGGCTCGGACGTTGCCGAACGCATAGAAGATTTCTGGGGGATCAACGAGGAAGGAGAAATCAAAGGCGCGTTCAAACCCTCGGGCTGTAAGTACCATGCTACCACGTCGTCTACAGCGAGCAGACTAACCCTCACGCCGGAACAGACCCGAATCTGTGGATGCACGGAGGAACTTGCGTACATGCCCGGTACATGTCAAAATTTATTGCCTTGCAGATTCGCGCGGCGCTGGATGGGACGCCGCTACCTGTTGCTACAGAATAAAGAGACCGGATCATGGAAGGTGGACAAAACTACTTTGGAAGTAGCTGAGCTGCGCCCAGGGCCTCACATTTAGTAGTAGAGAGGGACCAGTCACAGATACCTGGTGCAATGTTAACAAACCTGTGTTTCAACGCTTGAAGAAACGATGGTTTGTAGATCCAAGCCTCTTTGAAGTCTGCAATCAATTCACCTATACGCAGCTCCTGAGAAGACTCACCGCCCGGGTCGCCAAGTTTATTGTGACATAGCTATACTAATCCCGAGAGGTCGTCAGTCTCTAGAATCTATGCTCTATTCTGGTCCTAGGCCCTCGAACCAGTGGGGTCCCCTACTCGGCCGAGGATAAAGACGCCTGCCATCAATACACACGAGGGCTCGTATATGATGAGTATTTGAGGTCCCCATTTCCCCCACATGGTTTGCATTCTCGGTCTGCTCATTCCCCAGCGTCGTGCCGGGTTCCCGGCCAGGCCAGACTCATCCGAGGACCGAGATGCGCATGAAATTTCCCACTGAGTCGGGAATAAGTTGACCGTGTGCTGGCCGCTCTAGGAGAATTCAGAGACTACTCAAGTCGGAGATTAGATTCCATTCCCAGCTTCACACTCGACGAGCCCTGCCGTAAGACCTTAAAATTTCAACATATCATTTCCTCAGTGCGAGGTCTCTTGAACTCGACCTTCGCTGCCCAAGTTTACTGGCAGAGACGGTAGCAAAACTCAATCTTGTGCGCAAGAGACCATGGCTACCTTTTCGCGTCTCGTCCGATTCAGAAATCCGGCGGGACAGATCTTTTACGGCGAAGTGCCGGGAGTCGACTTCGTCACCCAAGAGTCGCTGCAAGGCAGCAAGGTAGCCGTGTACAAGGGAGAGACGCCGTTCGAAGACGACTTTGGCCTGACGGGTCATCAGGAGGAAATCGCAGAGGTACACACGAACAAATTCTTTCTCGTTGCACAAGGACAAGATTCATGTTACCACGGCCTGGCTTACAAGAAACACGTCAAAGGTTCTCGCTCCGTTGCCGTATGTGCCAATCTTCGAGTGCGTGGGAGTCAATTATCTCAAGCACGTCCAAGAAACCGGGGTACGTACGGGCCTTTCTCTCTGCTCACGAAACCCGGTGTATACTCATTCCGATCTTCGTGCAGGGTGAACCACCTAAATATCCCGTCATCTTTAAGAAACCGGCAGGTCAGTCAACATTCTAAATTCCTTGGCTAGTCTAAGAAATGGCGACCCATGATAAGGTTGTCACATAAACCCAATCACGCTGACACAATGTGTACGGCTGCAGACGCCCTCGCCGGTCCTTTTGAAGACATACCGATCCATCCCGAATGCCAGTCTCAGATGGACTATGAAGTAAGCGATATCCGTTGTCCATAAACTCGCCTTGATCCACGGGCGGAGCGGCTCCTCGATTAATTGCTGGCAACGTACATAAACTGATTTTCCGGTGCCAGGCTGAACTATGTGTCGTGATTGGCAAGGACTGCAAGAACGTGACTACCGAGGAGGCCTTGAACTACGTGCTGGGATACACGGCTGGCAACGATGTCTCTGCACGCTATTGGCAATGGCGCGAGCGATCCGGCGGTCAACACGGCTCCGCCAAGGGATTTGACAAGTTTGCTCCCATCGGGCCCGTCATCGTATCGCCCAGCGCCATAGGAGACCCGCACAACTTGTGGCTCAAAACCATCGTCAACGGGACCGACGTTAGGCAACAATCGCGGACCGATGATCTGATCTTCAAGCTGCCCGAGATCATAAAGCACCTCAGCCGAGGCACGACCCTCCGAAAAGGCACCGTCATCATGTCCGGAACCCCTAGCGGAGTAGCCGCTTTTATGAAACCACCGGGATTTTTGCAAGATGGAGACGTGGTGACCGTCGAGATTGAGAAGATTGGAAGGCTGGAGAATAAATATGTCTTTGAAAGGGAGAATCTATGACGAGAAGAGATTTTGTGCGAGAGGAATCGAATGAAATTTTCACCGTCTATGGTACAGTTCACATAGCCAAAGGAAATGGCGCTGCACAAAAGATTTCTTAACTAGTTAGATAGTTCGGTACAAGGGTAGTTACTTGTTAGCATCTTCTGACCGGTCCACCATCTTTCCCAAGTTTTCAAAACGTGCGCAGCCGTAGTAGGACCCGCGGATCTGGTCTCTGAAACATGCCCTCACACTTCCAGGAAACCCTTGAAGCCATTGTGAATGGCCGGTTCCTGTTCCATCGAGCAAGCGTGGTGTCATCTTACTTGTGAAGCGACGGATATGGAGGATTGGGACGGGGACCAGAGCCGATCCGCCGCTTAATAGATTTATGGTCCTCGCCTCCGTGCACACGAGCTGCCAGCGCTTCAGGATCGAAGTCGAATCCGATGGCGTTCTCGGCGAACTCTGGTGACTTCATGTACTCAGTGGCCTCGTCGGCGGTGTCGAAGTTGTCGACCTGGGTCTCGAGATGGTTGCCGTCGGGATCCTGGTAGTAGATGGACGTGGTCGGGCCGTGGTTCACACACCAGATGGGGTGCATGCCCAACTTCTTCCGTTGTTCGTACGCCAGCACCAGGTCGTCGAGGTTGTTGTAGGTGAAGGCAATGTGCTCTAGGCCGCTGCTGAGGTGGTCCTTGGGTGTGGTGTTGGGCATTGCCCCGAGGGCAATGCGGTGGTGTTCGTCGTCGTACGCAACAAAGGCCATCGATTTCCCGCGGAAGGGCACCCAGCCGCCCAAGAACTGCACATAGAAGTCGATCATCTTGTCCAATTTGGTCGTCCGCAGCAGCACATGGGCGAGGTGTGCCGGGCTCTTCACCCTTGGAAGATTCTCGTCAGTGGTGTCGGTCATGGCGATGGTAGAGACAAGAGATATTTCGGTGGGATTCGTTCAGACTGGCTTCGATCAAGGACAATGCGGTCAAGAGTCAGTCAGATATTTGAAGAGTCTTCCGCATTGACTCTTTTGTCAGCATGGAATGTCTGCGCACAGAAAGTGCGGGGGACCGCGGAATCCAAGCAACATGTGGACACGGATCATAAGTGTGTTCCGAGTTACTACTGGCAGGGGTCTTTGGCTTCCCACACGCACGTCATCTGATGTCGTAGCGGCCAAGGGCTAGACCTACGTGATTGCGTCCTCCCTCAGATATTCAAGAGCGCGGACAGGAAACCACGTCCCAGGTAAAGCATACACTCGATCCAGCTCAAAAGACGAGGTTACAGAGGCGCGAGTGAACTCATCTCTAATTCTCCCCTGGAGAGGCCAACTACAAGGTACAATCAAAAAGGAGTCCCCCCCCCTGTTTAGACCACTCTTGCTCAATCGAGAAGGCTGACTCGGAACTCAACGCCAGCTTGTTTCATCCGATCGACCAGCTCCATTCCCCATGTTGCCGGCGTAACCATACCTTTCAGTTTCCTTCCCAGGGTATCGCCGCCTTCTAGCAGCGTCAGTGCTGCTTGGACTACCAGCACGCCCGTCAGATAGTACGGCGACCCCTTGTAATTCAATGAAGCCATGACTCGCCGCGTAGGCTCGCAGTCGGCAGTGGCGACGGTGGCGAAGAAAACTCGGTAATTCGCAAATTCGGACTTTGGTGGGCCGCTGCCGGAGGGCGGGAGGAGCCTCTTCACCAGCCATCGAAATGGTGGGAGGAGCCTCAGCGCCGTCCGGACCAAGGACACGGTGTAATGCGTCAAAAAGGCCTTCAACCGCCTCCCAATGATCTGGTACTCATAGAACCGGAACTTGTCGCCATAGTATTTTCCTTGCTCATATAGTCCCCAGGACCGGTGGACAATTCCGATATCACACTCGGCTTGCGGAAAGTGGGTCACGACTCCAAACGGCGGGATATAGCGCGATGCAAGGAGTCTGTCGAGCAATGACACGGTGCCCGCAGCCTTGGGCGGCGGGATTGGACTGAGCGCGTACGGCCTCAGGGCGCAGTGTGTAAATTGAAACGAATACGTTTCAATGAGGGACACCATGGTAGCCAGGCTGCCGGCACTGGGCCCGCCCCTAGAGAGAGGTTACCGAATGGCCGAGCTGCGTTTGAGAGTTGATCTTACCCCAACTCGTGGAGAACGTTGATGCTCTCCCTAACACCCACGCCGTAGGTTTGCCGGATTTTTTGAACGCATAGGTAGGTCAAAATGTCGGCCGGAACGGAGTCCACACCAGAATGAGGGGCAAGCTACAGCGATATCAGCCCACCAGTCCTTCTAGGATTGAAACATGTTGAAGAAGGGTCACTGTGCCCTCGACTTGCCAGGACTGACACCTGGAAGCAAATCGATTTGTCTTATGGCGAAATGGAAAGGACCTCCAGGAACAAGACCCCATCCAAGAGCCCGGCAGTGAAGCAGGCTTACCACCACGCCGTTCTTCTTCGCCAAATCATGATACTTCTGTAACATATCGAGCGTGAAAGGCGTCTCGCCGGTTCTAGGCAAGTCAGAGGATTCAAGCCACGCTTGGTGGTGACGAGAGTTTTACATGTCAAAGTAATGCGTCTTAGACTTTACGCACGCCTCGACGACAGGCTCGCCAAACTTGGCGAAAGGCCCGACCGTAGAAATAAGCACCTGAGTCTTCTGCGCGAGCTGTTGCAAGTCGTCGCGGTTGAGTTCGACGACCTCAAGGCCTTCAGATGGTCCTAATTAGAAGTTGTTCCACCATCAGGCGTTCTGATCTCATACCGGGCTGAACTCGGTCCGCATTGATGCCTTTGAGGTCGTCGGCGAGTCGAGAGAGTTTCGAACCATTGCGTCCCGCAATCGCCCATTTCAAATCTGTCGTGATATGCTCTTGGATGTACTCAGCCGTGAGCCGACCAGTGTACCCGGTAGCTCCGAGCACTATCAGGTCGTATTTTCGAGATACTGAAGTCATGACGGGGGTCATACGAAGTTGGTCCTCAGTATAGACCCCACGTCGGCGCTCTGAGTAGGAGGAGTTCATATATCCCGGTCGCTGGTGTCACTGGAACGATGGTATCGACGGGATGCATGCGGTGAACCAAGTTGGTAAAAGCGACAGACACATAAAAAGGAATATCGAGGCTCTTGTAGCTCTCCTTCTCGGAGCTAGGCCAAGAAACACCATCATCCAGACCCTGGGGCTGTTGACACTGGCATTTTGCCGATAAGGGGGTTGACTAATCCGAGGCATGGCATGGAGGGTCGGAAGAGCGTAAGTACCACGTAGTGAGCCTGTGGGTGGTGATCACGACAGAAAAGAGCTTAGACTCTGGGCCAATCTGGGCATAGTATCGAATTCTGTTCGACCAAGTTGGCAAAGTCAATGGCATGTGAGTAAATGCTACAGCATTCTATGAGCACGAGAGCCATGTGGGGGAAGTGATGTGGGGGTGATGCGGGGTAAAGGGGTCTGTCAGCCTTGCCCCTTGTTCCCGCTTTCAACTGGCGACCAATTCCGTGACGCCTTGAATTTACCATTAAGCAAGATCACGACAACGTACACCTTCAAATCAGCCGGGGTACCTACGGCTGACACGCGATATCCTCCCTATCAGAGTTCTTGCCAAAGGATCCTGAAGACTGTGCCCAACATGGCAACCTCGACGGCGACGATGGCCATCAAACTCTCCAATACGGCGCCTGAAAACCAAGATGCCGACTCCCTGCAAGGGTACCCTAATCCTTCCCTCCAAGACGACCCAGTGGCCAAGTTCAATGTTCCCAAGGACGACGAGCCTCTTCTCACCACGCGCTTCCCGCGCATCCCACGCTTCAGTGACAAGTACGAAGAGAGAGAGTACTTAAAAGGCCGCCTCGCCCTTGCCTTTCGTATTTTTGGCAAACGAGGGTTTGACGAAGGAGTGGCGGGTCACATCACCCTTCGGGATCCCGTCAACCCCAACACCTTCTGGGTCAATCCATTTGGCGTGTCGTTTAATAAGATTAAGAAATCGGATCTTATCCTGGTAGACGAAGAAGGCAACATGATCGGGGGCGGCCCTTGCAGGCTCCTCAACACCGCCGCGTACATGATCCATTCGGCGATCCACAAAGCTCGCCCGGATGTAATGTGCGCCGCTCACTCACACAGCCTGTACGGTCGTGCCTTTTGCGCCCTGGGACGGCCCATCGACTTCATCACCCAGGACTCGTGCGCGTTTTACAATGACCTCAGCGTCTATCGCCAGTTCGGAGGGATTGTCTTTGCCAAGGACGAGGGCGAGAAAATCGCTAAGGCTTTGGGCAACAAGAAGGCGTGCCTCCTGCAGAATCATGGTCTTCTGACCGTCGGCCAAACCGTCGAAGCTACCGTTTTCTGGTTCTGTTCTCTGGAGAAGTGCTGCCACGCTCAACTCCTGGCGGACGCGGCTGCTGCCGGTCGTGGAGGCTCAACGATTAAAATAAACGACGAGGATGCAGCTTATACTGCCCATTCTATCGGAAGACCCTGGCCTGGTTGGTTCAGCGCGAAACCTTTGTTTGAGGACATGGAAGCGGAGGTCGGCGACCAAGTTTATCAATAGGCGAATATTGCACCGCTTTCTGCAATAGGGATAGCAATGATCATTCCAACCCTTTACCATGTTACAGGCCACCCATGACTTGAGTTTTAAGTTTGTGTGTTGTTGATATCGCTGGTCAGCCCACCACACGGCATTCGAGATCTAGAGCATGCTAAATGTTGCTCAAAGCGCTAATCCCTAGAATTTACTTGTGTTGGGCATTAAGCTGTGTGATCCCTTCCAAGTACACACTGATCTAGTAGAGAATTGGCGTACCCGGTAATGGCAGGACCGTTGATCAAGGCGACGACGACCGCCAGCAATGCTCGCCCAGTCAACAACGGTCAGCGAAAGTCAGGGTGTCCGCCCTTGAAAAATGATTTATCTTCTGTTTCTTCTTTCACAGTTGACCAAGAAGAGGTCGGTTCGTTGCCCGCAGCACTTCTGCGAAACCTAACCTTTTCACCCGTCTTGACGAACAGACTCTTGGGCATTTCAACAAATATTTGGTTTATTGGCCCGTTTATCTTTGAGATAGCCTAGTACAATATACCAGGAGGTTTAACTAGAAGTCCCCGGGCGTATTAAATACCGTGATCTTATGTCCCTCCGGCTGACCACCTTAGCCTCGACTGTAGCTAATAGACAGCTAGACGAACCGAGTTAAATATCTACAGGCCTATGGCTGGTGAGTGCCTACGCGGATTCGGTCAGGCCAAAGCCTTGTCGTACCATCCAGCAGCCGTGCTGCGCAGCTAGCTTACAGCAGTCTCATTTCCGAGTGGAGCTGCCCAGTTATGATCTGCTTGACGGTACTGAGGTCGAATCAGTCGCACATAGCCTTGTTCTTGGTCATATTTATGATGATCGAGGCACACGCCACAGTGTATTAATTTTGAATCTCATAATCGAAGCGAGAAACATCTTAAATTCGAACATAGGAAGGACTATTACGCTGTCGCCTTGTCAAATCGAGATGTGGCACACGGCAACGAGACGGCAGATGTGAGGGGGAAAGAAGGGCATTAAGCACAGGGCGTTATCGCGATAATGAGGCGCGAAGGCGTCCTTCATAAGTCTGTCGAATAGGTGGAGCTGCCGAAGGTTTACAATCTCGTTGTAATGTGAGATCATGATTGCCTGAGGAGCACCTAAGCTGCCGCCGTAATAGCAAAGGAAGGCAATCTGACGAGTGTCTTGTTTCTTCGTGAATTGGAGCTCATCTAGCTCTGATAAAGTGCAGCCTCCTCCTATCATCTGCGACACAGTTTGCAAGCTCTCCAGGAGCGATTCATCGCTCGGCGGCTGGCAGAGAATCCTCCGATCTTCCGCAAGTCTATCCTTCGATGCTGCTTCCCTTGCCGTAGGCAGATCCGAGGAAACAGTAAAGAGAATTTGCGCTTTCGAAGATCTGAGCTGGTGATCCAGTTCCTCCTCTTTATTTGAGTTGGCGGGTGATGATAGACCGATCACGCGATGCAATGCCCATGAGATTGTCAGGGTATCAATCTGATTGTGGTCACTATTTCCGCGCAATAAATCGGAAATCGGAATGATGTCCGGGATTTCAGGCATACTATTGTACACAGAACGGGAGTGGATCTATCTACTTGATTGTGTTCTGTCTCCCTGGCTATTCAGAGAGACTCTGCCTGTTTATATACACTTTAGCTTGTCATCTGAAGGCCATTCCTGAAACCTCCTATTCTGTTGCCATGCTGTCGCAGGTCGGTGAGAATGACGTTGTTGAGGTAAGGACCGCAGTTGGTGTAACAGCTAGCGTCTCGGGTGGTTTGACACAGTGGCTATCTTGCAACCCTGTCAACACGTACGCCCTGCCAATTCGCCCGGACGAAACCCCATATTGTGCAGTTCCGGACGTCGCTGGAACCTGATCTCGGGACTGCGCCTTCCGTATGCTCGGTTTTTTATACTTCCCTACAATCTGACGTGTAGCGAAGGATTAGGAAGTCCGAATTCGAGTCCCGAGGACCGGTTTCTCTGAAGCTGTCTAGCAGTTGAGGGGCCGACCTTCTCTTGGGGGAAAAAATTGTGGTAGATGATTGTAAGTTGGATCGCGTATGGAAGTGCGTGACAAGATCTAAAGGACGGGGTTTTAGATTCATGCCAGTCCATATTGCAAAGCTCTGGGAGATTTCCCCGCCGGGCGTGCCAGTGCGTGTTTCATTGTAGTTAGTGGCGTACCGTGCCCAAATGCCGGTCGCGGGGGATGCCTCCTGACGCCAGCAGTGGCAAGGGCAGGCGAATTCGAAGATTCACCTCGCTGGAAATTACGCCTCTCTAGGGCTTTGGGTAAGTTTGAAGCCTCGACTTTGTGCAATTAATACCGCGTTCGCCGCAACACAACTGTGAGAAACCGTTGGTGCAGCCGCCTGTCCCAAGTGAATGTCTGGACCTTGTTGGTCTGATCGAGGTCCCTCTGTGGGCGGATCCCCTCAGACGACGTAGAGTGATGAAGAGAGTGGGCAACTGCTGCATGATGTGGGAGAGAGGACTGTCTCCGCTCTCTAGGCTGGCAGCTATCCTCGCTGATTGACCAAGAAGCTGTGCCTGTTTATCAAGGGAACAAGGTCTAACCTCTCGATCCGACGGAAGTCGACTTCTATGTGCGTCAGGAAAAAGGCCTATACCAGGGAGGCTGTCTCAGCAGCTTCTCCCCCACTTTAATTTGAGTTGTCCGCTGGGTTCTATATAAAATGTCCGTCGTACGGTACTAGTAATGTTCCAGCACGATATAGCTCGACCTCGCAATGTCGCTTTGTAGACAAACAGTAGCTTGAAATTGTAGTCCACTGAGATTCATGAAGAGTTTCATGCGACCGTAATTCACCGTGGGAGCATGGGCCATCGGCCAACTTCGAGAAACGGCAGTTTGTGTATTAGTACTGTACCACCATGACGTCCTCCATCTTAGCAGCAGGAGATCTTATACTCAAGGCTATGGCAGACACCCTTTCGCACCGGGGGCTGGTGGTCTTCCTTGACCGGAGGTATGCTTTAACCTCGCCTGGGACGAGTCGTGGGGTTGGCAGGGCGAGATCGTGCTCGGTACAAGCGGTCGATGGGCGTTGTTCCGGGACTGCGCAGAGGCTATGGACGCGGAAGTTCTGAGTAGTCGTGGTGTTCATGGAGGTCATGATGGTCGTTGTCAATCGCCCCCAGCCCAAGTCTGCGCTCTCTGTGCCAGCGTCCTTTTGAAGTTGACATCACGGCGTCTGAAGCCGCTCCATGAAGCGGCTGAGAAGGGTCGACGGCGCCGTCTTGATCTACAATGCAGGTGTCGAATGGAAGATATCCTCCAACAGATTGGGCAAGCAAATCCAGATGGCCATCTAGCGTCGATGTCGCCGCCCACTTCTTCATGGCTGGATGACAAGGCAAATTGCAGTGGTACGGTGCATCCGCTATGACTCCAAAGGCCGGGTCGCCCGTGACGCAATTGCCATCATCCAGGAGGCGGCAATGTGCTACAGCAATGCCTCGACCCTCACGACCCTCGCGGGGACCTCGCCCTGCCAAAAGCTCGAGGACATCTCAAACAGCCTCAGCTTCATTCTTCCTCTATAAAAAATGGATGCATCAGATGCTAACACCACGTGCGTGTGCCGCAAGGCAGCAGGTCGCTAACGCATAAGCGGGATGCATGTACCTCCAATAACGCTATTTGGGAACGCAATTTTCTCCTGCTGCCAAAGGTGCAGCCCTGGTGGCTGACAATTCGCAGGAGAAACAGTGATCTACTTGGCAGCCCAGACAGCATCAGGCCGAGGCACGCAGCATTGCCAAAAGCGCAAAGCAAAAGCCCTTAGCAGCCCTTGCGGATCCATATGAAGATTCAATCCGTCTTCAGCGGGCAAATGTTTTCCCGCGCATGTGTGACTGGAAGGAATCAAGCGCGTGCCGCAGAGTTCGGGTGTCTGCCCTTAGTCAAAGCTCAACCAGGAGATGTGAGGAGAGACTTACAGGTGAAGACGGATCTATCCATCGACCGGCGGCAAAAAATTAGGGGTGCAAGTGCGCGAGCGGTCTCGTCATTGCAATAGATATCTTGATCCTCAACTTCGGCAATGACCTCCGTCAACAGCGCCTTTAACGCCCTGACTGACGCATTGTCTTCAATGGTCAATCCGTCTGGAGTCTGTGCTGGTTGGCCGACGGAGAGCCACCACGACAGAAGGAGTGCTGCGCCATTGGGTCTGAGTTAGTATTGAAGCATGATAGGAGCAGCCATACTCCACGGAAGAAGGTGCGCCAAGTGCCACGAGCTCGAGATGCTAGAAGAAGACTTACCAGATTCGTATGCCCCCATGGCTCCGTGAGGACCATACGCATCAGGAGATTGCTGGAAGTGGCTGATACCGAGTTTAGCACGGACAAGCCACGAATTTGCAGCATATCGCACTGCTTTGTACGCTTCAGGGCGCGGATTGAATTCGGGAAGTGTCTGTGATGTCGGCATTCCACCCGCCGGTGCTTGCTTGCTAGCTATCTCTTTTAGAGTGCGCAATTCATCACCCACATAGAGGTGGTAATAAGCGGATCCGAGGAGGGGGAAGCTGTCTGAGATCAGGGGATTCAACTGTCTGAACATGACGTGGCCTGTCCGTAGATGTCGGCGGGTCAGGGTTTCCCAGGCCCCAAGCCCTACATCTATTTTGCTGGTGAACTCGGTCTCGAATATGTCGAGCGATCCGACCAATAGTTTCATCCGTTCGTGGTTGCAGATGTAGAGGAGAAACCATCCGATGATTGAGAACAAGCCGAAACAGCTTAATTGCTCGAGAACGGGCTTTCCTTGGAGCAGAGACTCGGCTAACGTCAAGAAATTGAGAGCGCCATGTGAGCGTGAAAGGCCTCCGAGGGATGACCATTCTTGTGCTGAGCGAGCCCTCCAAAGGTCCTCGTCAAGGGGGAGCGGCACATGTCGCAAGAAATGTTGAGTATTTGTTTGAAAAGAATCGTCGTACGCAAAAAGGACAGCGTTCAGTGAACAGCTCCACGACGCTAACCGGCTGAAAGTTTCGATGAAGGACCAGGTTATCCAGTCCTGTTCAGACTCGGCTCGTTTGTCACTTAAATCGTCTAAACCATGCCTCAGCATCTTGGAGACAAGGTTGAGTTGCGCTTGAGAGCGCTGGACAAAAGTCTGGTCATCGCTGAACGCCCCAAAGTGGACACAGAGTAGCAGAGCTTGAATTGGCCCAAATTCAAATTGCGACGATGCGTAGACCTCATCTTTGGTCTCGTGGTCCAGTAAGGTACAGGCTGCCTCATACGCCGATACAGCAAATTGAGTTTCAGATGTAATGAGAGCTCCCATCCCGAGCATCGCGAGCACCAATGCCGGGGCCGTACCACACAAGCTGAAGGTAGCTTGTTGGACAATTGGTACATGCGGGTCGACACTGTCGAAATAGGCAGACAGGCACCGCAATATGCGGGAACGCCGCGGAAAGGAGAAGTTGCTCAAGAGACGCGTGCTCAAGATATCTTTCTGAAACCGATCTACATCTTGGGGACTAATATCGAAAAGGTGAGGGGCTCGAGCTTCGTCTGTTGGTCTTGGTAGGAACAGACGAGCCTCGGAAATATCGGGTTCATTCCTGGCAGCAAGACACTGTAAGGCGGCTGGGTCGAAGTCCGCGGGAATCGGCGTGGTACATCCAGTAGCATTGGCCACGAACTCGGGCAGTAGAAAATCTTCCAGAAACATGAGATCATCGTTAAACATTGCCTGAGAGAGTTCTGGCATGGCCATCGACTGGGCAGCTGTATCCAGGAAGGCAGAGCCTGCTGAGAAAGAATGTGTGGAGCCTGACAGCGGAGCGGCCGGCGGCTGGGTGTCGAGAACGCCATTCAATGTAGAATTGTTCGCGTTTGCGTCCGCCCCTTGATTCACATCCGTAGACGAACGTGCTGGCCCCCATAGGTCGAGATTGTTCGTGTCGGGTAATACAAGCGCGGTCGAATTTCTCGAGGCGTCAAGACGCATCATACTTGGATCCGACATAGATACGTTGAATTGGGAAGGGTCGAAATCGTTCATCCTAGTGTACATGTCATTCGAAGGCCTCGTCATCTTCTTCTGGTCAGCACCCGCGTTACACAACTGAGAGCTTCACATACTCCCGAGAGAAATTGCATGTGATCCATCCGGCTGGAAGCGTCGTTGGTGTGAGTGCTGGCGGTGTTTCTCAGATTGCCGGTGTCTCCGTGCTGCTGCTGAGGCTTCGCGATGCCCGTCTGCTCGTGTTGCAGGTGATCGTGATCCGTATCGGGAGGACTGTTCCATGAAAGATTAGTCTGGCCGTGGTCTCGACGAAGGGTATCGCGCTGCTAGCCGTACCGGAAACGCGGTGGATCAGAATTTTGGGCGCATCCGGCTTGTTGAAGTCTGGCCACCGTCCCTGCGTCATTGTTTGTATCGCCATTCTCCCCGTCTGCGGCTTCAATCATGCGTGAGTACGGTACGCATTTCCTGGTATGGCGCAGCAAGACGTCCGAGCGGGCAAATCGTGCATGGCAAGCCTTGCACTTGTTGGGTTTATGGTTTTCATCTGATCAGGGCGCGGTCAGGCCTGCACAGCCACTCGGGGGCTCAGGGCGACATACGTGAGAGCAAGTGACGCTGGAGATGTTCTGCCCGGACGAAGACCCTCTGACAGACCTTGCAGGCATGGGTGCGACGTCTCTCGACAGACTTAGGGCTTTCTGGACCTGGTGTCAAATGCATCAGCTTCCCTTGCGTTTGTTTCTTGTAGCGCGATCGCAGGATAATCAACGAGGTCGGGCTGGACTTACCAGGAGATGCAGCCATCAGTCGCTGCTGCGGAATATCTGTTCAAGCGGGCCCAATATCGTACTATGATGAGCAGCTCGTACAGCAGCCAGAAACAAGTTCAAGAGTGCCATTGCCAGTCGGCGCGGCCAATAATGCAGATGTTGAAAAAGAGGTTCTTCGGGGGTGCGGCAACCCCAAGCAACAACTAACCCCGAATGGGGAACCTGGAGGGGGGTCCTCGGTTTGCGGGGCTGCGCTATGGAGGGCCTGGGAGGGCCAAGACCCCGGAATCCGGAGAATGTATGTCCCGAAGACAAGTTAGTTGCCGCGGTTGTTCCAGGGCGGTCACCCCCTGTTCCCCAGGGTTAAAAACCAAAGGGAGTCATGAAAAAGGGCGACCAGACCAGTAGCGAGAAAGACCAACGTTGCACACATTCCGTTGTTTTGTCGTGGCCGATTTCTAGGGAGCCTAATTGAAGTAGCTCTGATGATTAGCTATCGTTCTATATTCACCATTACCATTACTATATTAGGACACCGACAACTCACTCGGAGCCCTAGACAATAAACCAACAAGAGGCCAACGTACTAGCGGGGGAGGAGCGTATAAGAACCGCACACTCCTCCTCAGCTCCTTGAAACCCCTTTAAAGGCTCAAGTCTCCTTAGATACGCCTAGTATACGAAGGATATTATCGCTCAATACTTTCATTGATCCATCTACTCGTCAGTAGCCTTCCCTTGCAGGAACTAATGCAAAAATATATCAAAGATGATAGTGCTATCGGTATCGAGAATCTGCATCGATGGCCAAAGAACTCTGAGCCCTTGAAGTTCTTGTCGATGACTACCTCTGCGGAGTCTGTTGAGGAGTTGATTCAGGTAAGCAAGATCCAAACCGAGAGACACAGCCTGACGCGCCAACACACATTTACCAAGCTTCCATGGTGCAAAGAAGATACAGAATTGTTAGAAGAAGTTGCCATTGTTTGTCCCACGGGGGTACAGTCATCAAGAGTAGGATTCTTAGATCTCGCCTGCAAGCAATGCTTCCATTTATCTCTGCCTTTCTCGCTCTTTGCCTTTTTGCTCACTAGAAGATCGTGTCTTGATGCTCAATTGGCCAGTGGACATACCGACGACGACATGCCTGTCGTCGGAGAAAGTACCAGACCCAATGACAGCCAACGAGAGAATGGGAGACAGATATTTCGAGCCTGCGGCCACATTTCAGCCTGTCGTTTCTGATACCTGTATGGGTCCATCGAGGCCGCTACTGAAGACTCTCGTACTATTTAATGCCTAGCAGAAGGACGTGACTATCTTTTGATGGTTCTTGATTATGTGCAGAGGTCTACTGATGACAATGTCTAAGACCGCGATTTGGCCCTCGGCAGAAGCGAGAATTACTGTCCCTGAAAATCTACAAAGACCATCCTCCCGGAAGCAATATGCTTAATATCATGACAGCCCTTGTTGGTATTCGAGGATCACAGAGTCGCAGTCTAATGATAGCTTCCAGAGACGAGCAGGTTGCGCCCCTGCCTAGGGAGGAAAGAGCCGGTCCGAACATAATCCTGGTGTCCGCAAAAGGATTCGACGCTGGATTCACTGGGGAGATCCTAAAACCTGACAGCCTTGTCATCGCCACGGCTCATTAGAGACGTGCTCTCCCTTGGACTCTGTTTCGCAGTGTGAACAGCCTATTGCTGGTCTTTCTATATCTTGAGAATCGCTCTCGAGTTCACATCAAACACTTGAATTGCCCCAGTCTCATCTCCTGCCGCGAGTACGCGTGGTTACAACGAAGTCGGAGGAGGCTTGACCAGCGGAGGCCAGCTGCGGTTGTGAAACATGGGTGATTGCATGCTTGCTAGGCGATGCAATGTACAGTGGTTATTTCACGGTACGCCAGTAAGTCTGTTCCGGTCGAACGTCAGCAGCCACGTTGAAGTAGTGGCTGCAGAACCCAACTGAAATGAGGGTGTTTTCGTAGAAAGATTGGATGGGCAGGGAAATTTTTGTGAAGCATCTTATCTTCTCTGCGATCCCTCCTCGACGCCACCATTCAACAACAGCTCGCACCATTTTCCGAAGCCGACAAATTTCATCCAGTCAACTGGATTGATACTCGGTCAGCAGCCATCAGAGGCAAGCTCCTGGAAACGTTCGCGGATTTCACAGCTGTGCGCCCTGGGTTCCTGCAGAGTCAGGGGGATCTGATGTTTGCTACAATTACTCTCGCTGCAGTGTTGTTCCTGAACATTATCTTCATCTTGGACAACGCTGAGGTGTCCAAGAGTAACCTGAACCCTGAAGGCCGACATGAACAGGTGATGCCCTCAGCTGTATTCGGTCTGGCCCTTGAAAAGTCACGGAGGTATTTCCTCATGTTGTTACAGCACGTCGAGATGGCCTCACCTAAGGTCGACGGCAGCCTTTTGGTCTTGCTGAACTTTACTGGCACTATGGCAAACCAAGTGCGACCGTTGACAAGTGATCTTGCCGATCTGAGTCAAACATTCGGGCGCCGTGCTTCACAATACAGACTTGAATGTACCGCAAAGGCTCGCCGGCCACTGTCGGGTTTCTCTACGACTCGAGGCTCATGGCCGGCTACCTGGCGACGATTTTGGAAGCCGGATGAGTCTGCATGGCTGAAGTGTAAGGTATCCGCTGATGGCACGTTACACAAGTATCCCGCTAGCTCGACTGCTACTTCATCCTCGCGTTTGGTTTCTCGGCTCTGAAAATGGAAACCTCTTAGCAAGTGTGACAGAGCCGGAATTGACATCATGTCCCAACGACAGTGAAGTCAATGCAGGAGGATTTAAGAAGAACTCTCTCTGGTTCAACTTGTCGTTGAGTGCTTGTTATTTGGTATCCTGCAGAGAAACCTTCGTAGTCCCGACCTGAGTTGATCCCATTCCTCCAGAATCTCGTGTGGCGTTGTCACAATGCATCTGAAGTCATTGCTTTCCGGCAAGTCCATTTTTCTTCTTGCCAGCATGTACCTTATTTCTATTTCTCCCTACCTCACCCCAAATCTGCCACAACCTCCTTTCGCCTGACGGCCCTCATTTTATCTTTCTGCAATCCACTCTTGCCGAGCGGCATATCAACATCAAGCCATTACGAACGTTCTCCTCCTGAAGCATTCTTCTGCACCTCCGAGTCCGCGAACCTTTCGCCAGAGCAGTTCCTGGTGTCAACTGGGCGCCCATCCACCGCAATACCAACTACCATGCTGATGGCACCAAGTCGCTGATCTATCTCTATCACAAACACGACATCAATCCGACAACTCCGAGTCCCTACCACCGGAACAATAACAATATTCTCCTCGGACTCCAGGATGATGGGACTCCTACCTCGGTGTATGGCAGTCTCCCTCGCCCTCACGACGCCGCTAATCTACACTGTGCAGAAGTGCCGACGACAAGGAAAATGACCCGTTCTATACTTGTTTAATCCAGCTCGGAACTCTGGAGCAAACTGTGCAGATGGTACTTCAAACAGCTTCAGGGTTCAGTTCCTTTGTTGACATTTCTAGAACTTTGATTCAGCTTCAGCGGACACTTGGGTGCGGTCCACAGCTATACCGGACGCCAATGATGTCCCCAACGAGACGATCTTCGATCCTCTCTAATCACCCACCTTTCAGAACATCTCTGGTAACACCCGGCAGGTCCGGTATGGCGATGTCCCTTCAGCTTCTGCAACAGTTGGGACGGATGTTCTTAAAGTGGGAAATATCATGACTGAGAACCAGGCCGTGCCTGATACTGCCACCTCAATAATGACGGTCTCTCACGGACGAAGTTTACGAAGCATGCTACAGTCAAATTCCTGGTTCCACGTTCGATAGAACCGGAGGAGCGTGCCTTTCCACCAATGACACGCTTGTTGAAGATATGCCAACTTTCTCGGTTGCTGTGGGAAATCTCCGAGTTTGCCACATTTTTGCCAGCAGGCAAGCCTAGATGCTTGATCTTAAGAAGAGCTGTAATTGTTGATCTAAGCTGCTCAGGGCAAGACATATTAGCTGTCCTTAAGGTAGTGAGCTGAGAAAGTTTCCAGCTACGTGAAATTGTTCTATGACTTGCTAAAGGCCTTTCTCAGACTAAGAACTTGAATATGCACTCGGCTGTCGGACTATGGAACAACGCCTGTGATATAACTCCTGGTTGGGAGTCTCGTCCGAGAAGACAGAGGTCTGAGGTTCGTAAAGATTCGCCGGCCTTGGGCCTTTGTTTGGGCGAAGACTTCTTTTGGCCGGAAGCATTTTCCAAGCATGTTGCCCCGTTTCTGACCACAGTTGGGTCAGCCATTCCACTGCTCTCATGATTTGGCTTGGCCCTTTTCGATGGTGGCCCAGCTCTTCGCATCGATCGGTCAGTACGTCTTAGCTTCAGAATCGAGCCAGTACTTCCGTGTACCCTTGTCCGAGGCGGCCGCACTCCAGTCTATGCCCTTAAAACTCTGGTTGGCGTGCTTGAACGTGTCGCCAACCGCCGCAAGCTCATTTGTAACGGCCATAAGCTTGGGCAGGGCATAATCTGGCAGACCCTTTCGCCTCAGAATGCGATATAATCCCTTTATGAATCGGCCCTCGATCTCGCCATCGGGTGAGCCGTCGAGGGCAATGACCACCGCACCGGCCTACCCATCGTAGCCCTTGAGCTACTTACCAACCACCACGGCATCCAATACGTACTGCATTCCCGATATGAAGGCTCGGACTTCATCTGCACTGACGTTTTCCCCTTTCCATTGAAAACTGTCGCCTATTCGATCGAGGAAGGTGACCCAGCCGAGCCCGTCTTCCCGAGAGGAGATCGCCACTACGTCACCAGAGGTCCCTTCTAGCAAAGACGTCGCGCAATATTTTGGTCTCTATAGCTTGCGTATCCGCTAAATACTCCGGATAGAATGCCATGTTCTTGATCCTAGCGATTACCTCTCCCGGTTCGTCGAATGCTGCAGCCACGCAGTACTCTGTCTTCGGATCCCTGTAAGGTCCATCTCTGGAGCATGCGGAGAACAATCCATGACAGGTTAGGCAAGACAAGTCTGCTGAGCCATCTTGTAACCTCTGTCGACTCTTTTTCCCGTTCGCCCCAGCAGACGCCATTATGAAGGTTCTCAGCAGACGTGTTTTGGCCTGCCTGCCAGCTTCCGTTGTTGACGAGCGAGCCAAGTCTGAACGCCAGCCGGTCCGCGGCTTGTCTAGTCGCGAGATGCATATTTGTCTTTCCAAGCTAACGGCAGCGTTTTCCTCTGGCAATAGTGAAAGAGTAGCCTACCATAGCCAGCCAAGCTTGTTCTAGAGCGGAATTTCATTTACAGAGGGAGATCGGCAGTGTCTGATGGACCTCGCCCCGTTCGAGAATAATGGAACCGTCTTGCCAGGTTGCCGGTAAATTTGTAATGTTGAGAGTGATTTGGCGCGTATATTCAGATGACAACACTGTTCGGCCGGGATTTGAGGCCGTAGCGCAAGATATTTTAATGTCTCTTGCGGTAAATCCTGAGAAGTGGAACCCCCACAATGCATGAATTCGCAGATACTGGCATCAGCTCTTGTCGTAGGTTGCTGCTGGACGTCTGCAGTCTCCGTTGTGCATCGCCTTGGTCTGCGTCCACTTGTTATGGTGCACAACGTGAACAGGGGGAATAAGTCTTAGACGATGTCGACTCAAGCTGAAGCTCACATTAGTAGCACGGTTCGGCACACAGTCAAGCACATCTCATATCCCGCCTGCTATATCCGACTTAGGGAGCCATAAACGAGGACGTGGAGTCTGGCTAAGTTGCCCCAGAAATCAAGGCCAAGCTGATGGGAACTCCATTGCCATGGTATCCCAGCACTCCACGAAATTCAACACTTAAGAAGGAGAATCATCGAGGGGAGGCGTTTGCATCTATAATCTTCTACACATTGCTCGAAATCGTAGGCTTTGATAGGGAGTATGATAGCACTTCAACTACGGACCGCAAGGTCTGTCCCGTGAGAGGCGATGCGAGAGATATGGAACAGATTGCATCAAGCCTCCCTTCCACCTCGAAGGCTGAAACCCAACAGCGTGCAGTTGCAATGTGACTCAAGACGACGTTGGAGTCATCGAACCACAGACAAAATCATGCAAAGGGCGCAGGTCGCAGCTCAACGGTATGCTAGCCTGCCCATGAGAAAATGAGATGTGCCTCAACAATAGATTGGAGAACGGCCAGTAGACAATTCATCCGTACAGAACAAAAATACCGCAAACCTCGAGGAGCATCATGAGATTCAGTTGAGGCATGCATCATTGTTAACGGCGTCCGATAACCCACACGGGCAGCTCCAGACTGGTAGATCACACATCCGAGCCTTGAAAATCCCCAGCATGGACCCCCTGCGCGGTCCAGGGAATTAACCTCGGCTCTTTCATGCAGCAGGTCGGTAGCGGAGATAATTGCAGCACAGAATGCTGATTCTGAGGCAAAGAGGCTGCAAAACCTCTTCTCTGTTTGATGCGGAACCCGAGGCAGGAGAATCATGCGATATGTACAGTTTAGTGTACTTCCCCGCTGAAACTCGGACGCAAGACTAATATAGCAACTAGTTTTAGTGCACTTTAGTGGGGAACGTCTTCAGGGATGGACAAATGAGAGACGTTCGAACCGGACGAGATCGCTAATGAAACACACAATATCTCTTTTGTATGTCCCCCGAGGCAGTCCCGTTCTCAACAGCAGCCTCCTAACCCCATCGCCCTCTGTACAACGCCTCCTGTGCGAGCTCAACCTGGGATCGCGTCCATGTCGGATCCCGTAGGGGAAATGCCATACCCCGGAAATATGATACGGCACCGGAGAGTTTCATCCAAAAATTGTAAGGTCATTGTGCCAATGTTCCAAAGCCGGACCACGGCCCCGTAGCAACGACTTTACAACTTGCTTTCATAAGTAGACGCAGATGTCTACGTACAGCTGCTCTCATACATAACTTCGCAATTGAGACTCTCGATACTCATCTTCCTCAATTGGTCCTCATGGCGCAATTAGCACTGCAGCTTTCGAGGGCAGAGTCCCTATCGCATTACATAAAGTTATATGGCGTGAGCTTTTTGTTGCTCGGTGTCCTTCTCACGCTACTTTATAACCGATATGCCAGCCCGCTTCGCAAATTCCCTGGCCCGTTACTTGCATCTTTCACGAGATTATGGCAAGGTAAGGTCATGAGTATGGCTTTGCTATCGCTCCGACTAAAAGCATCAACTTAGTGTGGACCGCCTGGACCGGCAAAGCAGAAGAGCACTACATCGCGGTACACCGTCAATATGGTATTTTGGACAAGGTGAATTCTCAATCCTCTAACTAATCCCATATAATATAAGGTCCTATTGTGAGATTGGGTCCAAACGAGATTTCTATGGCGTCACCTTTGGCTGCTCTCGATATCTTCAAGACCGGTAAAGGCTTTTATAAGTCTGACTTCTACACTATCTTTCTGCCACCCAATGTTAAAGACCTCTTCACGGAAATTCGCGAGCCTGTTCATGCCGTCATGAAACGGTTTGCCGTGCCGCCTTACAGCCTAGCATCAGTTCAGCAACATACCGAAGACATAGAAGCTCTGCTGTGGAAATTTCAGTCAAAGATGGACGGCTTTGCGGTGCATGACAAATTGGCCGTCGATCTGGGGAGCTGGTTGCACTATCTAGCATTTGATGTATGTGCCACACCCCTGGTATCCAAATTTATTACAGATTCCGATGATCGGTCCAGGTTCTGGGTCAATTCGCTTTTGCGCACCCTTTTGGATTCCTTGACGCTGGTACTGATATGGATGGATTCTGCAAAACAATCCGGAGATCAGGCTGGGAGAGTGGAATCGTTGGCCAAGTCCCTTTTGTTGAAAAGCTGACACGTTCCAATCCGATTTGGAAATATGTCCCTTTCCTCCCCGAAAACGCAGTCTCGTTACTCCCCCGAACGGCAGAACTCATGCTGAAGAGACACCTGGAAGAGGACGACGATGCTGCTGGAACCGGACCGAAATGTCTGCTCAAGGCACACTTGGAGTCTCACAACGAATACCCTGATAAGTTCTCGATTCAAGATGTGATTTCCCTATCGACGGGGGCGGTGTATGGATTAGCTCTTCTTGTATCCTCCGAGTGGTCTGCTTTGACTAACAAGCTACCAGGGCGGCCGGGTCCGATTCAACAGCTTCTACGATGCAATCATTTGTCTGGCATGTACTATCAAACTCTGAGATCCATGATAAACTGGTTGCGGAGATTCTCAGTAGTCCGCTCTCAGAGATGGTTCAGTATAAAGAGGCACAAGCGCTCGAATATTTCCAAGCTTGTCTCAAAGAGACGATGCGTCTGCAGCCTGCCTTGGGTGCTAATATAACTCGGATGGTTCCTACCGGAGGTACAGAGATCAATGGCACATGGCTGCCGGGTGGCACGCAGGTTGCTCTCAATGCATGGGTGTTACACAGAGACAAAGATATTTTCGGAGCCGATGTGGACTTGTTCAATCCTGAGAGATGGTTGTCCAAGGACGAGAGTCGTGTGAAAATGATGGAAAGATGCATGTTTCAGGTATGTGTACCCACCATTTCAACAATTTTGAGCCAGCATTGGGCCCTTTCAGCGAAGTGGCTATCCTTTTGATGCGAGGAGATGCAGAGCGAATAGGCTGATAAGGACACTAGTTTGGGGGCGGTTCTCATCTTTGCATTGGGAGACATCTTGCACTCTTCGAAATGAACAAACTCCTACCCCAGCTGTTTCGAAGGTATGAAATGACGCTTGTTAGCCAAAAGCCTCTGGATCATATCACGGGCCTATTCTATCTTCAGAGTGGCCTCTACGTATATCTGAGGAGACGTGGGGAAGTCCACCTGTGAGTTATTTGAGGGGAACAGCTTGGATATTCTTGGCCATTTGTTTGGTCAGGGGACTTTAAGCTCCTCTATTGAGTGAGAATGCACGATGGAACGGGATGTAAGAGGACGTGAAGAAGAAACTAGGTACAAGAGTCCTGAATACTTTCTGTACCCTCTTACACAGAAAAACAACGGTAAACCTGTGTGGAGGCATCACACTTTCTCGGTGCTGATGTGCTTCGATTGCTCAAGCCCTTCTGGAGTATATGAATAGCTGCGAAACCCGTGCATGGTAACTGCAGTTGTTGCTTTCGTGGAACTAGGCCATAGGAGAATATCTCCGAGCGAAATGGTGAGACTTTCTGGAAAATGCTACCAGGGCCGGACGTGGTATAAATGTACCCCAGCTGGCGCTGTATATCAGCAAAGCCGCTCGAAATGGCAACTCAAGGTATGGCCGTGGTCAATTCCACCTCGGCAACATCATCAAAAGGCCATGTCGGCCATATGCATTCATTCACGCCCATGAAGTTCTCAAGAAGCTCATTGACGGACATATCTCTCGAACTGCGCATCTCTCCTCCTAAGCTAAACACCGTCAGCAGTGTTTGCGCACGTCGCTTTATCTGAGGAAGCAACTCACCCAAGTCTTGACCTTATTTCGCATGTGGTCTCTTCGAAATGACGTTTTGTCACCCTGCCGATGTTCAGATGCTGGGTCATGTCGATGAGGAGGCAATATTCATCCGCTTCCATGAGGAGTTCTCTTGAAGGGTCTTTGACGAGCCTCAAGAGCAAAATCAGTGCGTTGGCAAGCACATAAGTCGCATCCAGGAAGTTTTGTTGACTAAATAAACCTTCTTGGGCCATTCTCTTGAGGAGTATGAGGGACCTTCTATTGGCTGCTTCGCACAGTTGTACACGTTGCATCAAGCGGTCGCTGCAAGAGCCGAAGGACTTCCAACAAGAGACCACCGACGGTCTTGTCGCAACCAGAATTGTGTACTCATAGCGGAGTCCGAGGTAGTGGACGGCCCGACTATGAGATGCTGCCAAAGGGGCCCCAGGCTTTAGATACTCGTGCAATTCGTTCCAAAAGCACTGTATGTCACCCAAAATCTCCTCGGCACGACTGTCAAGGCAGATTTGCGCCGCTCTCGGCCCGTATAGATCCTGTACTATCAGGTAAGTGATCTTGCTTAGCTGAGCGACGGCTTTGTGGTAATCTGGAGGAGTGTATGGAGTCATGTTCAACATCTGAGTATGTCAGCCAGTACGTCTCGTGGCTAGATACTGGCTTACTTACCGCCTGAGACGGGATATCCAAACTGCAGAATGCTGGGTTGATCCCGGGGTTTCTTCCAAGACGATATGCGAGGCAAATTTCCAGGTCGTAAAGAGACCACCATAAACGCTTTCGGCTCTCAATAATAGAAGGAGACTTTTCTTCCCAGCACGATTCCTTCAAGTGCAGTCCCAAGGACTGCGCAATCCTGGACGCGCAACCAAGAGTGATCCAGGCTAGATTTCTCTGATCTCTGTTCAGCCGGCACAAAGCCTGAATTCGCAGTTAGCAACGTGGTCGTAGTATGGAAGAGAAAGAAGGCCGTACGAGAAGCATTAGAGACTCCACACTGGCTATGCTTCCTTCCTCAAATGTATACTCAACATGTCCGCATGCCTTGGAAAAGAACTCCTCGTACTTGGAGTCAAATGACAGTATCAAACACAAGAGCATGAATACCCCATGGCTGAGCGGGTGCCTTTGATCCAAGCAGTCGGACATATAGACGTAAAACTGCTCATAGCTCAAAATATAGTTTACGCAATTGATCTCGGCGAAGAACTTCAAGGACGCTCGCTCAAACTCGGCCCTAGGTGGGAGATCGGTGGGCTGAACTTGGTCGACTTGTTTGCTGCCAGTCAGCTCATCGAACCTAAAGACAGAACCCCCTAGCGCATCGCCATATTTGGGCCCCTTAGTAGAGTGTATTTTGCGGAAGAACGCAGTCCAGCTGGTGCCGCTGTCGTATCCTGAGTCGCGGTTGCGAGTCAGCCGTCTTGAGCCAAATCAAGCCATGCCTCGCAACTCACTCGTAATATTCATCAACTCTGCACGAGCCATGCTCTCGGTCGGCTCTGTTTCGCTTGTCCAAGAAGCTCTGGTGCTCTCCGGTGAGCATGTCTGTGGCGCATCGAATGCTGATATTGAATGGTGGCAAGCATACTCGGCCAGCCTCGCCGTCGAAAGTGGTCCAAGGCCGGCATTTCCCTGGTTCAGCCCATCGGGACAGTCATAGCGCTGCAGGTGAGGCTCTGATGTCGTCTGGTCTGGGGATCTTCTTGAAGCAGGTTGTAACTGGATGGTGGTTTCGACTGACGTAAGTAGACCTGTCTCAACTAGAGCTGTTGCTGGCAGTGGACTTCGCAAGCCAGCATTGACCCCACCGATTGGCGTTTGATGATGACAGTCTGCTGCACTCGATGTATTGTTGTCAGGAGTTGTGTTCTTGTCATTGCCGTCATTACTGCCGCGGTTGTTGTCATCTTCGTGCAGCTGCGTCACAAGTTGCCGGAGGCTCTCCTTATCCAGAGCAGCATCGGGGAGAAAATGCCTGACAATGGTACTCATCAAATCGTACTGTTCTTTTGAGCTTTGGTAATATGGTCTGCCAGTTTTCACGTTCGAAGTGACACAAGGCCGGCCAGCCTTGAAGCATCGTCTGCAGGTAGCATCTTCCAATCTTATACACTGTCATGCACGAAGTAGTGCTTTTTAGCCCGCGGCCAGGCACTGGGAAGGCCCAAGAACAGGAGTTTTACCTTGGTTTTATGTTGACGGCAATGGTCGCAACTGCGCCTGCTCAACTCTCCCTGACCCATTCTTATGAGACCCGAGGACAAAGCGTAGTCAATGCAGAGGCTCAAGCCTGAGGAAAGTCGACATTGCAGGTACTAGACGGTCCACTCAGCTATTTCAACTATGCTAGGCAGAATACTGGGGAATATGAAGAAGAGAGAAGATTCAAAGTCGCTTGATCCGGGAACCGGATGCAGAAAACTCCGCAAAGGAGGGGAAAGCTAGCTAAAATAGTCTCGGCTTCAACGCGGGGTCTCCAGGGCCGGCTTGTCGCTACCAAAGCCTATCACAAGGGGTCCACGCGATTCCTGCTAGCTGGGGGGTCTAGGGCTGTTGGGCACCTACCAGCCCCTAACGACACTGGCTTAAGACGAACCACGAGCACAATTTGCAAAAGGATACAGTAAAGATGGTTTCCTCTTCATTCATATCGTATCATATCCGGCAAAGAAATCGAAACAGTAAGACTCGTCTGTCATGTCGTTTATTAGTTTGCATGGAGTTGCGTAAGCCATGATGAGGATCAGACAGACATTGAACGCGCGTGAGCTACAGACAGCAAACACAAGACGCGGGCAAGAGGGAGCTTTTGAAGTCCTACTGCAAGAAGAGCAACAGCGACGCGAAATTGCACAAGTCCGCACGCCCCCATGGGCCCTCCTACCGGTACTCGTAACTCTTCTCGAGCCCGCACTACTTGGCATGGTTAGAGTGCGTTGGTCGGACTGTTCGTAGCCTAGCCCCGGGCGCTCGCTCGGGTTCTGGCACTGCTCCGGTCCAACTCCTCTTTACCGTGTTGGCTCGTGTGGCCTGTGAAGTATTATGCTCGTATTGTGACCTGTATGACATGGGGCCCTCACCTTCGTGCGAAGTCGATCGTCCATGGAAAATCTGAAGCGGACTGTCGTGTTGTGGAAACGGAAGCGACTACACATAGCCCAAAGGCATAAGGGTGAAAGGAGATGATCTAATTTGGCAGCCTAGTCACCTCCGGAGCCGCCTGCCATGATTGATCTGGGTCACGTCTTTGCAAGTTGAGGTCGGAACCCATCTTTGTGCTGTAGGCCCTTTCGCGCCAGCGTCTGTCGGCCCCCGACTGTCGCCAACACGAAAACGGACCTCGGTCTGACTGCTCTGAGGTCTAGTATACAGGCCAAGAACTATTTAATTGCTGTTTACCTGGAAGTCAAGGTGGTTAACCCTGACAGCATAATATTGTTGGTGCTTCCAATGAAGGTCATTATTGTTGGCGCGGGCCTAGGCGGCCTTGCCTGTGCTATATCATGCCGCCGTGAAGGCTTGGATGTGCTCCTATTGGAAAGAGCCCCGAAGATATTGCCTGTGAGCCGCCATAACCGTGCAAGTCGTGGATCGAATTTTGACAGTGGATAAAGATCGGTGCGGGCATTCAGGTGTCCGCGAATGCCTCACGCATTGCCCATCGTCTCGGGGTCCTTCCAGTTCTCCTCGAACGAGCGATACAGCCTGAAAAACTTGAAATACGAAGATATGATAATGGCTCAGTCCTGTACATTAGACCAGGCAGAGAAAACATGGTGCAGAAGTATGGATCGCCTTGGTTGTGAGTACAGCTGCCCTTTTTCGCCTTTTTACGGTCGAACAATTGACATGGACTCTCCAGCGTTATCCACCGTGCCGACTACCACGAAATCATGATGCAAGAGGCCATAAGATTAGGCGTGGACATTCGCCTAGGTTGTACCGTTGAAGGTCTGGACTTTGATAAGTCACAAGTCTTGGTGCAAGATGGAGAGACATTGAGCGCGGACGTAATCATTGGTGCCGATGGTCAGTCGTCAGCCGCAATGTTTCTACCTAAATTGGTGATTTTTGACCTGAATTCCCAGGCTTATGGTCAACCACGCGTGAAATTCTGCTGGGTCATCAGTCTCCCCCTGTCGAAACCGGGGATCTGGCCTACCGGGCTACTTTAAGTCGAGAAGAGATCGAAGCACTGGACGACCCGGAGGTGAAAGCGATCTATGACAGACAGGTAGTTACCGTGTGGCTGGGCCCAGACAAGCATTGCGTCTTTTACCCTATAAGTCAGGGCAACACCTACAACCTAGTCCTTCTTCGACCGGACAATATGCCTGCAGGAGCTCGAACGGTTCAAGGGACGGTTGACGAGATGAGACTCAGCTTTGAAGGCTGGGATAACGTGTGAGTTTGCAGTCAGTGACCAGGTTTTTCGAACAGTTGACCAAGACTTAGACAGGCTCACGAAGATTCTATCCCAAATAAATTCTGTCCTGAAATGGAAGCTTTGTCACCATGAGGAGCTCGCCACTTGGACTAAAGTACGCCACATACTGACCGGTTGAGGTTCCTGAGGGCTGACTATCAATACAGGGCTGCATCACCCTTCTAGGAGATGCCTGCCACCCTACCCTCCCTTATCAAGGTCAAGGGGCCGCTATGGCAGTCGAAGATGGCGCTGTATTGGGCAGGCTGCTTGGGTTGCTGGATTCTGAGCCACTTTTCAAAGGAACATCTGCGAAGTTTATTCCGGAGATTTTGAACCTATACGAGGGCATCCGGAAATCGCGAACTACGATCAATGTTCAGGGGGCGACAGCGAACCGGTTCTGGTACCATCTAGCGGATGGACCTATGCAAGAGAAGCGCGATGTTGCTTTGCGAGGAGGACCCGACAGCACTGGTTGGTGCTTTCTGCGCCCAGACTACTGGAATGATCTTGTTGGCTTTGATGCAGTTGCTGATGCTGAATGTGCTTTTGAAGAGTGGCTATCTCAAAAAGGGGAGTCTATCCAGTAAGCGAAGGACCAGAAAGGCAGGCCTATGGCCCAACTTTAGAAAATACATCACAGTCGGGCGACGACATGCGATATCCCCTACTTTGCTCAGTATTAAAGGTAACGCATGTCGTGCCCAGCAACATAAATCGTCATTTAATTCGTTGCTTAATTGTGCTTCATCATAGTAAATCTAACTGCCTGTGTTTATAAATCGCGCTATGCGTGAGGGCAATGCCATAGTGATTCCAAAAAGTGATTAGCTTTAGGAGATTTATACAGAAGACCGGGCAATATTAGCCGTTCTCTATGCTAGAATCACGACTAGAATCCGTGCCTTAATAACCATTTGCTCTTGCAGAATAAAACAATATCTCGCCATCCTCCCGAGGCTTCCCTGGCGACTATGCTAGAGCGTCTTTAGATCGTATGTTGCAAAAAGGTCATGTCTCTCACGATTGTGACGCCCTGGCTCGGACCCCGTCGGATGCCGGGCGCCTCGAGCAATGAGCCAGCACCTTCCTCGTTCCTCGGCCACCGAGCTCAGTGAGGGTTTCCTCCTGGCGCATGGTATGGAAGTGCATGTTTTAACGCTTCCTCGTGACTTGTCCCTTGGTGATTGTGATCAACTCATGATATAGCAATAGCTGTCAACCTGTCGAAGTCGAATACAGAGCTTTCTCATAACAGCATTCCATATACACGATCAATGGCTTTGGTTGACACGGTCATCCTTTTTCGTGATCGCGAGGGCGAGCGAGACCCGCTCAAAGCGACCTGGTATCTAGTGGCCGTACGAATTGAGAGAGTTCTCAATCTGAATTTTACTAATTACTCTTCAGACCGCTGCTCTTACAGGTGCTGGGGCTGGATCAGCCGTTCCCTCAGTATACCGTGCCGCCACAAACGGCCTGCCTCTCGAACTTGCCAAGCTGGTCCAGCGGAGATTGAAAGAGGCAATCCTCAAATCGACGATCTTTGTGGGAGTACCACGCTCGGCAGGGGCAGCGTTTGCACTATTCAGAGATTTAAGCGACGAGGAAATCGATCATTATGGACCCCGGTAAGCTGTGAACATCGATCGAGGTGAGACCCTTTGGCGGTGTTTCATTGACATCGTCCCAACTTTCAGGTTCGAGTCATACGACGACCCGGAGGAACAGGATAAAAGGGAAGCCCGCGGGAAGAAGTTTTTTGATATCCTTTGGACTCCAATAGGGGCTGAAGGTGTTCGAGCAACTCTGAAGAAGTACCAACCAGACTTTTGTAGGCACAACAGCTTTGGAGACTGCAAATACCATGCTGACGCAGCGATAGATCTCTTAAATCAGAGGCTCATTTACGAATACTGGGGTTCTGAAGATAGAATTCTTAAAGATGTGGAGACGGAGCTTGTCGCTATTGCCAGTCTTGTTGCAATGAACTGTCCTGAACAGCTAGTTTGGCATCTGAAGGGAGCCATCCGTCACGGGGCCACAAGAAGCCAGGCGCAATTTGCTTACGATCTGGGAATCGCTGCCTCAAAAGCTGCGGGCTGCGAGCTCAGTGGTGTCCCGAAGTGGGAGGATTTTCATTGGGAGACACCAAATTCCGCTGAAGAAGAGATTTTAAACTGATTCACACCATAAACTGCGCATACATAGCATGTACCGTTTGTTGAATTACTACCTCAAGCTCCCCTGCTCCACAAAACTCAGGTCTTCCGGCAAGTGTCCTTACAAAAACTTATCCGATTCCAATAATCTGGCGTACGAAAAACACCTCCTGGAACCATCCATCTCAGCTTGTTATGCGACGCCATCCTATATGACTCTCTTTACCTTGCTCGTGAGGCTTCTCTCCTTGCTATCGAAGTCCCCGTAGCAACAGTGCTCCATATAAGTTTCTTCTGAAACTCAATTTCTACATACAACATACTTGATGTGTTTTGCGTGAGACTTCGATCGATTATTCGTAATCACTTCTGGAAGGCCGCTAGTCCCTGGACCTTGTTCTGATTGACATTACCCAGAGTGCCTGAAAAGCCCCTATTCAGAACAGCTGCCACCAGTCGGAATTGCCATTCAACGTTAGATTTCTCCTTGTTGACGGAGTGTCTAGTCGGGCTGCAATTCTCAGAATTTCTTCTGGATTGATCACGGCGTCGTCCTCCAGAGGGGCACGGCATGCGACATGGTCGTCCAGCCGGATCAAGACCGCCCGTCGCTCCCACAGTTTGTGAATATGAGGCTCATCGGGAAGATGGATCTTTTCAGGGGCAAACCCAGTGTATCAGCCACGTTGCCGAACACAGACGCAAGCGACCGCTTTGGGAGAAACCGATGATCGAGAAGTCCATGCCGAAAAGGTCAAAAACACTAGTCTGGCCGTCAGCGAGGAAGAGGTGCGGAGCCCGAGAGCCGGGCCATGTTGACAGAATATAGCCCTGGAAAATTCCACTCTGGCTCTTCGGTATCAAGGACCACGACGGGGAATGGTTGTTGCGATAGCCTACTTCGATGCCGTGTTCTTTGTTCTCACCGGCGTGTTCGCTGAGGAATTGATCGATTTCGCGTCGTAGTGCTTGACCTTATTCGGTATCTGCTAAGATGGTATAATGTCCAGCCTCACTAACCCACTCAATGTATTGCCGATGCACTGAAAAGTGAACTCCAGAGCGCTTGATATTGCGAACAGCCACCGGTCGTGGCCCATATTCGTAAGAATCCAGGAGAGTTCTCCCACCAAATCCGTGGGTGACCGCAGCCAACTTCCCTCCAATGGCGAAGCTGTCACCAACCGCCGTGTTCATGCTGTCTCCTCCCGTCGGAATGCTCTGATGGGCAGCATCTCCTGTCAGGAAAATTCGACCTCTTGCGGAAGTATAGCGGTCGACGATGTAGATATTCGGACGCCATGTACTCTCCACGAGGACTTTGTCTATCTTGTAGGGGCAAGAACCCGCCGAGCCTCCAAGCGCTTCTGCCACTACCTTTTGCGTCGACATCGAGACCAATTGGCATGCGCACCATCCATGTATCTGCTTCATCCTGACTGACGGCTCCATCGTTAGAAAAGAAGATGTGCCAAAACTGGCCTTGGCGCTGCAACAAAGACAAGTCTCTGGATTTGAAGGGTACGGGGAACATTGCTATTGGCATATTACAAATGTCAATATGTCAGCTTGACCGGAAATATGCAAATATTGCTACTCACACTAGCCCGCCCAGTCAAAACGCCACCGATAGATTTTCGTACACGACTTCCAGCACTGGAGTCTCATGCTCAACTGCCTATTACACGAGTTGATCAGCAGGTCGTGATAGACGGAAGTTCTGTGGGTCATACGAACGGCATCGATGTAGCTAATGGTGTCTTGTTCGGTGGTTTGACAGTTTTACTTCTTTTAACCAGCCTGAACGAGCGATACGTCCTGCGCGCAGTCAGGCTTCACAGAGGAGAGAGTATCTAGAACGGAAAACAAAGCTCTGCTGCTGCTAACACCGACGTTGGTGAGGAATGGCCTAATGGCTTCATCCATGTCGTGGCTCCTCCAATCGTAGTGCAATTCTAGCCCCAGATCTCCGGAACACGAGATGCTGCTAAGGATCACGCGTGCTGAACCGAATGTGCTGGGTTTCGGCTTTGGCCTCCGAACCCGCCTGCATCGGGCTCCGAGATGTTCTGATTGGGCCGAGTATCGCTTCCTAGTCTTCCTAACTAGGCCGAGCCCAGCGTCGGAGCGTTACAATCCTCGACGCAAAATGACGCCCTAAATTAGCTGCTCCCGCCTACAAAGTAATTACTCCACTCAGGACAATATTTTTGAACAGTCAGTACCCCTGCTTACCCAGGTCAGCAGCTCAGATCGCTGCTACGTTGAGCTATCTACAGTTCAGCAAATGCAGCTCTATCAATTCGCTGAGGGTCACTTGGAAGGGAGGGTCAGGCTTCGGACTGAAAGGCACATGGAGGCTTCAAACGTGCGGGAGACTGCAATTTCGATGTGGTATGAGCATCGGTCCATATGAAGAACCCAGACATCTGCAAAGAGCGAATCAAATGGTATCGTGGCCAATTGCAGAAACTTAGTTGAAAAGCAGGCGCGTTCACCAAGTTGGGAGCTACATTGATCCATGGGTGCAATGGTGGTTACCCTAAAACGAAATATCCCCCTTCGACGCAAGGGTTAGTTTGGAAATGCAGTCTCTAAAGACTCTTTCTACTCAATACAAAGATTCAGGCTAATAATTGACCACGCACCCACATTTAGAGGTGCTGTTCCACTAATTCGGCATAAAGTCTTGCTTGCTCTCAACGAACATGATCATTTCAACGAGCATTAGACAAATTCCACGGCCTTCGTTCTGTATATACCGAAGTCCATTCAGCAGTTTCTACTATATGCTAATGATCTACTGTAAAAAGTCACAAAACAGGCTCATCCTAGTATGAATCGCGACGTTCCCGGAGGTCGGCTTTGGAAAGGAAGAATGGCAAAGTGCCAACGGATGCTCCACACTTGACACAGAAAGACCGGAAGATGTGGGGAGCGGCCAGCTCAAGATAAAACGACTGGCACGTCCTGAGAATGGCCCGAAAATGAACCCCTCTCCTATAGAGGATTATTTGTTATTCAGCTATAAGAATTCAACCCTTCAAGTCAGCACGCCCGAGTCGTTGTCGATTATATAACTCGCTATATCCTCCTGTTCCAAGGATCTTTCTCCATTGCACGGCACACGACATGACTATTGAAGTGGCCGCCGTCGTCGCCTACCCTCCTCAGGGCGCGCCCAACTGGCGATATGAGCCAGTGAAGCTTAGAACGGTCAAGGACCACGAGGTTCAGATTCGCATGGTTTCAACTGGCATCTGCCATTCAGACATTTACGAGTCGAATATCCCTGATCGGACTGCTGGCATTCCGTACCCATGGATCTTCGGACACGAGGGCGCTGGATATGTCGAGGCAATTGGGGATGGAGTCACCCATGTAAATATCGGAGACCCAGTCTTGCTCTCTTATGATTATTGTCATAACTGCGATATCTGCAGGAGTGGCCAACCTGCATATTGTTTGGAGTGGCGTGGTCGCAACCGCGCTGGCGAGACAGGCCTCTTCGAGACCAAAGACGGCAGGGACGCCGGTGGCAAGTTTTTTGGCCAATCGAGTTTCGCTTCGACAAGCCTTGTCCAGAAGACAAGTGTGATCAATGTCAAGGACCTAGTGCACAGTGACGAAGAGCTGAAGCTCTTGGCGCCTCTGGGATGCGGCCTGATGACGGGTGTGGGAGCAGTGCTGAATTCAGCAAAGGTGCAGCCCTATGACATTGTCATGGTCACTGGAATTGGTGCCGTTGGCCTTGGAGCAATTGCTGCCGCAAAAGTCCTCGGTTGTAAAGAGATCGTTGCTGTCGACCGCGTGGCCACACGTCTCGATGTCGCCAAAGAATTCGGCGCCACGAAAGTGCTCAACACCTGTAGCTCGGCCACGAGCCTGGTCGAAGATGTGCGAAAGCTCGTTAACAACCAGCGCATCTCGTCTGTTATTGAGACAACCGGCGTCCCGGGGGTCATTGCCTCGGCCTTAAGTGCCATGGGCTGGCACAGCAAGCTCATTCAAATCGGCATCCCACCTCCTGGCGCCGAGCTCAACATAGACTTCCAGGAGTTCTTTGCTGCGAACAAGGTGATCGAATGTCATTGCCTCGGAGATGAAGCACCAAAGACCCTGATACCCAAGATGCTGGCGTGGTGGCGAGATGGGAAGCTCCCTGTGGAGAAGATTGTCAAGTTCTATCCGGCGAAGGATGCGCTCGAGGCAGCTCACGAGATGGAGCGCGGCACGGCGATTAAACCTGTGCTTATCTGGTAGATGAGAGATTTCATAGGAATAACGAGCCATGAAATTTCCGAGGAAGGTATTATTCTACTGGAGAAGTTTATGTCTTTCAGCAACTTCGCAAGACAATATTTGAAATCATACTTCTGTGCACAACCGTCGGGACTCTCGGTCCGAGGCTATAATACAATCCTCGTTAGACCCTCTCGAGCAAACAAAGTGTATCTCCATTTGAAGTCTCTATTTGGGACCCCAGCGTTAAGGGCCTACCGTCCGTTTTGAACGTTTGGGTCAGGATGTCCGCAATTAACGTGGCGAAACTCGTGCACCTACAGCTCAGCGTGCAGATTTTTAAGCTATGTTTGCGAAGAGTATGTGTCACAGGATCCTCCCTTTTGTTTGCGGCCTTTGGTGGCCGATTTGACTCTTGGCTTACTTCTTCTCAGCTGTCTCGCTCTCCCAGCTGTCAAATCTTTAATTGCTACCTTGCTACCCCTTAGCCCCGCCAACTTATTTACTTGCGGCTCCATCAATGTAGCTCACACATTGTTGCCGTCACGCATAGAAGAAGTAAGAACAACCGTCGGAAGGTATTTCATTCCGAACTTACTTTGAAGGTGTCGGCAGTTTGGTCGGTGTGATTGTAGCAACCCACTATCGGGTCGTGCACCTTTACGTTGCTCTCTATGAAAGTCTCAGCCTTCTTTTATTTTGCTCTTTATGCACGGCGAACGATTTCCATGGCTGGTTAGGTCGTCTGACAACCATTTAGGCACCGAAGATTTCTTCTTGAGCTAACTTGTTATACCGGCTGTGCTCGCCTTCATCATATATATAAAACCCGACGATGAAAGATTGAACCGCCTGCGTATCCTGGACCGGTCATGAAGTAATATTATCGAATTTGTGACGTCCTCTCCGGTCACCGACAAGCATTTGCCGAAAATTCTACGTCAACCACCACAACTGGTTAGTGTGAAGTGTGGTGAGATTTTTCAGCTTACTTCTCGGCGGCCCAGGCTCCATCCCCTTCTCTCCCCCACGGGAGAAGTTTCGTCCAGAATGTGAATACCTGCCTCCGGATTTGCGTGCACAAATGATTTCGCCCTTATGGCAGGACCCCAGATCATGCACGCGATGATACCCATATAAGCCACAACAACAAAGATTGACATCATGCCGAAGGCCCAATTGACGCCAACTGCTGCAATCCAATAATCCAAGAAAAAGGGAATAGAGAGGGCGAAAGAGGTTCGGTAAAAGTTAAGTGCAGCTGCGACTTCGTTGGCGTAGGCTGGCGTTAATGCTTCGACGACATAGTTGAGCAGAGGGGACATTGCTGAGATTGCGCCAAAGTTGGATAGGAAGACGCCTAGGGCGAGGACCATATAGTGCCAGTGGTAGTATAAGGAACCGCCGAAAAGTCCAACACCGAGAGGGAAGGAGACCAGGAGCGGCAACCATGTAGAGTGGAGACGATACTCGGGCTTCCAGACTCCGCGGTTACGGGCACAGATAGCTAGCGGGAGCCGATCTCCGATAAAGAGACCATATGCTTGAGCTAGACAGGCACCGACCCATAAGACGAACGTAACTATAGCAGGTATAAGTCGCAGCGGAAAAAAGATGTTAAAGAATAGGGAGAACTGACAGGAAGCATTTTGGTCGGCCGAAAAGCCGTATCCACCATCCTCAACCGGTTCCTGTAAAAAGATGGACAGCAAAGTGTTAATGCCAATGCCAAACCCGTAAAAAACCAGCATATTGCCTCCAACTATAATGGATACTGGACAAGATGCGACACGGAACGTAAGCGTCCATGACTTGAATAACTCTGCCGGTGACCTCTTGGCTGTCATAGGCTTGGTGAAGAAATAAGTAGCCAGCTTGCGCTGGACTAAGCCTTTAGGGGGAGTCGGGACCGGTAGCTGGCCTGGACGGGACCAGTTCGTCTCGTCCAGGAAAAGCACACACAATAGTGCGAGAACAGCCTCGAGTCCCACGTTGTACCAGAACTGTACGGTCCAGCTAACGCGCTGGACAATATAGCCCGAGAATGTGGAGCAGCAAATTCCTCCTATTAGAATGGAGAAGGTATAGATTGCAAAGCACTTGCCGCGGTCGTGCAGGAAGAAGATCTCCACAATGAAGTTTGCACCGACTATAGGAGATGAAGATAGATGAGTTAGTCACTGATCAATAGAAGATGCCAGGTGCGTCGAAATGTAGACTCACTGGTCAGGGGCGCGGATCCGAAGAGACCTGCAAATCCACGCGACCAGACGAACGGAACGTAGTCGTTCTTTCCTGTCATACACGCCGACCAGATGTTCGTCCCCATGGTCAAGACCATGCTCCAGAACATGATGGCGGCCTTGCCATAACGAGTGGCCAGCGGAGTCCACACAAATGGTCCGACTGTAAGACCGGCAATCGCCGCAGATAACTGGATTGTTGGATTCAGCAGGTAGCTTATCCTAAAAGCTTTTGCATTTGACTTACGCTGTACGAAATCTCGATAGGTGTCTTCCCATATGCAGCGGCCTGGTAGAAAAAGCCGGAAGCATTGGCAAGCGCCTGCAGGAGACCGGCGAAAGCAATGAAGCACACGATCGTGAACGTGGTGGCTTTCTTCGCCGAGGACCAATTCTAGAAATCCATCGTCAAATCATATAGAGCCATGGATGGCTGGGGTCTCTAGCATGTAAGGACTCACCAAAGGATCACGAGGATCGTCCGAGGGTTGAGGAACAAGAACAACGCCTTGAGCACTGTGCTTCTGGTGCGTGGCAGACGTGATTACGCCATCCTCAACAAGTTCGCCGCTGTAGTGTTCCACCTCGTCAAAATCCTTTTCACCCATTGTGGTGGTCTTTGTGAAGACCAAGGAGCTGACAAAACAAAAAAAATCAAGATCCAGGATTAGTCGGACTTGTTGGAGAGAGCGAGGAAAGATATATGAGATATTTAGAAGGCGGGCCAGGCTCCTTGATATGGAGGCTCAGACTCCGGGGACTCCAGGGACTCCGGGTTTAGCTCTGGTACGGAGGACGGGGTCCGATGCACGTCCAGCAAGTGTGGAGTTGGTAACCCGGGGTGCAGTAGTCGTAGCCTGGAGGTGGAGAAGGTATGACAAATGGGACGGTGGGCGATATACCGGTGACCGCATGGCCGTAGCGTTCCTCTGGAAACTATCGGATACAGTGGGGTGCGAAAAGTTTGAATACACCTAGCTAACAAAACTCCATACTAGGTGTATTCAAACTTTTTGCACCCCACTGTAGCTGTAGGACTTTATATGATGATCTTATCAACACGTTTCGTAACACGCTAAACGTACCTGCACCATAACGAAAGCACAACGTACTCGTTAAAAATTGAAGCGTCATCTTTCTTGGCCTTCTCACAGCTCACTTATAGTAGCAAACAAAGAGAGTTATCCATAGGCCTTTGCTACCAAGTCCACACAGTATTTCCGCGTTGTTGAACACGTTGTACCATGTCAGCATATTAGACAGTATCCGAAGGGAACTGCAAATGCGGAGGAAGACACTCTCCATATGGCCGTCTAGCAATACATGCCCTTGGGCAATCTGAAGCCTCCGTGTGGCGATGTCACAATTATCACGGGGTATGCGAATGGGTTTCCCAAGGTATTGCATTTTTCCTTCAGCACTTTTCGAAGGGTAGGCGACCATACATCTGATCAGACCCCAGGCTATGTATGAGCCCTGATGGGATGAAATATTGCATCTTGCAGAAGCCGCCGGCTGTAGCATTCGAGGCATCTGGATTGCTGACGTTGCACGACAAGGGCAAAGCAGGGTTCTAAAAGAAGACGAATTAGAGAATGACCGTGAGTCTGAGATACGAGGACTACTTTTTTCGGCAAGTTCTGACCTGGAGTAGCCTCGTAGTTCAACCATCCTCGTTACTTGCTTCATATGCTCAACGTTTTAGGGACTAGATACCTCGCCCTATAGTGGGAATAGGTGATAGCATGGGTAGAAACCACCTGAAGAACTTGTCGCTCATGCATCCACGGCTGCTGAAGACACTGGTTCTCATTGATCCGGTCATATCGCGACAGAATTCCAAGAAGAACGAGCGACACAACAGGCTCGGCGAAGCAGCGTGATCACTGGGAGTCTCGTGAAAGTGCGCTAGAAGTTTTCAGAAAGAACAAATTCTACCAGAAATGGGAACCAAGGGTCCTGGACTTGTGGGTAAAGTACAGGGTTGGGGAGCTTCCCACCCCTTTGTATCCCAAAGTGTCGTCCCAAGGCGAAGTAACATTAAAGACTACCAAATTTCAGGAAGTGGCGACATCCTTGCGTTTGGGCACTGTGAACGACCAGTCGTCAGCAGTATCTTCTCGTGAACAACGCCGTAAGCGTCCAGACCTAGCTCCGGGAGACGATCCAAGGATCCCCTTCTATCTTCCGGAGCCGGCGGTCACGTTCACCAACCTACCATACGTGAGACCCCCGGTCCCACACAGATTTGGAAAATGATCTTCTTTCAACGCCCCAGATTCGAGCTGACAAGCTAGCTGTCACCGGAACGGGCATTGGTGGCAATGGAGGCTGTCAGAACCTCGGGTTAAGCAGATGCTCATCCGCGACGCAGGCTATCTGGTTCCTCTGGAGAAGGTAGTAGAGACAGCAGAGCATACGGTCATGGGGGTTGGGACAGAATTGGCTTGCTGGCAGGCAGGAAGACACTCGAGAGAAAGAAGAGTGGACGAGCTACTACGGGCAGAGAAAAGCGTTGCTGAGCCCAGAGTATCTGAAGCACATGCTTGACCCAAATCAACCGGCCGAAAACCCAAGCTGTAGAACAATTCCGTACCTCAGGAAATTGCCTTCCACTTCTGCTGCCAAATCGATTTGAAGTTGGGTGGCGGGCAAGGCTGTGGGTCAAGGCTTGTCCACTCGGGTTCCGAAGGCGCCACGAGGCTTCACTAGCCAATGGTTTGCTAAGTCCGGTAGGCCCGAGGAGTCTTCGTCGTCCGGTAAACATCCACACTTGACGACACCTCGCGATCGAATGGGCCCAACTCACAGGGCCGAGCTCTTTGGTTGCTGTCAGGTTTGGAGGCACCGAGCTGCAAGCAGATACCGAGGTGCTCAAGTGTCAAGTTTCTTTTACCGAGTCACTTACAAAGGCCTGTTGACTTAGCATAAGATACTTCCTATCGAAATTCGTCGCGTTCTTTTGGACTATTCTGTCTCCATTTCATCTCAGTCAGCTCAAGTTCTCAAGGTCTTAGCAGCCACTTTCATAGGCCATACACAGTGTATGCGCACACCACACGCCAGATCGATAGCGCATAGGTCAATTGCATGGGCCAACTAATATTACGACTATCTAATCAAGACGGCATCGCCATAGCCGACGTAATGAGGAAGCTTTTAAGAATGGGGCTCTTAATACATGCCAAATGCCTGTATAATAGGAAAGAAGTCGCTAAAAGAACAGATAGACAGATATCTTCGAGAATAGACCAATGCTCTCTAGAAACTCAACAGTTCTCAGTCTCACACCCGGCCTCGGCGACGGAAAATCCAGCGTCAAGCCAATGCCTCTGGCATCCCCGGTGATGACCACGATGTGATTCTCGAGACTGGAGAGATTGGTTACATCACAGTGCAGCTTGACATCTGTTTTGCTATCGCCATGAGTGGTAGTGCCAGCCGCCGCCATCGTGTCTCCGAAATAGAGTAGATGGTTTATGTTGGACCGGTGGAAGTGCGTACCCTCAGAGCACACCTCAGGGAAGGATCAACATTGGCAGCAAAGATGGCAGGGTTTGTTCTGAGGACTTGGGATTGACATTGGTCTCAAGCAGTGCCAGCCTTCTTCGGTTATTCCCTCGCTGTTGCCATTACAACATGCAGCTGCTGTCGTTGTTGCTCATCCTCAACATTAATAGTCATTTCCAAGGTCCAGTTCGGCCAGGAATGCTGTGACAAGTACAGAGCAATTCATCCTGTGTTTCGACTCGGTTGATGTGTGCGCTATGGAACCATGAACCCGAGCAGGTTGTCAGGTGATGCTACAGTGGTACGCATCATCTCTGCAGGGGTAATTGGACATGATTTGAACACAGTAGGGGAATGCCAAAAATCGCTTGGAACTTGAACTGCAAACTTGGCATCCCCACCAGCTCGGCGCTGAGGTATGTTTTTGCTATGTAACCGGTGCAGAGGGCGTAAAAAGGCGTATAGTTTGCAGGGTCGTGTACATCCTGCCAACTTGTGACTGCGAAGGCTAGCAGGGTATGAAAATGCCTCTGTGCTCCGCGAATATCCTCGTTATCACCCCAACGTTAATGTTCTCCGTTTCTCCAACTCTCACCACCTAGCATCATTGGCCAGCTGAGGCGGGATTTCAACAACCCAAGAAGCCCTAGTTGTGCGTGCCCAGATCTCACGGCGGGTCCCATCTTCACATTTGCCCTGCCATCTCTCTTACCACTTTGCCCAACATCTATCGTCTCCCTGGCCTTAGACATTGATTTTCTCCTGAGTCTCAATCTCGGTAGAGTGAGGTTTTCCGTACGACTCGGCGCCCACAATCTGTCTGCCAACATGTTCTCGTCTTTCTGCTGGAAGTCGATCAGACTTCAAAAAGATGTAGTCGATTTCTTCTAGCCCCAGGCCTTTGGTTTCGGGGAACCACAAGTAGATCATAGGCACAAAGGCAAAATTCTAGGGTTGATTGTCAGCCATTGGACCCGAGGCAGCTTGGATGAGAAGAAGACTTACGAAGGCCATGAAGACCAGGTAGGTCTTCCAGGTGATGTTGTAGACCAGGGTGGGCGTGATTTGGACAATAACAAAGACCTTGATTAGATTAGCATATTCTTCCGAGACGGTGGACTATCGAAGGGGAATGGATATATGTACCCAGATCCAGTTGTTGAAGACAACCAATGCCGTCCCTTGAGCTCGAATGCGCAATGGTAGAATTTCGGTACTGTAGCACCAAGGGATAGCATTCAAACTGCCTCCGAACGAGAGCATGTACTGTGAAGTGGTGGTCAGTTTAGGAGGGAAGAAAGGCGCCAGACCATGACTCACGGTAATGAAAAAGGCGATGGAAGCATTGGCTGTCGCCTTCCTTTTGTCCGTTCCACTGTAAGAAAGCAAAATCGCCACCACCATCATAGAAAGTCCCATCCCAATGGCTCCAAACATCAGGGGCTTCTTTCGACCGAAACGATCAGCTCCAAGAGCAGGGACCAGTGATCCGACCGCGAACGCCAGATTCAGGCAGCCGCCCACAACAATGGCAGTATTACGACTGAGTCCGACGTTGACTTCGAGCACAGTCGCTGAATAGAATACGATGACGTTGATTCCCGCCCACTGTGTCTCCGATTAGCATTGTCACCGATACATGTCCTTCCAAAAATGACTAACCTGATTCATGAACAACACTAGACAGGCCAGAAACACGCGCCAGCCTGTCTGCACAAGATCTCGCTTGAAGATTCAGGTCCATTTGAAAGGCTTCGCCTCCTCCAAAGCAATGGCCTCAAGGATGTCTCTCTTTTCAGCTTCAACCACTGGATCCTCGGGCGCTGTGTTCCAGACTTTACACAGAACAGCCACGCCTTCTTCAATCCATCCTTGCTGAATCAGCCATCAGGGGGTTTCTGGTAGTCCCGCCACCAAAAAAGCAACACTTGCCGCCATAGGGATCTGAAGGGCAATAGGGAGCTGCCACGCGATAGGCCCCCTCGCGAAACTCATCCCATAGTCGAAAAAGGAGGCCATCGAGACCCCGACGGCAGTAAACAGCACTTCGGAAACCTCTATGTTCTCTTTTGCATAACTCAGACTGGTACATTGGAACCGTTGACGTATCGATACCAACACCAAACCCAGTGATAATCCGTCCGACCATCAGTTGAGGTACGGAATAGGCAGAATCTTGAATGACTGTCCCAAGAGCTATGCAAAACATGGCAGCCCAGATTGCATGTCGGCGCCCAAATCGAGCACCGATAAAGAAATTGATGGTGCACCCGAGAAAGCAGCCCACATTGTAAATAGAGACAATGATGCCAAGGAACCCAGGGCCAGGATGATGGAAAATGTCGAGGAAATCAGGGTTTGTGATCAAGCCACCAAAAACGCGCTAATCCCATCCGAAACTATACGAGCTTCATCAGCAACTGCTAGAAAACAGCAACGAAAGAGCCTGTTTCCTCAAACGTACAGCACAAAGGCCGACAGGCAAGTATAAGTAATTGCAAGCTGGATTGGCCGTCCTGGCTTGAACCAGTCTCTAGCCATGGTATGGTCTCTTGGAAAAATTTGTCGAATCGTATCTGAGCGCAGTTCAAGGAAAGCGCACGAGATCTAACTCTGAGATCGTAAACATGGAGTAGGCCGAAACGCGGGGTTCCGCCCAGAGTATTTGTACTTGCCCCAGAGCTCATACCATCGGCCATTGCGTGGATAGATCGACGCTTGAATTGAATGTTGATCATGGCCGCGTCTGGTAAAGCCCCTGCAACATTGCTGAACAAAGCTCGGCTTACATGGAGACAAACGGCTATAAGACTTCGACACATCAGGCTTAATGTTTCGGGTCGCCGGGTCATTCCCTGACTGCCGGGCCAAAGAACCGTCCGTTGGAACGTTAGCCAGTATTGCAATCCTCAAGAGAAGAAATCTCAATCATTTTCTCGTCCCTTGGAATTTGAGCCTCTGGCAAGTTGATATCCATATCGCTAAAGTTTACAGGGAAAACCCCTGAAAGAAGCGCGCTGTATTCAGATTCAAACTGTGCGCATCATCTGGGTGTGACGAATATGGACGAGGGTTTCGTCGGCTAACTGCGCAAATAATAAAACAACCGCCACCATTCTGCAAGGTACGGCACCCCTAAATCACGGCAATGTTTGAGCTGCGGCTGACCGAGGCCATCATCACTGGTACCCGAGCAACAAAGATTCGGTACTTTGATTGTAGTCACGCAGTATCCATGTCAAGAGTATCGAGGCTAGGTAACCGGGGACAGGCTGGAGCAAAAGTTGTTTATTTGCAATCACAAGATGGAAGGGGGAAAGCACCGAGGACGTAGAGAGCAATGTTTGTCGCAGATTGAAGCATCTGTTCAGATCGGGGTTGTTTTTTTTCTTCCTTCAGAATTCTGAGAGAACACGACAAGGCCTGACTGATATACCCGCTACATACTAGTTGCTCTGCCGAGGGAGTTTCAGCCGTGCGGAGCAAGCCCTGTCAGTCGGTCTTTGCACTGAGAAAGCCCGCCCCTTTCTGCCTGATTGGCTACTAACTACCTCGTCCCACTTTCTCACCCCGTCTTCTATATCCGCAATTGCAATTCATATGCCGTATAACCCGCCCCACACATATCCCCAAGGCTCCCCCGGGTTCACGGCGACCAATGACAAGTACTCTCGGGACCTCCATCAGGCACCCGACTCGTTCAGAGGTAGTCCCAGCTGGACGGAGAGAGCCTTGGTCCTTCCTCAGCCCTTCTGTCTCTTGTGGCGCCTCTTCACCAGTGTCCACTGTTCCTGCTTGGAATTTCGATGAGGAAAAAGAAACACGTTCTTGACACGTTCCAACACTCTGTTCCTGTAGTCTTTGACTTTGATCTTCCTCCCTGTTTCTAGATTACCACCATTTCGCGGTAAAGGAAGAACCCGATTTAAATGGATGGCAAAGACTGTAAAAAGACTGAAAATTTTTTTAAACAGGCAACTTAAATCAAGACCGGCTGCTTTTTGAATGCCTCCTTTTCTGTGGCTTGGCAATCTGGGTTCACCAAAATGGTCCCAAAGGCAGCTATTCAAGAGGCAAACGAAGCTGGGCATACACTGAGATCCCCATAGTATGTAGAATATGCCTTCTGTTTGCCGGGTGCTTACCCCCTTGACAAGCAAGTGGAATATTACTTCACTGGTCGTCGCGAGGTTGAGACCCATTGTCTATACTTGTAGGTGACGATTCACAATGATGCTACTCTTAGTCTTTGCGTAGTTATGCTAGCTGAGCGATTAGGGTGTTATTTCTTTTCGTCGCATCTTTTCTTTCTTATTTTAACTACACAGGTAGTCGACTTGATTCCGGCTCCAGAGTAATCATAGTAACTATGCGGCAGAGGCCTCATGCTTGACTCAACTGCCTAGCGAGGCTAGATACCTATAAGTTAGGTACTAGCACCAAGTAGATTACGTAGCCCACAGAATCAACGCTTCAGGTACGACCGAGACGAATCTAGTCTCTCCGCTGGGGAGACCCCAAATTCATACTCCTGGGACGTAGTACTTTGCAGATGACGACTAAGCGCAGAGGCAACGACCAGAGTCGCCCTCAAAACCTCCATGCCGACGCAGAACCAGAAGAACACAAAGATCCGACACCGGAAGGCTTTCGCCAGGAAGCAGAGAAGATATTCCTGGACCGAAGATGACACTGTCTCGGTGAAAGGGACCACTAACATGTACAAGGCCCTCGGTGGAAGCACACCAAGTCGGGAGCCCTGCGAAAGACCACGATGCAGTGACTGTGGTAGACACTATCGGCCTACAATGCCATTCTCCGTGGCGCTTCTCAAGTTGCCCTCTTGCCATTATAACCCAGCATGGTTAAGAAGGGAGTCCAGCCTGCCGAGCGCCATGCCCATCAGAGAGCTTCCCCATCCACCGCTCCCTGCCATGACACGTATGGCGCGCTTCCAGCGGGAAATAAGCTCGCTCACCTCTGTTCTGATTCCATCCCCCGAGTCGCTTATAAGCAGCAGCTGCACCAGGAACGTACTGACGATGGCAAAGTTTCCTTGCGACCAGGAATGCCAAAATGCGTTCCACGGGCCGATTATCGACACCATGTTTTCCAACAGCTCAACGGCTTCTCTCGCACAGTTGACAGAGCCGGTCATGATGGCTGCTGCTGCTGACTTGTAGCTTTCTGTCAGCGATCCACTATTCCCGCATTGGACAGGTCGGAGGAGGGCGCGAAATAGAATTATCGACACAACACAAGCCGCCAGATGCACAGATGCACTCATCCCGGGCTCGTCACCAGAGTTGAGAGGCAGATCTGCCTTCAAATTCTGCCTACATTCACTGAGAGCCGAACGAAGTGGACGGGCAAACTCGAGGGATTTGAATAAATCCGATGAAGTTTGCTTTGCCGAACGGATGGTATAGTACGTTCCATGAATTTGAGCTAGAAGGTGAGTAAGATTTACGAGCCCATCAAACTCATTGCATTCTGCCCTCGCAAGCTCGTAACTGCTGGTCGTCCCGTCCTCTGAATTTGGTAGAAGCACATCGTAATCGTCAGACGCAATTGACCGCCCTCCAGGGGAATCCACACTGATCCAGATATCCATGGTAAAGGTTGCCCACCAGAGTCGTGTACGAAGCTGCTTCTCTACCAAAGGTATGTTCCATCCGCCACAGTCATATTGTAGACCGAGGGACTTGGCAATCGTGACTGCGATTGACATGAGCCAGGAATATGTCGGCGTCAGACCTTGATGCTGAAATGTTGGGCCCTTTTGCAGCAGAAGTAGACATGCTTGCAGGGCTTCGATGGAAGGCGAATTTGCCGTTTCAAGCAAGGCTGCAACCGCTATCGAGTACAATTGCTCGCGCTTGCAGTTCGCGTCTGTCAATGTGGCACTCAGGTAGTCATTGTGTATGGCAAAAGGCAGAGCCGTTGCGTACACTGAAGCGTAAAGGGCAACTGAGTTGTGGCCTTGAGCAGAGTCGCTGTGATTGTCGGCGTGGGCTTCGTTATTTGGGTGCAGGATAGGAAACAGGGGCTGAACAAAGCGAAAAAATAGTCGGAGCAATTCGTCGCGCTGCTTTCCACAGAGCAGGTTCTCGATATCTAACCACGAAACACGCTTCACGCACGACTTGCCGTTGAGCAGAAAAGGTGGATCGTCTCTCACCATCAGTATTTGAGCACGCTCGCGGGTCAAGGGGTCGTTGTTGTGATCCCGAGTACTTCTCAAACGGGTCCGGGCTATTTCAAGCTGGTTTGTGTCTTTCAGCAATACCATGACCACATGGCGGTTCAAATGGCCAGTGTCTGGCAGAACCTGAGAACGATGAAGGATGCTTGGGTCGTGGGCCCGGGCATCGCCCCGCGATGGACGCACGTTCTGCGGTGGATAATGTCTCGGGCTTGTGCTCGCGTGGCGTCCGTCTGACGTCGGCGGCTGTGGAGGAGTCCCCTGGTTCTGACCCGTCGGACTTTCATCCTCGGCAAGGTCCAGACTGTCGAAGATGGCGGAGTCGAACGCTTCCGCGTTGAAGTCTTCCCAGGTCTGTGGGATGGCTGTCAAACTGTCCTGTTGCGAGTAATGGACATCTGGCAGAGAGCTGGAGAACACCCTGCGTCTCTTGTTGTTGGGTCCATTCTGGAAAGTGCACGAGCTGCCTCGACTTTCACAGAAGGCGCAAGGAGGTGAGGTTTCAATGCGACATGCGATCTTTCGTCCCCGGCAGGCGTCGCACGGTCGATCGCGCCTTGAGCGGAACGGTCTGGGGCCTTCCTGGCGAGCGGACAGGTCCATTTAATGCTATAGAGCGCATCCTCGATGGCCGCCAGGTTGACAGCATGATTTCAAACCAGCCGAGAAAGATTAATGATGGGATAGAGACGAGGTTGGTGCGTCGCGGGGAGATCGGGAACTGTTATCTCAAAGCGGCTAGACAAGTCACTATCCTTTGATAACGACGACGTTCTTCTCACACCATTGCCCGACTTCGAACATGTTTCCCTCGCATCATAATCCTCTGTTAGTCGAGGGAAGAAAGCGTGGGTGAATCATCAGCCGCTTCAGAGTATGAAGGCATTTAATATTGCTTTTGTCTCGACTCCTTTATTGACAGCTTCAGGAGCTTTTATGTTGAGATCGCGCATCTCCGCGCCCGTTTTGAACGACTGTTGCCCGTTGAGAAGCATCGATAAGAGGCAATATTGAGGATTCGCAATCGCAATGCTGCCGAACGGACGGCGTCGAGGAGCTCCATCTACCACGACGCAACTCCACCGTCTCCTAACGATACATGGTAGGTCTAACTGTCAGGGAAATACTATATAACCACCGAGAGTCCTTGTCTAGTCCGGCCTCTCGACATGCGACGAGGTAGCAGTAGCACCGTACGATCTCAGCATGCCTTCATTTCGATCTTCCCTCCAGACCAACCCATGCCTGATCGGGACCTTTGTCAGCTTCAATGACCCGTACAGCGCCCAAATTCTGGCTCAGGGCGGCTTCGACTGGCTGATGATCGACATGGAGCATTCGCCCCTCTCCGCGCAGGAAATCACAGCCATGGTGCATTCCACCGTGGCGGCTTCGGCTGGAAATTGCTCGCCAATCGTCCGGATTCCGTCCCACGGCGTCGAATGGATCAAATGGGCATTGGACAGCGGTGCCAGCGGAATCATTGTTCCAATGGTGAACACCAAGCAGGAAGTGGATGCCATTATCAAACGGGCACTGTATCCCCCTGCCGGGCAGCGAAGCTATGGCCCTTTTAGAACACCTTTTGCTGAGATCCCTGCCCCTCCGGACGTGGCCGACTATAAGCGAAAACGCTCACCTCATGTCATGATCTTGCCGATGATAGAATCAAAGGAGGCAGTAGAGAACGCCGAGGACATCATCAGGACAGACGGCGTAGATGGAATCTTCATCGGGCCTGTTGATTTGAGACACTCGCTGGGTTTCGAGGGTGCTGCTGGAAAGGAACCCGAATACGTCACAGCCTTGCAAAAAGTGCTTCAAATCGGCAAAAAACTTGCAAAGCCAATCGGTATTCTCGGCTCACCCGACTCAATTCCATGCCTTGTGAATATGGGATTCAGCTTCATCATGTTACCGGGCGGGGATGCAGGTATCCTGGCAGAAGCGGCCTCAGCACTGCTAAAGGCGTCAAAGAAATCCATTAGCTAGAACACAGTCTATGCTGGAGCCTCAGTTACATTGTCGATATTGATAATTTAATCCTGCGAGCCTTCATTTCCAGGGCCCACCATCTCAACCGCGGTGTGATTCATATACGCAATCTGTTCTTCGTTCCATAGGGCGACCAGCTTAGCGATCTCGTCTCCAGATAAGTCACCATTTGCAATACGCTCTCTCAGTAGTCGAGCACGCTTCTCGAGAACATCGAGGCGATAAGTCGACCACTGCTTGAAAAGTTGGTCCCAACGACTACTTTTCTTGACATTTCCGAGATTGCTGACGTCCTTCAGGCTCGGATCTCGAGGACGGAACGAAGTGACCATGGTGACGCGCTCACCTGTGCCGATGGCTCTCAACGCGATGTGCTCGATACAACCTCCTTGCATCATTACAGCCCAGCCAACCTGCGGGCCTCTGATCTTGGCAATGGAACCGTCCCCTTTTCTAAGGCCAGTTTCACCCCCAATCATGTTAGACGGGTCAGACAGCATGCAAACGCAGACCCATGGATACGAGTCTGTGTGCCATCGACCAACGGACGCAAGCTCCTCAGACTGGTCGACAGCTGGAGGGAGAGTGTGGAGTGCCTGGTTGGGAGGCATTGCAGGCGGCAGCGCAGCATCTAGCGGCATGCCATCCTCCAAAGCGTCTACTTGGACGTTGATATGGGCGATTTCGTAGTCGAAGACAACATCGAGATCAACCCCCGCGGCTTCAGAGCAAGCCTTGATGACTTCTTTGCTGCGCCATGCGGCATCGACGAAAGGCGTGTCTTCAGAGTATCCCCTCATCTTGTAGCAATTCTTCTTCGTCCTGTTGCCATGCTTGTTCACGATCTCTTTGCGGAAGAGGTCCGCCCGCATCTGCTTGACACCTTCAAGGGTGAATAAGGGGAACGGCTCAGTGATGGCGACGGGCGAGATTGCATCCTTTTCCGACAACAGCAACTCCTTCAAAGTAATGATGCTCTTTGGAGGCTCGAAGCAAAGGTGCTGGGCAGGATCGAAGCGCACGGGAGCCGGTGGACTGGAAACAAGAGGCTCGACCTTGGCGAAGGCATGGTCGACAGTCGGTAAGGGAAGGACGCTGGTTTCGGCAGCCATAATGGGCAAGTGAATTGATTGACGCTGTGATGCTGTGAATCTTGAGTTTGCTCTAACTTACCTCGATTTTATAAACATGGCGCGGCCGTCGTCTCTCCCGTCAACCCCAGGATGCTGGAAGTATGGCCATGGCGACGGGGAGCTTCTCTGCCAGAAGATAGGTCGAGTTTAGCTTTACAAGCTGCTCGCCGTATGGGGTGTTGGAAGACACGCACAGTTCCCTGTGGACGCGCAAGTAGACGGGGAAGCAAAGGGCGATCTGACGGTCATCTCCTTGTTCAACGGTTCCTGCACTAAGCCCAGTTTGGCTTGTCGAGTCTCACTGCTACCCCGAGATAAGCTCCTCAAGCTCCTTCGCCGAGTATTCTTGCCCGCGATATTCCCTTCGTTAGCCGGCCATTTCCCTATCTTGGGGAGAGGCAAACGTTTCTCCAATGAGCATATGCAGCCTTGGCCGTCAGCGGGCAACCATGTCTGGCTCCGCCGGTGCACGCGACAAGCCCAGACTTATCCACGCTCCCCATGTTTATCATAGAGCAGGATATGGAGCCCTGGCTAGATCCCGCGAGCCTATCAAGCCAGATATGATAGTGCCGAAGGTCAAAACATGGGGATAGAGCACGACTTGAATACAAAAGAATGGCTCGTTTCCGCCGCAAGGGCATCCGACTTCTTCAAGTTCAGGACTTCGCTTGACTGAAACAGGGGAAACCATGGGTGTAGACAAAGAAACCAACGTTGGGACTGCAAGTCCCGTCTCAGAGGAGGCACCAGAAGTGGGCTCCATTCGAGAGCTCAAGTCGTTACATATAGACGGTCTCGATCCAGTCTTTGAGCATCAAGCTCGACTCGTGAACCATGCAGTCCAGTGCATTGGCATGGGAAAGGTAATTACCGGAAGACACCACGACAATGAAGTGAATTGACAGTTTCAGTACCAATGGGCACTCTTCGTCCTCTGCGGATATGGCTGGTTGTGCGATCAAGTAAGTTCTGAAGACACCCACCTGGACCGCACAAGCTGATGCTCCCAGCTCTGGCAAACAACCGTTTCAGACGCCCTTGCTCAAGTTGCCGTCGAGTTCACTCCAAAGCACTCGGCGTTTTTGTCCCTTGCTCTGATAGCCGGACTGGTCGTCGGGGCGACTTTCTGGGGGCTTGGATGTGAGATATGCCAGTCCGAATAAACTGAATATGCTGACCTGGGCAGGTGACTTGATTGGCAGACGACTGGCATTCAATCTGACCCTTTTTTTGGCTGGGGTATTCGGCACCGCTGCAGGAGCTGCCAATAGCTTCGTCAGCTGTGCTGTTCTCGTCTCGTTTTGCGGGTTTGGTGTTGGAGGAAACTGTGAGTGCATAGAACTGATTCTGGAGAGCTTCCACTGATTGCAAAGTGCCCGTCGATTCCGCTGTCTTCCTCGAATTCCTTCCTGGCACACACCAGTACCTGCTTGAGATCTTGGCCGTCTGGTGGTCCATCGGTCAAGCTATCCCAGCAGGAGCTGCCTGGGGCTTCCTTCCTAACTTCTCGTGCAGCGCCGACACCCCAATCGGACAATGCCACAAGAAGGACAACATGGGATGGAGGTATCTGATGTACACCATGGGTGGCATCACCTTAGCTGCTTTCTTTGCTCGCTTCGTCTTCTTCCGACTTCGGGAAAGCCCTCGGTATCTTATCGGTCAGGGACGATACCAAGAAGCCATCGACGTGCTCAACGACATTGCGAATTACAACGGCACCACGCAACCACTGACGGTGGAAGATCTGCTGCAAGTCGAGCGAGACTATGCAAACGCCGGACACCCTGCAGCAATCAAGAGACCAACCACCTGGCAACGCACGCTGGCCCAATTCCGGCCTGGTGGCTTCAAGCACGTTCGAGCCTTATTTTCCACCAAGAAGGTCGCTTATAGCACCACGCTGATCATTCTCGTATGGGGAATGATAGGCTTAAGTTCACCTTTATACGCAAACTTCCTCCCAGAATGTGTGTAAAAGGAAGACATACCGAAGTTTTTTTTTTGGCGATTTTCTGACAATTGAACAGACCTGGCATTGCACGGAGCGCAAAGCGGCTCGAATAGCATCGGCATCACATACCGCAATAACTTCATCATCATCGCTTGCTCCATTCCTGGTACTCTGATGGCAGGGTGGTTTATCGGACTGCCATATGTTGGCAGAAGAGGCACGCTCGGGATTGCGTTGATCTTGACATCCGTCTTCGAGTTCGCCTTCACAGCAGCGAGAACGCAAGCATCAATCCTTGCGTTCAACTGCATAACCAGCTTTGTCTCTTATATGTGAGCATCTTTACCCCTTCAGCATTTCTATGTGCCTGCTGACTTGCGATCCAGCATGTGGGGAGCTCTGTATTGTTACACCCCGGAAGTCATCCCCAGCGTGCATCGAGGAACGGGGTGCGGTTTGGCGGCAGCATTCAACCGCATCTGTGGTCTTATGGCACCGATCATAGCGACCTATGTCGGCTACACAAACACGCCCATCTTCGTCTCGGCGAGTTTGTACATTGTTGCTGGGTTGATAAGCTTTATCTTCCCGTATGAGACGAGCGGTAAGGCAAGTCTGTGAGTGAATTGCTTAAAGCACGGAGGTTCTCTCTGTTGGACCAATCTAGAGAGCTAAAATCGGTTGACTGAGTTGATCGATTGAGGAGGAAGAGAAGTTCTATCCGTGATGGGAGAGGTTTAGATACTAGACCTGTGCTGCAGTGCCAAGAGATTCAGGAACTGCCTAATCGGGCTGGTTCAACGTTTGGACGTCCTTCGCGGGGTCTCATGGCTTGGAAACCCATAGAAGGCAAATAGTCGAGAGTTATAACCCTGGTAGCTGTCACTTTCACATTGAGTCCGCTCTCTCTTTTCAGGGCCGAGAAGGAGGTGTGAACCCCAAATCCTGCATGGACCACGGTCTCAGCTCCGTGAGATCGTCTGGGCCCTTTTCGCCCACGGGCTTTGCGAACTCGAACAGGAACTGCAGCATCCATTTATCCATGCGGAAGGACGTCTCCTTATATTTCTGGCACGCTTTGTGGAACTCGCGGAAACGCGTAAAGCACACGTCCAAGGTGGGCCAGAACGTCTGCAGGCACGTCAAGATCTCAAAATTCCTCTCGAGACGGGACCGCGCGGTCCGAATCTGCACCTCGTCGGTGCTGAAGAGCAGGATGTGGAGTTGTACTGTTGACGCAATGACCAGGACGTGCCCGACCATTGTGTAGTAGACCTCGCAGCCCGGGGTAGAATATGCGCGGTACAGAATCTCGCAGAGGCCAATCGAGTGGCTTTTGCATTTGTCGGCATAGTATCGGGCGTGAATGGTATCGTCATATGAGTCTTCGTGCAAGTATGGGTAATACAGTAGTTGCCCGTAGTGGTAATAGCCCAAATAGACAGCCACAAACATTGGGCCGAGCCCCATGGTGGCGTACCGTGAGAGGTTTGCGTGTGTGTCTTGGAGCCCGATAGGCAGGTTGTTGTACCAGCCTTCTAACTTGGCAGTGAGTGCATCGACGGCTTCGTGGTGATTGAAGTCGAGTTGCAGATTGGACGCCGCCAGTTCATTGGTGGTGCTGATCTCGAACAGAATCGCGTTCAGCTTGATCATCTGTGTCAACAACGATGCGCTCGATTCTTGAGGGCTGGTTGGACTTGAAAAGTCATTGTCGTCGCGGCGGAGTTGGTGAAACACTGTTTCTTCCATGGGATAGGGGGTGTTGCCTTTTGGCGTCAGCAATCGAGGGACTCGAACGCCTCGAGAGGACCAGACATCGATCATGCAAAGCGTCCACCACGCTCGACGGTTCACTTCCCGCTCGAGCCTAGATGTAACGGCCATGTTGGAAAGGTCGAGTAACAGCGCAATCCGACAGGCTACACTATAGAAGACAGCCTCGGCAGCTGCCTCACCTTCAGTGATGACATAGGCGCCCAGAAGAACAGCGGCCTGCAACGTCGTCAAGGAAACCTCACGCAAGTCGAGGAGATGCTCGGCTTCCTGGGCGTACGGCCTGCCTCGGACTCGTGGATCGATTCCCGCGAAGAAGGAGTCGTCCGAAAACCTTGCAGAGAGACCGATCATCGCAAAGAGAAGGACCCTCGGGATTGTGCCGCTGATGACGTCTTCCATCACACTGGGCGGATGAAAAAGGGAGTGGAAGGTATCATGAATGTACCTGAAATACAGTTCAACAAGCTCTATGCACAGCGGTTGAGAAGGTAGCTCGGTTGTGATGCTCTGGCATCGGGTCAGACCAGGTCCAGCGGTATCGGGAGTATTGGTTGGTGATTGGTTAAGCCAATTTCCATCGGGCTGGGGAAAGGGCGCAAAGGAACATGTGAGCTTGCGGTGGCTGCAATAGGCACATGGAGCACCAGCAGCGGTAATCTCGCACTTGCGACGACGGGTTCTGACGAGGATTTAGACTCCGAGGGTGAAAGTGGTGGAAAGATGGGGAGCAGAGAAGCCTACCGACACGCAACACAGGCTGTAGGAGGGCGCATGGTTGGTCATTCATCTGGGGTTGGAAAGTGCTAAGTAGAGGAGCTTGTTGGGCCAAGGGTTGGGATCAGCGCTGACCTGGCACACATGATGAAGGGTTAGAAGAGCTCGAGAAGCCTTACACGGCTAAGTAAGAAAGCATCCAGTAGCAGTGAGCAGCGGCGGCAGAGACGAGGCTGAGAGAAATGCGGGGTTGGAGGCGGGGAAATACGAAATACATCGAGACATTGTGGTCTTCGAGAACTAACGGCTGGTTTGGAGTTCAATTGTCAAGTTTTTGCTGGCCGGGTGGCATTGAATTTCATCATTTCTTCTATTTAGCAACGCCAATTCCACGCTGGGAGGACATCTAGGGCTTGGATCAGACATTGTCTCTATTCTCTTTCTTATTGTTGACCCCGACATCTCGCACAAAGTCAAAGCTCATCCTTAGTCATGGCATACCTTGGAGAGCCGCCACTCAAATTACGCAACCTGAACATGCGAATACCATGTCCTGGTACATGAGCTCGCAGAACGTTGTGCTTGGGTCCAATGCTGCCCACGCGTTTGCCCAAGAGTCGGGGGTCCGCCTTTGCTAGGCCTTCCTTGTACGGTGTCCGAGTCGAGTTATACCATGAGCTCTTGTATTGAGGCTTCCCGCTCAGAATCTGCTCGGCTGTAGAGTCTTCCATACGGTCGGCCCACAGGTCGTAAACGTCGAATTCCTCCTTGGTCTGTGGCGCCGAACCTTCGGGTCCTTCGTGCAAGAAGATCTCATTGAGGGTCGTTGTCATTTCAAGATCTTCATCCGCAGCATTGAGGAATATGACGACCTGGTCGTGCAGCCAAAGAGGGCCACTCCAGATTTGAATCTCCCCTTGTCCGTACTTGTCCTTCTGGACCAGTTGGTCACGGGAGATTTGGGCCACCGATCGACCGAGTGGATCTTGGCTGACCGCAATGACAGCTGGGTTATTGAGAATGGTCAACGCCTTTGCCGACAATTCGCGAATGTCCGTGCCGATCAGCAGTGGGGATTTCAGAGCAGCCCACATGGAAAAGTGAGCCTACAGAACCAGGATTAGCATGCAGCGAGGAGCTAGATGAGGATTTACAATACTTTGTATTCCTCATCTGTCATTCCACCCTGTCCGATTTCCAACATATCCAAATCGTTCCAGCCGCCAAATTGACCGCGATCGACGTAGGGTGCAACTTTGTTGATGATATTCATGACCGAGCAGTGAGTACCTGGTGCGACACAGTGAGGATCGCGAGGGTCATCACATGCACACAGAGCATCAGGACGATTGAAGTGATCATAAATATCACCCGATATCCGCCAGGAGTTGGCAATGGACATTCCCCAAGTGTGCACGTAGTCCTCTCCCCAAGAGCACAATGAGTACAGTATTGGTCGACCTGTAGCATTGAGAGCTTTGGCCATCGCGTTGTAACGGTTGAAGGAGATTTCAGGATAACCAAATCGGCCACGATGGTAACAGTTGTCGTACTTCAGGTAGTCGACATCCCACGAGGCCCAGATCTCTGCGTCTTTCTCTTCATTGTCAAGAGAACCTTCGTATCTAGCGCAGGTCATTTCGCCCGCACTGGAATACATGCCAAACAGGAGACCCATGTCGTGGAGTTCGTTGGCGACCCACTTCATGCCGTTGGGGAATTTTTGTGCATCATGTCGAAGATAGCCGGCTTCATCGCGACCATCCGACCAGCAATCGTCAAGGACAACATACTGATAGCCCACGTCCTTCAAGCCGCTATCCAATAGCACCTTGGAAGTATCAATCAACAGCGACTGAGAGACATCACAACCCAGAGAATTCCAGTTGTTCCACCCCATCTGTGGGGTTCTAGCCAGACCATTGTCGACAGCGTTCACCGAAGTGGCTAAGAGAGTGTGGGCAAGTAGAAGCAACATCATGCGTCGCACTGGAGGAGCTTTGATACAATCAATACGCGAATGTGTTTGCTCAGGGTGCCAGAATCGACATCTTATAAAAACCAAACATCTGTTAGACGGTGTGCCGAGCAGTATCGTACGTATCCGATGCCGGCGGATATCTCATTATGACGCAGCGTATGCACAGTTCAAGAAAAGAAATGAGCCAGGAGCGGGCGAATGAACAATGGGACATCGGCATTTTTCCTGCTATAGCGGTGCCAGAGGTGTAGAACTCATAAGGCAGAGTGAGAGTGAAGTGAGAGGAAAGTGAGAGTGGAAGTGAGAGTTTGTCAATTCCGCCGCTAACAAACTTGCCCAGACTTTTGCCCAATCACGTGCCATCAATCCCGCCTCTTTTTCCTCTCGAGCTGCGGATCTTTCACCCCCTGTTTTCCATCGCCAGCCCCATTCTCCGTCTTCTGCCATCACTTCTACCCGCGCGTCCACCTATTTCCCCGAGCTTGGATGCACCTGCTCGTTGGGAGCATCTCTTGCCACATCCGACTGGCGCACAAAGAGAAACATTCGACATCTTATCCTATCCAGCCCATCCAGATCAGTCACTCAACTCCTGGCAGCACCCACCAACACCACTTCTTTCTCCAATGGCGCGTCTATGACCCACACTGATCTGGGGCTTTGAGCCGTGGGATCCGTTCTCTCAGCTTTCCTTGTCACTGGGCCAGTACCGTTCCATTCTCACGCACCAATTACCCTTAGGCGACACCGAGGCACACGGCTCCAACCGCTTTGCTCTCAACCCAGCCAGCGAAGGGTACTCATCTTTTACCAGCGGTGAGGATGCTCTGCCGGCTGCAATGGACGGTAAAGACTCCAAGTTGAAGGATTAATTTTCCAAGGCTGTCATGTACCTGACCAAAATGTTCAGACAACAATTCCGTGCCCAGCTCTCCATCACGGACAAGTTTAGAAGACGAGCATTCGGGCGACCGCCCGCTGTTAGCCAACACAGGAGCCGCCGATGACAGCGTCCAAGTACGGGATTTCTCCCATAATGGAAATGCAAGACAGACACAGTTGCGCCATGAATACGACAGCGACGGAGAGGGCGAAGAGTACAGAAGGCTTGAACAAGCTGCCTCGCATCATTCCCATCTTGAGCACAATTTAACCGTACGAGAAGCCATCAAAGCCTTCCCGATGGCCGTCTTCTGGTCCTTGGCGGTCAGTACCTGCGTGATCATGGAGGGCTTCGACAGCATTCTGGTTCCCAACTTCTATGCTTATCCTACCTTTCAGCGGAAATGTAAGTCTCATTTCTCCGTTTATTGGCTCCTGAGAACTACGCGATGCTGAGGTGCCTTTTGCAGATGGCGAGTTTGTTGGAGTTACTGAGCAGACCAAGTCCGGGTATCAGCTCAGTGCGACTTGGATGGCTGCAGTAGGTCTTGTCACGACCCTATTCCATCAAATACTTCCCGGGCTGACTACCACCGATGGCAGATTGGAACGGCCTCGGGCGTGGGGGCCGTCCTGGGCACAGTCTTGAACGGCTATCTTGTCGACCGATTTGGTCAGAAACGAGTGCTCCTCGGCGCCTTGTGCGTCCTCTCCTGTCTCATTTTCATGACTTTCTTTGCCCCAAACATCCAGGTCCTCATGATCGGCCAATTCCTGTGCGGCTTCCCTTGGGGCATCTTTGCTACGGTGGCCCCATCCTACTCCAGCGAAGTGCTCCCTATGGCACTCCGGGCGTACCTTTCGAGTTTCACAAATATGAGTTTCATCATCGGACAGATTATATGTGCCATCGTGTTGAGGATATTTCTGGAAAGGGATGATGAATGGGGATTTCGAATCCCCTTTGGTTTCCAATGGATATGGCCCACTTTCCTCATTCCGCTGTTATCTTTCGCGCCAGAATCACCCTGGTACCTCGTCCGAAAGGGTCGTCTGGACGAGGCCGAGAAATCGCTCCGACGCCTTCAATCCCGCACAGCAAAGATTGATCCCAAAGAGACCCTCGCGAACATTATCCATACCAATAACCTGGAACAATCATTACAAATTGGCACATCCTACATCGACTGCTTCCGCGGGTTTGAACTCCGACGCACCGAGATCGCGTGCCTGTGTTTCGCGGGTCAAAACTTCTCCGGGCTGTCGTTCGGGTATAATGCGACGTATTTCTATGAACAGGTCGGCCTCAGTGCCGAAACAACCTATACACTAAGTCTCTTCGGTACTGGATTGGCGCTGCTCGCGACTCTAGCGAACTGGTTCCTCGTCATGCCCTATTTCGGTCGTCGGAAAATCTACACAACTTCGATGCTGGTCATGGCCCTGATCCTCTACGTCATTGGAGTCTTAAACGTCTGGACCTCCCACAACTTCATCGCCTTCTCACAGGCCCTGCTGACCCTCCTCTGGACCATAGTCTTCCAACTCTCGGTCGGGCAGTTAGGTTGGTCCCTTCCTGGAGAAGTCTCGTCGACACGCCTTCGAACCAAGACAATCTGTCTCGCGCGCAACGCTTATTATCTTGTCGGGTTTATAGGAGGGGTCGTCCAGCCGTACATGATGAACCCACAGGCGTTGAATTGGAGGGGATATACCGGTCTATTTTGGGGTACCACGGCCATTCTCACGTGGGTGTGGGCGTGGTTCAGGCTGCCAGAAACGAAAGACAGGACGTACGAGGAATTGGACATCTTATTTGCCAAGCGCATCGACGCGCGAGAGTTCGAATCGACAAATGTCCACGCTCTGGATGCGAATGAGATGCAGCAGCTTGCGAGGAAAGCGGCGAATGACACAGCGTCTGGTGGAGGAAGTCCAGGATGGGATATCGTGGATGAACGAGAGCCACTGACGAACACTGACGAGGCTGAGGGAAGCGGCAGCGCTCTCAGTCCTTCTCAAGAAGTAGGGGATGATGAAGAGAGGCTGTTGCCGCGGATAGTGCCTGGGCAAGACGTTGGAGGGAAGATATAGTTGGCACGAGAGTTTCCCGACATGAATACTATCTATTCGGAGAATCTACTCACCAGGGCCTATGTGCGCATAGACGGCGGGAGAAAATGCAGGGAGAGCTCTCTACCCATTTCCCACCTCTGGCGGAAAACGCATTCACCAACTCGACTGGAGTCGGGCCGAAACAAGACCAGACTAAGTCTTAGTCTTTGGGGTTTGAGCGGCCATTCACCCACAATTTCCCCGCATTCTTTGGACTCGTTCGACTCGTTCCACGCCTTCGACCGGTTCTAGACTGAGGCTGATCGATTCTTGTGAGTGGCTCCTTCGATAATTGATCTGACCAACCACGCCTCGTACTGGACTTTCTTCCTCCAAGATGCTAAGAAGCATCAACAAATCACACACGCCCAATCCCGCCATTGTCCGCCGTCACTGTCGGCATTGTGTGACCTTATGTTGTTCCTTCTCCAGCTCTTGCTAATTGCAACCAGGTAAGGCCCCGATAGCATACGCTATAGCGGACATAATCACTATTCACGGAAATGGACTTCTTTCAGATATGTGGTGAGGAAGGGTTGTTGCGAATGAGTGCAAACAAGTATAAGTACCAGCTCTCCACTGCGCCCGGTGCTCTTGATCGTCGCAACACACCAAGTCAAAAATCAAGCACAATCCTACACTGAAGACGCCTTGTGTTCAAAATGTCAGAAAAAGGCCAGGATGTCATCCACTTCGACGAGCCCAATGGCAACTTCGACCGCACATGGAGAGAGGAACAGTGGGGATCCAAGAAGCTGAGTGCTGCGGCTCAGGATGTGGCCAAAGACGAGAAGGACATGACAATCCGCCAGGCTATCAAGGTCTACAAGAAAGCCATCATTTGGAGCTTGGTCATTTCAACCTGTGTCATCATGGAGGTAGGTCGCCGCCGGCAATCCTGCCTTCTCTGGTGAGTCTGACCGAAATAGGGATATGATACAAATCTTTTGGGCAACTTTTATGCATACCGTGAGTGGAATCCGAAGTCCTGTTTCTATGTTCTCACCTGATCATCCCTATAGCATCATTCCAGAAAAAGTACGGTGACTGGGTCGGCGTCACGAAACAGACGCCTACTGGTTATTCGCTCACTGCCGGTTGGCAGTCTGGTCTTGGGCAAGGCAGTGGTAGGCTTTCACAACTCAGATAATGTGCACAACAGCCTCATCATTAACAACTGTCGCAGGCTGTGGTTCAATCTTGGGTACAATCATAAACGGGTGGCTGGTCACAGCGTTTGGTCCTCGCAATGTCCTGCTGTGCACCCTTTGTGTCATGACCTGCTTCCTTTTCATCGTTTTCTTCGCGCCCAGCAAGGAAGTCCTCCTTGTGGGAGAGATTTTACTCGGGTTCGAATGGGGAATCGTAAGTCATGGCTACACTGTTCGTGGGTCATTCAAGCACTAATCCGCACTTGAGTTTGCCACCACAGCACCCGCGTACGCGTCGGAGGTTCTCCCGCTCCAGCTCCGCGTCTTCTTCACCTCGTACGTGAACATGTGTTTTATCATCGGCCAGTTCATCTCCGGGGGCATCCTGCGTGGGCTTGTCAGCAGAAACGACCAGTGGGGATACAGGATCCCCTTTGCGATTCAATGGATCTGGCCCGCGTTCCTCATCCCTTTGATCTGGTTCGCTCCAGAGTCGCCCTATCATCTTGTTCGCCACAACAGGCTCGAAGAGGCAGAGAGGTCTATCCGCAGACTGCAGGCCGCTGGTCCCGATTTGGATCCCAAGAGAACTCTGGCAACCATTGTCTACACGAACAACTTGGAGGAGCAACTCGCCGTGGGTACCTCGTATTTCGATTGTTTCCGAGGGTTTGAGAGACGTCGAACAGAGATTGCCTGCGTCGTCTTTGGTGGCCAGCTTGTGTGTGGTCTCTGCTTTGCTTATGCGTCGACATATTGTGAGTTCCCCTTGGCTCCGGACGAGTGTTTGGCACTAACATCCGACCAGTCTTTCAACAAGTGGGCTTGGACATGAAGGCAGCTTATTCTTTGGGCGTTGGTGCTAATGGCCTTGCTCTGTTGGCTTGCTTCGCCAATTGGTTCTTGCTCATGCCGTAAGTCAATTCCTTGGTTTCATTTCCCTCCAGCTCTCTGTTCCGCCATCCTTACACATACGACTCCTTTAGATACTTCGGCCGCCGAACCGTCTATGTCTGGGGAATGTGCGCCATGGCCATCGAGTTGTGCCTCATCGGCATTCTCAACCCCTGGACCAATCGTCCCTCTGTTGCTTGGACGCAAGCCGTGCTGACCTTGGTTTGGACCGTCACCTTCCAGCTCAGCGCCGGCCAGCTGGGATGGGCTTTGCCGGCCGAGATCGGGTCGACCAGGCTGAGACAGAAGACCGTCTGCCTCGCGCGGAACGTGTCCAACATCACCGGCGTCATCGGTGGCACCCTCGAGAACTTTTTCATGAACCCCAAGGCCTGGAACTTGCAGGGCTACACTGGCTTCGTATGGGGTGGCTGTGCTTGGCTCGTGTTCATCTGGGCATTCTTCAGGCTCCCAGAGACAAAGGTCCGTTTCCCTTTCCTCCCCCACCCTCGATGGGACTCGATGTCAATGGAACTAACTTGACCGATTTCGCCAGGACCGCTCGTTCCACGAACTCGACATCCTCTTCGCCAGAAACATCCCCGCCCGGAAATTCAAGACGACCCAGATCGACGAGTTCGACGAGCACGAGCAGAACCAACTCGCCGCGCGGTACTCGGTGGACGGCGGCCAGGGTCCGCCCCTGCGCCGTCCGTCCTACGTGCCCTCCGTGACCAACGTGCTGGCGAACCACGGCCGCGCCGAAGATGCCCTGGCCCAACGCAGAGGCTCGATCATCGCCACACCCAACGGGTCCCGCAGGCCTTCAATCGCCCCCGCCGTCACGGAGTATCTGAAGACTCATTAGAGGGCAGGAGGGGGAGGGGGGAATTGCGACGCCGAGTTCTTTTGTTGAATCGTTGAAACTGATGAGGGAAGCAGTGGCCCATGCATGGAACCCGAGACGTGGTATTCGATTTGGAATGCTTCGCGTGAGCAGCTACGCTTGTTTGTCCTTTGCTTTGCATTGGGAGTTGACTAGGTAGTTAGGGACGATGTACCGCACATACTCAGTAGTGGCACAAAAAAGACCGTCCCAGGCCTCCCTCCATCATGTTCCAAGTTCTCCTGTCTCGCTACAAAATATGAAGAGCCGTGGTATTTTTAGTGTACAGATGTAAAAAATATGACTACAAGCCCGAAGCCCTGGAGATAGTGTGGACTGAGATACGGGACAAGACATGACTCCAGTGTCCGTGGGTATCGTGAATGCAAATACACCATGCGTCAATTACGGAACCTCCATTATATCCTCGAAGACTGGCAAATTCAATCTCATGCAACTGGGTTCTAGTTCCTAACTGCCACCTTTTTCGTCGTCGACATCCGTTTCTTCGACCACAGTCAGAGAAAAGTCTGGCCAAGAGCTGGCTCCACACGATTCTCACCCAGTCGCTTCGCCACTTCCAACGCTGCCTTCACGAATGTAGGAAAGTCCGGCTGCGCCAAGTTGGGAGCGTACAGCAAAGGTCGCTCTGCGAGGCGAAGCTCTTGTCTCGTGGCAACTGCGCCCGTATACGTGACGTGATCTAAGCAAAAGTTTGCTGTTGGCTGAGGGCTGTGCTTGGACGTTGAATTGAGGCTAGACTTGTTCTTCGGGAGCTTGGAAGCCGAGTGGACTGAGAACAGCCGCGAATCAACGTCAACAACATCCACTGATCGGAGAATATATTCGTGCTTCTTTTCGACCATCCCGGGGGTGCTCTTCTTGCTTTCTGTCTCCGCCGCGCCTCGAGTTCCTGTACCTTCACTTTGGGTGACAGCATGCTGGATGCGTTTGTGCGCGTCCAACAAACTGTGATGGACCTGCAGGGTGAGAAATGGTAGAAACACCCAATCTGACGAACCGCGGGCTTGTGCATTGCCGATGTAGCCACGCAAGGCATTGATCAAGAGTCGCGCAACGTCGGTCTCGGCAGATCCAGGGTATACGAGATCTTGCTTGAGCTGCTGAGTGAATTGCACGTCGATGTCGTTCTGTGGACACAGCACCGTAAAATGAGTTTCATGGTGAATGGCCGCTACCCGAATGATTTTGAGTCGAGGTCGCTGTCCACCGACGGATTCGCCTGCGGTAACATATATTTCAAAAGTCGGCAAGCCTTTCGAGGTTGAAATCGGTAAGAGCTCCAGGCGCAGTATCGCGCGGGCATTTTTGTCTACATCCTTCGAGGCTTCCAATGGCGCTTGGGTCCAGGATGCCATGAGCGCAAGGTGCTGTGCCAGGAATGGACCTCCTCCCACGAAGCGTTTCATTTCAGTCTTTTGTGTTGGGGCTGGCCGCTCTAATAGTGCTTCTCTTTCATCTTCACCATCTGCATCTTGGGCTTTCGATGTAGTGTCAGAATGAGGCTCATGGTTCACGACATTCGATGCATTTCTCTGAACCTGGGAAAAGCCATCCTCCGCTCGTTGGTTCTTTGTTGATGGATTGTGCTCGCGAATCTCAGACTTTTCAGGTTTACAACCTCGTGCTAGGATAGCGATTGTCGACCCACCCTGCCCCTCCGCTGAGCCAGTGGTGTCTTTATCGACACCACCTTCAACTGCTCGTGGAAGCTTTTGTATCAAAGCCTGACCAAACCTAGCGGCCATATCATAGTAGAGTTCTTGTCGGTTGCCTGTATTGTGAATCCTAGTGCTTGGGTCAAATGTCTCTCGCAAACCTTGCAGAAGTGGTGCGAGTGCAGCAGTCTTGCGAGTAATAGCTTTGGAAGTCTTCGAACTCGGGGAACTAGATACCAGCCTCGCCCACTGGGAATGATGTAATATCGCAGGAAATTCGGACGGAGTTGGGAAAGGCTGAAGCGCAGTTGCTGATATGCCCATCGGTGGCCAGATGGCTGACTTCTCTGAAAGATTCTCTGTTGGAACAGAAAGCAAGATCTCGCGGCGAGCCTGATCAGCACCACGGGGGTTGCCAAGGTGGACAATTCTGATGCATTGCTCGTCCATCCCAATATTCAAGCCTTGGTATTTTCGTTGGATCGATTTCAGGTACGCGTTGAGATAGTCCTTCGAAGCGGGGTCTTGGTACATGGCATACCGAGATCCCTTCAGTTGTATGACAATTTGTCCCAGATTTTTTGTGTATCGAGAAATCCTTTGTAGTGCTTGCTGAGCATTGGCTTTGGATCCCATCGCTCTAATCCTGCATTGAGACGGATAAACATCGAATTGAACATCTAGCTCCTCGGCGATTCTTTTCAAAGGCTCACTAGGATGCATCAACAGGTGGTCGAGCTTGACGGGTTCCCGCAAAGAGAGGACCATCTTCGACTGTTTGCCCGGAGGAGCGGCAGACTCATCTTGTACTGGAGTAGTAAAGCCCCAGACTTCTTCGACCAAGTACTTGATGATTTCCCTTTTGTTGCACTTATCGAGATCCTCTGACGAAGAGAAGTTGCCTTTGCGCAGACGGATGTACTTTTTCAATTGCGCTTTTTGAAACCCGTTGGCCAGATGCCTTTTCAGGGCTGTCCATTCGTGCTTTTCCAGCTGTCCGCGCATCTTGCCAACCAAGGAACGAACCTGCTCAATGTTCTCTGCCAGCTTCTGCCCGCTGAGCGGGACGTTCTCCGAGTCGATGGACTCCTGTAATGTACTTCCTAGCATCTTTTCCGTTCCTTCGTCCTTCGGAACTTGTGGTATTCGCCGATCTCTCGTAGGGAGGAGCAAAACCTCTGCGGGTTTCCCAAGGGAGTTGACACCGAGTTGGGCGGTTGGTTTGGGCGTCCATTTGCGAAAGTTCAGGCGTCGGACACTGGGCCGAGGTGGGCTTGTCGGATCGGGTTGTAAATTGCTTTCAGAGAAATTTTTATTGTCTTTGTCGTCGTCGGCGACTGCCTCGTGTATCAGCGGGTGTGTCGCTGCACTCTGCCATCGTCGCGGTACACAACGGTTGACGGACTCTGCGGCTCCTGGTGAATTGAAGTTGGCCCTGGCAAGATTTCTCTGGCATCGCAGGCAGACATGGACCGGTTTGGCCGCACGAGCTAACATATATGTCGTGCATTAAATGACACAGCTATGGCCGATTAATCGAAGGAGGGAAACTGAAAATTATTTGGCAGTAGATTGAGACGCAACATATTCTCCCGCAACTGGAAAAAAGTGTCGCCGGGAAATAAACTGCGAGACTGCTCCAGTCTCACGTGCGACTCGGCTAGATCTCACAATGACTAATCAGAGTCAAGGGATGTTCGACCAGTTACAACGCTGAGCTGCGGCAGTAATCAGAAGTATTGACGTCACCGTTGCAAAAAAAAGAAAGAAGCACTAAGCCAAAACAGGTCTGGTCATTCAGGTTGAGATGAATGCCTGAAGCATCGTTCAATCGAAATTAGAAGTACTTGTAGAAACGGAAGAACGAGAGAAAGAAATAGAGAGATCATATACTCGGTATATTCCTCCGTGAAGAAGCGAAGCTCAAATCATGCATATACCCACTCGCCCATCGTCCAGCTAAGTCACGCACCCCCCTCCAGGTTCGCAAAGCCAATCATCTCAAATGCTTGGAGCACCTCCCGCCCAGTGTTAGACCGCATCTAACACTGCCTCATGTTTCCTTCATCAAACATTCTCTTCAGCAGCTGCCACGGGAGCAAAATTTAGGACTGGGAGAATGGAGTCAGACCCTCGGCAACCTCTGTTAGAGATGGGGCAAAGGTTCCAGCATTAGTGGTAGCTCTTTCGACTATTCGTAAGGCTGGGGTGCTGAAACCATCGACTCTCGTAATCCATCGTTGCCACACACATCCAGCAACCGAAGTCGTGCTGCTGATAAAAACCCAATCTAACGAGCGCACAATGAGAACACTCATGACAGCGGCGGAAATGACTGACGACCCACCCGCGCCCGTCATCACTCTCTTTCGCCCGCCCATTCTACCAGTGAAAGCCGGCTGACAACGCGTCGTGTCTCGACAAAGGGGAATTCCGTGACTTGAAGGCTGCCCGCCGACACCTGGTCCATAGGCAATGCTCACCAGACTACTATTACCCTTCCCGTATGCTCACATTCGACGATAGCACGCGCCATCGCGAACAACTCAGAGGTCGAAAGTGCAAGACCAAGCAACCCCTATCGAAGTTTGTAGGTGTCACGACTCAGATGCGGTACTACTTGGGGCAGGAATGCAAGGACTGGTCAAACGCACCATTCGAGCGAAAAAAAAAAAAAGGTTCCAAATGTTTGCATTGGCATTTCGTCCGGCGCGCCAGTCGAAATGGGCATGGCCAGCCGCCCAGGCCAACATCCCAAGGCTGAGCCTCTTGCTCGTCCTGTATCCCAACCCGCATCGTGAGACCCCATGTTCTCTAATACCATGAGGACAACAGACTCCCCATCTCAGAAGAATCGTCCTGTGAGTGCAATATGCGGAAGGATTTCGCGAGCAAGGATACCGTCAGCTCTCGCGTTACTTCAGTGAACTCGGACGAACAGCCTAGGTACCGGTGTCCGCATTGTGGGGGGGTTGCGTTCAGTCGACCTTTCAGCAGGAGGAGGCACGCTTCTCGCTATTGCCAGCCACGGGTCTATACTCATCTTGGGGCAGAGGATAACAGCCACGCCAGCAGGTTAGATGGAGATACAAGAGGCCAGGACCCCCACGCCTCGCCTCAAACACAGATCAAACATCGAGAGGGAAAGAGCATATTTCAGGAAGCGGTCCTGCCTAGTGATGATGTATCATCTTACTCGGACTTGCCAACTCCGCAAATCGTCCCTTAGGTCAAATTCGGTAACCTCGTTGTAGTCGGGTCGATCACGCCGTCGATGGTCCTGCTGACTGGCGTGGACCTGCTGCTCGATGCTCGATCGGCCACTCACGGAGCTCGTCGCGGCTGTTTGCAAGGTGGGAGAGTCTCGACTTGATCCGCGTCGGTGCCCGTGGCCGTGGCCCTGCCCGCCTGCGGCCATCTGGGGCGTCAATAGTTGACGCGGAGTGACGGGTCGTCTTGGCTCGTCGCTTGAACTGCTGCCGTTCTCTTCGCGCGAGCCGAGCCGGGTGTGCTGTTGTTGCTGCTGCTGTTGCTGCTGTTGGTTGGCCTTGCTGCTCGACGACTGCGGCCGTTTTCCGTCTCCTCCGGCAAAGAGGTTCTCGATCAATTTATCCGGGGGGAGTTCTCCGGCTTGACAAGCCCACGTCGCCGCCAGTGTTCTGCGGTAAATGTCCTGGGCTTCTGATAATTCTCGCGTTTTGCTGGTGATGCTTGGGATATCGTCTCCTTCTCCAGCCTCGGTAGTTAAGACTCCAGCGATGCCTCCGACGACCATGGCCGACCTCAGTGGAGGCGCGATGAAATTCGAGTCGCCCTCGGTCTGCCTCATTTTGATCCCAATCTTTAGCGTGCTGTTGACCTTGCTGTCCTGCAGTAGATATCTCCTAGTAATGCTCCCGTCATCGGCCTCATCCTGCGGATCGCGGTCCGATGGCGACAGGTCCGTGAGGCGAGTGTACTCGGCCAGGTTGAGTTTGACATTGCCCAGGTGAACGCGCCCGCCTCTTCCGCCCTCCTGGAACTCCTGCAGTACCTCAAAGTGGATGTCACACTCTTGGAGCATGCCCGTCTTGTCGATGGTCAGGCGCACGGGGATCTCCTTGCAGTAATCCCATGTTGCTTTGTGTTCTTCGATGGGCGCCTTGTCGGTGCGCCCGCGATGCTCGGCCGCGTTAGACGACGAGAGGTGCCACCGCACGCATGCGGTGCCGTAGATCAAGGGAATATTGGTCAGGTCGATGATGCGGAGGGTGAGGTCGAATTTGGGCTAGAATAACGAACGATTGCCGCCTCTCGATCAGCATTATATCCATTGTTTGTAAGAAGAAGAGAAAATCAGCGATGGGAGGTGGGAGGGCTGGTCAAGGAAGAGGAACTTGCCACCTCGCGGCGGGGGCGGCGCATGGCATATCCATTACATTGCATACCTTTCGATTCTTGGGGACTGAGAATGCGAGATTGATCAGCGCTTGCTTCCGCAGCATGTTCCTCACAGCCAACATAGAGGAAGGTGACAATCAAGATGGTTTTCCACGGCGACCACCACGATGACAATCGTCGTCATCGTCATCACCCAACCCATCGATCAGCCAAAAAGGGAGGGGAAAAAACGAAACAACTCACCAAAGGCCTGCATGGTGAAGGAAGCGCACGGGACGTCACCTTGTTTTCACATGAGCAGTGGCCGAAGAGCGAGAGCGAAACAAAGCCAGATCCACGTCCGTGAGCGAGCGAGAGAGTTTCGTTGTTAGTGGGTTCCTTCCATTTCCGGCCGCCGGCCGCCGGCACCGTGTCTGTCTGCGCGTGAGAGAAGTTGAAGGAGAGGTCAACCGGAATACGCAGAATTGCGTATCTAGGTAGCTAGGCCATGCGAGACAGATAGTGATGGAGGGGAGGGGAGCGGACATGGGACGTCGGATAAGCTTGTGAGAATCTTGTTGCAACAGGGAGTTTGTTTGGTTCGGTAAGAGCTGGGTCTGTGTGGATGTGCATGTGGATGATGCAACCAAGCATTGAGCCAAAACCGAGGAGCCAGCAAGTCAGCAAACCACCGGGCCGGACGGACGAAGCGTATTACCCACCGAGCACGCCGTCCATACGAGTTGCTCCGAGACATTCCATTGACGACTACACACACACGGACCAAGAACCATTATCATTTGCAGTATCACGACTGCCCTGTTAGTTTGGCGGTCCGCTCACTCTACTCCTTTGCTTCCGGTCTCTATCTATGTATCCGTCTACCCGCGGAGTAATCTATGTCTAGCGCCCCCCTAGCCCTCAAAACCCCCGTGCACGGACACCAAAAGTCTTGCCCTAATTCTAGTAATAATATAGACTTGGAAAAGATAATAACCCCCAATCCCTCGGCCACAGCACCATGCTATGCCGTGACCCCGACCATGCCGAATCTCCAGTTAAAACTTGTGCACTTCTTCCTTGGTGTATCCCAGTTCTCCGAGGATTCCGCCCAGGCGGCCCTGCGTCCAGCCAAAGCCGCCCTTGGCGCCGGCCACCGCTTCAATCATGGCGGGCGGCCCGCTGACGAGGACCTTGACGTTCCGCTCGTTCATCTTGTGGGGCATCGCCTGGCTCAACATGGCCTTGTTCACGTACCCCTTGTGGTAGAGGCCGTCGTTCTCCGGCGTGGTCTTGCTGACGGTGTAGGTCCTGGTGAAGCGGTCGGGGAACTGCTGCGCCAGTTGGTCGAATTCGGATTTCAGCAGGATATCTTCCTCGGTGTTGTTCGCGTAGACAAGCGCAATCTTGGTCTCGTCCGCGGGATTGTCGAGGATCGCCCGCGTCAGCTGGTAGATTGGGGTGATGCCGGATCCACCGGCGATGAAGGTCATGGCCGAGTATTGATTCGGCTTGTAGTCAAACTCGTGTAGTGGCTTGAACAACATCGAATCCCCCGGTTTCAGAGAGTGCATCTTGCCGGATCCCTTGCCGTTGGGATACTTCTTGACCATGAACGTCACATATCCGGGTTGGTCTTTGCACGTGATAAATCAGCCCCAAGGGTCCATTGCAGCGAAAGAGATGAAAACTCACCGTTGGCGCTGACGGGCGTGTATGGTCTGAAGACTGGAACCCAGGCACCCTCAGGTGTATGTCTGGTCAAGAGAGAGGCTGTACAAGAGTCAGGAGATCTGGCTTCCCACAGTCGATTGATGGCTCATACTTACTGACTGGGGGGATGCCGGTGATGGATGAATCGTCAGGTAAAGCAAATGTCAGTCTCTTGACATTGTGATTGACCATTTCAGCCTTTTCGAGCTTGAGCTCCGTGAAGCCCTTCCAATCCATCTTCTTCAAAGCAGCCTTGGCATCCGAAGGCGGTGATTCGGCATGAACTGTGTTAAAATGGAAGAAGGTCGTGCTCCAATAATGACAGGCAGTGTAGCCAGCTGTGGCGCCGATCGCTGCAACACCGGCAGCCCTGAGTGAAGGACGGACATATGCTGACATATTGATCCGGTTGACTAGAATGCTGGAGAGCTAGAGACAATGTCCGATACTGTCGAGCGAGAAATTAAAAGATGCTGTCCCTGATCGAAAAGAAAGGCTGTAAAGTAGCCCTTCAGGGGGATGACGGTAGGTACCCCTAAGTTGAAAAATGCCCTCAAATCAGTGAAAGAAGTACCCGAAACCCCCAACGCTACAATGAAGAGAGAGATCCGCAAAGGAAGACAAAGACAACGGCCCAGAGGAAACCTCGAATATGACAAAACTCGGTGGGAGGGAGAACGGTAGAATCCTGAACAGGTTGTTCGATATTTTTTGGGTGAAAAGGGAAAAGCTACGACTCAGCACCTGTCGGCGGCCGGTCAGACGAGCTCCGACGCCCAGAGCTGATTGGGCGGGAAGCTGCACGTGCCGGAGGATAATTCCTCGAAAAGGATCGACAAAAGGCCAGGCCATTCGGCCCTGCGGATCTAAAAATACCCTGCGACCAGCTGCTGCTTGGCACAGCCTTGGAGCCTTTCGCCCCCTTTTCCCCTTCTTCCCTTTTGCCCGGACCAAGAGTTTGCTTCCAGCCTGCAAGGCTGTCATGGAGAAGGGGAGAAAAAGGAGTCCTTTACAAAAGAAAGCCTCAGCCTTGTCTCGCCTGATGAATCAGGGTGGTTCAGCACGCCTACTTGTGGCTCGTAGTCCAGGTTTCATCTGCGGACAGCTTGTGTCGATATTCTCTTATTGATGGAGCTTCGACAGGTACACCATGAGGAGACTGTGCCATGACTGATAATATCTTTTTGGACAAACGAGGGCCTTGGGCTTGTCTCCTATCGCACGATCAGTAATTGCTCAAAGCAGTAGCCTTCCGCCGCGGATATATACAGTCAAATGCCCGTTAAACAGCACACACTTGGTGAGAGGCTTCATAACACGCTCGAGTTCACCGAACGATGGTGATTCCCCAAAGAGGCAGCCACTTGCCTTCTTTACTCTTTGTATCTCGTCAACCACTTCTACTGAAGGTAGTGACACGCCCCGTTACCCCAACTCTGCATGCTGTGTTGCTCAGACAACATTCTCGGCGAAGATGTCTAACAGTGAGAAGGTGACATCGAACAGATCCTTGGTCAGTTGTTGCATTGTTAATGGGACCAGCACCATCCAAAAACACATTTCGCATCACCCCATTTTGAGGCGTACAGTTGGAAAGTGGCACAAAAGGTCCCTAGAGGTCCACGTCGCACGTGGTGGCCTTCGTGCACATTCCTCGCTGACCGCCTTGTACCACTAGAAAGGCGGACGCGAAGGAGCTTTTCTCATCGCGCCGACCGGATACCTTGTCCACTGGCGGCAATCAATAGCACACTCAGTCACTCATCTGTCAATTTTCGGTGTCAATGACTAAGACAGTTGACGTTTCTCGCAACATTGTTTACGCACGTCCTGAGTGCTGGAAAGTGCCGTTTCCGTTCGCACTCTTTTGGTGTCATTGAAAACTCTGTCACACTGGTAGCTGAATGCGGGTGGGCTCAGCTGAGATTGCAACCAGCAGCTCACTGGAACCCAGGCAGTCAGATGAAACATAGTAACCGTAGTGCCAAGCATGAGACTCAGCGGCAACCAAATCCGCGCAAAGACGTGACACCTCACTTGACTTCAAAGTTTGAATTTGATAACTCGAAAGAGACCTGGCATGGCCCTAGACCAATAGTAGTCACCTCAGTGTCAAGACGAGGCACACATTCATAACAGTAATCTAGATGCAATTGAGGAACCATTAGTCGGACAATCAGTGCCTCTGTCGGTCGTCAGTTGCGGTTGCGCAATGCAGCCAAAGGTCTGGTGGACATGACCATTTTGGGATGGTTAGGCGCTCGGAGATGTGCACAACAGGCATGCATAGAAACAATGACCTGATCCCCAAATAGATGTTTCAGCGGTCCCGCATCCTGCGTGGGTGGGTGCTGTGTATCGTCATCCTTTCATGACGAATTTTTGGTTGTGTTTTATTTTCCTAGCAAGATGTCAGAGGTGAAGCCGTGTCTGATGATCGACGGTGCAAAGCCTCACCCTAAGCGTTGCAAAAAGTACCCAGTACGGCAGGAGTAGCAGGTACTTTTGAGCCTCGGAAAAGCAAGTGGCCCGAGGAAGGCTCGGTCTATCCACGTGATCGGACTGAGCGATATGGTTATGCAGGGCCATGCCAAGTACCCAGTAATCGATAAGGCGATAAGGCGATGAGGCGATGAGGCGATGCGGCGAAGTGGCCACGCCGGTCCTTGTTTCCATCGCTCATGCACGTGCACCGCCACAGGCCACGACGGCCACGCCTAACACAGGACAGGGACCGCCTTGTTTCCAACCTCGCTTTCCCCGGCCATCGATCTCGTCACCATCTTACCTCTCGATGAACTTTTCCCTCTTTTTCCAGCACCAGCACTTGTCGTCACTGTTTGGGATCCCTGGGCTGAAACACGCAGCTTGTCGATCTAGAAACAATGTCGGCGGCTGCTGCAACAAACTTGTACTTTGCGTCTCCTGCACCCTCCAGCCAGTCCGTCCATTGTGCAAGTACTTGTTAGGTGGGCACAGCACCAAAGCTCGTCACATGATGCTAGATGGTCAGGTCAAGAAACGTGTGCAGCCAATAGGAGGACGTAGCAGGGATGGTGAGATAAAGTACCACACCAACGTTAGTGACTAGCAGCCAATGCTTTTGCAGAAGTGCCTTCCGACGAGGGATCACCTCAGCTGTCGTCCACCAGCTAACTCGGGCGGATTGACCACAACCAGTCATCTCATGTCAACGACTGGTTGAGCATTCTTGACCGTCCACCAGTCATCAAACCGCCCGAAGCCAGCCAGGCATGAATTTTTGAACTTGTGCGGTGGACAAAGCTTGTGGGGTTTTGGATTCTCTTGGAGACCCGAGACCGAGAACTCTGGAGAGTTCAAAGGCTGGCTTGTGTGTGCTGAAACAAAGGGCCTCGTACCACCAACTCGGGTCTGCAAATCGCATTGTCGGGCGACTAAGGGCTCCTGATCTCTTGAGACAGTTGACCCGGCCGTGGAATACGTAAAGCTTTTGGAGTTTGTGCATGTGTCTACGAGTGCGCCAACGGCGAGTACAGTAGAGCTCACTCTTACCCCAGCCTCCGACGAGACCACGCACCCGCTACGTGAAGAAGTGCATCCAGGGATCCAGGAGCCCGGTTCCATGTCCTACCCGAACCATGATTGACCAAGTGATGAGATTGAAGGCTACTTGGGCGGCCGTAGCTGATCATCACCGTGCCTCACGCCAAAAAAGTGCCATGCATTTACGAAGGAATCCAAACACCAGGGCCTTGAGCCGGGCACGACGGGCAATCTGAAGGCATCTTGGGCGGCCTTGGAACAATCAAGCAGTCTTCTAGAAGTGGAAATCATATCGAAGCACCACCTCGTCTCGGAGGCAGCCGTGTCAACGGCCAGGCTTGCGAGGGTTGCTTGCCAGTGAATTTGGGGGAATGGAGATATTGACCGTGTGCGGCTTGCTGATCCAGACGCCATGACGGGGCCAGGACCAGGAGGCTGGATATGGGCGGAAGTTGGAAGATGTCGGGGCGGAAGGGGGGGGGCGTAGGGCGAGGCCAGGATCAATTTCCGCACACGTCTATGACTACGTGTTTGACGAAGCCTTGATCAAAGTTGATATTGGCAATCATATGGTGGTGCGCTTAAGTGAGCATGTTTGATTTCAAGCAAGATGGGCGTGCTCGAGCAGGCCACCAGTGGCATGGCGAGGATTGGGGTGGTGAGGGAGGGCGAGAGGAGCGTCTGATCTTGCATATGCAGCTAAATCAATTCCGTCCTTGTGTCCTTTCTGTCCAGCTCGGAAGAAGGGGCTGAGCTGGAACATGCGCGAGACTTTTGATGATGACGAATGGCCAGTGGCCTGCAGGGCCCAGGCACACATTGTCTTTGTAGAGTCGATGTTCCGCAGGGACCAGAGGGTCGAACGTGCAGTAGCGCAGATGCAAGTTGCAGGTCAGGTTCTAAGGAGCAGGATCAGGTTCGTGTTCAGGTGCCGGTGCTGGTGCTGGTGCAGGTGCAGGAGAACAGGCCCCCATCCATAACCGGGACGCAATGCAGCAGCCATGCAGCCGCATTGGGCGAGTACCGATTAAGTGACTTGTGGATTGCTGGCAAAGAGGCAAAAAAGAATCCCAAGAGGAAAAAGTGGAAAAGTGGAAAAGTGGAAGCCGGGCGGGGCTGCTGGATGCTGGATGCTGGATGCTGGATGCTGGATGCTGGATGCGAGAAGAGAGAAATGGGGAAACCTTGATTCTCGGCCTCGCCTGCACCAGACTCTCTTGAGACTCTCAGTCGGGTCTTGACTTGCCTCTCAACTTACCTCTCACTTGCCTTTCACTTCTCTCTCTTCCCGCTGCGCCTCGTCGCTTTTTGCCCTCTTTTCGCTGTTTGCCGAATTCGCCTCTTTTTCGCTTTTCCCTTCTCGCCTCCCTTCTCCTTCTCTAACAAGGACACACACAGGACGAGGTCCTGCCGAGGATGACTGATTTGTTCGTTCGCTTCCTCCCTCGCTCCATCCGGAAACACCCCCATGGCGTCCCATGGCGTCCCATGGCGTCCCATGGCGTCCCATGGCGTCCCATGGCGTCCCATGGCGTCCCATAGCATCCCATTCTCGCTCATCCCTCCCTCCCTAGTACCGAGTAATGATGCCTCAGGCCCATCCTCGTAGTCCCCTTCTGCCTCTCGTGTTGCTGATGGAGGGTGGAAAGAGAGACCCATATCCACAATTTTTCTCTTGCACCCATGTCTCCATCCAACTGCATACCGCTTGCTGCGCCTGACCGGCCAGGTCCCCCATTCTTAGCTCTGCCGTCTCCAGCCTATCACTTCCATAGATGACTCTTCTCCCTTCGCTGGATATAAGGTACGGCTCTCTCCTCCTTCTATCTCTTTGCCCTTTTCGTCATCCCCGCCTTCCCGCCCTCTTCCCTCTATCACCACCACCACCACCACCACCACCACCACCACCTCCTCTTCCCTACCACTTCATCTCCGAACCCTCTCTGCAAGGCGCGCACACTACTTCCCTCGTTGGGACCGCCCAGAGATACACTTCCATCATCCGCAATCATTCATCCAATTTACCCTCAAACTGTCTTTACATCATCTCTGATATTATCTCGTCGCTTCTGCCTGGTCAGCCCTTCCCTCCCCGTCCTTGTCGAATGTCTCTGTGAGAAAAAAAAAAAAAAAAGAAAACAAAAAAACCCCCAGCTTCTTCCCCCGTCTCAGGAAAGATAGAATCGTCAGAAAAGTCCATTAACTCATAATGCCGACGATATTATTGCCCGCCTCGGCTGCCGCCTTTGCGCCGCGATCAACTTGCAACGTGGTCCTCAACACAAAAGTCGAGCCATGGCTGACGGCCACCCTCAAGCGAATCAACAAGATCAAACGACCGCTCAACAGTGTGCCTCAACACACCCGATGTCTGACCGAGACTCTGTCATCGCCCAATGCCATCTGGTCACTGTGCTCATTAATGGTGCCCAAAGCGCCCGAGTCAGAGTTAAAGAAAGATCCGAATCCTCTGGTGGAAGCCTTGTTCAACTACCAACTCATCCACATCGAGGCCTATGTCGTCCACGTCGACATGGTTTCGCAGAACGAGGTTGCTTTCAAGCTGACGACAGACACCATTGATTCGCTGGTCGAGTATCACAAGGAAATCTTCTCGGTCGACACCAACGCCAACACCTGGGACTGGTCCGACAAGGAGCAACAGCTCAAGAAATTGCAGGAAGAGTTTGTACAGGCCGCCAACAAGTTTGTCTACCGGACGAGTGCTCTTGCTCTGGAGGGCATGGAGGAAGATGGTGCAGGCGAGCTGCTCTGTGGCCGAAGCGACGAAGTGCGCACCGCCATCATGGGGCTTTTCGTGCCTCTTCTCCCTCCACCCCCGAGGATTGTCGACGTCATCCGCCCTACTCCTCTGCTCCCCAGCTCGACCGGCACCGAGCAATGGTGGCCGTCACAACACCTGCAAGCCATACAGCCTGCCCCGGTCGAGGCATGGAAGATCGTGCCTTCAAGCCCAAGCCCTGTCTCATCTTGTGATTCACACCACAATATTTGGTCGAGCGTGGGCGTGAACGAAATCCAACTTCCGTCCCCAGCCCCCTCCTTCAGTCAACCTTACTCAACAGCGGCATACAATACGTCTCAATACTACAGCGCCCCTGCCTACAGCTCTCCAACCACAACATCGTCATTCGCGCCACTTCCTCTGCCAAGCATGCTCACTCCGCAGCCCTGCAGTACCTCGGCGGGCCTGAGCACCTTTGGGTGGGATCGTTACCAAGAATACACGATGCCGTATGCCACGGCCATGTAATCGATATCGGAATCAGGAACATCCCCTTCCGTTTCGCCTGCACAAATATTCTTCCAAGGTTGATGGCCGTCAACCAGCTGTCTTCATAAGAACATCACCCAGTCGGCTGATCAGAAAGCGGCACGGGTCTACGGGAGCAAAGATCTTGAGCATTTGAGCAAGGAGTTATTTGATCGAATTTTAGCGACACAAGGATACCACTCTGCATTTGACACGGGACTATACGGGACACGGGACATGGGATAATATTGGGACAGGGTTGATCTTCCAGCAAGCGTTGTGATTTGTTCTCCCTTTTTTTTTTTGGTTTTTGCCAATCTCCTATGTTGAGTATTAGTTTGGGTTTTGGACTATACATCAGCGGCAGGTCTGTCTGGATGGAATACAGAGATATCCCTGGGTTGGATACAGTCCCGCATTTTCGCAAGATCGGAATGCCTCGCGGCAGGTTTGCAAGGTTGGGGATACACGCTGGGATCTCTTTTGGCAATGCCGTGGTGACATCCAAGGTGTTGCAGTGTCCGAGGCGAGTCCTCTGCGCTGCACAACTTTATCACCTGTTCCTCCTACATCTGATGGTGCACTGGTTGGCACTGAAGGGAGTGGGAACAGCGGCAGGGTGGTGAGGCGTCGCGTCTGGCATGTGACGACTGCTGCCTTACTGCGCTATATCTGTTTGGAGGTTTCAAGGACCTGATCGGGGTCGTGTTCGATGGCACGCCTGTGGCGTGTGCGGGCTTCCCATTTGGGTCTGTGACTTGAGTGGGCGACTACGAGAACTGTCTTGGGTACCTCGGATACGATGGAGTGTGGTTTATAGGGTCATCTCCTATATCCTCGACCTGGTGTCGAGGAAGCTTCCTCCACTGGCTGGAGAGGAATCGGATGCTGGATCTTTTGGGGTGTAAGCCTCAATACATAAAGATAATCTAAAACAAATGCGAACATCTTCTCTAGCTCTTCACCTCTACATTCGCTGCCTGGTCGTTAGTTCCTCGTTTGTTCCTCTATTTCACGTCTCTCGCAGGTTGATCTCACCGCAGTCTCGAAAATAGAGACAGTTGTAGTCCGGAATAGATAGATCTCAGTCTGACAGCCCCCTTGTGAGTGTATCTAGATCGGAAAAAGCCACCAGGCCATAGGCTCTAAAGAGCCAGGGTGACTGGGGGCCGAATGGATGTCTACGTACGAGTACCTAGGTAGGTGCTCCATAGAGAGCGGGTGGACGGCTTGAGAGGTGGCGGGCATACTTAAACCTGGGAAGTGTAGCCGACAGCCACACTGAGAATGGTGCTGGGTACTGGGTACTGGGTATTTAGTCCGCAGTTAGCCACAGGTACAGTAGAAGATTAGGCTCATAGGCTAACGAGCCACGCCCCGGACTCGCCTAAAGGCGCCTATGACGATGGCCTGGTGGCCCTCCAAGCCTCCTGAGCATCCAGTCTGGTCCAGCCCAATTGAAGCCCGATCGCCTGTCCCCCCCCCCCCCCCCACCACTAAGACCAGCCGTGTACCCTGTGTCTCCCTATGCTTCCCAAAAGTGCGCCCTCCCTCCCGTCATCGTCACTTTTACCCTCGACGGGGCGCGGCACTACCATGAACCGGGGGAATTCAACCACACGCTGCTCAGTCATCATAAACACCTTCTGATATCAGCGATGGTGTCCCATTTACTACTTCAAACTGCTGTCCCGACCCCTTCCCACGCGCATTGACTTTCTCAAAGGTCGAATCAGATGCGGTGTCACCAAGCTCGCCGTCCTTTCCGTTAAGGACTGGCTCCAGCTACATCCCGCCCTCAAATCGCAGTGACGGCATATTTCGTTGCCCCTCATATGCCGCAATGTCCACCGCATGAACACTCCCTTGTCTGTACAGCTCTTCACTCACAAGCAGGCAAAGCTTTTCAATTGCACAATCGTTCCGGGAGATCCGCTCCACGATGGTGAACCTCCACGAGTCCCTCAAGGCTCTTGCCCCCTGCAAATTCTCCGACGTCCCGCAGAAGCATGAAGAGTTAGATCCTTTCTTATCCGACCTCTTCTCCCAAGTCCAGACGATAGTCGAGTCCATACCTATCCCCGATCTTGACCCTTCACACCGCCATCGCTCGCATACCACGGGCTCAATCGCCGCCAACAATGCTTCCGAAATGTTCATCTCGTCTGCGCGGAGCCCTCCTCCGGCTCCAGAATATGCGGCCCTACAACAAGAGTGGGGAAAGCCGATAAAGCTTGCGGCGAAAGAGAACCCGCTGGGTATAGCGGTCTACAAATTATCTAGCAAGGATGGAAAAGGCTCGTGGTTTGCTCGAAGGAGTGTGCATGAGGGGTTGGGCTTCAGTCGCCTCAAACGCGGGTTTGAGCGGGAATTTCCAACTTCGCTCGCTGTCCAAGGCAAACCCGGGGAAGGGAATATCAGAGGTATAGGTGCGGAAACTAGGGTCGAAGAAATCACAGTGCCGAACCACGGGAAGATCGAAGTATACCGCCTCAGTGCTCAATTTCCAGGACCTACAACTCCACGTGATTTCGTCACTCTTCTGGTTACCTCATCCAAGGCAATCAAACACCATGGGGAGTCTCACAAAGCGCCTGATCTGGCTCCACGCCATTACATGATCATATCTAAACCGTGTGACCACCCGGGGACGCAGCCTAGGAATGGCTTCATCCGTGGCCAGTATGAATCGGTAGAGTTCATTCGCGAGATTCCCAGAAAGTTGAAATCCACCATGTCATCGACAGATTTGGGTCATTTCAGCCACCACCGAGCACCTTCACCGTCGCTCGAGAAAGACATTCTAAGACAGAACGCAGAGAAGCGGGTAATGGATGCTGACCAGCTCCACCTGCAGGACTATAGGCACTTGAGGGTCGATACTCACGGCTCAGGACTCAGAGAGCCTTCCCCAGGAAGCAGAAAGAGGAGCGTTACGGTCGATGCCCCTAAAAGTCCTATCAGGACCCCGGATCCCGCCGAGCCCTTTGACCCCGAAGAGAACCCCGTTGAATGGATCATGGTTACTCGAAGTGATCCGGGTGGCAGCGTTCCACGGTTTATGGTTGAGAGAGGCACTCCTGCAAGCATCTGTGCAGACGCCTTGAAATTCCTGGACTGGGCATGTCAAAGAGAAGACGACGAGGATGACGTTGACAGAGCTGAACATTGGCCTAATAGCCAGCGTCGTGCAAGCTTTGCCAGCTGGGAAGCCAACGGGACCCTTGCTGGGATTAAGGAACACGAAGAGAGTCTTCAGGTCATTGGGCAGTCAACGCCCAGTACCCCCAAGGCTTCCGCTACTTATGCATCACCATTGACCAACGGCAATAACAGTGAATCCCTGCTCGATACGCCGCCGTCGCCTTCCCATATATTAAATGCCGTGACCGAGACCAGTAACTCCTATACTCCACAGGCAGTTCGCGAACATCTACCTCAAATTCGAAACAATGACGCCGAGGTTGACCAATGTATAACCAAAGAGGAAATCCAGCAAGGGGATAATCCAGATGGTGACGACGATGACACCTCTACAATTTCAACCACTTCATTTGCCTCTGCCGACTCACATCTGACGTCCGAGGAATCACCTTCGGTCTCTTCCAAATCTCTGTCAGAACAGGCTGAGAGCCAACTCCTTCAGCAACATGACAAAGAAATGGCCAAGCTCTCGGAACGCAAGGCTGCAATGGATGCCAAATTTGCGAAACAGCGGGAAAAGCTAACCAGTCAGGCCAATAAAGACACCGAGAGAGAACAACATGCTCTGAAAAAGGCCGAGGTGAAACACCAGCGTGAACTCAAGAAACATGAAGAAAGGTATCAGAAGGAGGTGGCCAAACTGGAGCAGAAGAGAAAAAGAGAGGCGAAGAAATTGGAGGAGAAGAAACGCAAACAGGTTGACAAGGACGAAAAGTCACGATTGACCAGAGAACGGGACGAAGCAAGAGTCGAACTGGAGCTTCTGAAAAAGGAGCAGGAAATGCTCACTCGCCAGATCGGAGAATTGCAGAGAGAGAACACCACACTGACAGCCCGGATAGGGAAGCTCGATGGAAGCGCAACTTCAGTTGACAGTCCACTCAGCGGCACCACTAGGTTCAGGGCCATGACGATGGGACACGAGAACCGCGGACGGAGTTCCAGTCTGATATATCGGAAGAAGGACAAGGGGGAAACGGGCAGCCAGCATTCATGACAGCCGGATGTACAGGGGGTATACCTTTTCCGACTATTATTACCTTGAAGGAAAAAAGTTCACTGAGGGACGCGCCAGGCAAAGTATATACAAGGACAGGTCTGGCAATGGCTGGCTATATTCAGGGAACTTCATGTCCTCTTGGTGCCGGACTTTGAGCGAGGAATGATTCAGTCACTGATGTGTATATATGCAATCATTGAATCTTGCACGGTCGGTCCTGGTGGCGACGCAGCCTGACACGGGTTTCCACGTGACGCACTTCATCCCCATTGATTTTCTAGGGCGAGCTCGTACCCGTGAGCTTCCACTTCATCTCGCCATCCTCTTCAACCAACATTCCTGGGTTCGAAACACATCTTCCACAATTTCCTGATGGTGCAAAGGCGTCAATTTCGCCATGTTATGTATAAAAGATGTTATCGCCCGTATCATCTGCCCTCCGAGCGGACATTTCCGTCGTCCATGGCATTGTTTTGTCACTAGAAAAGTGAGGAAAGAAGCTTAGACGGTACATCCACATCCTCCGAATTCATAGATCTTGTTCAGAAGTCGTATCAATATGCCGCTACCTCACTCTAAGCCCATGCCACCGTATTGGCTCTCGTACACTTCCAATCTGTCGAAACACCGGACGACCGAGGACCTCCCTCAAGAGGCAGACGTCGTGGTGATCGGTTCAGGCTACGTCGGCGCTGCATCCGCCTACCACATCTTGGAGAAGGACGACGCTGGCACGCGACCGTCGGTCGTCATACTTGAGGCCCGAGACGTGTGCTCGGGGGCCACGGGACGCAATGGCGGGCACCTTAAGCCCGACGTTTATCTGAATGCGGCTATCTACGAAAAGATGTTCGGGCCGCAAGTAGCTGAGGAGCTGACAAAATTCGAAGTGCAGCAGGTCATGGACGTCAAGAGAATGGTCGAGAAGGAGCAGATCGACTGTGATTTTGAACTCACACGCGCCATCGATGTGTTTGTGGACCGTCGAGTAGCCGAACCCACGATCGCCGCGTATAAGGACATGAAGGCCAGAGGGTACCGTTTCCCAGATGACCTCCACTTCATCCAGGATCCGAAGAAGGCCGAACAAGTTTCCGGAGTCAAGGGAGCACTGGCAGCCTTCACGTTTACAGCAGGATCTCTCTGGCCGTATAAGTTGGTCTCTCGTCTTCTGCGCCGCTGCCTGGAGTGGGGAGCGAACCTGCAAGCAAATACTCCCGTCACTGCGATCTCGAGCTCACCCGGCAGCGATGGCCGGTGGGCTTTGAGCACTCCTCGCGGCGAGATCAAGGCAGGCAAAGTCGTCCTTGCCACGAACGCATATCTCTCGACGTTGATGCCTGAATTTCGCGACAGAATCACCCCAGCAAGAGGAGTCGCGTGTAGGATTGCCGTGCCGGAGCAGGGAAGGATGGCTCCTCATCTGAACAACACCTACGGCATCAGGTACGGGCCTCAAGAGTACGATTATCTAATCAGCAGGACGGATGGCAGCATAGTCGTTGGGGGTGCAAAACAGGTCGTCCTGCAGAACGACTCCTACTGGCGTGACAACATTGATGATTCACAATTGATGCCCGGCGCCGAGGGATACTTCACTGGGTACATGCAGCGGATGTTTCACGGCTGGGAGGACTCCCAAGCACAAGTTACGGACATTTGGACGGGCATCATGGGCTACTCTTCAGATCTCATGCCATGGGTTGGAGAGATGCCTGGAAGACCCGGCATCTTTGTAAACGCAGGCTTCACTGGTCATGGAATGCCGCGAATACTCGGTTGTTCTGTGGCAATCGCGTCGCTTGTCCGAGGGGATATAAAACACATGAGTCAGACAGGATTGCCGGCGCCGTATTGGATCAGCGAGGAAAGGCTGACATCGAAAAGAAACATCGCCCGTGAATATATGGCGGGCTCTCGACCTTCACTATGAGCGGGATAGCGAGCTATGCCTGGAGTCGTTAGCTAAGTGGCCAAGTCCATCCACACGATGGGATTGGACGACCTGTTTCAAGCTTCTACCTTTGCAATCTCAGGCAGCAGCAGACCCCGTGCTCCGTCTATAAAAATGCTCAGTTCCCTGACGAAAGGGTTGGACTCTGCACCCATCTTACCTACTAGTTTCCTCATCGCCCTTCGGTTCTCTGCCCTCCAATTCAAATCTGTTGAACTCTTGAGATCTGTTGACGTCACGGCAAATGGCTCCGACTGTGATCCATATTCAAGGTCGCGCCACTATTAGCACAACTGCACAACGAGCCGTGCTTGACGTCCACGCATTTGACAACGGTCCAGACAAGAATGCAGTCTCTAGCAACGTGGTCTCGACAGTAAAAAGCATCCAGGCTGATCTGGACCAACTCTGCCCACGACTTGAGAATGGAGTTATATCGCCCTCAGCGCCAGTGAGCTTCTACTCAATCGCATCGCTTTGCATCTCGGCGGCCGACGAATACGACAACCGCGGCCATCGCCTGGAGAAGAAACTCTACACTGCCGGCTCCAAAATCGCCATCCACTTCCGCGACTTTGCCTGCCTGGGAGAGATGGTCGTCCGTCTGTCGCACATGCCACATGTCGAGCTGAGGGGCATCAGCTGGCACCTCATGGACGCACAGAAAGCGGAACGAGATGAGCAAGCCCGGCTGCAGGCGCTGGAACACGCTATGTCGCGGGCGCAGGCATACGCACGGACCATCGGTCGAGAGAAAGTCAGCTGTGTCAAGATTGACGACATCGAGGAATCCTGGCCCACGAGCCGCGTTAGACAGACTGCGAGGAGGGCGACCAGCGCTTCGACGTTCGGGGTGGGTGTGGGTATCGACTTTGAGCCGCAGCTTGTCGACGTTAGTGCCACGCTGTCTGTCGAGTTCCACGCCGAGTAGCTGCTGGTGACTGAAGCTGCACTCGAGCTGAGCAGCCTAGGCCAGTCCTCTATGAGCAGGTGAGGTGGTAGAAAGGCGACTACTCTACAGTCTTTTGTCAATTTGATGGTCTTGAGACGTCTTAGATACTACTTTTTTGACACTTTCTTAGAGACGAGACATGACTAGTATTATATCGCGTCTCTGGATAGAGGTTCAGGTGTCAATGGCGGATTCAAATAGTCCTTAGCAGTCTATCTCTAGTCGGTTCGACGTTCAATACTACTAGTACTTTTCTAAGTCTCTATATATTCATTTCCCACTTAAAATTACTAGGAGTAATATATACTAGTAGTATTTTTGAATTCTCGAGAAGATAAAAACTAAACTTGTGATATATAGTGTAGCATAAAAATATAGAAGAATACTAGTAGTAATTAATACTAATCTTTACGAGATTAGTAAAAAATTAACAGCGAGAAGAATCATTCGGAATACTAGTATCTTGTTTCTAACTATATACGATGAATAGGATAGGACTAGTATATCTAAGGTCGATACCAGATGCAGAGAGTCTATAGATCCTACTAGTCTCGATACATTATCGAAGAATTCTCTAATACTGTCTTCGACACGTCTCTTAAGATACCCATCGATTCAACGTAGATACGAATTCTCAAAGGCGTTTCTAATACTACGATACCGAGACTGTCTCTTGGAATTTTCTGATTCTGTATTAAGGACTATGGTAAAGGTAGAACGTTTAGGATCACTCCATAGTCGGTGAGCATCACGGCTGTAGCAGGGTCGCTACATCTATGTAAGATCTACCGAGGCAAATACAGTCGCAATTGTAGCAAGAATGAAGGACTAACTAATCAAGATTTGAGGGAATGGTGCCTGGAAACGCGCCACTTAAACATCCTAATCGGGCAATGGAGCTAAACTTTTTTAGGCTATTTAGGAATCTTAGAAGTGATGGTTCTACAGAGCGTAACACGGTCACAACCCTAAATTATACTGAGCACCCTCGACACTGAACTGAGTTGCCTTATGAAGGACCATCTAAACATGGGAGGTTAACATTCTGTGGATGGTTAGGCATCCGGTGGTGTGTGGTCATGTGACTATCAGGTGACTAGTGTTAAAAGGCAGGTTCGTGCCGCGGTCCCTCCGCGTGAGGTCACCTCTACATCATTATTATAATTTAAGACTGTAGTATAGTTACGTGCGAGTGTCCCTCCTGCCCCAGTCAATCATCCATCAGCATCCGAGCCACCCCGCAGTATCAATTAGGCACCCTCAGGCAGCAAGCCAGGCTTACCCAATCGCCCAACCGACTAGTCGACTGCTGCCTGGTGCGGCGTGCGCGGCGTGCAAGCCCAGGACCTGACTAGACCTAAGCCAGGAAGACGAGATGCCACGCGAAACCGACACGGTTGCACGTGAATTGGGTTCGAGAAAGGGTGGGCGCGGGAAAGGAACAAACTCAATGGATGGATGGATGGAGGGGGGGGCCACAGGAGGAACAGTGAACAAATAAAGCCGTGGGGGCAGAATTTCTATCTCTTTGGGAGCCAAAAAAAAAAGGTATTTAGTTGTCACTGCTTCCCACCTTTCTCTCCTGAAGAATTTCAAGTGCAAGACATCAGCAAATCCCCAGAAAAACTCGAAGAACTTGACGCCAGTCAGTCACCTCTCCTTTCCGTCACCTTCTAAAGATCTTTGAACGAAGCTCCTCTTCAACCACCAACAACAGCAGTGTGCAGTACTACTACTCTCTCTATATTGTCCTACTCAGTACTACTAATAGTAGTCTTATCAAAATGCCTATCGACCACATGTCCTACGCGGTCCCATTCAGCAAGGTGGACGACGAGGTCGCCTTCCTCCTCGCCGCCTTCTCACACATGGGCTTGAAGGAGTTCTTCCGCCCCGCACCAGGTGTCGTCGGCATGGGTGACGACTCGCCCTGGCTGTGGATCGCCGGCGTCGAGGACCGTCAGCCCATTCCCAATGACGCCAAAGTGTTGATGAACCACGTGGCACTACAAGCCAAGGGTATGAACATCTCGTTACCACTACCAGTACCGCCACCATTTACACTTTTCCTTCGTGGTGGGATCATTGAGCTGACGGAAACCGTGGTGACCATCGTAGATCGCGCACAGGTCGACGCCTTCCACGCCGCTGCTCTCAAGGCAGGCGGCACCGACAACGGCGCACCAGGCGTCCGGGCAGAATATCACCCGATGTACTATGCTGCGTTCGCCATCAGTCCCGGCGGCCACAACATTGAATGCGTCACGCATGGTCCATGCGGCGGTGATACTGCTACTGATTGACGGTCTCTGAAGCCTCCGCCCTGGTCTACTACCGCTGTCGCTACTGCCACTGGTGCTGCCGGGAAGGGGCCAGAACATGTGATGATGCAACATGCCCATGCATGGGACAACTTGAACTTGCCGGGCCCTTCTCAGAGATTGAGTCTGGAGTCGATCAGTGGAGGGCGTGGGAGAGGAAACGCATCCAGGATCTGGGGCATCTACATACGATATTAGTGTCGGCGACAGCTGTAGTTGGTGGGAGCCGCTCACTGAGGCTCATGATGTTGCACAGATGGGCTACGGGTGTCTCAATGATAACATCGTTTCGAAGTTCGCGTGCAGATTCTTCTAGATCGTCGTTACTCGTGGAGTTGGATCCAGCGTTTGCCCTGCATCGTCTTATTGAAAGAAGCTGCTCGTCGCCGCCCCGCTCTTCTTTCCCTCCTGGTACGTCGCGCTGAGCTGGTCGTACATCTTCTTCACGCGATCTAGCTCACTCTTCAGATTCGCGCGCGCCTCCTCGTCCTCGACCGAGTCAATTAGCTCGGCCAGCGACCGGGCCGTGAAGAACTTGTTCGTGCGGTTATATAGCGGCTTGGCCGCCAGGGTCTCCTCGGTGTCGCCTGGCGAGGGGACCTGGTAGACGGATTTCAGAATGTCGATGTCGTCTGAAGGCAGGAAGCGATTCAAGTTGTCAGTCACAAAATGTCACTATCGGTACAGCCACTGACAGTAGAGAGGTCCTATGGTACATATGGTACGAGGTACTGCTTGGTGGCAAGGGGGAATACTAGCAATATTCGAACTTACACGGGATCGCAAAAAGGTCCCTACTGTCCTCGTAGGTGAACATGTAGTAGAACTCGTTGAAGCCGGACCACGTGATGCCGCTCAGACACAGCGAGCAGGGCTCGTGGGTCGCGAAGAAGATGCAGTCCTTTGTCTCCGGCCGCTTCTCCTTCGGGAGGCGGAAGAACTGCTGGATGCAGTTGATCTCGCCGTGCAGGAGCGGCGAGTCGTGTTCGTTGTTCGTCTCGGCAATCACGGTCGACAGGCTGGCGCGGTCCAGCACCGCAGCTCCAAACAGCTTCGAGCCCTGCGACACTTGCTTCGCCGTCAAGGGGATGATGGAGTGTTCAGTGGTCGAGAGGAGGGCGGCTGCGAGGTCTTGGGCTCGTGGCATTTTGTTTGTTTGTTTGTTTTTTCCCCTTAAAGAATTTAAAAGTTTGAGGAAGGTTACTGTTGTACTTGCTAAGTACCAACACGGGGGGATTAGATTACAGTCCATTTGGACTGCTCAGACTCATATTTATATCCCATTTTCTCTGGACGCCGTGTCTTGTGTCGTTGTCGACGCGATAAGAGGAAAAGAAATCAGACCCAATCGGGTCAAAGTCAAAAGATTTTGACGGTACCGGAGAGCGCCGAAGCGCGCCCTCGAACCGAGTTCATCATCAAAAGGTCTTTACTTCTCTCGTTCCTTTCTCCGTGGCCTTGTTGTGAGCACTTGAGGTGAAGAGACTTTCAACTTGTGAATGACTCGAATCCGCACCTCTAACACAGAGGTGAAACAAAAATTGATGCGGCTTGTCGCTGCCGATGCCAAACCGCCAGTACGTTGCGTCTACATTGACAATCACCAGGGACAAAGTTGTGTATTGAGAAATCCTGCATAGTACGAGTCCATTCACCTGTGAGCAGCTGTGCCCTTCTTGCCTCTAGAACCGGATCGCCCAATACTTACTGCCAACCTATCCGTCAAGGTCTGACCATGTACAGAAATGTCGAGTTGGATAGCAGCGGGTGAACCGCGCAGGAGATGGATGTTCGTCTGTCCAAAGACTGTCTCGCTGATTCTCTTCCCTGGCACACTGAGGACGCTTGCAGCGCAGTACTTCAACCCGGCGCGAGAGATGAAGCTTTCATGTGCGGCCAGATTTGCGGCGAGGGCCTTTTGAGTCGCTGTCTGCAAATGTCGCAGTATGTTCAAAGTCGAAGTTGATCAGGGCTCGTGTGGCCTTGCCACGTTCTTGCTGATAGGTTGAGATATTAGTAGTGTCGGAGTTGCGAAGCCACGGACTACGGGGGTTGAGCTTCCAGGAAACATTGAAGGTCTCATGTCTGGATACTAGTATCGTTGAGGTCAACATCAGGAGGACAGTGCACTTCTCTCCGGGTTCGATGCAGTGGTCTTGCTGCTGTCAAACTCCGAGGCCACGGTAGACGTTAATACCAGTATATACCAATTCTCATCGCCACCAACTCGAGGCTGACCAGTCCTATCTAATATCAATGCAGACACATCGAAGGTACGCAGGGGCTGTTCACCATTGAAGAGTCGCTCTGGACTCGAAACGGCCAACTCTTCACAAAGCGCCCGGGCACCCACAAGATCCCAGGCTTCAGCAACAGCCCGCAACAATTCACCAGCACTTTTTGCAACGTGCGTCAAGGAACCGTCTCCGCACCATCCAGAGCACAAAGGCATCGGCGAAACTCCGCTCTTCTTGTGAGCATCCCTGTTCTTTGGCGTGCGAGAAGCGCTTGTCTCAGCCCGAAGAGACAATAGGACCGACTACATAGCATCTGACTCTTCATGGCCCCCGCGACCGCCGAAAAACTGCGGCTTGCTGCCGGCGTCAACTTTGTCAAGAAGGATTCCATTTCCTCGGGTTTGGGGAAAGCTAGAGGAGTGTCCGAGGGAAGAGCTGGTGCGAGGAAAGCAACTCACGCACATACATCTCCGAGGTCAGGTCGTGCTCCATGTCACCTATCGATTCCACAGTCTAGTGTCTTAGACACTCCTGGACCTCTGACAAGTGAAGGGGCTCACTCTAGCGTTTCCTGTCTCTCTTGAGTCAGGCTGCACACGATAATGCATACTGTAGTACATCGCTGTATATATAGTACAACGTTGTCTGCATGACGAACACGACGAGGTGCAGCACCAGAACCGGACCCGTTTCGAATCGTTCCGGGCGTTGTAAGACCAAGTGCATATGCTGTCTCCAGGGGGTCAGTCAGCGTCGCGGGGTCTAAAATCATGCCTTGTCTTAAACATCTGGACCGTGCAAAGTCGCTGGCGCTTCGGAAAGATTGAATTCTTGCAGTCTGTTGTCGCCATTTGGGCAAGTGCGTGGTCGGGGCAACGGTTCCCTCAATGCGTCACGTTAGTTCTGGCCGTCCTATCCGACAGCGCTGCCAATGCAGGATTACTGTGTAGTTGGCCAAATGCTTCGATACAACTTGAAACGGTTCATGGGAATTAGGATTATGTAGGACAGATTGCTCAAAGGTCAATCATCGACACTAACTTTCCCTGTAGTACTTTGTGGCGTAGTGGGTTTTTTTTGTTCCATCTCGTGTCATAATCTCATCAGCATCTCCTCGTCGTATGTAGGACAATCTCCCTCGATTCTCCTCTCTGCTTTTAATTATCAGGCCAAGCTATCTCTTGCCTTGCCACCTCAGAGCATGGCAGCAATACCCAGTCCAACAACTCCAGCAACACCGGCCCACTGCTGCTTCAAAATCTGCGCACCCCCAGTGTAGGTCGCAGCAGGAGCACCGCTCGCTGGCACATAGGAGCTAGTCACGGTAGCGGGGGCGGATGCCGGGGCACCAGTCGAGCTTGAAGTGAAAGTAGGACCGGCAGTGGCAGATGCAGAGGGAAGGGTAATGCTCACGCCTGCCGAACCGCAGTATTGCTCGGCGAATTGCAGAGTTGCTGGAAAGGATTCGAGATCAGCCGAAGTTCGTATTCAGATAACATTCAAGCTTACCAGCTATGTCCGAGGCATTGCAAGCAGTAGAAATGCATGAGTACACTCCGGTCAGGAAACTGCTCGCCTGGCAGACGCAGGCGGCATCGGTGGCCGAACAACCTGTGCTGGAAATGGCATTGAGAGCACAGGTGACCTATTTTGACGTCAGCTCTGTTGGTGGAAGATTTGCTATTCATACTATGTACGTACCGCGCAGGTCGGAAGACCGGACAAGCTTTGCGATGCTGCAAAATGGAGGAGGGAGGAGATCCCGACGGCAGCGAGAGAAAGGAAGCGCATCTTGGCCGAGGTAGGAATCTGTGAAGCTAGCAGCGGTACTATGATTCAACGATTGCGTCTGAGCTTGAGCGAGTCGTTTCGTCTATGTTTGGAAAACGCAGTGGCAGTCAAGGAGCGAGTGTGGGATCGTAATATCTTGAGGTAGCGAGCGCTCAATGTACGAATAGTGAGACTGAAGATAGCAAGAGGGAGGAGATCAAGGAGAAGAAGTCACAACGGAGGGAGGAGCTTGTTCCAAGTTTTATAGCTGTTGCGCATCATTTGACAGCTGATAGGTTGCATGTCCCGTCCCATTGATGTCGGAGCTGCCTCATTGGGAGTGGGAAGTTGAGGGAGAAAAGGTCTGGCCAGAATCCTGTCCTAGGGAAGGTGTTCGACTGCTTGCTCTCCTGGACTCAGCTTGTGTCCCTGCAAGCCACGAGGATGAGCAAATAAAAAGCCAGAGAATGTCGATGTCTCAGGCACCCGATGCTCTAGCGCCGACGCATGATGCAAGGTTGGCGAATAAGATGTTGGAGAAGCTTGAGAAAGTCGGGGAGGATGGCCGTCCTCGCTTGCGGAGAAAATGGCTGGTAACCCAATCATGGCGGTGGGAAACAGAGAAGTTGTGGGAAGAGAGAAGGAGGGGAAGGGCAATGCTTGGGTTGGGGGATTTGCCAAGGCCGCGGGACATGTACACGCCGACACGTACACCACACGTGACACGGAAGTTACCGTACCACACTAATTCGGCAGGGCTAGCTTCTCAATCAGCTAAACCTTATTCGGCTATTTCAGTGCCGCGTTCACAGATATCCGACAGTAATTAGGCACTATAAATCCATTCTCAAAGGGATCCCCTTGCACATAGGAAGATAATATATGGTTCTATGTGTAAGGATTTATCCTATCTTTCAACGATATCCGAGACGTCGCTTGAGAACTCTCACCTACGTTAAATCGATGAGAATCTCGCAAATTAGAGAAGTCTTAGAGTAGTCTCAGATACTATCTAAAATAGGATGAAACCCCTTGCGAGGGGAAGGGGAGGGGGGAAAGTTCGTATCGGATAGTATCACTTTATAGTAAATATTCCTCGTACTTATAGGCCATATGAGATTGAGTTAAGAGTCGTGGATTAAAGATCGAAAATCGATACTTTTCAAAATACATAATTCATAGAGAGTAAAAAGTAGTATTATAAATTAAACGGGAGAATACTTATATAGTAATAGTACTAATCAATAAAAGAAAAGAAATTTCGGCAACGAGAATCGAACACTCGTCGTTTCCTTGTCAAAGAGAGATCTTTAGATTTACGGAAGATTAGTTCTACAATTAATCCTCTAGCGCTAGGCATGGAGATACATGTAGAGGAGGAATCTGTTGCACGTTGAAGAAGACATCAAAGGAGAGCTCAATATTCTCTTCTAGCCGGCTCACTATCATACTAGCAATGTTTGCGATTATGTTGTATACCATCTAGACCGCAGGATATAACATAGTAGTATTACTAGTACTAATCATATTGGAGGTCCTCGACCTAACGAATAGACAATAGTGTCGAACGGTTCTTTTGCCTCATTGCTGATATGCTCTAGAATGGCGTCGTTGAGCCTCCCATCCCCAATATTCGTTCCTACACAAACATGAACAAATACTGATACCGGAGGTGCCGAGAGCAATTCAAGATTTGAAAGGACTGCTTCATAACCTTTTGCGCATCTGCGGCCGGCAAGGCAAGGAAGTCTCACGTCTCAATGAAAGACACGCGCATCGAGCTATTCAATCATTGAATTAACATGAGTCTCGTCATCCTCAAGGTACGAGAAAAATCATACTTCAGTAAACTCAGGGAAATAATGAATCTAGTCGAAGCTAGATGCTGCTATTAAGAGGGGCTTGACTCGGCTGGGCCTTGATGTCATTTTTCATCTGAATCTACTAATATCCGGTTGCGGGAGTAGTATCCTAGTGATGAATTTTCTTCGGTGAGCCCTATCCATTTGATGGTGCGGCGCTCTCTGTAAAGATGATCTCGAAGATTCCCGAGTTCCGGTCTTGGCCTCGAGGATTTGATCGTTGATGAAGGGTGAGCTAGGGTGATCTGCTTCTGTGCTTTGTACTAGTATGTAGTACTAACCCGCCTTCCCTAGGTATCAATGCGGTTCGAGATCGATTTTGGACCAGTTCAAATTAGTATCAGACCGGTTCCAGACCGATTTAGACCCATTCAAAGTGAGTTGGCCCGGTTCAAGGACGATCTGGAATCGGTCTGGAATTGGGTTCAAATCGATCTCCAACCGGTCTATGACCCGAGTCTGGTGCTTAAATCGCTGATCAGGTCGAACTAGCCAATTGACTTGGTCTAAAGCCAGTTCGACTTGGTTTAGAGCGACTTCAATGGAGTCATGTGCTTCCAATATTTGATATACTACAGCATGTATGGTTGTCTTGCACTTGGGAGACGCAATACGATTACGCAGGCATGAAGTCGCCGCCGTTTGCGTGCCGTCACTTCAGCCGGACTAGTATCTCGAACCGTGCTTCCAACGAAGGCGGTGAAATCCCTGCATCGCTGCCTCTAGAAGGATTCCTCACCGTCGCAACATTGTCGGGCTCTTAGCATTGATATTGAGGACTCCATACTAATCTCTATATTCAGACTACCGTTCAGCACGTACGTGAGATCGAACATCTTTGCATTGGTGCGGGTCTGGTCTTTGCCTGGGCTCGATTATGCAGAACCTCGACATCCCGACGCTCAGAAAGCTACTAGTATGTATTTATGAACATTCAGATCTAAACAAAAGATCAAGGTTGCTGCAGCTAAAGGCACTTCCATCATCTCATGAAGAAAGAAGAGCAGGGACTTTCGGGTGGGATTTCGGTGGTTATGACCACCAGCTCCCCGATTCCTGGGCCGATTTTAGAAATAAGAAGACTGGCTAATAGGGTCAGCTAATTCGGCCATAGCGAGGAAGGCGGCACTGAAAAGAATTAAAACTACTAGTACTACAAGTATGTACAATTTAGAGCTTAGCTGGGAAGCTAAGGAGGAGGATGGCTATGCCTGACATCGATTCGATAGGATCCGCGATGAGATCTACATGGCTATATGGAATTTCGTACGTTGGGGTATAAGTGAGCCCTCCCCATTCGAAGGAAAGCTAGTTAGAGGCGACGGCTGTCTTTAAGAGAAGATGGATTACGGACTACTAGTATTTCCTTTCTGTGTGAAGCTACTAACATCGACGGCCGAAAAGGGGCAAGGAGGGCTGCTCAACTAGAAAGCAACTGAGAAACATGGAGCCGACGCAACGCAATACGCAGGGAAACGAGGTGCAAGGACTGTCCCTTTAATCTACACTGTGCTCAGCGTGTTCAGCGCGGTGGAAATAGGTACATAGAAGGTACATAGCAGGATTATCTGACAACTCCTTCTCCAAAAGTCCCTTGGTAGGCCAACACTGCATGGCAATGTCTCTCTCCAACAACGAGTACCAACAGTCGTTGCAATCCGGGTCCTCTATCGAGAATGCCTCCTTCTTGAAACCTCGGGCTGGCTAGTGACATTTCCAAATGCGAAAGTTTCCTGACGCCCTCGTGCCTACAAATATCAACCTCCATGGACGGCCTCAATTTAATAACAGCCGATCGCTCGGGGGCCTAGTTGGGCTGGTGCTGGCGGGCCCTCCTTGTAGCTCACTGTGCTGCTCAGGGAGTGCTCAGTGAGGATTAGCCAATACCTCTGTTGAGGCTCGGGTTCAAGTTGCCTTCTCTCACCCTTTAGGATCAACCCGTATAAAGCAATAAGGATTTTCGTTTCGCCAGTGGTCTAGATGATAAGTACCAAGTACTAAGTACCAGCACTAAGTACCAGCACTAAGTACTTAGTGCTCTAGCATCGTGGCGCCATTTATCGATCTTAGTGGTCAGTGAGTTGGTAACTTGCCAGCCGCAGCTCATTGGACAAAGCTCGAGAAATTTAAAGCTTCTGACGTCGATTAGCATTAATCTTCTTTTTCGTTTCTTTGTCCTTCAATTCTTTTTTGTCTTCTTTGTAACCCGGAAACTTCAATTGTCGCGGGAGAGAACACCCGCGAAAGAGCCAAAATGCCGCTGCTGGAAACTCTCAAAGTGGTTCACCAGTACACTCGGGATCGGCAGAATGCCCTGCAGGCAAACAACCAGAAGCTCCTCCTGAGATTTGCCGACGTCTTCTGGCGCACCTGTGACCTTGGTTTCACGGCCTTTGGAGGGCCTCCCGTCCATTTCCAGATTCTGCACAGGCGATTCGTAGAAGGGCGCGGAGATCTTGTCCCATGGATCGATGAGCAGACGGTAGGATGTGTCCCTGCAAACTCCTTCAACGCGTCTCCTCCCACTCATTCATGTCCGTCACAGTACCAAGAGCTTTTCGCCATCTGCCAGGCTCTTCCGGGCCCAGGGAGTACCAAAATGCTTTTTTGCATGGCGCTCATTCATGCCGGGGCTATACCGGCTTTTTTGGTGTTCCTGACTTGGAGGTAGGTTCGACATATAGACATGAAGTCACCAAAGGCCATCACGGGTTAAATTAAATTGTGGCCCAGCCTTCCCGGGGCGATCGCAATGTATGGGTTGTCACTCGGGGTCCAACACATCAACACCGTTCTCCCAGGTGCAGCCTGCGCTTTCTTGTCCGGGTTGAATTCCTCAACCGTCGGAATCGTCGCCCTTGCTGCCGTTCAGGTGCGAATTCACCCTCTTCTCCCTGCGCGACCACGCAAATGCCGCTGACCTGGTGGAGTACAGCTCGCAGACAAAGCCATCAAGGACAAGTTGTCGAGAATTCTCGTCATCTTCGGCGCCTGCGCCGGCCTTTGCTATAATGCCCTGTGGTATTTCCCCATCCTCATACTGGGTGGAGGCATCGTGACGGCGATTTGGGATACTCGACTTCGACAAGCAATGGCCCGATTCAGACGAAGATTGAAGGAGAGGAGGTCACGACAGGAGGGTGCAGTGGAGGAAACTGGCAACGACGGCGGTCAAAGTATTGAGTTGAGACCTGCGCAAAGTGAGAGCTCGAATACTTTGCAGAGAAGAACTGGAGTCACAGTAGCCCCGTCAGCGAATACAGCACAGTCAAAGACTGGCGACGCTTCGACCTCTGCTCCTCTCGCCCCCGATGCAGCAGCTCCTTCTACGGATATGCGATCACATGGGATCTCGGTACCCACAGGACTGCTAATCATCGCTGTCTTCTTTGGTATGGCTCCTTCCCTCACACCCAACCCCCTCTGCCGCACTCCTGCTGTCAGCCCTCTCTTTTCTCACTTGGGTCTCCAGCGTCATTTATCGCAGTCCTTGTCACGCGTGGTGTCCTTAAATCACCTCCACGGCTGCTTGACCTATTCGCAAACATGTACCTCGCTGGGACAATCATTTTCGGCGGAGGTCCCGTCGTGATCCCACTGCTCCGAGAATATGTGGTGCAGCCCGGCTGGGTCTCGTCGAGAGACTTCCTCATCGGCTTGGCCATCATCCAGGCATTCCCGGGCCCGAATTTCAACTTCAGCGTCTATCTCGGCGCGTTGGCGTTGCTGGGCACGCCTCAACCCACGATCCTGGGCGCCCTGATGGGGTACATTGGCATCTTTCTGCCGGGCATCGCACTTGCCGTGGGAGTCCAGGGCATTTGGCGAGTTCTTCGGACAAAGCCAATGGTGGTCAGCCTCCTTCGAGGAGTCAATGCAACGGCGGTCGGGCTGGTTTTCACGGCAGTGTATCGCTTGTGGGAAATCGGCTACGTGACCCCACAGGCGACCCAGGGCCAGAGTCTGGCAAAGGAACCGTGGTGGGTTGTGATTGCCGTCCTGACCTATTCCGAGTCGGCTTGGTTCAACATCCCCGCCGCTCCGGCGATTGTCTTGGGAGGGCTGTTGGGTTTGGCATGGTATGGCGCTGTGGGCAAAAACAGCCTGGGTTGAGGAAAGTCCATCTCGGCGCACGCGCGACTTGCGAGATGGTCGGTCAGTCGATTGATTGACGGATGGAATTTGATGCTTTGGTTCATCCTTATCAAGATTGGTTGGCTATATTGAACAAGCCTTATTTATACACGCTCGATAATAGGCACGTACTGCGGAAGTGATCTTCAGGCCCCCGAGCCCAGTCTTGGGAAGGAATCAATTTGGAAGCAAGCTGCTCATAGCTATCGCGGGAGTTTGCGCCCCTTTTTACACTGTCGCTGATCAAGCATACTTCCTCCTCCGGCTCATTTTCTGCACTGCGTGATCGCCACCAAGTACTCCTATTGCAACATATCCAACATCGTCCTCGGGACGAACATCGCCGAGTCGAACCATCAGATTACCCAGTCGCTTCGACTGCTCCGCGGCGTTCTCCATCGACGACTCATGAGGAACATTGGCATACGGATTGTCCCTTAGAAGCGAGCTGAACCTATCCAACAAGTCAGGCCCACGCCGATACGCCGTCAGCACTACTGTAGCCAGGCCGAGTATGAACAGCACGATAGAGCAGACGAGCAGGACAACGAGCCACTTGTAGTCGCACTTGACAACAATCTCGCTGGTCGTGATTGTGCCAATCGCGCTATCCGTGTTGTACTGCGATGTGGTGCCCACGTCACTGGTGGCCAAGCTGAAGTTTCCCGAGATTGCAGCGGGGGCGATGCTGTCAATCCAGTAAGTATTGATGAGTTGCGTGAACCGTTGGGAGACAAGATCGTTTCCGAGCTTCCAGATCTTGCTGGTGGAAGTCTGCAACAGCGGATTGGCCGGATCCACCAAGTACGCTTCTATGGCACTTGGAGGGCAGAATACGGTATCACAGCCCACTGTCGGGTTGGTTGCGTTAGTGAAGTCCGGGAAGAAAGAGGTATACATGATATCTGCTTGGCCAAGGCCATTGATCGGTGTCCAGTCGGTAGCATTGAGCGGACTAACGTTGTACTTTTGTGTGTGAGTGGCAGGATTTTTGGAAGGGCGAGCAGCAATACTTCGACAAGTTTGACCATCGCATTTGATTTGCACTTCCACGTACCTCATACCGACGGTACGGTATGCGATAGTAAGAATTTTTCCCTCCGTTGAACTATCAACGTTATATATCAAGAGATCGGAAGGTAAAGTTTGTTACTGCGAATTGGCCGTACCCGTTCGGAGAGAGGGCGTAGTTCGCACCGCTCCAGCCTACATATTGCTCAAGGCTTTGTCTGTACGCTTGAGTCCAATCGTGGCCCGAAACATTGCAGCTTGTCACCATATAACCAGTGTTCATCGTGAACCGCGAGACTCCGGTTGACGGCAGGTTGTGCAGGGGCAGCCCAGTGAGAGAACCCCATTGGACGTCACCCGAGTCTGGGACAAACCTCCAGTCTGAGTCGTCCTCGGGTGACGACAAAGGTAGGCTTTCATAGATGGGTATTTTGACGTTACCGAATTGGTCTTGGGCCGAAATTTTTGATTTCGACGAGCCGATGATAGCAGAGGTGAAGATGGCATTAATCGGGACAAGTGGCTCTGCTGAGGCCGAATTGATACCTTCGTTCGTAAATTCAGACACAAAGGCGAGATATGTAAAATTCTGTGTCGCGTTCAAAAAGGATTCTTGCGTAGATATCACCCGCAGCCCGGCTTGGCCACCCAGAGGGGAGAGTGCCCAAAGGAGGAAAAGAAGTGGTGTGAGGACATTGATTGTCTTCAAAGTGACTGGTGCTATGAAAGTGCTGAAGACGGTACGGCATTGCAGGAGATATTCGAGCGCGAGGATGGAGGTCCCTTGTTCAAGTTGGAGAGCCGCAACTGCTCTTAAAAACTTGGCAGCAACTGCGGAAAATAAGATGGGGAAGATAGTGGGAGACTGGACTTCGTTAGAATCGTCGTGAATCCTGATGGGTGTCTAAACGGCAAAGTTGGGAGAGTGCCGGATCGTCAAACTCACATATTTGGCGGCTTCAAGCAAGTCCTGATTGCCTGGTCGGTTGACAGCCTGATCGCGCCTGGAATAGACCAGAGCAGCGAATATGATGAAGTAGGCGCAGCAGAGTGCGAGGAGTAAATCCAGAAGCCTTCTGAAATAACACTGACAGACAACAGCCGCCGAGCACTTTTGGAGTATCTAGGCGGCGCACTGTCGCTGTCGGAGCCTGTGTTCAGCAGAGGACCTCTCGTTTCCACGGCATATGCAGGTTTCGAGCCTTGCCCTCGGTCTGCCATCTTCTCGGTCCAGGACGGTGCAGAAGAACAAGTCCATGGCGGGGACATTTAGTCTTTTTAATCTTTTGATCAGGCTGGCGAGCTGGGGCCGAAATCTCGCGTCCTGCAGGTCTGAGAAAGATAATAGGCATAGGCTGAAACGAGCTTGAGGCGTAAGGCGCCCCATGCGGACCCCTGACAGAGGGCCGAGCCGGCAAGGCAGAGCTTGAGCAGAGGCACGTCTTGATTGCTATGTGGATTTTTACCGATCAAACGTTCACTTTCCCTCTCTTCTCTTGTGTTAACGAATTTTGCCCTCGATCAAGGTTGATTTCAGGTGTATGTACGGAGTATATTCAGTGATACACAGCCAGAACGGCATTTAGATCACGTGACACTCCCCCGCACTTCATTTCAAGTACAATGACTAAACTCAAGGTCTCACTAGCATTCACTAGCGCCGCTAGCGATATTGACCAAGCTGCTAATTCTCTGCTCTTACGGGATAGGAAGCTCTGCCGAGGCCTGGACTTCAACTCGATCTTTGCAAGCTTCTCTTCCTCTCTGCATGACAAATAATACGAACTTCACACCAATGCAGTCTTGTCGCAGATATGAGGGAGAAGTTGGGAGGAAAATCCACTGAACGATCTTCAGCATGTAGGGTTTGCGGCAAGACGTTTGCACGCTCTGACACGCTGCTTCGGCACGAGAAAAGCCATCACTCCACAGTAGATCGAGGACCAGTCCACCGGGTCACTACGGGGACATTTCGAGCATGCCATGGCTGCGCAACGGCCAGATCCAGGTGCTCAGGCGGGTCGCCTTGTGGCAGGTGCAAACTTCGCCAGCTCGAGTGTATCTATCCAAACAAACGTCGGAAAATGTCCTTGTCGACCGACTCTGCGAAGACGAGAGAGGACGAGGCCCCAAAACAACAGCACCTCGGAAATTTCAATGAGCTGGCCTTCGCTGCTGATGGCCGGGATCAGCTCTCCTCAGGTGCCCACCCGGATGCTGGCGCATTGTCCACCTCAGCAGCTTTCCCAGACTCCGCTCACCATGCAAAAGCCACTGTATCGTCGGAGTACGAGTTGGGAGACCACCCGTTAAGTCAAGACAGACAACCAAGGTCGAGTCTTGGTGCGTTAGATGCCAGTACAAATCAGATGCTGCAGCACGACCATTTTAGGAATGACTACTTGGCCTCTCAGTTCAGTACTGGATTTGTTGAGCCCTCTGCGGCCTTCGAGTATAACTCGTTTGATGAACCTTTGAATTGGATTCCTCCCAGCATTTACCCATCCCCATACGATGCAGAGCTCGAACAGGACTTCTCTTTCATTCTCCCCACACTATCCACTAACCTGGACGCTGACTACGGTGTGGACTTCTCAATCAACCCACCTGCACATACCTATCAGGTCGGTAAGGATGCGACGCACGAAGCGCTGGAGACTCAAGGGTTTCCTGCTCCATTCGTGGCCATTGAACAAAGCCCTGCGTCTTCAACAAGTGATGGCGTACACATGCCCAAGTCAGTTCATGGAAGCTCCACAAGTTCTGACGTGAAGCGTAAGAAAAGGAAAACGTCTCTCCTACCCGAGATTTTTATCCAACCAAGAAGCCAGAGGACCGGTTATGCGTTTCCAGATGCAGAGGACTCTTGGAGCTCGAGATCAGCGAACAGCATGACTGAATACTGTTCTAATGCCACTTATGAAACGATCTTGAGTGGTTTTCGAAATTTCTGTGTGGAGACGACGTCGCCAACACCATTTCAGACCTCTGCTTTTCCGCCTTTGAATATACTCAATATTTGCATTGATCTTTATTTCGAGAACTTCAATAAGAATCTTCCTTTGCTACACCAAGCTTCGTTTGGACTTCAATCTGATTGGATAGTTGTCCTTGCTGTTGCAGCAATTGGCAGTTCCTTCGCCAAATTCTCTGACCTTCTGGATATTCGGGAAGCCTTCCAAGAATTCCTGCGCCGAGCTGTCGACCGCCGCGCAGATGGAACACCAGACGCTACATTGGAGCTCCCGCTGGCCCAAGCTCGCATTTTGAACCTCATCGGCTTGGTTCAATCGGACCGCGAGCAGCTGCGAGCCTTGTCGCACCGCTATCATGCAGATCTCTCGCGGTGGTGTCTGGAATCCGGGGTGTTGCAGCTGTCTGTGAAAGGCGACCTGTCAGACGGTGAATGGAATGAGGGTTTCGAGGATCGCTTGCAATGTTGGCAAAAATGGATCAGGATTGAGTCTTTGCGGCGTGTGGGCTACATGACTTGGATGCTTGATTGTTGCCTTGGCTACATGGCCAATGCACGACCGCTTTGCAATATGGACGATGCAAGAACTCCTCTACCCTGTTCCGAATCCGCTTGGAACGCCTCCACTCCAGAGCTCTGGTTCGACAGAATGCAGGAACTGGCGGAGACACCCTCCCTCTGTGGAGCCCTCGAGACGCTCTACAGCAAGAAGCAAGTCAGCTCGGAGTATAGCGAATTATCACAGACCGTGTTGATACACGCTCTTTATCAAAGAACCTGGGAGGTCGGCACACACATCAAACAGCCGCTAAGCGAATGGGTCCCAACTGGCAAGGCTCGAGGCTTCTTAAACACACCGTCAAAGGACAACTTCTGGCTCCCGCTCTACCCTCTTTACGCCAACTGGCGCAACAGCGCCTGTGATTGCCTTGACGTGCTTCATTGGCAGGCGTCGAGTATTGTTGCAAAGGCCTCAGGTCTCGAACACGGGGTCGTCCTACATCTCCACCTCGCTCGTATCGTCCTTCTAACGCCCTTTCAAGAGATACAAGACTTGTTGTTCTCTCTGATCGGTAAGGTCGGGAATTCTCCCAAGGCGTCATTCTACGTACATGATGGCAGCTATCAACCACGCAACAGCGCTAAGCTGCCTCAGATCCGCAAGATAACATGGCGTTGGCTACGAGAGGACCAGCACAAGGCTCGTCTTGCCATGGTGCATGCCGGGTCGGTATTCTGGTATGTCCGTCGATATTCCGCCATGAGCTTCTTCGAGCCGATTGCCGTTTATCTGGCTAGCCTGGTGCTCTGGACATATGGCTCTTACAAGTCGATTGCCTTGGAACGTGACGCTGCTGCTGCCAGCCAGAAACCCGAAGGCGGCCCGAGTGGACCGGACGCAGGCGCTCCCATTCAGCCCTCTCGCATGGAGAGGAAGGAACGTCCCATCAAATTCATCAGCAAGGCCAACGGACGGCCGGTGAATGCAGTTGGCCCATCGGTCCCGCAGCATTCTGCATCTCCGGAATCTCCGACTGATCAACATTCCTCTGAAAAGAAATCTGCATCTGCCGCGCTAGAAGGTACGACGGCTCGCTCGAGGTCGTTCCCTCCGGCAGCACTCAGCTCCGACTCGGAAACAGAGGATACTTCCTCCTCGGACGAGCAACCCGAGTTCATTCACTTGGACCGTCCCTGCGACGACGAGATGGTGCAACACTTTGTGCGCAACGGCCACACCATGTCCGGCCACATGACGAATGTGGGGGACATCTGCAAGGCCCCACAGAAAGTCCTGCTTGAGGGGGCAAAATTGCTAAGAACGAGACTCGCGTGTTGGGGCGTTAGTCGAGAGTATTACGACATCTTGATGAAATTGGCAGAATTGAGAAAGGCTAGTTGAAATTTGAGGACGCTCTGCCGCTCACGGAAGCAATGTGTGCGTTGATTGTGTTGGGTAGGAATAGTGAGTTTCAGCTTGGGTCAAAACGTGTCCTGAGGTTTTAATTTGCAAGCACAGCTTATGATCCCTTCTATTGTACATTCACAACAAATGGAAGCCATGGAACGGGAATTGCTATTCCCTGCTCGCTTGCGGCCTCGAAATCCGTCTAGCTACGAGCTTTTCCATCTCAACATCGTGATGGAACTCCTTGGAAAGACGAATGTCGAGGTCTTGCTCAGATCCCAATCCGACTTCTGCAGCCCAACTTCCTCCTTGCCAGCCATGTTTGTAACCCTGAGATTTGCGCCCGTGACTGTGTAGACCTCGGCCTTGGACGCCTGCAGGCCTTTGAGGGTTGTCTTCAAATCATGCTCTGCGTGGATGTTGACCACGCAGACACTGACCCAACCTTCATCGTCGAGCGCAGCGCTGACGTCCAACCATGGAGTGGCTTTGAGGGCCCTCACCCAGTCCGGCCGCGTTGGCCCCGTGTACGACTCGCATTCCAAGTGGACGGCGACCTGGTGGCCCTTCATGAACCTGCAAAACAGCTCGTACGGCCACCACGTCGTCTGCCTGATGATGCCTTTCTCCGTGGTCATCAGGGGACTGATGACGTTGACGCTCTGCGCGATACACGCCATGCCCACGTCTTTGGACTGGCGGACCAGCACGTTTAGCCACACCGCGACGGCCAGCGCGTCGGAGAGGGTGTAGGTCTCCTCGGCACCTTGGCTTCCCACAGCGCGGGTGGGCAGCCACACGTTCCACTCGTCGAAGCAGATCGTTGGTCTTTTCTGCGTGGGAGGGATCTTGTTCTCGACCATGGCGAGGTCGATCAGGCTCGCGCAGACTTCAATGCTGCGCTCCGCTGCAAGCGGCGCGGTCACGTTCTCGTAGTGGTCATCGCTCGCGGTGTACAGGTGGATGCTGTGCATGTCGATCAGCGGCACGCGCTCCTCGCCCAGATCGCTCAGGCCTGCCGGCTGCAGGCAGTGTTTCAGGGTGTAATAGTCCCATGTCGTGGCGCCCTCTTTACCACAGAGGACAAGTTGAATGGTCGGATCGAGGAGTTTGAGCGCCTTTGCCCATTGAAGAGCCCGCTCCGCGTACGCTTCCTGGGTCATCTGGTTGACCTGCCAGGGCCCCCACATCTCGTTCCCCAATGCCCAGTACTTGACGTTGTACGGTTCTGGATGACCGTGTTTCCGTCGCAGGTTCGCATAGTAGGTGTCTTTGGTGCCGTTGCAGTATTCCACCCACGCCATTGCCTCGTCAAGTGTGCCGGTCCCGAAGTTCAGACAAAGATATGGCTCGGCGTTGACAGCCCTGCACCACGCCATGAATTCGTCTGTGCCGAATTGATTCGTTTCGACGTTGTCCCATGCCAAATCTGGCCTCGAAGGCCGCTGGTCTCTCGGCCCTATCCCGTCTAGCCAGTGGTACGTGGCGCAGAAATTGCCGCCTGGGTAGCGAAAGACTGGGATGTCGAGCGGCTTCAGGGCGTCTATCACGTCTTTTCGAAACCCTTCCGAGTCGACCAAGTCCCTGTTTGAGTTTAATGGGTCGTAAATGCCACCGTATATGCAGCGGCCCATGTGCTCTGTGAAGCCCGAATAGATGTTCCGGTTGATCTTGGAGACCTTGCGGGTAGGAAACACCGTTATCGATGGCGTTGCCATGTTGGACCTGTGTAGCGCAAGGCGGTCTGGCACCTGACAATCAAGCCTCTATGGCCAATCTCAATGACCAAGAGTTCACCATCCAGCACCACGGGTGCCCAGTTCTTCATAAAGGGAAGAATGAGGCCAATTATCATGTGACTGGGGATTCCTGTTCTCGGAACCTGGTATGTAACGCACCCCTGTTGGCTCTCTCAGTCCTAAGTGGCATGAACTTCCTGCATGAGAAAGCCCACCGTGGACGGCGGAAGTCCGCCACTTGAGCCCCATATGGCGAAAAAGCGGTTAAAAAGAAGCACTTGGGTCTAGCTGGAGGGTATCTTGACTGAAATCCCTACCAGTAGTGCTTGACGCCCACGCGAGCTATTTGCTATCATCCGGCACATCAGCAACGACCAGGGACACGGGAGACCGTCCACAAAGACCAAGATGATGCCACCGGGGAACTTCCATTCTGGGACATTTCGCCTCCTCCCCGCCGGAGCTTTGTCTCCCACGGCAGGGAGCGCCATCTTCCCGGCACAAAGCTTTGACGAAAACTTCGGCATTCTCAAAAATTGGCAGAGAATACAAGATTCCAGTCTGTGTGGATGGTGTCATGCATCTCCGCAATTCATCTTGCCATCCTATGTTTTCCCGGATTCGATAGACGCAACGTCTGCGGGGACCTCGTGTCTTGTCCCGACTGGGAAAAACTGCGGGATGATGCGAGCCATCACGAGGTGGTGGTGAGTCGCTCCGGCCATTGCACCCTCCCAGTACGGGGAAGGCATCGAGACTCTGTAAAGGAGGGTATCCACATTCATATATTGCTCGTCGACTCCGTTGATCTATTTGAATTCTCTCCTGTCTTCAAGGTAGGCCCTGTCGAAGGTCTCCAGACACTCTCAATCACCTCCTCTGTGCCCCTTCCTGTTCTACCGCTGCATCTCGGCAGGTCGCTGCCCATCATGGCTCTACCTCCGAAATGGTATCAGTTCCTCATCGGCGTCTTCGCCTCGCTGGGCTCATACCTGTTCGGCTACGACCTCGGTGTCATCGCAGAAGTCGTGGCCAGCAGTACCTTCAAGGCTAAATTCGCAGCGGACGACACTCAATCAGGCCTGGTCGTCTCCATGTTCACCACCGGGGCATTCTTCGGGGCGGCGCTGGCGGGCCCCAGTGGCGACTATCTCGGCCGTCGATGGACCATTGTTCTCGGAGCAGTGATCTTTTGTCTTGGTGGTGGGCTGCAGACAGGTGCAGAGAGCATCAGCTACCTCTGGTCAGGCCGCTTTCTTGCCGGACTTGGTGTGGGCTTCCTCGTCATGATTATTCCTCTCTATCAAGCCGAACTGGCCCATCCCAGCATTCGGGGCCGCATCACTGCCTTGCAGCAATTCATGCTAGGCGTAGGTGCGCTTGTGGCCTCGTGGATCTCGTGGGCTACGGTACGTCCGCCCTGTCGCTGGCACACTCTCAAGATTACTTAGTCAATGATAGCACAAGCTAACAAGCGTTCTACAGTATGTCCATATCAAGAGCAGCAGCGCCCAGTGGCGAGTTCCTCTCGGTCTGCAGATTATACCTGCAGTCTTCCTTGGTTTGTTGATATTTCTGTTCCCAGAGTCTCCCAGGTATGGCCAGCTTGTCAACGGTGTCCTTCCATTTCACCTAACCACCTCTTTCAAACACCAGATGGCTCATGGACCACGACAAACCAGACCAAGCATTGAAGGTCTTGGCCCAGCTACATGCTCATGGGGACGAAAAGGACCCGTGGGTTATAGCTGAATACGAGCAAGTGCAGGCGTCGATTGCCCACGAACACCAGTACGAAGCAAAGTCCTATCTTGAACTGTTCAAGTCTCGATCTGCCTTCCGTCGCCTTTTCCTTTGCTGTGCGTTGCAGGCCAGTATCCAGATGACGGGCGTGTCCGCCATACAATATTATTCAGTCACGATCTATGGACAGATAGGCACGTCGTCTCCTTTCCCACAATTCCGTGGCTTTTAATATGTGACTAACCTGCGTGCAGGGATCTCTGGCAACGACACCCTCAAATACCAGGGCATCAACAGCATCATCGCATTGGTTGCACAGTTCCTGTGCATCCTCTGCATCGACCACACCGGCCGTCGCTGGCCCCTGATCTACGGCAACCTGGGGAACATGGTAACGTTCATCATCGCCACCATCCTGCTCGCAAAGTACCCTCCCGGAGTCTCGACCAACACCGGTGCCCAGTGGGGGTTTATCATCATGACTTGGCTGTACAACTTCTCATTCAGCGCGACTTGCGGTCCATTGTCTTGGATTATACCGGCGGAGGTATTCGATACCAGAACGTGAGTTGCTCTCTCATCCTCACATATGATCGGAGGCAATCCAGATGTCCTCCATCCACAATGATACCACAGGGCTAACATGGATGTCTATCTACAGCCGAAGCAAGGGCGTGAGCATCGCCACAATGACCAGCTTCGCCTTCAACACAATGATTGTACGTCTTTACGTTCCCCCTTCCCTTTCCATCAGCCCACCGCACCTTGAAGAGCATCCATCATCCAAGAAGCTAACAACAGTGCGTGTAGGGCCAAGTGACACCCATCGCGATGACCAACATCGGGTACCGGTTCTACTACGTCTTCATCATCTGCAACTTCACCAACGCCGTCTTCTTCTGGCTTTTGCTGCCCGAGACCGCGCGCCGCCCGCTCGAGGAGATGAACTACCTGTTCGAGCACGCGCCATGGATCGTCGTCGGCTCCACCCGCGAGAGCTACGCCAGCCACGACTTGGAGAACAGGCTACACGAGATCGCGGCCGAGGCGGAAATCAAAAGAGGGGGGCCCGGTAGCGTGAGCGTGCGGCATGAGGAGAAGGTCGCGCACTGATGGTGGATGACGGGAAGACTAGGCTGGACTGCGTAGGACCGGAGTGGGACTGGGACCGCGACTGAGGCATCCGATCCTAAAATGAAGTCCTAGGTGGCCCGCCGCCGCGACGGTTCTGAAGGACGCATGTTTTGCAAAATACAAGTCGCTCTGACGTGGATGGGACCTACCCGGCAAAGTGTAATCGATGTACTCTTTCTGACCATGGACGTCACTGCTTCCCGGTCGAGCAGAGGAGGGAGTCAGGACTTGTAAAGAAAGGTAAATAGCATAATCCAAGAGTTTTGCGCGTCGGCCGAGGTACAGCTGTATATTGACAAGGCCGTAGCCCACCCCTATCTAGTATCGCAACTGTGGAAAGGCCAAGCTTGAATGCGCTACGAAAACCGCCTCACCGCCTCACCGCCTCTGCGACGATCCGCTCGAACGGCTCCAATGGGGGCAAGTCCAAGAACTCGTTCCCGTTCGGCGTGATGGCCTCGTTGACAAAATCACTCCCGTACCCATCGAGGAAGAATCCCGCCTTGACCAGCGCCAGCGCGGAGTCCGTGTCCTTGTTCTCGCGCCACGAGCGCTGCGCGCCGGCGATCACGGCGTCCGCGTCGAAGGGTGTGATGGTGTACTTTGTGCCCTGGAGGTGCTCGAGCGCGGCGACGATGTCGTTCTGCGAGGCCGACAGGCCGTGGAGGGGCACGACTTTGTTGGCGGTGGTTTCGGACGGTGCGAGGAGGATCTGAGCGATGCCCTCGGCGGCCCACGGCAACGTTGACCATGAGAGTTTGTGGGTGCCGTTTTGCCACAGGCGCGCTGTGTGCGTCTTGATGTTGATGCCCGCGAAGCTGATGGCCGGCTCGAGGGACCTGTGTAGTTGGCAGTAATCTTCTCGTCAGTGACCACGTGATACAGCGGATGGGGGGAGGGGATGGGGAGCTTTATGTACCAGTCCAGCCACAGGCCGGTCGGGACGGCGGTCCACGACAACCCGCTCGACTCCTTCTGCTTCAAGTACTCGATGATGGCGCCCTTTGCGTCGAACACGGGACACAAGGCCCGTGCAGGAGGATTGGTGTTGTTGACACCGTACTCCGAGGGCAGGAAGCGCTTGACTTTCGCTTCAACCGCAGCGTCTACGAGCTTCTCCTCCAGGGCGATGGCGCCGAAACCAATGGCCGAGATGACCGCGTCCTGCCCTTGCATGGCTTTGACAAGCTGGTCGTGTGGCAAGTCGACGTCGACGTAATGGACCTCTAAACCTTCCGGGAACGTCGATTTGGAAGTCTTTCGAGCGATGATGGAGACGTTGAAAAGGCTGGGCTTGGATGCCAGTGCCTTGACGACGTGGTGGCCGATGTTTGTGCCTCCGGCCTGCGATCGTGAGTATCGAAGATTCCATGCACTGGTAGGGCTTCATCCAGGACATACCCCGAAGACCATGACGTTCTTGAGATAACCTGACGATGCCATCTTGCAGAGGCTCGCGTCTGTTGGCTCCTGGGAGACCCTTGTGGTATGCTATTATCGATGCAATGAGATGGATATCGAAAACCTGTGCGTTGGGTACTTTGGTCGACTGATGTATTCCTCTCACCACCAGGTGGCGTCTGCATACTTATATACCTGTTCCCTCCATCTTTCGGCCTCTTTGTCAAGACTCCATCATTTCCAAATGCCACCTCCCCAAAAACATACTTGTTGGTTTCTAAGCAGACATCTCCGAACTCGGCAGGACGAGAAAACGGTTGACATATGTCTGGATTATAATCACCGTCTCCACATTTGTGCTGGGTAGAAATGACCAGAAGAGAAGTAATTGAATCCGAATAAAGCTTAAAGGTCCGGCGAATGGCTGGTTTTAACCGTCATTGGGTGATGTTGGTTCTGGCCACGCACGGAGTTGTCTAGGATCTGGATCTTTGGTGTACATAGGCAAGGAACCCGGGCCAATACGTACATACCCAGGTAGGTACATGGACGGGCGAAGACGTTAATCGCCTCTATGAAGTCAGCGCCAAGCTGCGTGGCTATGATTACTTTCTTAGTTGGTCTCCCGTGTGTTGGAAAATTCCCGATTTGGAAAGAGGGCGTAAAGCCGTTAATATTACACACTCGTCGAGAGGCTGGGATCCGAGGACATCTCTTTCTTTCTTTCAAGGAATGACACTCGTCGCTGGAGCACTTACTTGGCCACCATGGATGATGAATGCGCCTGGCGACGACTGCTTGGCGATGCAGGTTCCCTACATTCTTCCGGTAGCGCCGCTCTCAGCTTTATTGTCATCAGGTGGCCCGGCCACACGCTTTCAGGAATCACGCCACAGTTGGGTCTCCGACAATAATGATCTGTGCTCCTACGGAGAGCGCTCCTAGCGGGGAAAAAAACTTCTGAGACGAGGGGAGGGACTGGGCGATGACAGACCACGTCATTTGGCGCAGTTTCAGCCGGTCGAGAACCCCCTGAAACAGGAGGGGACAAGGGGTCAGAACGCCGATCTGGAGGAGCATGGAAATAGTCCACGTCGAGAAATCCTTTTCCTTTCAAGTTTGTGTGGATTCGTATATCTCCCATTCCAAAGATAAGAGCAAAACGGGCGTCGGGATCGTCGTGACTCTCCTCCTCGCTGCCTACTTGTTCCACCCCGGAATGGCCTGGCTATATCCATCATCAAGCGGCTTGACCGTCTTCTTCCACGCCTCGCGAGCAGAGACGGTTTCCCACCACCGCTTCAGATTGGGTCTGCCCTCGAAAGGATCAAGGCATCGCGTCACGGTGAAGACGCACGGCATGTAGAAGATGTCGACGAGGCTGTACTCGTCTCCTCCCATGTACGGCATCTTCGACAGCGCCTTGTCGAGCACGTCCAGGCAATTGGCGAGTTTCGGCTTGTGTCTTGCGAGGACGGCTTCGTCCTTTTCTTTTCCCAACGCGCTGTTTGCTGTCGTGTTAATAAAATAATTGCTCACATGCCCCCTTTTTTTTTTCTGACGGAAGTACATAAGTAGGAGAGAACGTACGGTCGAATGAGCGTCTCGGCGATGACGGGCGCGACGTGGACGTCGAACTCCACCGCCTCGAGAGCCAACCACATCTCCCAGACGCCACTTGTCTCAGCATCGCAACGCTCAGGCATCAGCTTCGGGCCGACGTCCGCATACTTCAAGCACAGATAGCGGGCGATCGCGCGAGACTCGAAGATCGCCGCGTCGCCGTCCTCCAGCAGTGGGACCCTCCCAAAGATGGACTTCTCGCGGAACTCTGCGGTCTGTCCCGAGCACCCCTTGTTAGCAACGCACACCTGATCCCCATATTGGAGGCAGAGACGGTGTACTAGCCTTGTGCTTCCCCCCGATGAGGTCGGCAGGGATCCTTTCGACGTCGTCAATATCTTTCTCGGCCAGCACGAGCTCGGGTCGCAGGCAGTTCCACGAGAGTGGTGATGTCCAGAGCTTAGGGGTCATGGCTTTGGCTTGTCGGTCGCCGGTGTCTCGCGCCTTTGCTTGGGGGAGAATACTGCGATGCGCTCTGGAGCTCTGAACAGGAACTGAATCGCTCTTTATGTACTCCGTACAATCCATTCGTATGATTTGCACGCGATGACGCGTTTCATATCGTTTTTCGGCACAGGGGTCGTTTCCTCCTTCTGCCTCAGCTGTACGCTGCGCTGGACGATATACGAAGGAGACGACTTGGCACGTCGAGACTCGTGCCCTTGGGCGTGTAGAATGCACCGACCAAGTTCTTGAACCTTAACGTTATCGGCCCTTGAGCATGGTGGGATACTAGCCCGATTCACAGCAGACGAAATATTAGGATGACGACAATGAACTGGTCTATTATTATTCCGAGGGCAGGGTCATTGAACTCTTTGAATGCAGCAATTCTTGTATCGGAAAGGCAAGGCGATGCGTGCTCCACTCGTAGTCGTCAGGGAACAGCTTAACGACACAGCTGTCATTCCTCTGCACTAGCCTTCCAAGCATTACGACATGCTCTGCAAAGGGGGTCATAAGAAGTCTCGCTTCGAGCAATACCACCTCAATGCTTGGAAATGAACTCGGAAGCTCTTCAGCTAACCAGAAATGCTCATCTCCTTTCGTGGTTGCCGATACGAGAGTGCCACGGGTAATCATACCTGTATCCCGTATCCATGCTCGGCACACCGATCAACGGATCCCTTGGCCACCCTTCAGCTGAAGATGTTGCTGCTGACAAGCTATCTTGGCCCACTAGGCCGGCCAGGTGTCATTTCATGACCGCCTGGCCTTCGATAAGCAGCACCATGACGCGACACGTACGCTTAACCGGTGACCTGATTGAAGCCTGCCGAACCGATGTCGCCGACAAGCTCGATCTTCAAACCTTTCTGCTTGCCATCAAAGTACCAGGAGACACCTGTCGAAAGTATCTTTATGACTACCTCGGCGACTGAGACTTCCCAAGAAGATGCCTGAGCAGATCCGGCGTCAGATACTAATGGCGCCCAACAACTAGTTGAGGGAGGATGATTTGTGCGTTGGGTCTGAGAATAAGGCTTACCTGAAGCTTGCACAAGCTCTCGAAGTTCAGCTTCTTGCTGTCGAGTTGTTGTTGAATTGCTCTGGCTTTGTCGGTACAACTCCAGCCCCACAAGTCCTTTTCAGTTTTCTCGACCCTATACACCACCGAAACAATCACCCATGCCACGATATGTCCGGCAGCATAGAGAAGGCTGAAGAATGCTGCATCATGCCTGCGTCGACACCAAAGAGCAACCAGCGCTGTCAATGCCAAGAGAGAAGTGGTGATTGATGCAGCAGCTAGCATGAAAGTCGGCCACAGGACACTCCCCTTCGCCCATGGTCCCCACGGTCGACCTTCGACGAAGATGTCTTTCGTTGTGTAGAATTTGTACATGGTGTAGATCATGATCGACTCCATGGAGGCCGAGAAGAGGGCTGAAATAACATTTGTGACGCCGGACGCGATTCTGGCCCAATGTCGAAACTTGTTGTATTGTCTCAAGAGGAACTCGCGCCTCGGGCTGGATTGTTGTTCGCCCTTCTGCATGGATGGGTGCCGCTCATGGTGGTGAGCGTTATCCAGTGGTATCTCCGAATAACTGATGCGAGGGTGTAGTTTATCATTGCTGAGCCCTGAAATCCCATGCCTGGCCTCGAGCACGTTTTGCAGAAGCTTCGGTGTCATATTTCTTTGACCACACCAATCAAGAGTGATGGCATCAGGTAGACACAGCAATCTGCCTGACTCATGGGAAGGATTGGTGATATATCAAGCTGGCGGATTTGGGAACACCCGAGAGCCCAGGGCAAGAGGCGCAGCAACGAAGATCGCATTCACGACGACGAAGAAACTTGGCCCTGGGCGAGCCTCGAACGATTTGATTGCGTGGCCGAGCATTGATAAACAGAATCCTTTGACACCAAGTGTCAGGCTGAGCCCAAGAAGGCAAGGAGAAGCATATATGAGACGTACCTGTTCCAGTTAGCGACGACCCGCCTCCGCACGGCCACTCTGGCTACTTTTCCAGCCAACAACTCAAATCAGGACCATGCTGCTAAGAGAACTCATCTTCCGCAAAATGTGTGCAGACAAATCCTAGGTCAGAGAGTGGAAAGATCCATCGTCCGTGTAAAGGAACATTTATATGAAGGGAGGGAACCAATGGGCAGAGTATCCGGCTGTAGAGAGCTGAAACTAGAAAACTGCGGGGGAGAAGGATCCAGGGGTTAAATGTTGAAACAGCAAGCAGGCATTGTACGCGTATACCATAGCAAGACTTGGTAATGAGGGAAGGGTCCGGTATATAAATCCCATACTGAAGCTCCTGTCTCGATTCAAGATATACTGGACTTTAACGCGCCCTATTCCACTGCCATGACGGTTTTCGTCCAACGAAACTCGGCAAAATTTGTGGATGCAAAGCCTATTGAAAAATTGAAAAACTTGTACTGGACTTCGCGCAGGTGTGAGGATTTCAAGCAGAACTTTCAGCGGTGGTCCCGAAGCAAAAGTCCGCAGGATGAATTCGTGCTTCTCTGTATCCGGGAGGTCAGAATCCAAGGGCCGTTCTGGACCAGCAATCCAGAAGGCCATCTGCTTCTAGGCAGGTGCAAGCTGGAAGCAGCTGGACGTTGATTGAAGGCTGGATACGGGGTGAGAGAAACCCTGCAAGATTTGCGAAGAAAACACCATCGAGGGCTGAGAGTTGTCATGTATTTGCACGGATTTCCCTCCTCTTCGCGACCAGTAATAGGCTGGGACAACGACTTTCGGTGATGACTGCAGTAAAAAGATAAGTGGTTTGTTCTGACTGGCTCGATTGAGCGACAATACCACAGCGACACCGGGACTCTGCCGTAAGGTCCCCGGCCCAACCAGAAAGCACCATTACCATACATGCCATCGGTGCAGCAGCAAGGCTAGGTAGGCAGGCTCCTATGACGACCAGCACCATCAAGGCACCAATGCAAATTTCGCTTCAAATGGATAACTTGACGTCCACCAGCGCGGGAACGCAGCTGTTGACATTCAGGCAGGCCGCAGGCAGCCACAGTATAGCGGAATCCAGCCACCCTACAATGAAGGGGCCACCGCAGAAGGCGAAAGAGGACTTCTCGGAGCTGTCGACGAGGGTCTCACCGGAGGCTTCGTTGGGAAACATACCTGTCACGGACTGCTCGCCGGTGTAGGAGAAGCCATCATCGGGTAACTGACAGAGCGCTGGGCAAATAATCAAGAAACCTTTCAGTCCTAGGCCGACAACTCCAACACAGAAGCCTCCATATCGGCCACCGCCAAGCCTGGAGTATGCTCAGCCAATTTGTTGATGCAACCACCATGTTATTTCAACCCGAGTTAGTTTGGGATATTGGCAAGCACCGCCTCAGGGTACCCGAACCCTCCGTCCAAACCATGCGAACATCATCATCATTGCGGGCGTGGGGGGTTTTTTTTGGCAGGCAAATAGCTGCGCAACTTGTGCTCGATGGTAGCCTGCTCGAAGGGACTTGAAGTTGGTGTCTTGTAGCTGGACACTATTCACGAGAAAAAAGCAGATACGTCATGGCATCGACTTTCCTCGGTTCGGTATGAGGATTTTGGGTTCGGTCACGGTGCAGGGAGGATGGATTGAGCATCGATTGAGAGTTCGCAGGTACGAGCAGCAAGAGCAGGCAATTTCAAGAACCAAGGGAATATCGGATCAAAACGCAATTGTTTCACCGTATCACCTGGCACCTTTTCACTTATATACTCTGCCGTATTTAATCCGGCGTTAATCCGAAGCAGCACTAAAGCGGACAGAACGGATTTGGCGACCCAAGGCTTGTCGCTAGAAGCTCGTCAAACTCTTCTGTGACAAATTGCCACATCAACCACGTCTCTGACACGCCTCAACAGATGCCGGCTGTCTCACGCAGAAGCCATCCCCCCGAAACATCCAGGATGGTACTAAATACAGTGCAGCGCTTTTCTTTTTTGAGCTTTCCATTTAATTCCCTCAAGGAGATGGGTTTGACTGGGCTGTCTGCAAGTCATATGAGGCTTGAAAAAGGGTAAAGATCAATCAACTTTCTAGCCGAGATGACACCACGGCAGGAGAATCATGGATACAATTCTGACATATATATGGATGGATGCATGGGACTGTCGTGCTCAGCATCATTCTGTGCAAAAGCCCCAAGTGACAGTTCACTTTCGCAGTTGAGTCCCTCTGCAATTAAAGCGTCGCGATCAATCAATCAGTCCAGACAGCCACCATGCGAATACTCGTTCGCATTCTCTCCCTCACCTTCCTGCTCTTCATTGTCCACACGACGTCGTCTCCTCTATGGTGGGACGACCACCAGGAGCTGCCGTCCACCACAACAGGCAGCATCGGCTACCCAATCCGTCCTCGGGACCCAGCAAACACCTCCGTCAACCCTAACGCCGTGACTGGAACAACCTGTATAGACCCCACCGCCGTCCTCAACACACATGACACCAACGTCGCCATCCTGTCGATCTGCGGCGGCATCGCCGGCTCAATCCAGTTTTGCGGGGGCGACCCATCGACGACGGTTGGAGCGTCGGGGACATCAAAGTTTACATTGACAGCTGTGAATGCAGCCCAGGGCGCCACGATCAACGTGAGCAAGGGGAGATGGGAAGGGTGTGTGAGAGCAGCACAGGCTGTCTGTCCGACAGGGACGTTTAGCAGCACGTGTGTAGGCGGGACTAGTGACGGAGTCGGTTTCACTTTTGTGCTGAGCGGGAATAATTGAGTCCATGCTTGTAGCTAGTCTTCCTCGCGGGTGCTGAGATTGCCAGAGACCCAAAAAGGCGTTGATGAATCAATGAATCAATATTTTCATGACAATGATCCTCGGAATCGAGGCTCGAAGTTCTGGGCATGACGAAGAATGGAGAGGAAAACAAGGTTGGAACAGGCTTTGTCTCAAACGTGACGTTCTACCTCGCCGGTACATAGATGACAGAATGAGGAAAGAGAAGCTGAAGAAGTAGTCGTAATTCATCAAGCACCCGAAAGTCCAACGAAGCCCTGTGGCCGTTCATATCCAGCAGCCCATTTATTCCATTCCTCACTGCAAAAATTGTTGAATTTTGGTGCAGTGGTTTTTGATCCCATAGCCAAGTGCATGCCTGCTCCAAGAAAGAAAATTCGATAGTTTCCGTCCAAATCCATTAAACATCGAAAGAGATCAAAATAAATGTACACAAGATTCTCCGAATCTGCTCAGGAACCCTGAGTCTGCGCCATGGCGAAGGTGTCAAAGACAGGGCATGACGGGGCCTCTACGTCCTGTTCTGCTTGGATCAGATTGTCCATCCACGACTCATTGTTGAAGGGCATCTGGTACTCCAGCAGAGGCACAGGTTCCGAGACACGTGGTATCATCCCAGGAACTGTGCTATCGACATAGACGTTCGGCTTTGTCAAGACCTCGCGAGCGAATTTGGCCACTTGTCCCTTGGCGATGGTAGCCCGTGGCCAAACCTCACCGAATGACCCAAGGGCCGAAATGCTAAGTTGTAGCCGTTCCTTGATTGCCACAGCTTGATCGGGGGTATCCACGATGGCGTATGCCGGCAAGTGCACTGTTGCAGCAGTGGTCAAGCCGCACATCAGCACTGGCGAGCACATCTTGACATCTGTTTGCATGGATGCTAGGTTGGTGATGGCGTTCGCTGCTCGCAATGCTTTGGCAGTGTGGGAGGTGTAAGCTAGCGCAGGGAGACCAGCAGCCTCTGCTTTTGTACATGTCGTGCGATAGTGATTTCGGATGAAAGTCAAGGTAGATCGTGGACGGTGCAGGCAGATAGCGGCCCAATGGATGACCAGATGGGCGATAAGAAGGCATTCGTCGATAGTACCATCATTACGGACCACTTCTCGCTTGTCCATGGGAAGGGATAGTAAGAGATTCGAAATGGCGGCATCAATACCTTCCACTTGAGGATCTGTCACCGCAAATGTGTCTGGGCTCAAGGCAAGCACAGAGCCGAGGATATACGCCGCCTCGATGCAATAGGCAAAGGACGAGTATTCGAAAGTGTCTTCAGAGAAGGTCCTATTTCGGAGGTCTGCAATCGTGCGAGTTATCGGGGGCGACCGGAGTTCGTTGTAGTCTTCATCGTGGCCTGGCAAAGCCACGTCCGTGTAGGTCGAGTACAGTCGGAATGGCGATGATTGACCCCCAATGACCACGACCAGGCCCTCGATCAACAGGAGTGTCCACCATGTTCTGCGCCATGATTCTTGCATTGTTGAATCGTTGGGCGACTGCTGCAGAGCAAAGCTCTGCCGATTGAGACCAATCCGGAGAGCGATCTCGATGGCTTTGTCCAGTGCCATGGATCCTTCTCCTTGACCAAACCTTGCGAAGCAGGTCATTGCGAAGAGGAGGAGACCTTGCACCTTGAAGCCATCGTCAGGCACGTCCGGCGAGAAGATGACTTTTGCTGCATTCTCCAGAGCCGCGTGGTTGGCTGAGGGAATGTAATGGCTTGCAAGCCACCGCATGCAAGCCTTGAGAGGTGGAGGCAGAATGGCAGGATTCTGGAGATAGAGCTGTCGCGGCACGATGAAGGGATGAGAAGGATAGAAGTGCCGGTAAAACAGATCAATCAAGTCGGTGCTCTCTACTAACGCCCTGTCGGATGTAGCAGCGGCAGGCAGTATCTCTCGAGTGATAGACATGGTTGAATCAGAGTTGCTGGGACTTGGCAGATGGTCCTTGACGGGCTGTGCGGTCTGTAAGTCGAGAGGAAGAGCTGGGAAGGCTGGATCCATGGTGGGCTGAAAGAGTTCGGCGTAGGTCATGGCCCTCAGCTTGGTAGTATCAGCCTCGTTAAAGACATGATAGGCCTCCTGATTCACAACAACAGGCTTGGATTCGTCGAACATGGTATCATTTTTCGGCCTCTGGTCAGTCTTTTCGTCATCAGTTGATTGGTTTTTGCGATATTCCCGGTATCCTCTTCGGGAATTAACCCAGACACAGTCCCCGTTTTTCTCGGAGCACCTGCTGCATAGCGGCTTCTGGCCATCGCATTTGAGATGGCTTTTTCTGCATGGAATGCACGCGAGAAGGCTTGGGTGCTTCGATCGGCCTTTACTGGGGGCCGGAGTGGCATTAGCAGCCTCCTGCGTGGTCATTTTTGGTTTCGCCTGAGATGGCAATGTAGATGAATGGCGGTCTAACGCTCCGGAAGGAGAAAAGGGGGGTCACCGTAGGTGATGGGTTCCAGGAACCACAGGAACCGTGCTGATTATGTGGCCTCCGTCTCGCCTGCGGTATTTGTCTTGGGTTGAATGGCAATGGGCGCTTGGGTCACAGCCCTAGATCTGCGCGGTTTTGCGTCCTTTGATGGTCCCCGGGGGGCCCTGAAGCGCGCTCTGAGCTTGGAAGTTGTGGGATATGGCCACGATGGGATGGGCTGAGTCAGGGAATCAGCAGTGGTGACAGCAGCAAGGAGGTTGTCGGGGACTTGGTGGGGACGGGGACGCCATCCCTCGTTGGCCCTCCTTTTGGAGACGGAAACTATGGCGACAAATTTTTAGGCCTGCGACTCCAGACCGTTGGGAGTCTTAGCGCCTGTCACGTGCAAACTTGGAAAACAGAAAAATGACAGCGAGGTTGCTGTCTGACAAAAACAATTCTTCGCCTTCACTTCATTTTCACTTCACCTTGCACCTCTCTCTTGCTCCCTCCCACCTCTACAGAAAACCTCCGCCGTTCCTCAGTGCCTTTCGATTCAGACTATGTAACTTCGCTTTTGCTCCTTGACCTTCACGGACACCATCCTTGTATCGCCGGCCGCTATCCGCTCTATTCTTGACCACCTGCATATCGTGCGCCGAAAGCGCGGTGTGCTTCCTATTTATTGTCAGACTTGTGGCACCCTGGCAAAAAAGTCGTGAAACCCGACGTTCCCGAAAGTTGGTCCTCTGGCCAATCTGAGACGGCTCTGACAAAAAAATGGCCTGACACCGAGAGATGGCAAACCCGCACAACACAAGGGGGCGTTCTGGGGCTGAAAAATCAGAATTCGAAACGATTTGGTAGGATGGCTCCGTCCAGATCCCCGAAAAGACGACTGCCACGAGATGTGGAGCTGAACCCTCGTGTCCAGTTAGGGCTGTTCGATGCTAGTCCCCGATATGATGCGGTTGATGCTTTTGTCTTATTTATGCACTTTTCCCTAAATATCTAAGATCGGGTATCGGTCTTGGGCCTTGGGCGACTGGGTGGTCGGCCGATCCGACATCTCAGCCAGCCTCGCGGAGGATCGCAAAACATATCCGAGCATCTGGTGCTTTGCTTGGCTCTGGGTCGCTGAGAACATTCCCTTATCTACATATGGCTGCCGCAACATACGAGGTAAGGGAGGTCTTTGGCCTGTAAGGAGGCTGTGAGGGCGGTTGGGGCATTCCTTAGTCTTCTGAAGGCTGAATATGTCTGTGTTGGCCCAACCTTACTGCACGCTTTGATTACTTTTGAGGCGCTGTGTATGTTACAGCGTCTGCGTGCGAGCACCGAGGAGGATTTGATTGAGATTGTATAAGATGCCACTGAGTTGTTTTCTGTCTCTAGCATTCCCAATGCTGTCTGTCTTGTTTCCTAGCCCCCTATTTCTCCCCATTTCCTTGAAGTCAATCCCCCCCTTGAACATCGCAGATACAGGTTTCCAGTTACCATGGCCACTCAAGACCTCACCCTCTCCTCAGACTCCTCGAAGGACCCAAGTGACATTGCAAAGGACTTAGAGAAGGGCCTCGAGTTAAGCCGCCACCTCACAAACAGCGCAGTCTCCACATTCTCCTGGTCAGATGTCGGAGTCGTCGTGAAGGACAGGAAAACAAAACAGCCTCTGCAAATCTTGACTTCTAGCTATGGTTCAGTCAAGGCAGGGAGTATCCTCGCCCTCATGGGCCCCAGTGGAAGCGGCAAAACCACCCTCTTGAACGTCCTGGCCCATCGTACTTCTTCCATGAAGGGCGAGATCCAAGGAAAGATTATGATGAATGGACGACCCACCAACGCATCTGCCGTCCAACAAGTGTCTACCTATGTCGAACAGGAGGACGCCATGATTGGCATCTTGACACTGCGAGAGACTATTGACTTTGCGGCCAGGCTCTCTGTCAACGGGAAGATGTCCAAGAGGGAGAGACTCGCCAGGGTTAACGAGCTTATTGAATCGTTTGGTCTCCAACGTCAAGCAGACACCATTGTCGGCACACCCTTGCGCAAAGGCCTCAGCGGCGGGCAAAAGCGCAGACTGAGCGTCGCCAGCCAGCTCGTCACCTCTCCTCGAGTGGTCTTCCTGGACGAACCCACCAGTGGACTCGACTCTGCGGCCAGTTTTGAGTGCATGAATTACATCAAGCAAGTGGCCAAGCAGCACAACCTGATCGTCATTGCGTCAATCCATCAACCATCAACGACGACATTCCAGCTGTTTGATCAGCTGATGCTCCTGTCTGAAGGCCGCACCTGCTATTTTGGACCCGTGTCCAATATCGAAAAGTACTTTGAGCGCATCCGTCGTCCTCTGCCGTTGCACATCAACCCGGCAGAGTACCTGCTCGATCTGGTCAATAGTGACTTTAGTCACACCGCTGGCGCCGCTGAGGGCAGCCTTCGGTACATCCAAGATGCGTGGACGGCTTCAGAGGACTACAAAGCACTGGAGGTTGCCATCACCACCAGCACGGCTCTAGGCACCGCCGGTCCGCCTATCTCATCTGCTCGGACGTCATCCAAGAACGTCGTCACCGTCTCCTGGGTCCTGTTGCACCGCAACTTCATAAAGTCGTACCGCGACTTCATCGCCTACGGGACGAGAATTGCCATGTACTTCGGCCTCGCCATCATGATGGGCACGGTCTGGCTCCGCCTCTCCTTCTCGCAGACCTCGATCCAGCCCTTCACCAATGCGATCTTCTTCGGGGGCGCCTTCATGTCCTTCATGGCCGTTGCTTACGTGCCTTCCATCATCGAGGATCTCCACACATTCAACAAAGAACGACACAACGGTCTTTACGGGCCCCTTCCCTTTGTCATCGCAAATACCCTCATCGGCGTCCCTTGGCTGTTCCTCATCGCAATCATGTTTTCCGTGGTCACGTATTGGCTGGGCCACTTCAACCCTACCGCCGGTGGCTTCTGGATGTGGGTGTTGTGGTTGTTTCTGGACCTTCTCGCCGCTGAAGGCTTGGTGGTTCTGGTGTCGAGTATTTTTCCCATCTTTGTCGTTGCGCTGGCCATCACGGCGTTTGCAAACGGACTCTGGATGTGTGTGGATGGGTTCATGGTACCAATGGGCAAACTGAATCCATTTTGGAAGTGTAAGTCTCCCATCTCAACTTACTCAGTCACATTCCGTCCACCCCGGGCCCTGTCCTGCGCCCTCCCGTCTCTCGCGTGCTCATTCTCGCTCTCTTCTCCCAATCCCGTCCCTCTCTCCATGGCTTTTGTGTGCATACAATCAAACGTGCAGGTGGCTGACTTTCGTGCCCTCTTTGTTTTTTTTCTTCTTGTTACAGACGTCTTCCATTACATCGATTACCAAGCCTACGTCTTCCAGGGCATGATGGCGAACCAATTCCGCTCCACGATCTGGGACTGCGCCAAGTCCCCCGAAGGCTTCCAGTGCATGTACCCGTCGGACTTGGAGTCGGAGGGCAAGATCCGCGGCACCGCCGTGCTCGAGGCCTACAAGTATTCCTGGTCCTCGGGCGTCATCGGCGAGTGGATCGGCATCATGTTCGCCATCATCTTTGCGTACAGGGTCCTGGGGTATTTGGTCCTCGTGCTCAAGAAGCACTGACGGCGCCAGGGTGGGATGAGACTTCGAGCTCAGAGATGGACGTTATTTGACGTTATTTGATTGGTTCCTTGGCTTTCTAGTTACGCCGGAAGAGGATGTGGTGTGGCTGGCTGGGGCGTATGTGGGATCTTTGCGCGAGATCTTGAGGGGAATAGGGTACTCTGCTGATCTGGTCAGGCGTTACGATACAAGTGCTGAGCAAGCGAGGAGATCAGGTGGAGTTCATAACGACCCCTAATATTTTCTTCGCTCATGAGATATTGTCATGACATCAAGTAAGGCAGAAGTCACACCAAGAGGGAAGATTTCAATTCAAATCTGTCGTTCATCATTCACCTGTGGCCGTTTCTACCAGCCGTCATGTTCACGTCCTATTGCTCCTAGGTATTAATCTGGCAATAAACCAGTCCAAGTCTCCGTGACTCCGAGCTCGAAATGATCTCGAGCGACATGTCGCATCCCAAGTCCCGCAGCTCAGTGACTGAAGAAGCATCTATCAACGAGGCCGGCGCCACTTCGAATCCTTTCGACATCGCCGCTTGAAAACGCAGGATCTCCTCACCATCAGAGGATCAACCACTGCCTCATGATCAGTGGTCGGCATCAGGAGCCTCGTATTCTCTTGCCATCTTCTTTCTAGCCGCTCTCTTGCACGGACCGCAGTAGATGACTCCGCAATGGCGACATTCGAACGAGACTCGTGACTTATCGGCAGATGTTGTTGTTCGACCATCAACCACCGCTTGAGCCTCACTCTCCGATTCCTCTGTCGGGCCAGAAGGCTTCCAGTGGCACCACTTCTCCTTGAATCCAGCCTTCTTGATCTCACCCTTCCCAACCTCGACCTTCTCAAAACAACCCATACACTCAATTTCCAAGCTCACGTCGGTTGCATGATTGAAGTCGACCAACCAGAATCGGGGGATCCGGTCCTTTCCAAACTCATTAAAATGATGTCGACACCCCCATGTATCCCAGGCCTCGTCGATTGGCTCCTCCCCAAAGAACATATCTTCATTTTCCCAGTCGTTTTCTTCCGGGTCATCCAGATTCTCAGGGGCACTTGCAGTCGCCTCAGGACCATTTGGATCGCTTGTTGGCTGGTCTGCCGTCAGGGCTTGCGTGATCTCATTGTCCTGGATGTTCTCAGCCTCTGCCGATTCCTCGGTTGCAGCCTGGTGTACCACCGTATCCTCTTGAATCTGGCCATGCGTGTCCGTGGCGCTGCGGAGGACAGCGTGACTTTGTGTAGCTTGTGCCTGCAAACTCGCTTCTACTTCAGTCGGCACTGGAGCAGATGTAGAGGCCCCATTTGCGCCCTCCTCCTCATTAGACTCGGGTTCTTCATCTTCTCCATCCACGCCGTCGTCTCTGGCAGCACGACATGGGTATTTGTAGCAGGCATTCATTGACCGTCGACAGTCCCAACACCAGTGAGCACCGCATCGACATCTCACATGAGGACATCCGTACATTTTCATGACGCCAGTTCTACACTTGGGACAGAGTTTGTATTCATATGTTTTCAGGATGAATTGCTGAGACTCGTCTTTGACGCAGGCGTGTCCCTTTGCTCCGGCATATTGTTTGCATTTTGTGCAGATGGTTGTCTTGCAGACATGACACGTGACCGTCGTATCGGTTTCCTTGAGCATTCGAGGAGGGATAAAGGCAGAGCAAGCTGGCACAGGGCAGTACAGAGGATCAACGGTGTTGATTTCATCACATCTTTCTTTGTACTTTTCGAGCTCAGCGGCTGGGAGGATTCCTCGTGCGACTTCGTGATGCATGACGGCTTGGCAGCACATGACGGGCATCCTGTCCATGTTTTTCATGGCTGTGTCGAAAAGGGTTTTCAGGCACTCATAACAAAGAGCCTCCTTGCATCGTCGACAAGGCGTGGAATAGACACCCTCAATGTCACCAAAGCAGATTTTGCAGGTGACCTTGTTTGGTGGCGATTTCTTAAGACGCTTTCGAGGAGGAGAGATGTCTGATGGTGGAGGTGGAGGAGGTGCTAGGGAATCTCGTGTGCGGCTGGGCTCCGAGAGATCGAACTGAGGTTCTCCAAAATGTCCATCGTAGGTTCCAAGACGGTACAGACGGTCGCCAATGGGGACTTGGGGATCACTCAAGAGGACGTTCGATGCATCAGCAGCCGTCGAGAAGGCGAAGATCCAGTCATACAGGGCCTCTCCCTGCGCATTCTCGCCGATTCGAACCACATTGAAGCCAAGATAGCCTTCTGAATTGCGGAAAGGTGGGTTGCATTCATTGGATGGAGAGGTCGGGTGGAAGTTGACACTGCGGGTAGAGAGGGCTGTCGGGCCCTGGCCTGCCATGATGTTCAAGAGGAGGAGATTGGGGTTGATCTCATCTCGTGATGGAGTGGCACGTGAGGGAGCACGTGAGGGAGAGGTGTCAGTGTTATAAGCCGGGTTCAAATTGGAAGTTGCTGGTTGTGTGCCAAGAGCATTGGATGAGGGTGAGGCAGGGCCTGAGGGTGAAGTGGTAGAGTGAATTCGTGTGAATGGCCGATGGCGGAAGAGGCGCGAGAACAGTAGACAGGCCATGAGCTGTGTTTTGGGCCTATATGAGGCTGGGGAACATAAGGCTGGAGGGCACGACGAGTCTTCCTTTTTATATGCAAAGGCGGGGGAGGGAGATTGGGCGATACTTTGCAGGTGAAGACTGTTGGGCACGAGAGAGACACGGGGTGCAGGATACAGCCTTTAAGGCATCTTTGTCCTGGTTTTTGCACAAGTTTGTGAGTTGTGAGCCATCACAAAGGATGGAGCTTGAGTCATTTGGTGGTTCCTGGTGGGATTTGGCAGACTCAGCAGGCTGAGCAGGCTGCCATTTTCCCACCCATCATTGGCGGGATGCATGAGGCTGTACAACGTGGGGGCAGAGAAGCCAGCTGCCTGATGCCTGAAGGGCCCTTCAATTCTCTGATGGACTATGCCTATCCCCCCCCCGCCCCCCCCGAGGATCCTTCGGTTCTCATATCAAAGAGACTATTGGATTGCCATGCTGAGTTTGCCTGAGCATGACTCTTATTGCATTTGTCGACCACCGTCCAGCCCACAATAGCGAAGGAAGACAATAAAAGATGTGGGGTTAGTGATGCTCCAATAGGGCTGATGTATTGCAGACTAGTACTAATTAGTATGGGCACATGAGGTCAGTGCCTGCTCCAGGATAAACTAGGCCATTCTAGGACTAATGCCCTCTCGACTCTACGCGTCTGCGACTGCGACTTCCACTTAACGCGTGAAATTCGACTGAACGACTTCTGTGGCCTCCACTGCCATTGACTCACCCAACATCTCAATCGCCATGGCCCGACGTCTCAAGCGTCGCGCAGAGGCAATCTCTCGTGACGGATCCGAATCAGAAGTTGAGCCCCCTCCAAGACGACCACCATCTCCACCCTCAGACTCAGATGCTGCCTCGTCAGGCTCCTCCGCCTCCTCTCCTTCCTCCCCTGCCGCTATAGGTCAACCCGTAGAGAAGATCCTCATCAAGAAACTCGTCCGTCTGGCCCTGGCCACAGAATATTCCCGCACACCCTTGCGGCGAAGCGACATCTCCCAAAAAATATTCAAAGATGCCAACACCGCTGGAGGTCGAGCTTCCTTCAAAAGCGTCTTCGCGGGAGCTCAGCGCGTGCTGAATGATGTCTTTGGAATGCAATTAATGGAACTTCCCTCCAAGGAGAAAACCTCCCTCAAAGATCGCCGTACACAAGCGACGCAAACAAAGTCCTCGAGTACCTCTACCAAGTCTTGGATACTCGTGTCTACCCTCCCCCCCGAGTTGAAACACAACCCTCTCATCATACAACCCACACGTGCGCCCAATATCGACGTCGAATCTAGTTACACTGCCCTCTATACGTTCATCCTCTCCCTGATCTACCTAAACAACAATGTCCTCACGGACCAGAAGCTGGAACGTTATCTTCAACGCGTCAACGCCGACACCTACACGCCTCTGGGCAACAAAGAGAAACTGCTCCAGAGGATGGTGAAAGAAGGATATATTGAGAAGCGAAGGGACACGTCTACCGGAGAGGAAATGATTGAGTGGACGCCCGGGCCGAGAGGCAAGGTTGAGGTGGGGGTGGAAGGTGTGGCGGGATTGGTGAGAACCGTCTATGGGTATGGAGCAGTGCCTCTATCTAGGGGCTCTCGACGAAATAACGAGAGCAGACGGCGCGACGAAAGTGAAGACGGCAACGAAGACGACAACAGTGAAGAGACCGCCCGCCTGGTCAAGATCGAGGAGAGCGAGCTCAACGCCAAACTTTCGAGGAACCTGGGCGTCCAATTTGGTAACGGTAACGGTGGTGCCACCACGGAGCAAAATCAGAGTGAACATGAGAGAGACGCCGAAGATAATGGAGAGGATAGGGATGTCGAAGACGACCAGCAGCCGGGACCCTCGAGACCGAGGGGACCGAGACCCAGACCCAATACGTCTAGTAGAGACCAAGTTCGAGCAGGCGGCGGAAGAAGGAGAAATGCGCGAGAAGCCGACAACGACGATGACGATTGATTACGTGGAACTACGAGATTGTTCAATCGACTTTTGATTCGTAATGTGGTTCCCAAGGACCCCTGTTCTGTTCCATAGGTATCATATGATCGACACGGTGTACGAGATATATATATATATATGTGTGTGTGTGTGTGTGTGTGTGTGTGTGTGTGTGTGTACTTCCTCCCCTTCCCTTCCCTTATCTACCTCTTTTCCTCCCCCTCCTCCTCTGCCGCCCCACTTCGTCGCCGTCGAATATTCTCCCGATTAGATCGAGTCCAGGACCGAGACGGAGAGGAGGAACGGGCAGAACAGAGGACACGAGAATGAGGAAGAGGAAGAGGAAGAGAATGGGATTGAAGACGGAAGACAGCCGTCGGGACTTTGCAAGTCCTCGGAAAGAAGAATGCCTGGAAAAACTCAGCAACATAGCGAGTAAGCGAATCAACAGCAACGGACCAAAATAGAGGAGGGAGGGCCCAAATTAGATCGCGAACACGACAACGTCGACAATAGCGGCGACGGCGACAGCGACAGCGACAAACGATAACGCCTTGGCTAATGCATCTGTATCTGGATCTGCCTGTCCGTGGTTGCCTTGTATTTGTGCTTCCGGCCTCATTACCATGCCAGCTTTTGGCTTTATCTTCGTCTTCATCTTCAGCCTCATCCCCGTCCCCAACCTTATCCCTCACCTCGCCGTCGTCCTGCATTGACCAACCACTATGGCCAGGTCCCCATGTAAGTACCGGGAACAAACAAGAGAGTGGTGGCAAAATCTCCGAGTTGAGACGACGGGTGCCGAAGCTGCCTCTGCCGGCGCCTAGATTACATGCCCCATGACACCATGTACTGCCTGGTCGATGGACGTTACCTCGAACTTTCAAATCCATCAAATGTGGTGCTTTTGCTTTTGCTTTTCGTTTTTGGATGGTAAGGCTGCAGTTCGGTCCCGTCGGTTTTCTGACTCAGGCTTCAATACATTTGGATATGGGCCAGTCACATAGTTCGCTGGCTGGCCCGAGTGCTGGATATGAGCCCGGTCTGAAGCTGAGCCTGGCTTGCGCCATTGTCTTCTTGTCCTCGCAATTTCACTTCCGTCGGTGTCGGGGGCACCGTCTCCTTTCCGCTCTCTCTCCTGTTCGCTGAATCACCTTGGGATTGGATTTCCAACAACATCCTCGACTACACCTCAGTGCCACTTGCTCTTTGCCCCCTTCTTTTCTCAAGTCTCGGGCTTGAGAAATTCTCAGCCAAAGGGAGAGAATCCACCCCTTCCTCCGCCAGAACTGAATCTAAAGCCACCGCCACCACCAGGCCCTCCACCACCCATTCCGTTCATCATATTAAACAACATCTCCGGGTCAATCTGCACACCACCCCCACCACCGGGGTATCCACCCATACCTCCGAACCCCCCAGGGAAGCCTCCCATGCCACCTGGAAATCCACCCATGCCCATTCCAGGCTCCATCAAATCTGCCCCAGAATCATACATCTGTCGCTTCTGGGGATCCAGCAACGTCTCCTTCGCCTCAAGGCAGTCTTTGAACTCCTCTTCCTTCTGCTTATCCCCCTGCGTTTTATCCGGATGCAACACGGCAGCTTTCTTCTTGTAAGCTCTTTCGATCTCCTTGTCACCCGCGTCCTTATCCACACCAAGGATCTTGTAGTAATCCTTCCGCTTAGATTTCTTGAGTTCGAGTTCTGCGTTGCGCAGTTCTCTGCCCAGATCGGCGTCAGCAGGGTTTTCTTCGGACAAGGACTTCAGATCCTTGATGGCTTGTTCCCAATCGCCGCTTTCTCCAGTGGCTTTGGCCCGGGTTCTGCGGGCCTTGGTGTAGCTCGGGTCAAGTTTAAGAGCTTGGTCGCAGTCGGCTTTGGCTTCATCGTACTCCTTGGTTTTAATCCGGGCCAGAGCACGATTTCCTAGAAGTTTGGCATTTGTGACTTTGTTGGTGGGATCGATGGTGAGGGCTTCCGTATAAGCAATGACGGCGTCGGAGTACTTGCCGCGCTTGAACATGTCATTGGCCGATGTTCGAGCTCTGTCGAGCTTCTTCATTGTTCGTAACCAGTTTCGTGCATCAGAGTTGTCAGGGTCTAGTGCCAGTGCCTGTCGGAAGTAATCTTCGGCTCGTTCATAGTCGCTCTTCCCTTGTCTCGGCTTGTCGTCCTTGAAGTAGAATGCTCGACCGGCGAGCACAATGGCTTCGGCGTCCATGGGATTTTCACGCATCAGGTTTTGCGCAATACCCTGCACTTCGCCCAGGGCATTTGCGGACCCAATCTTCAGATTTGCCTTGGCCTTGAGAAGCTGCCATCTCCTCGGCGTGGGCGTGCCAGATCCTAGCGTCTGACGTGCCTGTTCGATGCTCCACAGCGCCATGTTACCATTTCCATCTTCCGCATCAATTTGCTTCTCCGCCATCTCAATCGACTGCAAGGCTTTTCGAGCCGATGCAGTATCTGTGGCTGACGCATTCGGGATCTTAGCGTACGTATCCAGGGCATCTTGCGGCCGTCCTAGTGAGGTGTAGATTCGAGCCAGACGGTGTAAAATCTTGTCATTTTTGGGATCTAACCGGCTGGCCTGGAGTGAATCACCAAGTGCCTGGCTGTATTTATTGGCAGAAATGTAGGCGGCGGCTCGATTTGACAGATATGTGGGATTCGAGGGCTCTGCATCGACCGCTGTGTGTATTTGTCAGCCAATCTGGATCTTCAACCTCAATCAATTGATAGGGGCATGCGTTACCTTTTGTGTACTCGACGATGGCGCGCTCATAATCCTTGGCCTTAAAGAACTTGTTCCCTGCGGCCTTGCAGGCTTCTGGATCGACTTTGGGCGCGGGAGGAACTCTGTGGGGAGGAGGCGTGGGACTTCGCTCGTCGTGGTGGCCGTTGGTGCCGTTGGAGGTAGCATCACTGTTGGCCTGATCGGAAAAAGCGCCTGCAGCATCTTTTGAAGGAGTGGCTGGCTGTGACGAGCCTGCCGTGCCGTTCGACATGGAAGAATCATGGTCATTTGTGTCGGGAAATTCTCGATCTATCGACATTCTGCCGGCAGACTCAGCCTCTTGCCTGGCCATTTGAGCCAGATGTTGACGCAGTCGGTCAGGAGGAAGATTCAGCGGGTGGGTGTCAGGGTCGGAGTTATTTCTGAACTTCTTCTTTTCCTTGTCTTTGTCCTGCTTCTTGGGCGATTTTGACTTTCGCATGGATGTTGGATTTGAGCCAGTAGAAGGAAGGGCGACTGCGGGTGGGGCTGAGGTAAAGGCAGCACGGCCTGAGCCTGTTGTGCCCGCCGTGCGAGTGATGCCGGCAGTGGCTGCGGGAGGACGAGGAGGACTATTAGGTTTGCTGTAGTTGCTTGATTTGGGATCACCGGGAACACCCTCTGCTGCTTCAGACACTCCGGACACACCCTTTCGCCGCCCAGGCTCTTGTTTCTTCGCGTCGGCCGCGTTCAGGGATCGCAAGAGGGCCCGTAGGTTCTGCTCAGTCAAAGGTGCCGGAGCCGCCTGGCCTGATTTAGGCTTCGACTCCTCGGTGAATAGCTGGAGGGGTGTCGTGTACGACGTCGAACGGGTTGGGGACTTCAGTTTGCCGGTTGGGAGAAAATCTCGAGGGTGGCTTGGAGTGCTTGCAGACCGGAAGAACGTGTCGTGCTGGTGACGGTCGCTCTCGTCGTCGTTGCTCTCAGGCATATCCTGGTCGAAATATCTAGAAATTTTGCAGGTTCTGGTGGGACTCTGATTAATTCCGGGCTGGGTGCCGGGGTCTAGAAGATTGCCTCGTCGGTGCTCACCACGCTCACCACTCCTCGTGGCCCTCCCACGTTGGCGCCTGTTGGCGTGGGTGTTGGTGCTTGCCATAGGGCCGTTAGGCGCACTATCCCCCTGAGGCTTGGGCCTGGAGACTCCCACGCCCGCTACTGGTCTCCGACTGCCCAAAGGCATCTTATCAAGCCTCGCTTGTCTCGTCGCCGCTTCGCTTGCTGGTTTCCTGGACTTCGGCGAACGAATGATCGGTCGAAGGCTCACTTGTTTCTCTTGCGCATGACACTGCAAAGTGCCCCAGTCAGTCTTGGAACAGTCAGTCGTGGGTCAACTGTCTGGCAGTGTGAGCATCGGGATGAGGCATATCAAGTGAGCGGCCGCTTGAGGTCAACTCTCTATCGTTCAGAGACAGCTATGTTATGGAAATCTTATTAACCGGAGGAATCCAGGCCTAGAGATTCAACTTGGGTTGAGATTCATGGGCTAGGTACAACTCCACTGAGCTACGTCTGAACCAAAAAATCTTTGACGCTTCACTGTGTAGCAATGAGGGCATTCGGAGCTGGTCAAAACCTCCTGAGATCGGGACAACGACTAGAGGGCTGTGGCAAATCTATAAGAAATCAACTCTGGACAAGATCCAGTTTCATTCCAGTCTGTGATCGCCCATTGAGGTTGTACATGTTTAATAATGCTAACGATACAGAAGACATGCGTTGGAACTCTTCAAATCCCGCTTCACTGTGCATTGTTCTTGCATGTCCAGCTATTCCCGCCTGGCTCGTTACTGATGGCGTAGCCGCTGGCATACAGGCCCATTCCGCAGATGCCAGCACCCATGCCGAACAGCAAGACGTTGACCACAGTCAGGGCCATCTTTCTCCAGTTTCGAGTATATTGGCCATAGTTGAGGAACAGCCAGAATATGCCTGAAATCCCATAAGTGAACCAGGAGGCGAACAGACTCGAAATCAGAGCCAGTAGATTGTTGAAGTTAGGGATGGACTCGGCAATGATCCACGCTATCACCCACGCTGTCAGTGTGATAGCGAGCCAGCTGCCCACGGCAAGGATTGTCCTCTTGGACCTGTGCTTCGTTCCTCGGAAGAGGCGCACATAGACATACTTGGAAGCGACGTGGGCATAAATGACACCGGCCATGATAATCGTCGGAATGGCCAAGCCCCAAGCGACTTTTCCGGCCAGTGTCCCAGCGGATCCCAAGGCTGGTGAGTCGACCTGATCTCCACCATAAGCATAAACCACCATTGCGACCAGCAAATACATGCTCGTATCGGTAACCTGCAACAAGACCAAAGCCTGGGGAAAGTCGTGTGGACTCTTCATCTCGGAGATGAAACTGAAGAAAGCTACATGACCGGCATATGCAAAAACTATGTTGGTCACGCTGAGAAATGCCGTCGCGAAGGTGGCAGACTGAGTGGCATGGAAATGACCATGCGAAGGATCCCTGGCTCCTGTCCCTGCCATGGTGACGATCACCGCCGTTGTAATGCTGAAGAAGCTGGCACAGGAAAACCATGATACCTTCAGCAGAGTTCGAGGGATGTCGAAGATTCAGAAGAGAATCAACCCAACAATGCCCCACACAATAGTGCAGGCGGCCCTATCGGTCAGTGTGTTCAAGCAGATAGTCCAAAGTCAGAATATGACCCGCCATACTGAAAATGAGGAAAATGGTCTGCGCAGCACCCAAGACTTCGCGACCGATAGCAGCTGCGCGGTCCCGCTGGTTTGAAGAGAACATAGCCTGCATCTGCCATATTGTGGACCTGCGTGAAACGAGAAATGAGCATGTGGTTCTGAGGCTCGCCCGAGAATGAAGAAAACCGCCTACCCAAGGATGTGCTGCCTTGAACTGTCTGATGACATATCCCGAATAGGTTGCCACAATTCCGAGGCCAACAATGAGAATCGCGCCTGGCACCATTCCGATGGTCGCTAGAACTGACAGTAAAGACAGAATACCCAAAGAGATTGTCTCGGCAATCATGACTGAGGAACAAGGCCATCATGTCAGGTCGACTGTGGTGCTAGCAAGTCGGCAAGAACAACTCACTCATACTACATTGCCTGGGACACGTTGGTATCAGCATACGGCTGTCCACGCAAAGTATAACTGCTGGGTCCTCACCACCATTTCAAAGTGCGATACTTGACTTCTTCCTCGTCGTCCTTCCCAAATGGATCTGTCTCTTGATACTCGCTTTGGCGTCGCCAAGCCGAGCCCAATGTAGAACGTCTCTTCTCAGCCGACGGGTCGAATGGTAGATCATCGAGATTGCGGATGTCCTTCTCTCGGTCTGGGGCGAAAGGGTCGGACGACGCGCGAAGCGTAGGGGACCGAGAGGCCATTCTGTCTGTCGTTGTAAAGCAACGCAATCACGAGACACTCATATGAGATGATCCAGCTTTCGGAATGGGTGAGTGAGATATAATGGTATATGAATAACTGCAGTGCCTGCGTGTGTGTTGATGCCGAACTGATCGACAAAGACACAGTGCGTTGTTCCCGTGTGGGCGTGCACAATGATGCCATAGCCCGCATTCTATTACCAGTCATGCTCTCCGTCTTCGACGTCACGACAGCCTTGCACTGCGATCCTCATGGAGACGGGAATCACGATGGAGAGGCCATTGGCCGTTTGTAGATGTGGAGTGTTGATCGCCGGCGCGAGTCCGAAATGCCTGCATAGTAGTTGCAAAGGAGCCAATGCTTGATATAGTACAAGCTTGTACAAGCCTGATACTCACCCTTAACTGGACAAGGGCTGCGTGCCGGCCGAAATGAGGGGATGACGACGAGCAGACGTCAGGAGTGCCTTGCTGGTATTGTGGTGCTCGTGGTGTTGCAACTTGCGTCATAATAGCAGCAACGGCACCAACGGAAAAACTGGAGTTCGGACATCGGAGCAGGAAAAACAGGGGTCCGATAATACCACTCCGTACCTATCGAGCTATCTACAAACCATCCTCATTAGAAAGGGGCATCGATAGCTCGCATATCAACCCAGCCACAAATATCAAAACATTGGCGCCAAGGATATAGACCGTTCACTCCATTTCTGCTGGCCCATTTTGTCTGAGTGATGGGTGAGGTCCTTGCACGGTTCCTGCATCCTTTTCCACAGGCTCATGGGGATCGGGTTTCGGTGCTTCAGGCACAATCTTCGCTGGCATTTCTGCAGCCTGAGGCGTGCCACCGAGTTCCGGTGTGTTCTGAGAAGCCGCTGTGCTGTACGAGGGCAGGGAATCTTTCTCCGGTATTTCCATGCCCACATTTTGCCTGTGCTGACGACGAGAACGAAGCCAGAAGAAGATGGCGCCGCAAACGATTGCCACACCGGCAACCACTGCTATTACAATTCCTGCTATTGCGCCGCCAGACAAGCCGCTGCCTTTATTGTCTTGGGCTTCGGTGGGAATGGGAGTCGGTGAATGGGTCACAATAGTGCTGTTTTGCGGAGGGGGGGCAGTAGTCGCTGTCTTTCTGATTGTGAAGAGCTGGCTGAGCCCCGACTCGGCCCATCCGCCTTCGGGCTCGACCTTAGTGGCATTCCCTGCTGGCCTGATGATCTCAATTAGTTCGTGAGACTACTTCGTGTAGTCGCATCACTCACCCTCCTCCAATAGCTGCGACAACGTCGTCAGGCACGTCATACCGAGGTGCCGCAGCATCGAAAACGCTACCCCATCCGATAGTACTCAGATCAAGCACGGCTAAGCTCTTCTGTTCCCAGTCACAGTCGGAAGAGATGTTGCTGCTCTCTGCAGATTTTCGTTAGCTTAATATCGGGATAGGACCGGCTTGGAGTGCTCACTTCCGCCTCCACCAACTGTGATCATCTGCCTCGGGGGGATGAAATGGCACGTCACACTCCACCGAGCATCTTGTCCGGTGAACACTTGGACCCACGTGAAAGAGGGAAGGCTAAGGACATAGATATCATCGAAGATGGTACCATTAGATGTGCCACCGTACAGGTAGATGCTGCTGCTGCTGTTATCCTGGGCAGGTGCGGCTACCAAACAGAAATCCACGCGTGCAGCAGGGGCATTGCCTGTCGCTTTCTGTTGGTACCACTTGTTTTTGTCCGCAGACGGATTATCACTCAAATCTGTCGAGCTGACATCGAAGACCCAGATTTCGTCCATGGGAATGAGACCGTCCGCTTGAGTCTCTCCACCCAGCAGCACGAGCACTCCAGCGTCACCAAAGTTGTCAACATACACCAGCCCGGCTCCTTGGCGATTGCTCTTGACGGCATCGTCGACTGTGACGTTCTTGATGGCGTTGCTAGTTGTGTCGAGAACCACCATTCCACCAACACCAACGGTATCATCAACCAAAAATTGAGTGGTGTTTGCTGTTCCGCCATCGATCTGGCCACCCACGTAGAAAGCAAGCCCCCGATCTGGAGCTTCGGCGTTCGCTCCCCATGAAGGTATTGTGTCCAAGGATCCGGAGGTATCGACAGCAGCCCAGACGTCGGCATTCATGTCATAGGTCCATAGGCCGTATTGAGTTGTAGGCGGAATCTCAAAGTAAGGGAAAGACTGATTGAAGCTTGAGGTTGTCCCTCCAAACATATAAAGTGTACTCGAAGACTCCAATCCTCCGAAGAGGGAGCCATCATGGACATTAACAGGCCATTGCATGCCAGCAACGCTACCGCTTTCGTGTCTAGCGCTCTGAGAAATCGATACGTTCGTTTGCCAGTCCCAGGAGGCAGTCATATCGACGGAAATTAGGTTTTCGTCTTGTGGAAGTTGTTAGAGAAACAGAAGCATTCGTGAGGACTTCATTGACCCACTTATGCCCGAGGTAATTGTACTCCAGTCTTGTTGTCCGTCCGCTCCAAAGTCGACATAAGTTTCGAGACCACCATTGATATATAGTGTGCCATTCTTGTAGACAGCTGAGAGTATTTCAGTATAGCCCAAGGTCGCCCTGTTTTCATGCACTAACAACTGTGTCCGATCCTCCTGCAAAAGTTTTTGACTGGATCAAGGGAAACCCCTGCGCGAACGAGATCGAGTTGGGTCAATGCGAAAAGGCCGAGAAGCATAAAACGATGGCTCATAGAGCCTTGAACGGCATCCATTGCGACAGCCAGCTGTCTGATCAGAGGTAGACAGAATTATCAACAAAGGAGACTTGAAAAGCGCAAAACTGCACGCTGGAGCACGAAACAACAGAAAGAGAAGCAACGAGAATCAAACGAACGGAAGCTGTTGTTGGGATTTGTGCTTCCAAGGACCAGTTCGAGTAGCAGTAATTGCTGATCCTCCTTCATTTCCGGCGTCAGCCCTAGCGTGCCTAGAGAGAGAAGTGACGAGGCTAGAATGATGGGGCCACAGCAGGCCATTGGTCGTGCCACCTCGGAGGCACACATCGCAAACCGCACGTTATCCATGATGCGAGCTGTCTCAAACGAAAGGCATTGTCCTGGCCCAGTCATCAACTACTAAGTTCAGGACAACGGTCGGGGCCTGCAAAAAGTAGGCTACCAGTCTGTTAACCCAATTCAGCCTCGCAAAAGCTCTTTCAATGTCCTTATGGGAGCCAGGTGTCCTGCGTATGCGGGGCAATCCTTCATTTTGGAGTGCTGCAAGATGTTGCGGTGAGGGAACAAGAAGTCCTCCTGAGTTCCTCAAGAGTACGAACTTCGGGGTCCGTCAAATAACGCAACCGACAGCCCAGACCAGGAAGGGACAGATGAGGTGGAAAAGGTTAGCCAACATCGTTGTTGAAGGCGTCTTGCGAGTCCAGGCCAAAGATAGGAGCATGTACTGGGTACCGAGTATTGGGTACGTATATACATACTGTATGCAGATTGGGCTAGGATGAGATAACAAGCCGCCAAGGAGCGCCTGCAACTGAAGGATCAATGGCCGAAGGTCGAAGGCGACGAATGTTTCAGAGTTGGGCCTGCGTTGCAGGACGCGAGGTGCAGCTGTGAGCTGTGGTGCGATGGGTCGAAGCGGCACGTGATTGCGCGTTTCGGACGAGGAAGCGCGGCCTCGGGTGAGTGGCTCCTTAGTGGCTTAGTGCATTGCGAGATTGGTCACCGAATGGCTAGTGCTGGCAGTGGGTTGTTTATGTTTCTGACGTAAGGAGCAGCGTCCAAGCACCACAAGCTCTCTCCACTAAACATTCGAATCTGGCCATCACCAATCCTCCACACCAAACAGACCACACCGCCAGCATCATTTTCGAAATTCCACCCTCCTCCGTACCTCATTTTGCCATCCCTCTCGTCTTCAGATTCCTCAGGCCTTTGGGAGGACATAGAAAACATGGCCACTCCTCGCCGTCGCTCAGCTCGATTGAGCAAGGCGGCACAACAACAGGTAATGTTTGGCCAATCTGTAGAGAAACAACTCTTCATCTCAGTCCATGCGATGTAATCAAGGTATTTCTCATGGCTTGGAGCTAATGATGTTACTTACAGCATCCCTCTCCTCGCAAGGGGATTTCCACCGCGCAGCTTGAATCTCTGGTAGAGAGAGATGAAACTCCAGAAGTCGGCGAGCCACAATCCATCGCCAATGTGCTTGCAACCCCGGCGTCGTCGGCCATGATCAAGTCACATCTGTCCAAACTGTCTGGTCTGAAGACCCCTCGGACGGAACCGCAAGCCGATCGCGGTGAAATGCACCCTCAACTCCTTCACCAGACAACCACCAAAGCACCGGATTCCGGCCTCAAGATGGGGTTTGTCGATGTGCCTGCCCATCCTCCTCGTTCCATCGCAAGTGCCCAGAATACCCCGTCAAAAGCCCGTCTGAACACCCCTGCAAACCTGTCTTCTACTGCGTTCGACTTCGATTTCGGCTCTGAATCTCAGCTGAGCAGTGAGGCACAAAAGCTCATGGACAATGTTCGAGAAGAGGCGGCAAGAATCAAGGCTCAGATGCGCATGGAGAGAGAAGTCCAGAAGAAAAAAGATGCAGAGGCTGAAGATATCTTCAGCAGCACCAATGCCGCTGGAAGGAAAATCGCGAAACCGAAGGGGAAAGCAGGAAGATTCAGCGACATCCATATGGCTCAATTCAAGAAGATGGACTCAATAGCCAATCACCCATCAGCTTTCAGAGCGAAGCCAGGCTTTGCCCAGCCTACAGCTCAATCACTGAAGAGAAGCGGTTCCAAGGCCGGTCTCGACGAAGCCGATCGACCTCGAACTGCTGGGAAGGGCACTCCTGGTCGAAAGCCACCTCCTTTCCTTGGTCGGCCCACCTCTATCAGTCCTTTCAAGTCCATTCCGGCGCAACAGGAGCGCGTCGAGTCCACCGCGCCTGCCAAACGTGCTCGACGCTCCGAACTCCATGACGTATCTGCCAGTCGACCATTGGACCAGCCCTTGTCAGCCCGCCCTTCGACTTTACCACGGCCTGTCTCAAGCAACCTTCTATCGCCTACCAAAGCTTCTATGGCTAGAGCGACAACAAGTCAGATTCCAATTGCCACGCCCAACAAAGTGGCTAAACTTACCCGCACCACTTCAGCGAAGTCCCTGCGAGCCACATCAACTGCACTAAATAATAGACCTTCTACCTCGTATGGAGAATGCGGCACTAAATCTTCGTCCGGGCTGCAACAAAAGGAAACCTTACAGGCTCAAAGACCTCTTCCTCCACTGCCACGCGAGGCGCGTTCATCATCAGCTCTCAACAATGAGTCGCTATCAAAGCCAGTCACCGAGAATGCCGCGACAACCAGTGGCCCAAGCTTTTCTTCCAGACTTCCAAAATTCTCCAGTCTGAAATCCATTCTCCGATCTGGACGCAAGACCGATATTGGACCGTTGATCGAGGAGAGGCAAGCAACACCTAAGCGTCCTAACACTGCGACATCCACGAATGGCTCCCTCAAGAAAGTTGATTTCACTCCTAGTGTCAAGTCTAGGTATGCTGTCAAATTGGCCGCTGGAAGTCCTAGTCCGGCTAAATTGCCGCAACTCAGCCCGGGGAAGCCGATTGCACCAGTCGTGCCCTATGACCCGGCTGCTTACACTGTCGAAGACGACGGTGCTTGGGAGGATGCATCAAGTGAAATTGAGTACCCTGCGTTACCAGATCCATCCTCGAGCCCAGCTGCCCTTTCCAAGGTCGACAATGCGTTTGCTGAAAAGGCCAAGGAACATAACCGGCGCGAGTCAAAAGAGTTCAAGTCCATATTTACAACTTTGCATCACCCTTCGCGTTCTAGTGTCCCTTCGACCCTGACGTCTGTAAACACTATAGTCAACAAGGCTGATCCGACCCCTCATGCCCACAAGATTGCTAGGTCTCCTAGCAATATGAGCTTCTTAAACCCTTCCCCGTCCACCATCCGTCGGGTCCGTTCTTCCGGTGTTACAGATGTTATCCAACCATTCGAAGATGCGGACGTCAAGACCGTACCACACGGGTTGCCGGGCAAGAAGCGTCGACGAGCTATGTCTGATGATCACCAGAGTACGGATGAAGAAGACGGCAAAGAGAACCGGCGTGTGTCAGTTATGCCCAGTCTCCCTGGCGGCTGGCACGACAGCTCTCGATTCGGCGACGAACATAAACAAGAGCAAGACGAAGGCGAGAAGCGAGGTGGAAAGCGGGCACGGACCGCGCCGGCAACAGGAGACTTATCGGACAGAACGGCGATGGGATTGACGGCGAGTCCGGTGAAGAAACCAAGACAAAGTTCTGCGCGTGAGATGGCGAAGCAGAACGCAAAAGATCGCAAGACTGGTCGAGGGATTTTGAGTCTCAGCCGCTTGAACATGCTTGCTCGGCCTAAGCAGAGAGGTTGAGTGGCTTCTCATTTGATCTGTCCGGTCTACTGGCCCATCAAATTGCTGCGATCTAGAAGGGGGTCACTAGATCCTGTCTGCCTGGTTCCGATCCGCTTTCCGCTATCTGACTTCCATCGAGCATGGAGTTCGATTTTGTGCTGCTTTTACTTTCGGGACGTGTGTTAAATTCTGCATTTTTGTGGGGTGTGCATGGTAATGAAACGGTTGGGATCTGTGGATCGAGGCTAGTTTCGGTGCAGAAAACTCGACATCACACTCAGGATTACATCATGGATCAAGGGACACAGCCTCGGGTTATTGGAGCCGGGTGTGGGTTTTGGGTATGGCGTTCAACAAAAAGTCCAGTATGACCTACAATCTTGGATCGGGGTGTTTGGGTTCTTATTCTCTTGTTGAAGGGGAGCGTGCACGGAGACTTGTGTTGCTCAATCAGGGCTGTGAGGTAAAGCTGGTTCAGAGCTTCCTTCCCAGGGATCCATTCCTCGACCCCTTATGACAGATGAATGAATTTCTTTTTCCATCAACTGTTCGTTGCCGTGACCTTCTCAAACTGCAGTGGATGAAGCACATTGGCAGAGGTATGGATGAATACATACATATAGTTCGCCTCAAGCCCGCCAGCCCCCGCAGGTCCGTTTCCAGCAACACCTGTCACCTGTCTCCCAGGTCCGCCTTTCCAAAACTACCTCGAGAAGACACGATGGAATCCAGCCCAGCGAACAAAGGGAATAAGGAACAAGAAACAAGAAGGAAAGGGGGAGGGGGTTGGCTACAACGTGATAACTCTGTTGGAGTATTGTTAAGTGAACGAATGCGCTTTCGATCGGAGTTTACCCGTGTTGGTTCGCTGCTTGGTTGGTTGGTTGGTTGGTTCCCACTAAAAGAAAGGACCCAACGAAGCAAGAAAGCAAAGAACGACACAGGGCCTCCATTCGACGTTTGCTGATAATGGACGCAGGATACCGAGACTGAGACCGAGACTGCCATGTGAACCCTGGAAGGAAAAGACAGAGGGTATTGTGTGAGACAGATTAGATACTGTACAAAACGGTTGTGTTGTCCTACTTCGTCAAAACGGGCTCCGAGGTCAACAGACTAACTCACAGCCGGCAGGCGTGCGCCCCAGGCTCCTCGGGAGTAAACCTTCTCAGCGTGTGCGTGCAGCTGCATTGTCATACTCGCTCTGGTTCAGGCCTCGGTGGAATTTGTTGTGTATAACCTTTGTCTCACTGCCATCGAGGACCTCAAGCTTCCCAAAGCCACCATGATAGAACCGCGAGAGCTCCGCGGCCGCCACTTGTCAGGAGAGCAATGCACTGGACGATTAAACTCCATTGTCCAAAAAGCCCAGGGAGAAATCTGCACTCAGGCAGGACATGTCGGGCGTAGCGACGATCGCATTCGTAGGAAATTAATACACAGCCTCGAGCAAATAAATCACCCCAAAGACCAAAAATGCAATCGCTCCACCCATGGTAACTGTTCATCCACCAGTCAGCAAATCATTCAATCTCTCCCAAAAAAACTTGCGAGTAAACTTACCAGTCTTCAAACTGACTCGCCCAGCAATGGCCCTTCCTCCCAACACGGCGGCTCCAGTGCAAATACCATGCCCAACAAGCGCCCCAGCCGTAACCCACCAGTAGTCCTGACCCGCGGCCATCGCAATTGTCGCGATCTGAGAGCGGTCACCCCATTCTCCGAGGAAGGTCATGACAAAAGTCTGCACCCACGCTGGTGAAAGGAGGAGCGAACAGAGATTGTTAATTCCACTGAGGATGTTTTGAAGAGATGATTGACGGGCAGGCGATGCATCGCGTGACGATGCTGGGGATTCGGGTGGTGAAGGGAGCCGTGAGTCTGTGTTCTTTGTTCTTCCTGGGCCGCGCCCCGCTTCGAGGGCATAAGGCGATATGGCGGATGATCTTCTTCGATGTCTCGACATCCTCCTCGCCTGCTGATGTTCTTTCTCTTCTAATTCCATTTCCACCTCTTTCATTTCTTCGCTGACTCCTTCATCCGGAGACATTGAACGGGCTTCCAGAAGCATTTTCACACCAAATACCAAGAATAACCCAGAAGCGGCAAAATTTGTCCATGTCTTGGGGATTAATGTTGGAACTGCGTGTCCCAGCATGGCGGATAAAACGGTCATTGTAATGAGTGCGGAGAAGGCGGCTGTAAAAACAACCACTCGTGGATGGCGCATGGCCATGAGTGCGGCGACAAGGAATGTCTTGTCACCAATCTCGGAGAAGATGATCATGGTAAAGGAGAGCAGGAGAGAGTGCATGGGGGAGATGACGGCAGGCTCGTGATCTTTTGGTTTACTCGAGGTTTGTTGGTTGTTAGTGCTTTCAGAAGAGAGGATGGTGTCTTTGGGAGAGGATGGATTCTCAGGATGAGGAATGTCATGAGGTTTGTTGGGGAGGTCATCCGGGACCTGTTCGACGGGCGTCAGTATTGTGCATCAACATGAGATGGCCTGTGTTCTCTCTTCATACCATCAGAACCTTCTTCGTCTCCTCGTCAACAGGAGGTAGTGACTCTCCGTCATTGGCATCTTTCATCCCAAGAACTTCGCTATGCGGAATAGGTCTCGCGTCTTTAGGAGGATCGGGTCTCTTTTCGGTAATCTTAGAATCTTTGGATTTCTCAGATATCCCTCCTTCCACACCTCTGGTCCCTTCAACGGGGTTTGACTTGACGCGTTCGTCCATGACCGCGTCGTTTGTCTTGGGCAGATCGCCATCTGTTGAGAGGTCCTTGTAAGACTCCTTAAACTTTGGATTTTCTACCGGAATCTCGTCATCGGCGGCAGTACCCTGCGTTTTCTTCCTCGTTCTCTCTGCATTCGTCTCAACAAAGGGTCCTTCATGTGGCATTCCATCTTTCCCATCCACGGGGGCATGTTCTGTGCCCACAGGAGAGGGTTTTCCGGCGACTCCTCCTGCAGGGGCGACAACTTCTCCTAATGTGCTGGCAGAGAGGTCCGCTGGTTGTGCAGAGGCTGAAGCTTCGCAAAGAGCGACGGCCGAGAGGAGAAATAGGAGGAGTTGGGCGCGCCGGCGTCCGATCTTCATGATTGTGAGAGTAATGCGAAGACGAAGGGGAATGCGGATGTTGGGATCGGCGCAGGTGAGACGATTGAGGGTTCAAGATGGAGAGGGGAAGGTAGCACAGAAAGATTCAATGGTGGTCGAGTTGTGTACCGAGCAGACTGAATACCAAGTAAATTGCACGCGACGCTATTGAAAAGAGCACGAGTTGGTGGTGGATCGGAGCAGCGTAGCGACTGGGAGGCTCCTTTTCGCATGCATCTTGACCTCATTCTCGATCCATTTCTGGAAATTATTCAGGGAATTCTGTCCCTTCCAGCCCTTGCGGCCTTTTCCCCCCTCAGGGCATTCATTGGGCATCACGTTTCCACCAATCAGCATGGCGGACGCGCAGCTATTCTTGGCGCGGCTTTTTGCAATGAGGCTGAGCAAGCTGAAGTTCCAGCACAAAACACCAGCTCAGTGTGAGCCACTGCTTTGAACCTAATATCTCACCGCTGTACGGACCGTGCCACTTAGCAGGACTGAGGCACTTGAAATTTGCTCAGTCCTGAATGTCTTTGGAACAGCATGCCTAAGGAAAAGGTATGGAAAACTCTGCTTTCTATCCCAATCCCCCCAATACTGAAACTTGCTAGAAGCGAAAACGCGAATCAGGGGAGACAAAGTCCGGAAACAAGTCGAAGGCGAGCCTCGACACTCGTCAGCAAAACGATCGTGTCGATAGATACGAAGTTGACACCACCAAACCCTCCGCCGTGTTCCAGCCCACAGGCGGCCGATCGCACACACTGTCAGTGGCCCTACCTGGAAGCATCATTGGCAATGCAAAATCCCATGACCAAAAGACTTTTCTAGCTGGCCAGATTGCGAGGGTGTTGGCGGTATTCTGCGTCGACGAAGTAGTCATCTTCAACGATGACGATCCGGAAACTCAGCAACAGCGGCCGGCAATTGGGGAAAACGAATACACAGCTTTCTTCCACCCAGACCATTTTCTAGCTCACCTTCTCTCATACTTGGAAACACCACCTCATCTCCGCAAGGCTCTATTCACTATGCACCCTAATCTTCGAACCGCAGGTACGCTACCCAGTCTGGACATGCCGCATCATTTGCGCGCACACGAATGGTGCGAGTATCGCGAAGGCATCACTGCCGCTGCCCTTGCTGACGGCAAGGGGACGTTGGTCGACGTTGGCCTGCCTGGGTTTTTAACGCTGTCAGGGGCAGAGATTCCCCCCAATACACGAGTCACTGTTCATTTGAAAGATGAAACTTCCAAAACCGCTGAAGCCGTCTCACCCAATGCTCCGCGGGAAGAAAAGGGGTACTATTGGGGTTATACCGTACGACAATGTAGCTCTCTCACGGATGTGTTCACTGAATGCCCCTACGACGGAGGGTACGACATCTCGATCGGGACTTCGGAAAGAGGGCAGCCATTAGCAGACGTGCTCGCTGAAGAATCCATGGTTGACCCAGTTAGCTACCAACACGTGCTCATGGTCTTCGGTGGTGTGGCCGGCCTGGAGACCGCAGCCAAGAATGACACCAACTGTCGAGAAATGGGTCTCGTTGGAGAAAATGTCAAGGAATTGTTCGACGTGTGGGTCAATTTGGTACCTGGCCAGGGTAGTCGTACGATCAGAACCGAAGAGGCTGTTTGGCTGGGATTGATGGGCTTCAAAGGTTTCGTGGATCGTCTTGCAAGGAGATCCGGATCGTCGGATAAATGATATGGCCCGGTGTGATGGTAAGAGAAGTGATGCGGAGGGTGTCGAGGGATGTCTCTTCATCCCTTTGATATCCACGGCGTACGTTTCACCAAAACATCATTTATTGGGCCACCTGTAACACCTAACGACCAATCGGACACGACAATCACCGCAGCTTCTTCGAAGGAATGAGCAAAGACTGTCAGGTTCCTCTCCGCGGAAGTATCGTGGACAAGGCTGGAGTCTCTTGCTGCTTTTTGAGCCCCGCCGCTTTGTCATCAAACCTCAACCTCTCATGACACATACAGTACGTCCACCAGCAACGCTACCTCGCTACCTCAGTGCCAATGACTCAAAACTAGGCTCGTGTGTGTGAACCTTCAGACACCGCGGAAAAATGCTTGCCTCTCATGCATTCAGCAAACTTGGTTTGTTAAGGCCGACTTTCGGTCCGTCTGTTAAGCGATCGCGCTTAAAGAATGATGGATATCAAGATCATCCTCGTGCGGCGGAAGGGAGTCCGACTGCAAGGAGCGTCGATGAGACGAATGCAAGCATCTGAATTATAGCTTCACAGTTGCACATCGAGCAGGCCACGATCGTCATGGCTGCTTCCCGAGCAGTCCAACGCCTTAAGGCAACTTACAACTTCCTCAAAACCCCCATCATCATCTCGGCGCCTATGCGCGTATTCGCAGGTCCGGATCTCGCAGTAGCAACATCTCGCGCTGGCGGTCTCGGCTTCATCGGCCCAGGTGGGGATCCTACAGATTTAGATCCCAAGCTTGAGAAAGCACGGAGTCTACTGAATCTGAAACCCGTCACCGTCTCTGACTCTACTCCTTTGGATTCTCTAGATGGTGACAACCTACCCATCGGCGTAGGATTTCAGGTTTTCGATGGTGACCTCGAAGTCGCAGCTGCAACTATACGCAAATACATGCCTGCCGCAGCATGGCTATTTGTTCCAGTATCTGGCCAATCTGAGTTAGATGAGTGGACGTCGAGGATTCGGAAAGAGTCACCTTCGACAAAAATATGGATTCAAATCGGCTCTGTCGCTGAAGCTGTGGACGCAGCGAAAAGCAAGCACGCACCGGATGTGCTGGTCGTTCAGGGGGTCGATGCTGGTGGACACGGTCTCAGGAAGGGCGCAGGTGTTGTTTCGTTGCTGCTGGAGGTCGCGGATGCACTGCGAGAAATCGGGTCTGAAATCCCCCTCGTCGGCGCCGGCGGCATTGCGGACGGTCGAGGAGTTGCTGCGGTACTAGCTACAGGCGTCGCAGCGGGTGCAGTGATGGGCACCCGCTTCCTCGCCAGTAACGAGGCCGAGATCAAAAAGGGATACCAAGAGGACGTGCTGCGAGTCTCGGACGGCGGCCAAAGCACCATCCGCACCGATTTATTCGACAGACTTCAAGGGAGGGATGATTGGCCGGAGCGATATGACGGTCGTGCGATTATCAATGGAAGTGTAAGAGATGATTTGGCGGGGATGGATTTGAAGGAGAACAAACAGATCTTCCAGGAACAAATGAAGAACGGGTCGATTGGATGGGGAGAGCATGGGAGAATGACGGCGTATGTAGGGAGTGCTGTAGGGCTGGTGCGGACGGTGGATTCGGCGCAAGAGATTGTTGAACAGTGCAGAGCAGAGGCCAAACAAGCTTTGCTGCATGCCGTGGATGGACTTGAGATTTGAGGAGGATGGGGAAAGGGGTCCCGAAAGCCTCGCAAGGCTGAGCCCATGTGTCACAAGGCCGCATCAGTACCCAGCCTCGCCAGTACGGGACTTTGGAAAACGTTCCCCGCTTCTGCCTTGCTTCACCCCGCATCAAAGTATCGAAATACTACCGCATCGCTCATTCTCAACAGTTCCTTTCACCTCTTCTCCTCCCAGATAACTCCGAACAGTAGAATCTCATGCCATTCCAATTGCACTAAAGGCTAACAGATTCCAGATCAAATCAACCAAAGCACAGCCTCATCCGCATATTCAACATGGCGGCATCTTCCTCTATCAAAAGTCGCTTCCCCGTCCCCTCGGGCGCCACAGCCACGGTCTCTATCATCGACACCACGTCCCGCATCGGCCGCATATCTGTGTCTTATCTGATGGAACCGCCCATGCCAGGCTTCGACACCATGCCCGAGATACCGTCCTGGTCGTTCCTGGTCGAGTCCAGCACCACGGGGAAGAAGGCGCTCTTTGACCTGGGCGTGCCGCCCGATTGGGAGAATTTTGCACCTGCCGTGAGCGAGGCGTTGAGGACTCGGGGATGGCAAATCTATGCCGAGAAGCATACGAGTCAGGTCCTCGAGGAGAATGGGGTGGATTTGAAGGGTATCGGGAGTATCGTCTGGAGGCGAGTATTTTTTTTTTTTCCCCTTTCCACCCTGAGAGTGTTCTTAGAGGTGATGAATTGAGATTGATGCTTGTTGTGATTGATGCTTGACTCGTCCCGGATATTGTGAAGACGTGATCTAATTCTTTTTGGTGGGAATTAGTCATTGGCATTGGGACCACTTAGGCGATCCATCCACATTCCCTCCCTCGACCGAAGTGGTAGTAGGCCCGGGATTCAAGGAGGCTTTTATGCCGGGCTATCCTGGCAAGCAAGATTCTCCAGTGCGTGAATCTGATTTCAAGTAAGTCCAAGTCAGCTGAGCAGGAAAAAGAAGAATGCAAGCTCCTGCTTGTTTGGTTTCCACAAGTCCCCTCAGAAAGGGAATATGCAAAGTTGCTTTCTCACCACATCTAATCCTCAACCCCAAAAACTAGAGGACGGGAACTGCGGGAAATCACATTCACCGAACCCGGCACGCTCCAGATCGGCGACTTCCGAGCCATCGACTTCTTCGGCGACGGCTCATTCTACCTCCTCGACACCCCAGGCCATGCTGTCGGTCACGTCTGTGGCCTGGCCCGCACAACTTGCGAGCCGGACACGTTCATCTTCATGGGCGGCGACCTGTGCCACCACGGCGGCGAGATCCGACCATCCGCGTACAAGCCGCTGCCGAGGGACATTTGGCAGCCCGGGCTACATGCACTGGCGAAAGTAACGCATAGTCCTTGCCCGGGCGCCGTGTTCGAAGCCATCCAACAGAAACGGGGCAGGTCGCCGCCGGGGACGAAGCCGTTCTTCGACCCGGCTATGGGCCTCTCGATCCCCGAGGCGATCGCGACGATCGAGAAGGCGCAAAAAGCCGACGCAGACGACAACGTGCTCTTCATCTACGCCCACGACGCAACGGCGCGGGGCGTGGCTGATTTGTTCCCCCTCACCGCCAACGACTGGAAGAAGCAAGGCTGGCGCGAGGGCATGTTTTGGGCTTTTTTGGCTGATTTTCGGGCCGCGTTGCCAACCTGAACTGGCTGCTGTTGCTCGAATGGGAAGGCCTTTCCCATGTTCCATCGGCCTCTTTGAGTGACGAGGTTTGTGAAAAGCCATCTCACGGAAGAGAGAGGTTTATTAGCCACAAGGTCTAAGCTACATACTGCTACATATGCTTTGCCGTTTCCAATATCCCGATCGAATAGATATATATATATATCGCAAATGCTTACTACGTGGCGGCAAGGGGCGTGGCAATTTGTTCCCCCTTGAACCGATTAATCGTTTCCGTCAAGCAACTGACTATCTCGCGATATTCACCTAGCCGCCGCTTGCTGTTTCCACATTGCCATTGACTTCCTCCCTGTACGCGTGCATGCCAGCCTTAATCATGGGTGCACTCATCAGAGTCTCCCAGTTATGCACCATGCGGCTCTGCATCAGACTGACCGAGATCTCCCTGAGACTGCGAGGCTTCATTTCCTCTTCGTACACCCTCACCGCCTGCTCCAAAGACTTGTTACCTTCTTTCACATCGTACAGCTCCGACACGAGCTTCTCGGCGTCTTGAAACACGTTGTTGAGCCCTTGCCCGCGGAACGGTGGCATGTTGTGTGCGGCGTCCCCGGCAAGAGTGACGTGCGGCCACAGCGGAGAGGACGACGACCAATCCATATCCGGGCTCCACATGGTGATCGGGTCGACCTGCAGCTGCAGGTCGGGAGGGATGTTGAGACCGGCGCTTTTCCAGGGCTCAGCGTACGCCACGGCCTTGGACTTGATGAAGTCGATCTTGGACTGCTGGCCCGGGAAGTCTTCGGCGTGCGGTCTGCCGGGCCAGGAGAGACACTGTTGGAAGAGGAAGGTGGTCGGGTCGTTGGGATCTGTTACGTCCTGGATGGCGGTCACCCAGCTCATTCCCATGGGGTGATAGCCGATGCGGAAGATCGGGTGGGCTTTGCGTTGCAGAAGGGCGACGTCGGCGGGGAGAGTCCAACAAGCGTTGAACATCTGTATGTCGATGGGTTCGTTGGCGGCTTTGTTCGCTACCGACAAGAGCTTCGCGGACGTCCGAGTGGACGCCGTCGAAGAACTTCTCGCCCGTCTGGCCGTTGAACATGGGCCAGGAGGTGTGCTTGCCCGTGTAGAACGAGTCGCAGCACGCCTCGTCCAGGCGAGCCACGAGATCCGGTGGGATGCATTTGGCCAGGTACTCCTGGCCGAACTGCAGGGTCATGCCCCATTCGCGAGGCCGGGTGAGGTATGTATCCTCTTCCTCGCGTTCGTAGACGGTGGCTTTGATGCCGTTCTGTGAGTGTGTCGATGCTTTCTCATTAGCATACATATGCCGCTGCTACTTCCTGCTCACTGCTCGACTATTGACATAAACCAGCCAAGCAACAGCCATCCAAACTGCCAACACGCATACGCACATACCAGTTTCAATCCTTGTGCAAGCAGTAACCCCGTCGCTCCAGCCCCGATAATCACAACCTCGAGGTCCCTTGTGTCTGCCATAAGCGCTGCGGGGTTATATGCGGGGATAGACGAGTTCGTCTCTCTCAGGCTGAACTGCTTGCTGCTCGAGCTGTGCTTGCATATGCCCCGGGGTCTTGCTTCGAAGATTTGGGACGAGGGATCAAGTGCGCACGCAACGAAAAGAAGGACGATAGGGCCGCAGAACTCTTTTTTTCCCACCTTACCAATCGGCCATCCATCGCGACGCCCAGCGAGCCAGTACTGTAGCAGCGAGCGAACTCTCTTCATCTCTGCGACACCCTTCTCCGATAAGTACGGAGTAGCTCTCGGGTAGCGAGCGCGCATCCGTGCTCTAGTTCTAAGCAACCCAACAATAGGTACATGCATATGTATGCGCTAGTGCTAGCTGGGCGAACAGCGGCGTAGTTGATTCCACCGTTCGTGCCATGAGATCCCTATCAGCTAATCTTCTACCCTAGACCACAGGGGATTGACTTGCATATCTGCGATGTCGGTTTCAAGAGGCGGTAAAAGGCTGTGGGAACTACTCTCTTCTTCCAATTCTCCTATGGTTGTTTTGACCCCATGTTTGCCAGGCTAGCGATCATCAACTGCGGCACGACTACCACACAAAAGGTGTATGCACCATGGCAGAGCCCGAGGGCTCAGCAGTCAATGAGGCGGATGAACATCCCGTAATCGATGCTGAAGAAGATCAGGGCGAGGGTGATTTGTAAGTTCTGAACGGCATACAAACATGACCTTGTTGAGTCAGTGTTGACGTATTCCCTCCTTTTCTCCCCCTTCCCCCCTTTCTCTCTCTACTTTCTTTCGGAATAAGCTAGGACTAAGCTTACTTATTTCCCTTGCTCTCCGTGTTTCTCTGCATGCAGAAACGAATTGGCCATCTCGACATCGTCCAGCTGCACGAAAGACTCACGGGCCCCAGCTTCCGACTGTTCTGTGACTTTATCGGCTGATGAGCCGACAAGAACTGGACATTCTTCTGATGCAGGTCCGGAATGACTTCAAAAATCAGGCTATTCACAGCATATGTGATATGAAAGTTCTTGGCGCTATGGTTCGTTGACGCGGTGGCTAGTCGGAGGGGCCAAGACCCACGTTGATATTGATGAGCGATTGCCTTCTGGCGGGGTGATGATGTAAGTTGCCAATACTAATGCTGGGGAAAATGATACTGTGTGCGGACAGAAGCCAGGGTCTGGAGCGTGAGATGAGAAGAACACGCACTAGTAAAGCCTCGTCCGGAAATACATGACAGTAGAATCGACGACATTGACCTTGACCTAGATGATATTACCAATGAGTCTCACCGTGCCTCCATTGATCTTGATAAAAGAAATGTTGAATATTCCGTTTGGTCGCGACATGCTCGGAACAAGCGGCGCAGAACTACCTGATTCTGCGGGAGTTCATCAGGGCGTGATGAAGTTGCCACAGAGGAATTAGGGGACTGACAGGGAACGACATACCTAGTTTGTGCATTAGATTAGCGGGAAATCACATCTTCTCCAACCTATTCAAATCCATCCTTACACCCAAGATTTAATGGTTCCATGGGAAGAACGTCTAGCTGGCTGCCGCGAGGGCGGGAGCCGTTGTGAACTCTGTATGCGGAATGAGGGAGTGCCGACCCAGCTTTAATATATGTATCCAGCGGCTGCCATAACAACCCCGTTCATTCATCCCGTTCGGAGAGAACAGGTGGCGAAAGACGGGCCGGAGAGTAGGTGGGTAGGCAGGCCGGTGTCATTTTATTGTAGCACGACGAGTTTCGTCTCTTTCTCCAGCCGGGCCCAGTTCGCCGTCCTCATCGACAGCGTCCCCTCTCGACGACATAGGTGATAGTGATCTCCTTGTTCTTCTCTGCGAACCCGAGACAGCACCAGGCAATGCACGGCTCGATTCCAAATCTGGAAGGCAGCGGCCGGGGAGTCTTCCTCCTCCGAACGACAGTTACGGTCCAGAGCAAGATTCGCTTGATCACTGGGGAAACTTCCCTCCACAGCCACTGCGACAAGACCGACCGACAATGCCGTGCTGTCAGCTTTGGCGATGTCATCCGCAATATCCTGGGAAATGCACAGATTTTGGACCTGCAGTCTCCTCTTGCCACCTGGGATCCTGATACTCGATGCGTGTCTTTCGTAATGGATTTCCAGCGAACTGGCATCGAAAAGCACAGTTGCGCACTCAGCCCAGAACACGATGCTAGTGGATTCATTCTTCAGGGGAAGTTGGCTTGCCCACATGTCAAACGGACGGTCGAGGACAGTATCGCCCGAGTCGTACCCGCTCAGGATATCGTTCGGTTCTCTGCCCTGCCGGTGGAGGTAGGTCGGGTACTTGAAGCACTTGACAAACGATCTCCAGCCCTGGTCATAGGTTGACCACGTCAACGGAGAAAAGCTGACTTCTCCCAGCCACGCCATCCAAGACCATGAAGGGGCGGCTGGAAATGCCTGTCTCCGTCTCACAATACCGCGAGTGGCCGACGATCCGCCACGTACGCTCCAGCAGAGGAAGGCCTCAAAATTCAGCTCCGGCAAACCCCATAAAAAGCCCCCCAACGGGGACATGGACGACATGTACCACATCAGTCCCTCGAAGGCGTTGTTGATATCGCTCTCATATGAGAGTTTTCTTCTGGTGTAGCACTCGATCAGGGTCGCGGCATCCGAAAGCTCGACCGGCCGTGGCTCGAGAGGAGAAGGTTCACCCCCGTCGCTTATTTCTGCGAAGATGGATGATTCGAGCCGAGGCTTGTTCAACCCGTCATACCTGGCAAAATGGAAGTTCTCCCCGTTGACGTCCAGTCCTTCGGCCCAATGCGCTGCCCGACATAACCATATCAGCTGCTGCTCGCAGAAAGCAAGATTTGTCTTGAAAGGAGGAATTCCTGTAAAGTCCACGCTCGGCTGGGCCATCCCCCACTGACAAAGAGTGCTCCAGGGGTTCGCTCCGGTTGGTGCGGAATTTCAACAAGACCAAAGTGTGCAATGGTAGTGTGTAGCAGAGGAACCCTGTCGCGGCTGACTCCGTGGAGTCCCTCGTGGCAGTTTGTTCCCGCCACTGCTGCGATGGTGAGACGCGAGTAGGTGTAGATGACATCCATGTCGAAGATGCTCTGTGCCTTATCCTCGTCATCATCCTGGAGAATCGAGATGACATCCGCCCAAAAGTACCGAATGCCCACTGACCTGGCCACTTGCATCGCGTCTTCAACCGTCGGTGAAAGTGTCGGAATGCCTCCAGGTCTCGAATATGCGTCCAGGTTTGTCGTGGTTAGACGGACCTCCTGCTCCACGACGCCCCAGACATAACTCAATGCAGCATAACCGCCTTCAATGTCTTCGATCCTGAGTGTCTTGATACATCTTTGTGAGACGTCGACAACCCGAAGCTCGGATATCTTGCCACTGCGTGAGAGAAAACTCGAGTCGGTGGTGGCCCACTGCCCTTCGCACATCTCCAACCAGTCCTTTACCTGGTTTGGTTCAAATCGCGGCGGTACCAAGCGACCAACGAGAGAAGCCCGTTTCTCTACGCGATCCGTAATTGACTGACGTTCCCTATCCTCGTGATGAGCAGGATCTAGTAAACCGAAAGATACAGTCTCAGCCTGGGGGGTGTCCGGATGGAATGAAAGATTGAAGCACATCAGATGCGTTCGAGCATGGTGTTGGCTTTCGCTCCCCCCAGGGATGACAACAGCACCGTACTTGCGGGTGTAGACATGGATGGGGACGCGGTCGTGAGAGGCTCTGTCGATGTCCGAGCCTGCGAGGCGTTTTTCAAGCAGCGCGAGGCAGAAACCGCAACATGGACAACCACCCGCGCTCCGTTCTCGCACCTCTTGCACCGTCCCGAGGGAAAGCAGGAACAGCGCCGATTCCACCAGCCGGGAACTGGCAGCGGGCGCAACGGTTCCATCCAGGTGCCGCACTTCTGCACTGGTGGTGAACACGTCTGGCTTTGCTGTCTGGATGACCCTGGGGAGGCCAGCATCTAGCCAGTCAACGCTGCGACATGTCGGACAGAGCAGTGACGATTCTCCTGCCATAGCCCGTCTCGGACCAATCTGGGCCCATGAGTTGATTGACTGATTGATTGATTGATTGAGAAGGAGGAGAAGTTCGACCTGCGAGAGAGAAGAAGCTTAAATACCTATATTACTAGAGAACAAAAAAAACTGATTATCATGTACGTTTTGATCCTAGAGGGTAAGCCAAGGGCGCTTTAACCCGAGCTCTAACTAAGCCTTTAGCTAAGACATCACTAAGCGATCAGACAGCCTCCCTAAGCACTCCTCGAGCAAGACACCGGGGCCAAATTGGGGCCCCTAGCAATCGGCTGTTCCTAGCTCTCGGCTAGGTATATATTTTAGACGAGCGTTAGGTATATAGAAATCGCTATTTCTATCCTTCCTTGGAAGTAAGTTGTCCGCCTTCTTCATCCCATGCCATCCTCGTTTTTCAATCACAGGTACCGCTGTCTGCACTCCCGACAACGAAGGAGTCGCTATTGCGCTGGTCTGTATTGTCTCGTTTACTATTGGTTGGAACGAAGCCATCGCCCTGTCTCTCACGACTCTGAAATGAGACGTAAAAGTGTATTGGACTATTCTAGATCTATGTGGTCGGGGAGGCTGCTTTTATAGCCATAATTACTAGTGTCTTGGCGTGTTTCACACGACCATCTGCATTCGGAATCAGCAAGATATAGGCGCGGCGGCGGGCTTCGCGGGCTCGGTCCGATCTATTGTGGGAGGAATTGCAATCGCGGTCTGCAGCGTTGTGCTCAATTCTCGGCTTTCCGAGACTGTCCTGACTCGAGTTGGTCCTGCTGTCGTTCAAGCTGGACTGTTCGAGGCTTCCGTCGGTGCTTTCATCACCGCATTGTCCAGTGGAAACACAACCGCGCTATCTGGTATAGACGGCTCAAACTCGACCATTGTGGCCGTCGGAGAATGCGCATATCGATTCGGCAACACCCATGCATTCCGCACGGTTTCCTGACTTCGAATTGCATTCGGAGGACTCGCGATCTTGCTCACGTTGATCGTGCCGAATGTGGACAAGCTCATGATACATGATGTAGCCACGACGCTACATGAGAAAAACAACGAGAAGGTGGTTGCTGCGTCGAAGAAAGTCAAAGAAAAGATCTTCTCTCTGGTGACAACTAGCATATCTGATTGTTGGTGTCCTGTTGAGCTGGACCTGGCCGGAGAGGTTTTATGATCTTCCGGGCGGTCCGCTGCGGGGTTGAATCTCCACACCTTCTCATTAGCCGATTCTGGTTAAGTCGTCGTTCTAGTGTTCGTATGGCGGTATATAGGTGGGCATTATTGCTATTCTAGTCCATGCATGATGGTCTGGACAATTTCAAAAGTCGTATTCTCATTCATATAAGCAACAATATCTTACAGTGAGGCGAAGTCGTCCTAGTCACAGGTATTTCCAATCCCAAGTATTCCTTCCGTCATCCCTTATCAACGGAAGCGTGGCAACCAAATTTGATTTCACCGGCAAGGTCATTGCCCTCACTGGCGGTGCATCGGGGATGGGACTAGAAATAACCAAGTTGCTCGTCGCAAGTGGAGCGAAAGTCTCGATTACAGATATACAAAAGGAAGCCCTTGCCGATGCAGTTGCTACTATTTCGGGGGTCTGGGCCAGGGGAGCTTTTTGCTACAGCAACCGATGTGACAGACCCGGAGCAGGCCCAGTCGTGGGTACAACGAACGGTCCAAAAGTTTGGCAAAGTAGACAGTGCGGCCAACCTGGCCGGTGTGGTCGGTCGAGGCACCCACCTGACACCCACGGCAGGGCTGGAAGACGACGACTGGGATTTTGTGATCGGCGTCAACCTCACAGGTATCATGCACTCTATGCGTGAGCAACTGAATCACATGAACGACTGCGGCAGCAAGTGAACATAAGCTGCGTTGTAGGCGTGCGAGGTTATGTGAATAACGCTCCCTATGTCGCATCGAAGCATGGCGTCGTGGGCTTGACAAGACCAGCAGCGAAGGAATGTGGGGCCCGGGGAATTCGAGTCAACGCTATCGCCCCGTAAGCCATTCGTCGACTACTGCGACATTTGATTGACTGCGTTTCTGGTAAACAGGGGACTTATCGACGCTCCAATACTACACAAGGTAGCCGCCGTAAGAGGGAGGATCATGGATTTTGAACATGCAATCAAGGGATGGGGAACCACTCACGAGATCGCGGAGTTGGTTGTCTGGCTGCTCTCCGATTCAACCAAGTTCATTTCTGGCTCAGTGCAGGTCATAGATGGCGCCTAGGCTTGTTAGTGCCTGGTAAACCGCTCTACAGGATGTGTGCTATCAGCAGTGAGGGAATGACCAGGGATAGGGCATGAGGACGGGTTGTCGTACTAGCAAGATCTTAACAATTCCCTGTATTCGTCCATCTATCCGAGTTCTGCCTGAGAGCATCTCCTGCCCCAAGTCTCATTCTTTTTCTGTAAACTCCCTCAAGTCAGCTACGAGGATTTCCATCGACACTGGGAGACGGTGCACGCAGATCTTGCTATAGGCGTACCAGCTTTCAAGGCCAATAGGATTCTACGATATTCACAGGCAAGGAGACTTGACGCCAGAGTTTGCCCATTTGCCACACCCCACATTGCTCTTGGAAATGCAAATCCACAGTAGTTTGCTGATAGGTTCTCAGCTCTATGCTACTCCTGATTTGAAAGAACATTCCAAGTCGTTGGGACGCAGAGGAATGGTTCCTCTTGAATAAGATGATTGCAGCGAGATCTACGTGGAAAATTGGGAGGATTGGGCGCGCTTACAGTCGAGCCCACGGTACATTGAGATTAGTAGGTTTCGGTTCTGTTTTGCGCGATGTCTGGTGACCATTGATTGGAATGATAATGCGCAACAACTGTAAATATTTCATGCAAATGCCAATTTACGCGATGATTGCTCGAGAAAGCTTGATCTTTGGAAACGCAATACCGAATCTCCAAGGCAAGGACGGTCTTCAAGATTCCGATCTGAAGTTTGATTTATGATACGTGATCACAAATCGATCGGATTTCTTGATAGCCTAAAGGCTCAATGAATGTGAAAGAGAAGAGGCGAGGGAGGAAAGGAGACAGAAGAGAAGAGACTGGGAGGGAGAGATCGGGAAGGGAGAGAGCTCAGCCACGAACGCCAGGTGTAAATGCTTTGTCGCGTTCTATTCATCTGCTGCTACCCTCAATCCAGCTCACCGATAGTTGTATATCTCACCAGAACAGAAGATATGCAAAAACCCCTGTCATGTCCCAATGGAAGCTAGGCTCAGGAGTCCTCACGCGCGGCCACGGCAGAAGTGCCCATCATCCTGAGTAGTGAAATTCACTAGATCTTGGGCGAGACACCTTCTTTCTGCTTGGAGTCGTGATGATGAATCTGCTGACACCGGTGCGATGGCGTTGATACGGATCCCGTACTTTTAACCTTCTCTGAAGAAAGTTCGCGTAAACCCAATAGTAACCGATGCTCCAGCGCAGAAACTAGTAAATCCAGCCCGACCTGATAGCCCCAATTCTGAAGAAGACACCACAACTCGACCATACTTTGCTTCAGAAAGATCGGCCACAGAGCTTTTGTAATTGGATAGGCACTTTTCGCTTGCGAGTCGTACGCCTGACTCCACTCATTGTTGGCTATTTCGTCCAGCGGCCGCTCCAAAACATTCCCAGACACGACCACCAGAATGTGGACACCCCCAAACCCTTCGATGGCCTTCTGGACGGTTTGTCTTGCATTCTCAACCGTGTAAGTGCATGAAACAGCCGCACCTCCCACTGTTTTGATCTTTTCAACAACCGCATCAGCAGCTACCGCGCAGACATCATTCACAACCACCGAGGCATCCAATGTGGCCAGAGTTAACGTGTATTCGCTGCCCAATCCGCCAACCGCCGCGGCGACGATGGCAACCTTCCCCTTCAAGAGATCCTTGTCATACAGCGTTGGTGTTGCGCCTTGCATTGCTTTCTGTCGATTAGACCATTCCCCATATCCTAGGGTCGGAGAAGTCTGTAACTCTGTCAAAGTTGTGCAGGATATACGCGGGCGGCTGATCTCTCTCGATATCAAGGCCAGCCGCCCACTCCCATTGAAATTTCATCACGCAACCAGCACCAACGTCGAAGACAGCACCAGTTTTGTGCGAGCTTTCGTGGGTTAGAGCTGCGACTACCGGCGCCACCCATTCAGGACTTAGTCTTGTGAGAAGCTCCGGGGCCATGACGGTCATGGTTAACCTGCTCGCTGCAGCAGGAGTCAAAGTATTCGCTTTGATGTTGTATCTCGCTTCTTCCTTAGCAATAGCGTTCACAAACTCGATAATTCCTGCTTTTGCGCTGTTACACAGGGAGTTGAGAGTTGGCTTCGAACATCAATACGCAGAGAGCCACTCACCAGAGTAGTTGGACTGCCCAAACGAGCCGTAGATTCCCGCTCCCGATGATGTACAAACAATGCGGCCGTACCTTTAGCATCGCATCAGAGACCAAGCAGCTCGAGTCGTCTTGTATGTCCCGAACATATGCACCTCCTCGATGAGAGTCCAGTCCTGATCGGTCACATTACGAAAGGCTACATCTGGAAGAATGCCGCGTTGTTGACAAGGATATGAACAGTCCCAAAGACATCTACAGCAGTTTCGATTATTTTGCCGCCTTGGGTGAGGATGTGATAATCTGGGACCGCAACTCTGCCAGCTTGTCGAATTTCCTCAACTACCGTATCGCCCATCTATAAATCAATAAGCTCTTGTACTGAGTTCACCTGCAAGGAATCGACCACCGGCTTGTGAATGAAGAGAGCCCACAGATCGCCGAGGAGTTCCATCTCCCTTGAAACCTCCTCCTAGGTCATTTACTACAACTCTGGCACCTCGTGCGTAGAGAACCGCGTATGCGCGCCCCAGTCATCCACCAGCACCTGTCATGACCACAACTTTTGTTTCGAAGGATATCGGAGCCATTCTGGACTGAAGATAGTACCTGAAAATGCCGAATTCATACACGTTTTCGGCGTTTCCAGGGATTGTTGTCAAGTACGTGGCTGATGAGTGGGAGAAGATATTTGGTGGATTGGGCATTAACACAGTGCCAATATCGGGGCTGCTGCATGTAGCCCGACGCAAAGAGGTCACTAATCCACTGGGCCGAGTGTATGCATTCTTGGCCTGGTGCCGCAACCAGTTCGGGATGCGGTCACCGTCGACTACAACTTCCCACCTGCCAAGGCTTATGCCGATCTCATTCGGCATTGTCTCACGTTCGATTTTAGGCTGGATCTTCTGGGTCAGGTAGAAGGGGCAGAAGCGCAGCGACTTATCGGCCTTCCATCTTGGTGCGCAGACTTCCAACTTGCAGCGCCAATTAATCAATTTGGGGGAAATCAATGGTCTAGCATCTGGATTCCATGCAGGTTTCAGAAAACCATTTGTCGAGAAGCCTATCTTGTCGGCGGATTCTGACAGAAATATTCTCAAGTTAAAAGGCTTTCTGGTCGACAAGGTAATTGGAAGAATAGATGGATGCCAACTGCCAGAGCCCCTAGGACAATCTGGAGCTGTCTTCTTGCAGGATTGGGAGGACCGCTGTCTGCAATTGGCTGAACGGCTTCTCCCACTTCCTAAACAAGCCATCTTACGGATGTTCAGCCGAACGTTGATAGCTAACAGATGCCTGACTGAGCATAGGATGTATCAGAAAGCCATTGGAGACAGTCTCGAACTATACCATGCCCACAGGGAGTATCTGAAAGAGCTGGTTGAGACAGGGCGAAGCGATAACATCAAGCCGGTGCAGAACTATCCGATCATTGATGCACGAACGGATAGGGCTTTCATTGTGACTGAAAATTATCGCTTGGGGTATACTCGTCCGAGCGTTGAGGCAGGGGATGTCGTTTGTATCTTCGACAATTGTGTTGTCCCCTTCGTACTTCGGTCTGACTCAAGAGCCAGAGGTCATGCTACACTTGTTGGAGAGGCATACGTTGATGGATTGATGTATGCTGAGGTTCTGGATCTGCATGACAAAGGAGAAGTGGACCTAGTAGATATTTCCATCAGTTGACAGCCGCAGGGAATTGAGTCATTTGGTCATTCCCATCTAATGCTTCCTCCAAACGTTCGCTTCGATGTTTGCCGCGCAAAAGGCCTATGCAGCAATACGATGAGCGACTAGCACATTATGTTCAATGAGGAAAATCTTAAGAGTGAATGGCTGCGACGATTTTGTATCCGAAATCCCGCGAATGCTCGAAGACGAGATACTCCGACAGGTTTTCTCTCCGAGACAGAGGCTATGATGCAGACCCGCAATTTTTCTTCGAAATCTCGGACTCGAGCTCTCGCTATATGTATTAAGAAATAGTTTTTGCCTAGAGTTTTGCCGACTCACATATGTGTTGTAAAGACTTTGCCGAGTGCAGCGGTGATGGTGCAGATATTCGATTCTATCTGCCAGCGCTGGCGTCGCGTGCATCTTCTCCTAAAGGACCAAGAGTCGTGTATCTTTCCGCAGGACGGTCCCTTCGGTTACCGAGTTACAGTAGCATGTGGGCCGCCACAAGCACCGCACTGCCATGGCTCCCTCGGGTATTACGTTTTCCAATTTCACATCTTGGAGAAAATCGCCGTCGGTCATCCCCGTCCCCGCACTGCGATCCGAGACTATATGCATCGAGGCAGGCCTGGTACGTACCGAGAACTATTGCAGTTCCTCGTGACGACCTGTCATGGCACAGAACAGCTTCCAGATCTTGAACAGCCGAGACGAATCGCCTGGAAGTATCTTGATGGGGCTGGGAGAACCAAGGTGTATGAAGGATCTCAAGGTCGAGGATATCATTATCAACGAAGCAACTCCTCCAGATGAATTTGACTCAGAAACTCCCCCGGATGGCGGTCGGGAAGCATGGGTAGTGGTTTTCGGATCATTCTTTGCCTTCATGTGCAGTTTTGGCTGGTTGCAATGTGAGTCTTGATTGCGGGTTTTTGTCTCGTTCTGGCCAGTTCTGATCTCGCGCCAACTCCGCTGAACACCAACAAGAACTTTAGCTGATCTCCGGCTACTATTGAGAGTGCAGGCATCGGCATATTCCAAGATTACTACCAGAATGATCTACTCCGTGAAATGTCCCCGAGTTCCATTGCCTGGATTTCCTCCGTCCAGTCATTTGTGCTATATATCATGGTAGGTCGCAGACCCGCTCTACTGGGGCATAGAACCCTGACTGTGCTGTTCGCAGGGAGTTGTCTCGGGAAAGCTGTATGATAACTATGGACCAAGGTGGCCTCTGTTGGTAGGCTCTTTTCTCACTGTCCTCGGGATGATGATGACGTCCATCTCCAAAGAGTATTATCAGATCTTTCTTTCCCAAAGTATCTGCTGGGCTATGGGACTGTGTCTTGTTTTCTTCACTAGTACGTATCAGTGCTCGTACTTCCTAGCATGCACTCACAGACTGATATTGCCTCAGCCGCAGGTGCCTTGGCGACTTGGTTTAAAATACGTTATCCCCTAGTAATAGCTATTGCTGTGTGTGGATCCAGCCTTGGTGGAGTCATCTTCCCGATCATGATGGATCGCATCATGCCGTCTTTGGGGTTTCCATGGGCGGTTAGAATCGCTGCTTTCCTGAATTTGGGTCTTTTGGTTCTCGTAAACTTGACGGTTAAATCCCGGATTCCACCACAGCCTCAACCGCTACGCATTTCAGAGTTTACCAAACCTTTCGCCAAGCTTCCCTTTTCTCTGACTGTGTTAGGCGCATGCCTGATATACTTCAGCATATTCTTACCTTACAACTACGTCATTGTGCAGGCGAGGGAGGCTGGAATGTCCTCAACGTTTGTTCAATATCTAGTGCCAATTATGAATGCAGCAAGGTGAGCCATGCCGCACGCTTCCGAGGAAGCAATACAAGGCATATGTGCTGAGAAGCTACTAGTGTACCTGGACGTCTCATACCGGGCCAGCTAGCTATTCGCTACGGCGGATACAACATTTTCATCATCATATCGACCGTATCGGGTGTGCTGTGCCTTGCATTATGGGTACCTGCAAGATCAGCTGCGGCTCTAGCGGCTTTTGCTGGACTGTACGGCGCTTTCGGTGGCGGTATATTCACCATGGTTTCGTCACTGGTCATTTATGATTGTCCTATCCGTGAGCTAGGAGTTCGGTATGGGACTTTCTTTATGTCAGTTTCATTTCCGTTGCTGGCGGGGAATCCAGTTGGTGGAGCAATCGTATCGCTTGAAGATGGAGGATACACCGGCTTAAAAATATTCACTGGAGCTACCTTATTAGCTGGGGTATTTTTTGTCACGGTCGCGAGGTTATTGATCACTCGCTTTAAACTCAGGGTCGTGATATAGCACGAAATATCTTTACACGTTGGGGCGACCATGAAATAGGGGCAAAGAGTGCAGTCTTACAGAAGCGAAACAGACTCTATTTGAATGTTCTCGTCAAGACCAGACTATGTATGAAGAGCATAAAGAGCATGAATGACACGGTGAATTCGACATATTTCAAACGTGGGAAACATCATCCCTAAGCTATCTACTTGCACCCGAAAAACTTAGCATCTAACTTCACGGAAGACTTGTGAACTATGGACGGGTTCAAGAGACTACTCAACTACTCTCTCCCCTTCCTGTTCGTCACTCAGTAGTTTATCAGTAGTTTCTAGCTGCAATTGGCAAGTCCAATCAGGTTCTGAGCATCGGCACGATTAGGAACAGACTTGCAAACCAGCTGACGTGACTCTCTGGACTGGCGAGGAGGATACCAGCTGAAGTTTCATCTGCGCCATAGTTAGCGCCATCATAGTAACAATGAGTGAGTGAAAAGACGGTAGGGACAATCAGGTCTCGCAAATCCTAGTTTTCAAAGAGATACAGATGAAATCAAAGTCTAAAGGACATCTCTAGCAGACAATTGGCTAGTGTGGGACAGAGAGGGATGGCTGGGTGAATTGGCATGGCTGGAAAGACGGAAACGCTGCATGCACACTCGATATACTACCATCGGGCTCCTGTAACTTCCCTACATCGCTCACCATTCCGCACCCGTCAGTGCCATGAGCAACTTTGAGGTCACTCTGTCACTGTCACGGCTACTTCGATAAATACCCCTGTTCTTCTCGCAATGATGGGAATAGTGAAGCTTGAACTACCATTGGTGCAACCCATCATAATAGCATAGAGGATGTCTGAATGCCTTGATGAGTTGTTCAAGTCACATGGGACAGTCTGCTCCAGCTTCCACAGATGCTCTGGTCGACAATATTGCACTTGCAGATCGACGATAAAGAGAATATAGTGTTCATTGGCAACAAAAATTGCACGAATCCTTCGACAAAGGCAAGATACGTTTGTTAGGGGAAAGGTTGGTGTGAATTGATCAAAGGTTGCCCCCCCTTTATTCAATATGGAGACTACGGTAGACTATATAGACAATACTGGGTGGCTGGGCTGGATCACGTGATTTCACAACCTCTAGTTTAACAGTTGGTATTCCTGCTGGAATGGCAATGATTGCTCAAGGTGAGGCACGGGCCTCACAGATGACCTGTGTAAAGCAACGGAATAAGGTTAAACACCACCTTCTTTCCATGACATACTATAATCCGAATCTTCTCATCAACGGAAACTCTCCCACGCAAGAGTCAAAGACGCATCAGTGTGTGGCGTTTACGACGTGGCTCAACAGACAGAAACCCCGTTGGGATATGTCAATGTCGACAAGCCAGCTAGCGATGCAAAACGGGTGCAAATTCTGTGGGACGTCAAGGAGTACATCGGCTCCATGGTGGCTCCCTTCAAGAGACTGAGAGGCGGCGTCCACTACATTAGCGTCATTCCAAAATAACCCACCGGAAAAGTGCTTCAACGTTCGCTTGCGGCCCGATTGAAGGCAGAAAATGAAGCCAGTCTCAGATCTAAGCCGTGACATCAACAGAATTGCTCCCGTAGGACATGGACTGAAAGATGTCACAGCAACGTGCGGGGGGAAGTGTTGACTCAAGGGCAATTGAGACTTTCGCTGTCCTTGCAGCTGAACCAAAGCGGTGTGAAACGATCGATTGGTTATCCCTTGCTCTATGGCAGGATCTGTAATTGGTGACCTGATCCTGGAGAGACCTTCTCCTTGCAGTGTAATGTCTATATAAGCGACCAGAAGTTCTCTCAGTGAGGAACATAGACAAAACAATCCATGGTTCCAGGATCTCAGAGATTACGTAAGTAGTCTGACAGAAAGGGACTCAGAATTATGGTAGATACAGGAAGGAGAGCTAGTTGAGAGATATCGTTAACATAAGAGAAAAGGGGAACCGAGATGTGTCATAGACATTAGAACGGACGAGGCTCAGTCTATAGTATTCCTCGAAACCACGAGCGCGCAGGCTCTCCACCCTGAGAATACTGTACTGAGGGAAGAGCAGACTCTTTTAACTCAGGTCGCGAAGCAACCTGACCTTGCAAGAATTTAAAACTTGGGGAAGAGTCAATTATTCGTAGTCGTGGTGCTGATATTGAAGATTAAAGTGTTATTGAACTCTCACCACACCTTTCCCTCAGCCCTGGTCAGTCCCAGATAGGTGTACGGTCCCGTTTTTATCCCGCCGTGGAAAATGATATCCCTTGGCCGTTCAGCACGGGCCAGGGTCGCTGAATTCGATGGAAAACTCCTTCCTTGTCTTATCACAGAGACTGTAAGCCGCTTTTCTGCCTCCTTTGCCGTCGGTAGGAGTGTCTTTGGGGGATATTGGTAGGAGCTCTGAGCCGAGCCCTATCGGTAACGAATGATGGCGTGGCTCGCTCCAGGTCGACGCACCCTGTGTCCATGCCTCAACTGGCAGACCCGAATTCCTGAGAGGAGTTATCGGGAGTACATATCTTTGGTTTCTCTCTATCCTGCCAGAGTCATCCAAGTCTAAGTCCAATACCAGCGTCGCAGCATCGCCCTTAAAAGTAACAGATTTACTGAACAAGGCCCCTCTCGCGCAAAGCACGTTCAATATGCCCGCAGCCTCTCTGACGTCTGGCGTAGACAATCACCAGCTGTCCCCAATGGGGATTGCGTTCGGAATCCTGGCATGCGTAAAAGCGCTTTGGAACCCTTCCAAGTTGTGGCTGGTGCTAACATCTCCAACGTCCTTCCTGTACTGGATCGCCGTGGTCGTCTATCGTTTGACTTTACATCCATTGGCCAAGTATCCGGGGCCCGTCCTCTGGGCAATTTCGCCGGTGAGCGAACAAATGTGAATCCACGAAACAACCCGAATGACAGGAAACTGATTGGGTCCAGATTCCCAGTATCTACTACTTGCTTCGAGGGAGGATTTCCTTCCAATACAAGATCTTCCATGACCGCTACGGTCAGTCAATCTCTTTTCACGGAGCAAGCTGATCCACGAAACACGACACGCTGACGGACGCAGGACATGTGGTGCGAGTGATGCCGAACGAACTTGCCTTTAATACCGCCCAGGCCTTCGAAGACATCTACGGACACCGTCAAGGACGACCCAACATGACTCGGGATCCAATCCATTGTGGGGGCGGTCGAGAGCATCCCAGGCGCGAGCAATCTCACCATGGCGGACGAACGCAATCATCCCCGCCAGCGCCGGGCATTAGCCCACGCATTTTCCAAGCGCGCCCTGATGGAACAAGAAGATATTCTGCTCGGATACGTGCGAAAGTTCATCAGCCGACTGGAAGGGTTCGCTCGCGACGGCACGCCAGTCAATCTGGTCAACTGGTTCAACTACACCACGTTCGACATCATCGGAGACCTGTCGTTCGGCGAGCCCTTTGGCTGTCTGGCAGAAGGTTTGAGCAACGTACCCGGACCTTAACGGACGCCATACTAACCGTAAATAATACGTTAGGCGAAGGGAGTGAGTCGGCCCACTGGGTAGTGCTGATCTATGAGAGTATCAAGTCCGGAGCCATCGAACAGGCAACTCGGCGGTTTGCCAGGGCGGGAAGCCTCTTGCAGCGGTTTCTGCTTTGGTGCTGACCCGCCATTATCCGTGAACGACGAGTGCGGCATTTACACAACAGCAGAGAGAAAACGATTCGCCGGATGGAGACCCCGACCGATCACAAGGATTTCCTGTGGTACATCCTTCGGCAGCGGGAAAAGAAAAACGAAGTCAGTGACGACGAGGTCATCATGAACGCTGCCTTGTTCATGTAAGGCTAGCCCAGTCTCAGCCCCCACCCCGATCTGTGTCCCTTTCATTCAAAGAAAAAAAGCTGACCAGGATCTTCTTTTGGTTTTCCCTCTTCCAGTGTCGCAGGCAGCGAGACGACAGCCACCCTGCTCCGCGGCATCATGAATCAACTCCTGAGGAACAAAGCGATCTTTGAAAAGCTCAAAGCAGAAATCCGCGGCAGCATCAAGACGGCGGATGACCTCGTCATGGCCAATCTGGAAAAGCTCCCATACATGGATGCGTGCTTAGAAGAGGCGTTGCGAATCTTCCCGCCAGTGCCCGTGGGGCTCCTGAGAATTGTGCCCGAAGGGGGCTCCATGATCGATGGACACTTCATCCCTGCCGGCGTAAGTATTAGAGAATGCTGATTGATATTCACGATGGAGCTGCGGCTCATTCTCGGCTATTTCCTGTGGCACTTTGAGGTCGAGTGCGTGGACGGGGCCCCCCTCTGGAATCCAGCCGACGAATACGCCGGCCTTCGCGCGTATAACACTTGGGAAAAGAGCCCGCTGATGGTCTATCTGCGTGATATCAGAAAATCAAACATAGAAAACGTTGAATAAGGAACCGACGACGTGCACGATGAAGTGGCTACCGGTGTGTCGGATTTTGCATGTGAAGTGATGATACAACTTGAGGGTGTTTGTGTTGAACTAGTAAGGTCTCAACCATTCCATGTCTTATCCTAACTGTCTGTGTTCTGTCTGAGAGTGTCCTTGGCTGTTTGTGCGCAGATTGGCCTGTGATCAGGAGGCCTCATCCAAGCCCTAGCATCGTTCTTGAGATCCTCCATCGTACTATAAGTGGTGTGTGAAAAGGGGCTAGTTCTGAATGTTCTGAGAGTTCTGGGGTCGTTCCTGTTCCAAAATCGACAGGAAGATCGCCAACAGTTTGGGAATGATGCGTCTGCATCTGCCTGGTATACCTTTATCAACGTCTCACACGAAGACATGGCACCCTCCAAGGTAGAATAATAGCATCTGCGATCACATCTCTTCCTTTTGCGCTGATTCACTCTTCTCTCACATGTGTTTACATTCGTACATCACCGTCACGCTTTGAGTACGAATGCGCGGAAAGTTGGTTCTCAATCTGGCCGTTAGAGACCGCAAACGATATCCGCGGATGAAATAGTAGCGGCTTTAGTCAGTCAGGGCGCATGTTGATATGGTAGCAAAGGTTACATAGGGAAGGCCTGCTTAGGTCGTGAGTGTCATGCCACAGTGTAGAATGTGAAGTACATTGAAAGTATAACTCCTCGCGCGGCAAGGACCATTGGATCCTTCGTAGATGCTAACTAGACACTAGGACTTCGGTTTGACGAACTGCTCTTCAGATCTTCCCTTTCTCCAGGAAGTGGTCGGGGATATCGACCCACTTTGCCCGTAGGTATTCGCACATATTCTTGCCCAAGGAATCGTAGCTGGCGGTCGAGTTGACGCCGCGATCCAAATGATCCTTAAGTAGGAAATGGACTGCACGAAGATGGGGCATCTCGAAACGATCAATCCTTCCCCCTTTGTCTTCTCCGTCCAAAAGTTCCTTGATCTTAGGGATGGTGAGCGTCGACCTCAACCAATCCCATTCCTCGTCGTCGCGGGCAAAGAATCCAACGTTACAGTCGGAGCTCTTGTCGCCAGATCTGCCGTGGACAACGTAGCCATGAGGGGCTCGGGTCGTCTTTTCCCACGTGTCCAAAGGCACTGGCGAGCTTGTCTCATAGGAGGGCTGCCGACGGGGATATATTTTCGTCACGGAGGGCGGGCTCACCTGAATGGTTCGTCCATCGAAAGTGTGGACGGCATGATCGACCTCAGTCTGAGGGAGTAAGGCGACCCAGTATCTATAGTCCAGTCAGTGACTTAGCAAACAGTGACGGGGGATAGAGAACGGGAGAAGAAGAGGAGCGTACTCAAAGAAGGGTTTCCCTACAGCTTGGCGCATATCCAAGGCGGGTGTGGATCCGGGGTACCCCATCAGACAATTCTCGACACACCAACGTGCGAAACAGGGCGTGTCTGGGGTCACACCAATCTGTGACCCAGCTGACATGATGTCTGGATTCCGACTCTGAGCGAAGATCCGGAGATCGACAGTGGCCTCATCTTGGTTTCGGGGATTGCCGGGCGACGAACCACTCACCGTGAAGGTGAGTGTGTCAAACTCTTTTCGATATTTCCCCACAGACGCAATTGTTTGAAGTTCAACCATCTTGCGCTTTTCTTCAATATCGAGCCCCGTGAGAAAGAAGTGAAATTCGGCTTGCCATCCGCCTCGGGCCGTGATGCCAACTTTGGTCGTCGGTGGTGGTGGATGCCCCAAGACATCGATGACGCGGACGCGCTCAGGTCCTTCTTGAATCATTTTGATATTGGTCAGCTCCGCAGTCACGTCGGAATTGTAGTAATATGGGCCTTGTATTTCATAGAGAAGTTGTGATAAGACACTGTTGACCGTGACAATCCCTCCAGTGTTGGCTTCTTTAGTAATGACAAACTCGCCGTTGGCTTCAATCTCGGCAATGGGAAAGCCAAAAGTTGGTGTAGTTGTTTGTTGCGAGAAGTTCTTTCTTGAAACCGGTGTAATATCCTCCAGTCACATACGTACTACATTCAATGAGATGGCCGGCAATCAAGGAGTGAGCAAGTTGGGAAAAGTCTTCGCGTCCCCAACTGTGCCACCACATGGCGGCACCGAGTGCCGGCGAAGCGTCTGAGACACGTCCACAGATGACAATGTCGGCGCCGTTCGCAAAAGCGACCGCTATGCCGCTCCCTCCCAGATAACATTGAGCGTAGACGGGCTCCAGTCCCCATTCTGCCAACGGCTGATCGGTCGGGAGCGACAGGAATTTTTCGCCCTCTGCAAGCAGGCGGGTGACCTTGTTGGTAACCTCGTCACCCGTCACCCAGGAGACCTTTAGCTTAGTACCTTTGTCATTGCAGATTTGCTGTACTCTCCTTGCCATTGCTTCGACGTCACTCGCTCCGGCGTTGACCGCAAGCCTTTTGTGATTCTTTGCGAGGTCACAGATGGCAGGCTCTAATGCCTCGATGAAAGTTACTTCGTATGATTCACCACCAGCAGAAGACAGCCCTGCCGGTCGATTCATTTTCTCAGATCCTCGGAACGTCATGTTCATCTCAGACATCCAGTCGCCGATAATGACATCGACAACAGGGTTTTTAGCCAGGTCTGCAATTGCCCTGACATGGTCAAAGACTCCCCCAGACGCTCCAGAAATCCGGATCGGGCGTTTGGCTGTCCCGTTGGGGGAGTCAGTTTGGATGTGGTCGTGTGTTCTATCTGGCGGCCCGCCCTGGACCTGATTTTGCATTCCATTAGTGAAGCTATTTGGAGCGGAGCTTTGTACGGTATGCGTCGTTGAAGCCATCGTGCATTTCTGGTCCAACTCTAGAGAAGTCCGCCGTTGAAGCTTTAGAGCTATTTATCAACCATAGCAGCGACGCTGGCCAGGCATTCAAACTCCCAACGGGAATTGATATCCATGTGTGCCGAGGTCGAGCGTCTACCATTGGCTGGTCGAAAATCCGTTTAGTCGGTAGGCTCTTCTTCGTTTCCGGTCACAGCGTGTCAAGTCTCGCCATAGTACGGCAACTCCGACTGAATTCCACGAGTGAGAATGAAGCTGTTGTCGTCCGCTTTCACAGTGTTTCAACGTAGGCGGGGTCCCAGGTGTGGGTTGAGCGTCGCTTCATAGGCGCAGGTGACTGTGACAAGACCCATGATCGCATTCTGAATAGTCTTGGCATCGCAACAGCTTGTCCTCACAACGGTGAAGTTGAAAAGAGCTTGCTCGCCCTAGACCAACATCAACTGCCTGGCATATACTGAGGCAAAATTGTACTTGAGCAAAGTAACAGTTGTGAACGTGGCCGAGGCACCAGTAGTCGCGCCAATAAAAGCGGCGGCCGGCTGCGACGAATATAGCTAGTCTGCAATGCATTTTTTAATACTGGCAACCTTCGGCCCGATATCGCGCGGGCTTTTCCAGTCCTTGGCAGCGGGCGAATATTTCAGACACCAGGCGGGGTCCATGTTCCCAATACAACTTGTGCAAGTATCAATATGCAACTCTGCTCGGGTGTGGATGCCATCTCCCCTCCGGCACCAGATCACTCCTTGAATAACACTGGAGATTTAGAAGATCGACTCCAAATTGCCGTGGAATCTGATCCCATGCCAGAGTTATGCGAATGTCTCAAATTGACAAATCGCCCCTTCGCCTGTTTAGAGATCTGTTGGAAGTCAGAATGACTATGACAGCCGTGGGATACTGATCACCTAGGCTACGCACGCTCCAGGGGATAGAATGAGACATTATTAAGTCGATACTAAATGAGGCTACGGTGAGGAGCATAGTATGGATCATAACTAACCTGCTCCAAACCCGGCTCATCTCTGAGGTCCAGTCTTTCTGGCTACGCAAAACTGCCGTTTTCACCACGCAGACGTTCTCACTAAGTTGACTGTTGTCAAACACAGGGTGCATCTACCGCCACTAGCGGCTAGAACACGACAGCCCTTCTTTTCGTTGCAGCTCGTGACTTCATTTCGACTATTTCGCCCAACTGTTCGAGCTTTCTACACTCCACCTGGGACTTGATGCAATGACGGACCGAGAAGTCAATGGCTCGCTTCATTCGTTGAGGTACGCCATAGCCAGGTACGCCATAGCCTTCACCTTTGATCCTGTACACTCCCAGCGCCATCTCAAGTGTGGAGAATGAGGCAGGCTCATGTGTGACACCGACGACTATCAGAAGGCCGGTAGGATTCAGGACCCGACACGGCTAAGATGTAAGCCAGTATAGCTGCACTATACACAGCAGCGGCATGGACACCACCATTGGTTAGTTCTTTGATCCTTTGTGCATATGCTGCGTCCGTCCTGGAGTTAAACACGAAATCCGCGCCTCGTTCTTTGCAGACCTGAAGAGTCAAATCATTGACGCCAATTGCAATAACTTTGGCTGACAGTGCCTTTGCAAACTGAGTAGCGAGCTGGCCGAGGCCACCCGCCTCAATTACTGCAAATCATTGCCCCGGTTGAACCGCGCAAGAGTCGACGGAATGGAAAGCTGAAGAATGTTTCTTTTAGCCAATACTTCCTTACTGCGGGATACTCCTGGAGGGGAACTGGAATAAGAGGGAAGCCACTTACCAGTCAGGCCCGCACAGAACAATGCCGAGCTCGACTTAGGGTCCCACTGATCGGGGAGATGAATTGCATTTTGCCAGTCGACCAGGGCATACTCGGCGAAGAAGCCAGGAAACGCAAATCCCACCACGAAGGGATTACCCCGTTGACAGAGGGTGTTATGGACCTGACAACCCTCGCACTCGAAGCAGGCCCCATTGGTGAATAAGAATCCTACCGTATCGGCCGGCACGAATCCCTTTCCTTCTGCATCCGGATGGACAGCTGCAAAATGGCCACAACCTTCATGACCGATCGTAATAGGCTCCGTTCGGGTAGGATCCCTAATGCCAACAGATCGGAATGACATAAGGATCCTGCAGACATCTTGATCGAGAGTTATCCAGGTCCAAGTTCTGGGATCACAATTTCATTCACAACAATTTTGCCCATCGTTGGGTTCCATTATCCAGCCTTCATCGTTCCGACAGCCATCTTATCCCCAGGGGAAGTTGAGATTCGATTACTGCCTTGCAGTAAAGTGTTGCAACTTGAATAACTGGAGACATTCTTCGAATTCCGGATGGAATAAAAAAACTGTTTAGTTTCGTTTAGTCTCTGCCGGAAAAGCGACGTATTCACGCAAGGTCGTTACCCACGCGTAGATGTGTGGAGGCAGTTCCGAGTGACCTCGGCCCAGGGACATCTCAGTTGATCTGATGTCCAGGTCCGACAGATCCACGGAATCGTTTAACCGCATGCCTCTCTTTTTCTCTCTGGCGGCCGATGCCCGCGTGGGCGTTTTCTAAGACAGATCGACGCAACAACATTCAGTCTTTGCAACACGCTGACAAGATGTCAGACTCACACTCGAGGTCATTCGGCGACAAGGACCGTTGGGCTGAACCGGCCTGGTACAACGCTCTTGACTCGCCTTACTACAATGATAGTCACCGAGCACTACGAGAATATGTGAGGTCGTATATCGACACCCGCGTCTTGCCATTTGCAGACAAATGGGGGGAGAAAGGTGAGGTCCCTCGGGAGGTTTGGCCGACTCTGGAACGCTGACCCTTGCGTACACCTTTCTAACACCGGCCACGCAGGAGACGACCAAATTTGCCATGGCAGGGCTAGCATTCCCCGAGATCCCCAAAGAGCATCGACCTGGCATCCAACTCCCGGTCGGTGTTGGGATAACGGTCAGTCAGCTGGGGTTTCTCCCTCCATAGTTCTCCGAGCTCATCTAAGCCCAGAATGGGATATATCCATCTTATGATATTGCACGGCGAAACGGCAAGGGTGCATGTCGGCGCCACGGCCGGTCTTGCGCGCAGTTCCACAATAGGTGCACCGCCGATCGTCGAATTTGGAACGGCGGAGCAGAAGGGGCGCTGGCTTCCTTGAATCTTCACTGGAGAATCGAGCCACTGCTAGGGGCGACCGAGAAAACCGGTAAACGAGATTTCCGAACTTGATTGATGGCTTGATGATGGCGTTGAAATTTTTCAAGGCGGCCCTGACCTAGTGAATCTCAAAGAAGGAGGGGCCCTGGCAGCGACTACCTAGATCACTCGGAAACTAAAAACCTATAGTAATCTATCAACATTGACGAAAGCAACCAGCAAGTCACCAAACCCCCGGGCGGGCAGATTCATCCTCAGACAACTTTCGCCCGCCTGCCTTTCTATCATACCGAGTTTCCGCTTCCAATTGCCCTCCAGTCCAGCCAACTGTCCCGCGAATACCCCTTGTTCCAAGGTCGTGGCGTATGTACAGGCGACGATGACCTAGGCCCTCCTCTTAGGCAGCAGACATTAGATCTCCGGAAGTCCAGGATCTTGGACAGATATAGGAAAGCCGTATGAAATGGAACACAAGATCCATGCTCTGGTAGATTGGCCTCAAGGACCCATGTAATTTATTAGTATTTGGCTTGTTTGCATTCGGTATGATGACATCTTCCGTAATAATTGAGTCGGTAACGGGCATATCGGAGATTGTCCATGGTTCCAATAATTCTTGCCTGCATACCTGGCGAAGACTAGGATGGTTTACTCTATTGTTATAGAAGCAAGTGAAGATCCTATAGCCAACGATGACGTCTGCGGTATCGTCGAAAAAGCTAGCACTCGGAGTCGTCATAGTTACAACTTCAATGACAAGGAGAAAGACTGTACTATCTCCCACGTCGAATGAAAACCCACCCCGAAACTTGCCGGTGTTCAGGAGTTCCGATGGCGTCTGAGTCATAAAGAGCATTGAGCGAGGATAGTCGTAACGGCCTTGGATTGGGGAAGCGTTGAGTAGAGTGACCCCTATATCTGGGAGTTGAATAAAAAATGCGCAGGGTGTTGTTGATAGTACACCCCAGCTGGGAAGCGGGAGTGGTACTCGTACTCCGCCTTCTTTGACCATAAAGATTGTGGTATCTCTGCTTATCCGGTCTTCATTTACCTTAGATAAGGGGTCAGGCTGGACTCGCACATCATCATTACTGGCTGTCCAAGCAAGCAGAATGGCGTCGAACATGTTTTCGTCGTCGCCGGATTCAGACGACTGACAGTTAAGCGGGAGAAACAAAAAGCTACCACCGCCCGATGAGAGGGAGAGACCGTGTTGCTCTTCCATCTCCCTTGTGAGGCATATTGTCGTCTTGGTCTGTAGTCCCCTGGCCATAATATCGATATCAGTAGCGATCGTGGTGTATAGGGGGACCAGATCTCTTGGCGAAGCAAATGCTTGAGGGGATGCGGCGAACATCCTCGTGATGGGAGAAAGCCTGATGTGTCTCGATCTCGCCACACAAATATCGTTCGGGCCCCGGTCCTTCTGTAGGTAGAATTGGAACTCAGCCTCGCCAGTCAAGGATTCAGTCAGCCTGACTGGAGCCCAGTACAATAGATGTCTCGATCCTGGAGGCCGTTTGTAAAGACATTCAATGCTCAAGCAGAGGGCTGATTCAATTGAAAACATCGATAGTCATAGTCATAACGTAGGGTACATAACAACTTGACTTGCCGTTCATTGTTTGCTGTGTGCAGTGCTCCACAGAGGCCTGTGCGCCTTGATCTCCCTCGGACGAAAAACTGCTGGATCCCTCTGTCGGGTACGGGTACGCGGATACCCCATTCATTCTAATCCAACGAGCCGTGACACCTTCAACACACAACTGCCGTCCCGCTCTAGGGTATCTCGCTTTCTGTCACAATCATTCATTGTACATCATCACCTCGCAGGCCACAAGCTCGAACCTTGGGCTTTGTCCTAATACTCATGCCGTAGCAGTGGAGTATTTCCAGCCCTGCATATCGTTCTCTAGACTGCGGTTCAAAGTGTTGACGTATTCAACCAATCCACCGGACCTGCAGGATTGTTAACGGATCTCTCACACCGGGAAGCGGACAGGATGGAGGAATCGCTTACCAGTTCAGGGGTTCGACTTTGCGGCCGGGGATGTTCGCGCCCTGGTACCAACTCTTGGCTAAGGGGAACAGAGTCGCATTCCATTTCTCATTCATCCTCTTGCACCAGTCTTCCTCTGACTCTGGTGTGGCTTCAAGCCTGGTTATGCCCTTGTCCTGAATCATCTTGAACGTCTTCTCAACCCACTCGGCTTGGAATTGCGTGCACGTAGGGCCTGAGCTAAAGGCCGTGGGTGCCTGGGGTCCGTACAAGAAGAACATATTGGGAAATTCGGGCATGGCGATCCCCATGGCGGTCTTGGTGCCGTCTTTCCAGTGGTCGGCAATTGTGCCACCCTTGGTGCCTTGGATATTGAGTTGAGCCAGCGAACCCGTGACCGAGTCGAAGCCGGTGGCCAGGATGATGACGTCCACCTCGACCAGCCCCTGTTTGGTTCTGAGACCAGTGGCCGTGACTTCTTCAATTGGGTTCTCATTAACATCGATGATCTTCACATTGGGTTGATCAACCACTTCGTAGAACCTCTGTTCAAGGGATGGGCGTTTGGTGCCCCACGGATGGGGTGCGACCTCGGGGGCCAAAAGTCTTTGCTTCTCGGGGTCCTTGACGCGTTTCAAGACCTGCTGGCGCCAGAAATTGTAAGCGGGTTCATTGGCTTTGAGGTCGAACAGCATGTCCTTGTATGTCGCAAGCCAGAACTTGAAACCACCCTCCTCAACCATGAGGTTGTGGTAGACCTTTTCACGCTCTTCAGCCGTGTCATCAAAGGTGTTTTTCTCCATAAAGTCATAGCTAAAGCCGGCAAAAGTGTCGCGGGTCTTCTCCATCTCCGTCTCATACCAGCCATTTTTCTTTTTCTCCTCCTCTTCTTGAGGGTCGAGCATGCGCTGGTTCATCGGCAGGCACAAATTAGGTGTTCTCTGGTAAACGGTCAACTCCTTCACGACTGGACCAATCTCCTGAATGACTTGGATTCCAGAGGCACCGGTGCCGATTTCAGCGACGCGCTTGCCCTTCAAATTTACACCGTGCTGGGGCCACACGGCAGTATGGTAGATATCGCCCTTGAAGTTACCGAGACCGGGGAACGGAGGCGTATATCTTTTGCTGGCGAACCCGATGCAGGGGATGAACCACTTGGCATAGATTTCGGTTCCGTCCGCGCACTCAACCAACCACTGTTGGCGACCTTCATCAAAGATAGCGCTGTCCACGTTCTTGTTGAAAGAGGTGTAGTCACGAATATTCCACTTCTTCTCGACGTGTTTGAAGTAGCGACGAAGATCCTGCCATCCCGGGTATCGCTCCTTGAAGGTGAAATCTTCCCATAGTTCCTTATCAAACAGCTGGTAGATGGGCGTATCGGTATCCACACGGGCACCGGGATAGCAGTTCCAGTACCAAATACCGCCACTGGCCCCTCCCTTCTCAAAGATGCGAACACTGTAGCCGAGATTTCGCAGGCTTGCCAGTAACGGTCAGCTCCATGCTCATGACGTACAACGGATCGCATCTCTTACCGGTTCAGCAAAGTGAAAGAGGCAAAGCCAGCTCCAACGAGCAGGACATCGACCTGCTCAATCTGATGTGAGCCCATGGTTGTTAGGCGGTTGAGGCAAGGGTTGTGTCGGATGGGTAGAAGAAGCGATCGAGTTCAGCACAAACAGATGAAGAGAATTGGTAGCACAGCATCTGCGGGCGATGACCGTATGCTATTTGTATCGCTTGTTGACATAGAACCCCGCGTCCCGTGCCATTCCCCCAATATCCCCAGACGGATATGATGTGAGTCGATCAGCATCCCGGATCCAAGCTCCAATGAAGCTCCAACAGTGAGGGGTTACAAGCGGGCTAAAGGAGTGGCGGACATGAAACCGGATTAGAAATAGTCATAGAAGCTCTGGGAACGCAAGCAGAATCGTAAAGCCTACAGTTGATGAATCGGGTGGAAGGCCCTTCAGAAGGTGTTGATTCGCGTGATGCAAGACCCCTCGGCGGAGACAGACTCCGGCCAAAGTAGTGGAATCGCCGTGAATGGCTGAGATGTTCTAGTCTGGTGCTGCAGGAGTCTGGGATGTGTGGGGGGAGGAGGAGCTTTGTGTGAATTGGTCGACATGGTGTGGGCACCATGGCCATTTCTCGTAACGAGGATGAGGGATTCAGGTCGACAACCGAGATGGAGGGTCACTGAAGGATCTGTAGGGCCTAGATGTATCTGTAGTGGCAGAACTAGGGTGGTACTTGGTCTAGCTGTGCATTGTTGGAGATAGACGAGCTGATGGAACAGGCTCACTAGCAGTCCCAAAGCAGTGGCTCCAAATTGACTGGTTGAGTTGCGGGGGAAGCTGAGAGGGCGTATTATGACGCAGACCATTTGATTCCGAGAAAACGACGAGCAATATTCCGACGTGGGGGAGATGAGCGATTGAAAGAGTGAAAGGCTGAAACCTGAGGTGCGTGCCAGATGGTGGAGGTGTTTGATGGAGTGGGCGCAGTCTCCCCAGTCTCTTCGACTTCACCTCTGCTTCTATCTCGCACCACCACCACCTGCCACCACTGCTCCGTACCCGTCAACACCAGCTACTTAGCTACCTACCGGACCTCTTCGAACCGATCGTTCTGTGTCATATGCACAAGACCGGATCCGCTCCAGATGCTCTTGTGCTCGTATCCCCCCGCAACGCCATGCAGAAATCATAAGCACTTCTGCACCGTCCATGCCGAGGTCGATCAAGCTTGACAAACTCAAAAACCTCCAGATCGGCGAAATTTCTGCAAACGCCCCGGAGAAACGGAATGCTAGAGAAACTAGCTGGCTAGGTATGCAAGAGTGTGAATGCAGCTTTCCGAGATGGGCGCTATCAGAATACTATCTGGAAGCCGGGCAGACATGCCCAACATGTTTTGCTGCTGGCGGTTCTGTTTTTAAAACAGCGACTTCGTCGACGCGACGTTGTAAACGCCATGGGAGACGCCGCCGAAAATCGCCGCCCCGCAAAGGTCCAAGGCGTTTTCATTTCCAACTACGGCCAACGCCCCAATCGACAGATAGCCTCGTCGCACATGCAGGCATGATCCAGAACGCCCGGCTTTCAATCCTGGGACACTGTTCACTCACTGACTGCGCCGTCTTCCTCTCGCCGTTTCTGCCGTCTGAGGTCGCTGGTGTAATGCTTCGCATTCTCCGTCTGCTTTGTGTCGGAATGCAGACTTTCTTCCAGCCGCTGGAAGAGTCGTTCCAGCAACCACTCAGCTTCTTCCTTGTCACCCATTAATGGACTCTGTGGGTCGATCCAACTCCATTTGGCAACCTGGGTATCTTTGTCTGCCTGGTGGTCTTTCTCAGCCTCTCGAGCTTCATTTCCCTTGCCACCGTGGGCGGGAGCTCGTCGGTGGTATGATGCATCTGCTTCATCCTCACCCAGCAACTTGAAAAAGTCTTGCCACTCCTCATAGCTGTACTTCTTGGGCGTTGCTGCTGAAGCGTCCGCATACACCTTTCGAATCTGAGAGAGCAGCACATGGCGATAGTGGTGGGCATCTGTTTACACCGAGGTCAGCAATTTGAACTATGCAGTGAATATGGAAGGCTTTTACCTTCTTGCCACCGGTCCCCCTTGTCCCTAGCATCAGACTCGTCGCGTTTCTCCTCCTCCTCAAAGTCGGCAGCCAGACGATCTTTGGTCTTCTTGTCGTTTTCACCTGCATTTTGCTTCTGGCGACTATTGCGGAACAGCCGTGCAAGGCCGGGATGCAGCTCCTGGTACCCGGATTCACTCCCGGTGTCCGATCCCCTTTCCACATCTCGAGACCCGGGGTTTCGAGGATCCAGCTGTCCAAGAGTGGCCTTGTAGACGCCGTGCTTGAGCCGATTTGATATGGTATCCTCACTGCTGGGAAGCACAGTGATCTCCCCCAGCCAGATAGTGACGTCTTTGACGGCTTTGACCACGGTATCTCCCATGTCAGAGATGAGAATTGTCAAGGTAGGGACGGCTAGCAGAGTCCAGAAGACAAAAAAAGGCTTGCCACTGTTACTCATCGGTTGGAAATCCCCATAGCCGATGGTCAAAAGCGTGGTGTACGAAAAGTAGAGTGAACCGAAATACGTCCAGTCCTGGTTCTTTTCTGCGTGTTCAAATACCAATGCCCCAATGGTCCACTACCCATAGTTAGCGCGTTCCAGCAGGAAAGAAGTGTCACACCTACCAAGGAAGCAAACGCAAACGTCGATACAAGCAGGCTCATGTACTTGCGCTCAGTAGCAGCCCACTCCTGGACTTTTCGCATCGCCTCGAACTCGGCTTGTCTCCTCTCCAGCTCGGATATTTCGCCATCCCCTGGGTCCACAGTCAACGCTTTCGTGGTGTTTTTTTCGAGACCCAGCGCACCCTTGCGTCTCAAGAGGCCCTTCTTCGTACTAATCTTCTCAATCTCTTTGATCAATCGCAGTCGCGTCTTCTCCGTTAACCGTGCTGCCATCTTCTTTTTCCCTCTCTCAAGAATCAATGACCGAATCGATCCGACCACCAAACCCAGGATGATAATGCCGCCCATCGCAAAGGGAAATAACAGTCCTCTGCCTAAATGAGTCTTAGGCGTATAATCATCCCCAATCCCAATCGTCAGAGAAGTAAATTCAGCCCAATATACCGCATCCAAAAATTTCCATCCCTCAATGTGTGAATACACCAGCGCCCCCAATAGTTGATACACCAAGAACAAAATTGTCTGCAACATCAACGTTCTTTGCGCCACGGTAAGTTTGAACTCTTTACTGTAATGCCCTTTGTACGCCCCATACACCGTAAAACACATCAAGTACGAAATAACCTGATACAGTCCCGCAGCGAAGATGGCATAGTAATATGCCTGCGAGAGGGCCTGGTTTTTGACACCAGGAGCGTCAAAGTTGAAAGAGGCGTTAGCGATCAGGCCGATCAGGAGCACTGAGGCGATCCAAAAGCCGAGTATTGTAATAGGTTGGGCGATTTGAAAGGGAACACGGCGCGCCATGTTGAGGAGGAGAGACACATTGGCGATCAGGGCAAAGGCCAGGGAGACGGCGTTGACAGCGATAAGCCTGTATCATATCTTGCTTAGCATTCTCCCGTATCTGCCACCCTTGGTTTTCTTTGACAATATGCTGTCCTGGGCCGCATAGTGCGAGCATAACCTACCAATCAGGGTCTTTGATGTCAATCCCATGCTCCTCTGTCCCTCCCGGAGGAATCTCAACCCGCCAATTCTCCACCAGCGCACAAATACTGAACGCATTCGCCATAGGCCCAAACGTGCCCGCCACAAGGGGAATACCCGTGGAGGCGTACCACCATCTCGCTGGCATAAGAAAGTTCCGCTCTTGCTCCTCTTCAGACATTTTGTCGTACATCTCTTCCGGGGACTTGTCTCGTTGCTGAGAAGGTGATGAGGTCTGGGCATTATGATGGGATGTGGGAGGATGGTCTTCGACATTTTCCTTGAGGATGGCAGAGGCATCGGCTATGGGTTCGTCAAGCCCGGGGTCGTTCATCCTGGGAGATTACCAGGGGGAGGTAATGATCAAGGAGAATGGCAATAGGAGTCGAAAATACAGAAGATGTTGGAGGAAGAGAGGAGGGGTACAAGAGTCGCAAAATTGTCAAGGCATTCTTTGTTGGTGCTTCATGGTACTGTACTCGCTCTGCCCAAGCCTAAACTATATGCAAGGGATTGAACGGAGACGGGGACGTAGCGGTGCGAACAGCTGTTGTGTCAGGGAGGAGTAATAAACGAGGAGAGAGGGTAAAAACACCATTCAGCCTACATGGAATTGTTTGGAGTCAGACTGCGTCTTCCTTGGAAAAGAGATGGTGGCTTGCTTTACCATGTGGAGGAGGATGCATCGATCGCGATTGACGACACGACCAAGTTCAGGTCGATGAATCTGGGGGCGCATATGACGTCGTAGGAGCTGCGAGGACCACTTGGTGGCTTACCAAGTACACGGCACTGTGGCGTCAGTGGCTCCCCTACTCCTGCCCAGGCGAATCAAAGCTTCGACGTCTCCCCGCCCGGCGCGGGCGCCTTGGTCAATTCCGGCCTCCACATGTCGGCCTTGGCAAGTCTAACTTCACTGAAAAAGCCTGGCCGGGGGTGGCATTTAGGTGAGGGGCCCCCAGCACACTTGGCTTGCAGGAAGTTTGTGTCGATAATGAGACGTACCCTCAGCTACGGCCCCCAACCCATTATCCTCCCCGCCTGGTATTGTAGCACACTGTCGTCAATATGCGGGGAGTTTGCACTAGGAGGCATCAAGTGTAGATGTTGGCCCCTCCAGTTCGGCCTTCGACGAATGGGAAATGTTGTCTGGGCTCGTCTCTCATTTTCGTCTCTCTTTGACCTTGTCGGTGTGTCGCAACACCCCTAGCTCCCAAGTTTGTCGCCATGTCTCCAGTAAGTCTTCACTCCAGAAGAACTTCGCGACTGACTTCTTGACCCACTTCCAATTCCTGGCGCTGGTTGAACTCTCGAGTATCCTATCTAGAAGTATAGTTCTTGGGGTTTGCGGCTGGCCTGTACCGAGTGCCGTCGCCTTGCCCGCGGCTCCCTCAGCACGTGGAAATACGGGGCCTGCTATGACCAACGCCATCCATGTAGCACATTCGGGCGGCAAATCCCGGAGGTTATATCGACAAAGCATTTCCGACAGTGATTCGATCAAACGTCGGTGGACTGGGTTCTGCTGCTTCGATTTGTTGAAGGTCTCCGTCGTGATGGCCGCGAGGGCAGAACAGAGAACCCTCTCAAACGTGTTCAGCCCGCGAAGAGGCACCAATTCGAGACACACGTGTGTCTGCTTCAGGTACGTGCCATTTGGATCTCCCAGTGGCAGCACCCCTTTCTTTCGCGGGCTTTGCAGTTGATCGACCCATTCTGATATGCCTGATAACAGGGTAATGATGTGGACACAGAGACGACCGGACAAGGCGACTTCCCGAAATCCGTCGGGAAGCTTGGCAATCAAGGCGCAGAGGTCCGGAGGAAATGGATGGCTCGGATACTGGAGCTTGATGCTGGCCTCGGTCGTAGAAATAATAAGTTTCTTGTTTTCGTGGTACGCCCAGAGAGACTCGAGGCTGATAACTGTCAGTCAACTTTGTCAAGACACAACCCCTAGGCCCCAATCTCATCCCGGACTTACCCAGTGATGGCGTTCTTCAAGAAGCCGTCCCATCCCAAATAATCAACCCCTCCTCGCATTTCAACAAGGTGGCGTAGGCCAATTAAATGCGTCTCGAACGAAGCAAAATCATTGTAAATCAACTTGACGGGTGTTAGTGAGAACCTCTTCTGCGACGGGAGATGAGCGGACATACTGCAATACCCAGCAGCGCCATGACAGCCAAGATTGTAGCGTCGTCGTCGCAGGCCGAGCTCCGCGCCATTTTCAGACGCAGAGCTTCGACTCCTTTGCCATAGTGAACCAAAACTTCCCTCGTGGGTCCCCGAGCATTTCCTTGGCGGGCTTCATATGAGGCTTGGGCAAGCGCCACCATGAGTTCAAACATGGATGCATTCTCCAGCGCGAGACCAAAGTACCTTCGTGACAGCGGCAAGCTATCCCCCGGACCTAACTGCTCCTTTCTCAGATTGATATGGACCGGCGCATAGTGCTGGAGGACTTTGTGCAATGCGAGAGTTAGCGGCCATCCCGCAACAGAATATTCAACCAAACTCACAGTAGTCGACAGCGGAAAGGACACCCCCATCCGCTGATATTGGAAAAGCGCAGAATGGGTCGCCGCGCAACCCACCAGATGTCACGGTCAATCTCGGTGACGGCGTGAGGGCCGTCGCCGTGGCATTAGAGTCGATGCCAGCCTTGGTCGAGCCGAGCAATGGATCAAGACGATGCCTCGGATCAGTATCAACTTCTTGGGACGTCGATAAGATGTGGTCGCGGCGTTTGCCAATATTCGCTTTGGCCCTTTTGATGGCTTGATTATGTATTCGATTGCGTTGTCGGGGATTTGGCTGATTTACGAAGACCGAGAATGGAGACACATCTGTGGCGAGCCTCTTCGTATTCGGGTTCGGGTTGGTTGGCTGCATGAGAGACGGAGGGGGGGGATGACTGTTCACTGTCTGGAGCAATGACAGTCCGCTGGTCCATAGCGGCTGCTGCTGACTGTCATAGAAAGGACCATGAAAGATGAACCGGAAGAGTAATTTGTGAAGGCGAAAAGGATGAAAGCTGATCAAATTCTTCTTGAGTGTCAGCCCTATCTGTACATAGTGCCGGCCCAAGCCCGGCCCTTTGTCAGCTTTCGGGCTGTGGAGCGCTTTGTGGGATTGGTCCTGCACATCTCGCTTGAGTTGAAAGAGAGTCACCTAGGCACCTAACACTAGGAGTTACGGGACTTGGACCAAAGACGAGGCGACGGTCCTATCTTAAATCCAATGTCGCCATCACGTGTGATGGATGTGACGCGACCCTGAACAGAAGGCATTAGCTATACTACTCTCTACAAGTAACATATTGCCCATTCAGTTTGATGAATTGAGTCGCGCACAGGCGGAGAAAAGATCCCAAAGCTAGCAGGGGAGGGCTGGCCATCAACAACGCGGCAAAAAGGTACCTAGTGGGATCGAGGAGCGATGAATGTCACGATCGAGGGAGCGATTGGACCGTTATCGAGAATGAGATTGGAGACTAAGGTTTGACTGTCCAAGGCATTGAACGGTAGACTGAGGTCAGTATTGGCAATGTAGACAGCCTTCTCAGTATTTACAACTCAACAACTGACCTCGTCGCTGCTGCGGACCGGAAAAAAAGAATTTCCGGCGGACAGGATGCAAGGCAATCATCCGTTACCAGCACCATCACCATCATTGTACAAGTATTGTCCATAAGTACAATATCCAGCTAGCCGGGTATGTAAGTACTTGAGTACATAGGTAGGTATGTACTCGGTATGTACTCCGTACATGGTCCTTGATCTAAGTGATCTGAGTGGGTGGGCTGCTATCTCCAGATACTACTCCACCGTGGTAGTGGGCAAGTAGTGGGATAGATTGTCTCGTTGCCCTGTACGGAGTTCCATCCACCGCGTTGTAACTGGCTCAGGCACACCTAAAACTCCGGCAGCCCAGGCCTGAGACGGTAAGAATTGACGGACATGAGCCCAGGTTCCAGAAGATCCCTTGTGAACCCACCCGCCCTGGGGCTTCTAGGCGGCCCAGGGCCCAATCTCGTGCTCTCCCACTCGCGCTCCACCTTAAGCGGCCCTTAATCCAGGCTAGTGCCACCAAGGCTTGAACGATTGCTGCCCCCCGGTAGCCAGTGACCACCGCGCTCAGACCTAATATCCCCACCTGCCCGGTGCCCACCCACTCCAAGTTCCCTCCAAGAAACGTGCATGCGCATCTGCATCTGCGTCTGCACCTGCCCGGTTTCTCGTTGGTGATGCGACGACTGCGCCTCAAACACTTCCTGTCCTACGACTACGAGGTACACTTTTACGCAGTTACACCTTCCTCACTCCACACCAACTCGCTCGTTGACCATCTACTATCTACTACTATTTCGTTGCCTCTTCTTCGTTTCCCATTATTCCGCTGTTCAATTCGATAATATCGGTGCACTGGGGGTTGTCTTCCTTCCGCTCGCTGCAATCCACCGCCACCGTCAACCTCTATGCGTACCTCTCTTCCCACCCGTCGTTGCGCTTTTGCGCCGTTGATCTTCTGAAAGACAAAAAGACAGCTGCAGCATCCCACCCGAATTCCCATTCCGCACCATGCTGAGGCCCGCCACTCCTCTGACTGTTTTGCTGCTCATATCTTTCGTTTTCCTCCTGCTATCGGTTCTGTCCACGCCCGTCATCCATAGCATCCCCATCGCAACCTATCAAGGAGTTAATTTTGGCGTCTTCGGCTACTGCACACCATCAAAATGCAGTGGCATCAGAGTGGGATATACAACTGGTAACAAACAACATGACGGATGCCGCCTTGTTGAAACACGAGTGTCACTGACTTCTGTTCTAAGATGGCCTCTTCCCCACCGGACAAACAGACTTCAACCTTCCCTCTTCGGCCAGACACTCGTTGTCTTCTCTCCTCATCGTCCACCCTGTCGCCGCCTTTTGTAACCTGGTCTGCCTGGCACTGGCAGCTGCTGCTCACCTACACTCTCCCTCTCATTCGGCGCGCTATCTTCTAGGCCTCCTCATTCTGCTGCTGCCAACCCTGCTCGTCACTTTACTGGCTTTCCTGGTCGACATACTGCTCTTTGTGCCGCATTTACAATGGGCCGGATGGATTGTCCTTGCTTCCACCATTCTCATAGCCGCTTCGGGTGTCGTGACATGTGCTATGAGGCGAACCCTTGTCTCTCGGAAGGCGCGTAAGAAGAGAATTGCCGAGAATGCTGAAATGAGTGGGGAGAATTTCTACAATCGACAAGCACAAGAGTCGAAGATGGTCGCGGAAACATTCACCGCGGAGCCTACTATGCCTATGGTTAATGGCTCTCCGGGTGCAGATAGGCTGCCCACCTTTGCAACCTTTGATGCGAGCCAAAAGTCCGACGAAGAACGCCAACCCCTCAGGGCGCAAGCTCTGTCCAACGAACCCACTCTGGTGACCCCTTCTCGCGATGGTGCGTCAGATCGATACTATGGGCCTCCATCTAGGTCTAGCAGTCGACCACCTTACAACGGACCACGAGATCAACTCGGAAATCCTCCTCCCCCGCCGCCGCCCGGTCCGGACGCAGCCATGGTACCTGGACAAGGCAGAAGATCTGGCGACGAACCTACTCCCCCTAGTCCTTACCGTGATCGCAGTTTGCCACCGCCGGGCGGTCGAGGCTATCCACCGCGCGGCAGAGGTAATTATCCGCCGCGGGGTGGCTATCCTCCTCGAGCAGGTGGTTTTGGCCCCAGAGCACCGCCTCCCCCACAAGGCTATCCTGGCAGAGGTGGATTTTCGACTGACATGAGAGGAGGATACGGAGGGCGTGGTAGAGGTGGATTTCCCCCAGGGGCTCCCGGTGGCTCGGGCATGGCTGTTGGAGCTATGATGGGTGGCGGACCACGACGACCACCCCCAGGATATCCGCCCAGTGGAGCTGATAGTACCTCAGAGAGATACACTCCGCCGGACGAATATCCAGTGACAATGGGTCCGCCGCTACCTATGGGACCATCGCAACAGTACATCGAAGACAATGATCAGAGGTATGATCTGAGAAGTCCTTCGGTCTACACTCAAGGAGGTGAGGAACTTCAAGGTCAATACGGAGCAAGTGCGCAGTCTCCTGGAAGGGAAAGGACGTCACCTTATGGCAGTCGTTTCCAATCCCCTTCGGGTGCTCTCCGTCGACCATCCCCGCCTCCGGCGATGCCTCCACTGCCAACGACTCAGCCCGTGGAGATGGCTGGCACTTCGATACGTGACTTCAACCCCCGGCGGTCGCAGAGTCAAGACCCGTGAGTCAAATCGCTCCCCCCATGGGACAAGGAGATTAATTATGCTAATTGATTCAGCTATGTACCTGCGAGGGCTAACTGGAACAATATGTCGGTTGATGATATGGGGCACCCGAGGTCACCTGGAAGACATGGTCAATCTCCTGTTGAGCTCCCTACAAGTGGGAGTCACGTAGGAGGTTATAACGGCCAGCCGCGTAGGCCCCGCGTCAACTCTGGCGGGAGTGATGTTTACTACGAGGATGTTGACCCACGGTTTGCTTCTGATCCAGAACCGCCAATGCCGCAACACCTTCGGGTAGAAGAACGGAGCCGGAGACCACCTCCTCTTCTCACTCCTGGTCCACCCGGCCATTACCGACCCGACTCATACAATGAGATCCCCCCAACAAACTCGTACGAGGAACTGCCTGGTGCCCGATCTCCGGCGGAAAGCGAGAACAGCAACTTTACGTCTGTCAGTCAGCGTGGGATAAATCCCAATTGGAGGCCTGGTAATGGCGGAGAGTTCAACTCACTGGGTCCCGCGAGGAGGCGGGATCACCAGACGAGGCAAGACATGCTACTGGCAGGTAATCCAGACTTTGAGCTGCCCGGTGCGATGGGACCTCCGCGACTTCTGATGCGAGGGCGTGGCGGAAGCTCTGCCATGAGAGGCGGGATGATGAGGGGAGGACCAGCTCGTATCCCACCAGCAAGCGCCGTGGGCGGAAGTGGCGATGGCCCCTATCCCACCCCCATGGGACCACCGCTACCTGGAGGCCCGATGGGACCGCCCGGGCCCGGACCCGGACCTGGAATCGCACCGGGACCAGGGATGGGAATGGGAGGGACGAGGGAGATATGAAGGATATGCACGAAAACAAAAGCTTAGCTTACGTACAGTCCCGTCTAATAATGTCTGATATGCGGACTGGGTATTGTGAAACAAATGGAACGATTTGATGATTATGAATCAGCGAAGAAAAGCCAGGACTTGTGATATCTTGTACAGTTGCCGTTACAGTTTGCCGAAGAATGGCCGTTGAACCGTCTAAACTGGGAATGTAAGCACGAGGGACAGACGAATACGAACTGGACTGATGACTACTCCTGTACTCCCTACTGTTACTCCCGATATACCAGTTTTACATTATCACTATTACTCTTTTGCTGTCACTGGTGCTGTTATGAGGAGTGCTATTGATGACGACGAATATCGTTTTGAGCGATGAAGCTACGAACTTTACAAGACTATCAAGTTTTCGCACGAAACTACTGCACGAGGCTGCAAGGCTGCAAGGCTACGGGGTTACGCACAAGGCTACGCACGAGGCTGAGCCGCCAAACCCATATACCAAGTATGTCAATGCCCTTGGGGCCTACTTACTCACTTGTACACTTGTAAACTTGTACATTCGTACGCCGGATAGTTTATTTTGGTTTAGTTTGGTGTAGCTTAGTAATAGCATAGTCTGTATGCGGTGGAGAGAAGTCGGGACATTGACCATGCTGTAGCGCTCCGTTGTTGAGTGCCGGACACGCACACTATATTCATTAGGTAGATACATATGTACGGAATATGCAGATATCTATTTAGGTTTAATTGATTCAGTGCTTGCTAATTACAGAGTACAGAGTCATGTATGGCTCTGATATTCGTTTGCGTTATATCATGATCCTACCATCCTGCGTCCTTCCACCAAATAATCCGAGGATGTTGGAGCCACTCCCAGTCCCACTTCCTCCGCCGTTGTTGTCGTTGCCGTCTCCTTCACCACTGCCTGATCCGCCTAGCCACTTCGGCCGCTTGAATCCGCCGCCACTTCCACCTCGACTCGGCGAAGCTTGCATCCACTTGGGTGTTTCGATTGTATCAATCGTGTTCTTCACCCTTCTACCGAACAACGTGAAGAAATTCTCCTCGTCGGGCTCAGGTTCCAAAGTAGGTCGATCTCTGAGTCTGCCCGATGTTGGGTTGCGCGTCGTATTTGACGAGGCGGTGGTGTTGCTGCCAGCGCCGGCTCGATCAGCAGGAGGCACCCACCTGGTTGGTGCCGCACGAGGCCTGTCCAGGGACGTGCGCGGTGAATCTGTAATGCCCAACGTAGCGGTTGGTCGATTTCCCTGAAGGTCTCGCGCAATGAGATCCCGTCCTTCGCGCCAACCGCCTGTCCCAAAACCGGACGGGTTCTCGTCCTCGGCTTCGTCGATTTCCAATATGCCAAAGCCTAGTACATTCTTGATCTTGCCATACAGATTAAATAATGTCATAATCACCGGAAGAAGGATGAACATAGGAAACAGGTAGTCGAACCAAGTCCCTAACGGCGTGAGATTGATCAACCTGCCCAAGAAGTCATAGAACGTCGAATTCCGGTGAATATCCTTGGGCAGGAAAGTAAGAAAATTGTACGCTATTGGTACCGTCAATTTTGCAATTTGTCCGGCGTACCAGCACGCGGATTCAGCGTAGGTGTTCCTCCTGACCAGGGCTCGCTGATTCCATGTAGGAACGTCGTTCATACTGCTCAGTGCGCAAATGCACATATATGTGATCCACGTGGAGGCAACGAGTTGCCCGCCAAAGCCGATCTGATAGTTCTTGTCCCTCGGGTGGTGGATGACTGTAAGACTGACGGCCGAGAGATGTGGGGCGGGGAATTTAATAATTTCAGACCAGATGATGGCGATGGAGGCGAGGGAGAGGACGGCTCCAAGAGCTATTCTAACAGCGGGAATGATGTGGACGTATAGATGGTAGCGCAATGACGGGGTGATGAGAGACCGCTTGAGCGAGGGTGACGTGGAGCGGCCAAAATCCAGTTTCCGAGAGGCCTTTGAGTCGAGGATAGCCTGCAGATCTGAGGCGGTCTGGACAATGTTGTCCCATTCGCGGATATATCTAGCTCGTCGGTGCTTAGCTCGCACTAATCGTCGAGTCAAGTCCGCCAAGTATCGGTCGGTAATAACTGCGGGCACTTTGGCAGAGGCATCGATGGTGGTGACATTAGAAAAGACGCGGCTCTCAGGCTGGCCAGTCATGTCGACCAATTCATCAATCCAATCTTGAAAATCTCGAGCACTACCGGTTTTTCTTTGCTTGAGTTGCATCACTTGGGCTTCCAATTCATCGAGCGCCACAATCGCGTCCTCCAGCTTCTCATGAACTCTGGGCGCCTGGCCCTGGACGCGGCGCAGGCTACCACTTATATCCGCCTTTCGAAACATCCTCCTCGGAATGGACACTAGCCCATGGCCCATCAGGTAGATGGCGAGAGCTAGACCCCACACATAAGCGAGAGCCATGACCAAGGCCCTGATCGCGGTGAAATCGAAGCCATAGGAGAAGATCATGTAGACCAAACCGGCGATGGCGCAGACGAGAACAATCAACTGGTACCTGCCATTGGAACGCAGAGAATAGACCAGCCGGGATTTGGGATCACGATACCCGGCGTCCATGTATTCCCCCAGCAGAGGCAGGACGACCCATGTCAGGACAAAGGTCAGCCAGTAGACAATCCTCCACGAGACCAAAACAGCTCTTTTTGGTAACCATATCCCTTTGCCGCCATGATCGCTTTCTCGCGCACTCGATGCGAGATCGATGGGGACTAGTACGAGGGCACTCGCAGGCAGGACTAGGGCCAGGAAGATTGGTACGAGGAGGAAAGCGGGAGTGGTTCGGAGAGGTAGATAGTGTCGTAGGAGGAACAGGACGGCGACTGAGATGGTCAAAAGAGCCAGGCAGGCGAAGATGTCGGACCCCACCGAGGATGCCATTTCTTCCAATTCTCGATGCAGAGATGGGTGTTGCTAATGACCAAGAGCGTTGATACCGGCCATTAATCGGGCCCTCATGTCGAAAAAGCCACCACCAAAATTGGAGGTTATCGCAGGGTGACGAAAGAGCCGCAGTTTTGTTCTGGCCGTCAGCGGAGCGGTATATCGAGACAGTCGGTTTCTAGAATTGAAAATGCCTCAAACCAAGCAGAATGCGATAAGGGAGAAGAGTGCGGCAGGGGGGGAAATGATTATGCACGACGAGAGAAAGGGAATGGTAGAAGACTGGAATCGGATGAGTGACGTTGTACAAGTAGTGTGTGGTCAGGATGGAGAGACGAAGTTGGGAGGCGGATGGAGGACAAGGAAAAGCACGGCTACGCTAAGGCGGATTAAGTTTAGGGTGCATTGGGTAAAATACAAGGACCCCAGAGCCTACCTAAGTTGTAAGTAGGGTGCTTCCAAGTGTCAGTGGCAAAGGGTAAAGGGGGGGCAAGGGGGGAAAAGGAACCTGAGGGGAGGAGAGCGGCGGGCCCTATGAATAGAGGAGTTACAGGAGGTAGACCGAGCGAGTTAGCTGAGGATCAGAGTGTTCTACTTGGTAGGTACAAGTGAGTAGGTGCGCTTGGTGCCCTGGACTCACCAAGTAGCTGGAATAGCAGGCTGACCAGCGTACCGGGTAGTGAATGTTGAAGAATGCACTCACCTCACCCAGTCAGAAAGAGCAGTGGACAGACAAAAGGTAGGCAGGGGGCAGGTCATGGCCTTATGAACCCTGTGCACCCTGGTCCCTTGGGCTACTCATGCCCTGATTGAGTGGACTTGGGGGGGCCTGGGCAGATGCCTTGGGGCCTCACTAGCCACTAATGACAGTTAACAGACATCAAGTTTTGGCGACAGTAGCGAGTAGCGAATTCACTCGTTGTGCTAGTTTAGGTTTGGCGAAAAGTCATCCATCTGGCGTCCATCCCCCATCCTGCATCCTGGCTCCATCCATCCTCGTCACCTGCGACAGCGACTTTTTCTCGCTCTCTGCTCTCTTCCTCCACGATCCGCCCGTCACAGCTCCGTATGGCTCTCTGAACCGCTCTACCGTGGGCACACCTCCCTCGCGACTATATTCTTCACTCTTTATATTATCTGTTGCTCGACTCTTACCCCCCTCCCCCCCGGTGGTCACTGCCCCCCCGCGCTTTGTGCCTGGTTGACAAGGCTAAACAGCCACCGACAAGCCTCATCGCAAAGTGGGCTGGCCTGGATTCCTCCACGACGCGCCCGGTTGGCGCCCAATTACAAGTCACTCCTCGACTCCCATCCAAAGTCTTCAGTCCTCACATAAGGCGCCGTTGCATAGTCTTGCTCGAGCTAGTGTCAGCCTTGATTGTTCCCGTATTCCTGTCCGACCAACGCATACATCCCACATCCCCAGACTCATCCTCTTCTCTCTACGCTCTCTGCACGGCCTAAGAGTAACAAAGTGCTCTGGCTTCTCTCCCTGACACCATCGGCGGCCTCCTTGACCTCCTCCTGTGTGCCTTTCTCATTGACAGCGCTGTGTCACCCCTGGTAGAAACCTCCAACCTGACCGCGAACCAGACTCGGCCCTCGTTTCCTTTTGCCTGTGTCACCACCACCTCCCGTGACCCGGGGCTGACCAGAGCCTGCCTTCCCGATCTCCTCTCTCATTCCCTGCCAGCTCCCGCCATTGTCTTCCACGCAGTTCATTCCAAGAATTCAAGACAACTCCTCATCTCCCCACGCCCCCTCGTTCTTTCGCAACACCTTGCTCCTCCCCTGTCCCGAATGCGTTGATCGGGTTCCCTCAGCCTGAGCGTTCCATCGCTCACCGAACCCTGCCACAGCCATGAATCCGCAGCACTTTCAGAACATGGTGGGCGTGGGTCGAGGCATGCCCAATAACATGCAACAACAAATGGCCATGGCAAATCAGATGGGCGGGCAAATGGCGGCACAAATGGGACAGATGGGCCAAATGGGCCAAATGAACCCCAGGCCTGGGCAAATGGGTGCGGGAATGGCAAGACCTATGCCTCCGCAGATGGCGGGACAAATGAGCCTGAACCACCCTTCGGTCCAACAGCACATTTTCGACATGTTGAACTCTCAGGGGCCTTTCACCGGCTGGCAGGCCAACGTTCACATCCGCGAACGAGCCGGTCAAATCAAGTTACTGGTCGACTCTCTCCGTCTAGTCAGACCCCCGGTTGAGCTCCCTCGTGCAATCGAAGTCGCCCTGCAGTTCGAGCGCAAGTGTTTCACTCAATCTGCGAGCAGAGACGATTACATTCGGGAGTGCAGCGAGAAGCTGGGGAGGATCCGTGACCAACGCGCTCAACAGTTGAACCAGTCCGCCGGCGTCATGCAGGGTATGCAGGGCATGCAAATGCCCAACCAGAGCTTTATGCCACAAATGCAATCCAACCAGCAGATGCAAAACAACATGCCCCTTCCCCCACACTTGCAGCAGCTGCAACAGGGGTTACGAAGCTCGCCTGTATTTAATCAACCCCAGCCGATGATGAACCAAGCGAGCCAATCCGTTGCTAACCAATCTATGGCGGCCATGATGCCCGGCAATGTCCAGCAGAAGCCGATTCAGCTTCCTGAGTTGACTCCGGAAGACAATAAGGCTATCAACCTGAGAGCGGCCGAGCTGGCAAAAAGCACGCCCAAGGAAGAGATGCGTGATATTGTTGAGAAGATGAACCCACAGCTGCGTCAGAACTTGGCCCAGAAGGCCGTCGATCCTATCATTTACTATTTTCGTATGCTCGCAACCAAAGAGTTCCGACGACGAAAACAAATGGAGGCAGGAATGGGTGGGGCCGGAAATGTTGGCCAGACGAATAATACTGCCAGCATGATGGGGCAGATGCAAAGTCAGTCAACTCAGAACTCGATAGGTCAGGGGATGACTGCGAATGCCAACCCGCTTATGGGCGATATGGGCCGCTTCCAGGGCCAGCAGGCCGAAGGACTGAGGTCTCAAGAAGGGGGTGAATTGGTGGTTCCCGCCAGCAACACGCCAGGCATGATGCCCGACCAGTTGCGTCTTCAGCAACAGATGATGGCTAACCAGCGCATGGGACAACAAAACCAGGCCAACAACCCAGCATTTATTGCACAGCAGCAGCGCATCCAACAAGCACAGGCTACCAAGATGCAGCAGGCCCAACTTCAGGCACAGAATCAGGCACAAGCGCAAGCTCGCGCTCAAGCTGCGGCTGCCCAGGCCCAGGCCCAGGCCCAAATGGCTGGCCAACGTCGCGACGTTCAATCCATACCGCAGTCCAGCACCCCCTTATCTGCCATCAATCGGCCAGTTGGGACTAATGTTTCCGGAGCTAGCCCGCAAACCGTCCCCCGTCCTGGGTCTGGAACTCCGATGATGAACCAACAGATGCAACAGATGAATGGCGCAGTGCAACAGGGCCAGCAGCAACAGCAGCAGCTGAATATGCAAGAAATGCAAAAGCGCGAACAAGCACTGGCTAGCTTTCCAGTACCTCTCCAAGCAATTCTCCGCCAAAAGCCACAGAGTGAATGGCGTAATATCCTACAACAGTTTCAGCAGAGTGGTCAAATGAGGAGGAGCATATCACAGCAGCCACAGGGGATGCAAGCGCAGCAGCAGCAACTGCAGCAACAGCAAGGGCCAATGACTCAGATGCAGAATAATGCATTCGTTGGTGGCGCTAACATCGGTGCAATGCCCATGCAACAGTCGTTGTCAGCCGGAGCCGTTTCTCAACAGGGTCAAGAAATGGCCGGTTTGCAGTCTGGTAACCAGGGACAAATGCAACATAACCAGCAGGAGATGATGAGGCAACGCCAAATGCAGATGCAGCAACAGCAAAAGCAACAGCAACAACAGCAGCAGCAGCAACAACAACAACAACAGGGGCAGCCACAGCAAGGACCTCCAAATGCCCAGGGGCAGCCACAAGGCCCTCGTCAACAGTTGACGGCTCCACAGATGAAGCTGATGGATCAGCAGCCGGTTCCCCCGACAGTCTTGAACAATATAAGACAGCATGCTCAGCTGCCCGAAATAAGGACCTGGTATCAACTCAAGCAATGGCTGCTTTCCAATCAAGTTGCGAATTGGCCGATACCTCATGTATTGGACATCCAGGCGACACATTTCGCCCACATCATGAAAAATCGTGGTCAGAATCTGCAACAGCAACAACAACAACAGCAGCAGCAGCAGCAGCAGCAGCAACAACAACAACAACATCAGCAGCAGCAGCACCAACAGCAGCAGCAGCAAAAGCAACAACAAAATGCCATGGCGGGTCAGCCTCCAGGACAACCGACCCAGCAAGTGCCTCAGTCTTCGATGCAACCTGTCCCTGGTGCGGCTTCTGGTGCCTCTCCTGGACTAATGCCATTTCGGACTCTGACCGTGTACGATATTCAGAAAGTGCGAGCTGCAAATCCTCGCCTCGCGGGCATGCCGGACGAGCAAATCAGAGCTTTGCTAATCAACCGACATCGCCAGGTGCAACAAAAGAACATGCAACAACAAGCTAACCAACAGGGCATTGCTGTGGCACACCCTTTAATGCCACTACAACCAGGCCAAGCAAACCCTCCGGGGCAGCAATTTGGAATCCAAGCACCTGCACCAAATCAATCTCCGGCGCAGGCTCAACAGCAGGCTCGGCCGCCTTCGGCCTCAGCGCCAGGACAACCCCGGCCACCGCAGACCCCGGCGCACCCTGAGAACAAAAATTTAAAAAGACCCAGCGATGACGAGGGGATGGAAATGCCAGTTACAAACAAACAAATCCAACCACAAACGGACGGCAATAAGCCTCAAGGGTTTCAAGCTTTGACGAGGGAACAGTTCAATGCGTTGGATCCTGTAAAGAAACAGCAGTACATGAATTATAAGCTCCAGCACGCCGCGATGCGAAGAATCATGGAACTTACGAAGGAAGTTCAAGCTAGCATGCCGAAGCTGCGAGCCATCACCAACATGGATGCCAACGGGAGAAAGCGTATGACGGACCTCTTGACATCCGTCAATGTGAAGAATATGCTTGGCAGGTTCGACTCGTTTCTTTTGGCGTTCTATCGCATTGAGCCGAATGATGCAGCCATCAAGCAATTAGTCCTTCAGAAGATACAGTTATTCTCACAGTACAAACCGCAGTCGTTGCAAAACAAAACTTTCGAACCGGCAGACGCCTTCAGCATTACTGCTGACAACGCAGAAGGGATCGTTAGCAACATTACTGCAAAGTTCCAGCAAACTGCCGCTCAAATACCAAACAACAAAGCGCGCCCACAGCCCGCACAGCTCACACCGGAAAATCTCAGTTTGTTGGAAGCGCAGGAGAAAGAACGGAAACAATCTCTTAAGATCAACCAAGCTCCTCCTGCTCCCACGTCCACACAACCACCGTTTCAAATTGGAGATCCAAGAGGGCAAGGTACGCCGAGGTACGCCACACCAGGACTCAAACAAGAGGACCTCAAGCTTCCCACCGATCCCAAGCGGCGAAAGAAGAACCAACAGCAACCTGCAAGTGCAACCACCGCCACACCTACTGTTGTGACCTCACCCCAGACGACCAAAACGCCCAAACCTGCCGAGATGTTCAAGTGTCCCGTCAATGGGTGCGAACACCAGCTCAAAGGATTTGCAACTCAAGCCGAACTTGACCAACATCATAATGTGGCTCACAAGCTGGACATGGAACCTGTCACCGATCCTCTTGCCTTTCTCCATGATTCCCTGCGCTCTGCCTTCAACCTAGACGATAACCTCAAGCAGATCAAGAAGAACTTCCCTAAGCCTGAAGGCAAAGCAGCAGGTGTGAACAGCGTCAAGGGTGAGAGCTCCGCGAATACCCCTGTACCAATGTCCAAGATTCCCAGTCAAGGCCCTGCAGGCACGTCTACCAAAGACAGTGACGTCAACATGGATGACGGTGACCCGTGGAAACACAGCAACATCACATTGGATCAACTCCGTGTTGCCTTTGGTGGCGATGATTGGGACGAGCTCTTTCCGTCCGAGGAAAAGCTGTTTGATCAACAGTCCAAGTTCTACGAGGCCTACCGTAACACCAGCGAACGGTGGCAGAAAATCGTCGAGGGCCCAAATGGAGCTTTGACTGATACATCGACCGAAAAGTCCAAGAGTCCGGAAATCGTCAGTGACAAGGAAGGCTCTGCTGCAACCGCGTCGCGTGAGGACAAGAAAGAATCAGCGAAGAAGGCGGAAGACGATCAGTGGAAGGTCAACCTTGATGGAATTGAGGGCCTTGATCTCAGCGGTTTTGGAGACATGTCCCCATTTGAAAATATCGGTGACCTGGACGTCGTCATGGGCGAGGACGGTTCCCCGTTCGAGCAGGTCGAAAAACCACAGTTATCGACCGAACAGAGACATCTCCAAGCTCTAGGAGTCGACCTTGAGCATCCAGAGAATTGGACTAAACAAGAGAGGGCGCTGGCGGAATTTCTGTTGGATATGTGAGCCGAGCAAGGTATCTTGTTGAAACCCAATATCTACATCGTAACGTGCTTTTTGTGTATTCTGGTGTTTTGGGCGGCGGAATGGTGAGGACGAAACGTCAAATTTGCGACTTCTCTATCAGCATGGCGTCCTGTGGGTCAACGGATCCTAATGGGAGGCCTGGATGGCTCGATGTGTTACGACTCTGACGAAGCTTGCAGGGACAGCACACTGCCCTTCTTGAATTGCGAGAGGGGAGAGTGAATGGGAGGATGTTTATCTGGAATTGATCTTTCTACACGGGAGCGGGTTTGTACATTATGAGATCGACGCCGGAGATCGACTTTCTGTCTTTTCAGATACCTCGGGATCAATCAGCATGAATTTGTTTCGAATCATGTTCGATGGAATGAAGGATTGGGATGGTTATGGATTTGGATGACAAAAGAATACCCGGGTGGAAATTGCGGCCCTCTAACTAAATCTTGGACTTTTTTTGAAGTACCACACTTTCAGGTACGATTCTTATAGGGGAGTGTGAAATACAGAGTTTCCAGAACCGACGAGAGAATCTCTTGTTCAGCAGAGTAAATGCTCGATCATCGGCGGAGGAAGTCAAGTTCGATGCTGCCCCTATTCTCGTCCAATCTTCCTTCGATAGAGGAAAGAGGAAACTCTTCCAGATAATATAAGTACAGTAGAAAGACACTATATAGCGAGTGGTATGTAGTTACCATCGATGTTCTATAGTGAGCCAAGGAAGAGGAGGGGGGAAGACGAAGAGAACATACTGTACGAACAGACGAATAACGAACGTCAGCGTGAGTTTGTGTCTGCTGGAATAATTCAACTTTTTTTTTGAGGCCGCCCTATATTATACGGAGCACTCTGTATCTATCCGAGACTTTTGCTCGTTGTTGTCCTTGCTCTGCATCTAGTCCGGTATTGCTTTAGTCTTGTCCTCGATTCGTTGTCCTGAATCTCGCTATCCAGGAGGATAAAGAGGTGATTAGGGTAAACATCAAACGAGCATAGTCCTCAGTCGACTTGGATGCTGCGAACCGATACCGCGCATACATTGGTAGACAAGGAGTTGATCACTCAACCGATCAACCAACCAGCTGAGAAAAGTCACCACGTTAATCCTCGCTACCGTCGTCGTCAGCTTCTCCCTGGATATCATAGCCATCATCGGCAGTCGGTTCCCGTCCGGTAAAGCGGGCCGCATCCTCTCCTTCAACGTAGTCGATACCGCGTTCTCGTAGCTCCTGGATCTTGCTCTGGCCGACGCTCACAGTCTCGAAGCCTGGGGGCAAGCGACGACCCGCCCTGTTCGCAAAGGTATTAGTTTGCATGCAAATTACATGGGGCCATCATTGCAAAGAAAAGCGGAGGGATGGATGGAAGGGCTAAACAAGCAAACTTACTTGAGGAAATCCAGCTTGATATTCCGCGCCTTATCCTTCAGCTGCACCTGGGTCCTCCCTTGCAACAGCGGCCCGTCTTCGTGTACACTGTCTTCTTCCAGGATTCTCGCCCACCTCGTCCCGTATAACTCAATCATCTCCATCAATCTTGTGGTCTCCTGTTCGGTATAAGGTCTGCGAATTTGCACGCCTCCTCGAGTGGGCAGTAAATCGCGGGTCATGCGCACCCTCGCTTTGGCTTCCCGGTTCACATCGGCAATTTGGGACCGAGGTGGTTCCAGTGACGGTGCTCTGGACGATCTGAGGCTCTCTGGCTGGGTCCGGGTGGGTGCGGTCGAAGGAGGTGGGTGCCGTTCAGCTGCTGGGATAGGTCGAAGAGGTGCTCGACTTGATGGTGATCCCTGTGTACCGGATCTCGCTGGCTGTGATAACGAGACCGGCAACGTGCGACGGGAGCGTTCTGGTGACTTTGAAGGTGCTGCTCGGGCCCGTCTTGACGGCTGACCTCGACTTGCAAATTCAACCGTCCGGGATCTGTCAGAGGGATGAGCAAGCTCATCATTGATTGCTGTGGCATCTTCCTCTATGGATGGCAACCTCGGACGAGTCGACCCTAATGGCTGCTGGCTGGTCTCATGACTAGCACGACGTCTCTTTCTGGCTCTGCTGTCCGTCTCAAATTCGTCATGGTCATCATTATCTTCCGCCCTTCGAGGCCGTGGACGCTTCGGAAGCCGGCGGGGTGGAGAGGGAGTATCTTCGTCATCAGCGGGTTCGCCCCATTCGACCCTTTCTGCCCCATTTTGCCGGTCGAGCAATGATGCCTTCTTCGCTGTCCGTTTCTTATTTTCCTTGTCGCTCTGCTCAATCTGTCGGCGGACGGTCTCTAAGACTAAGTTTGTTTGCTGGGTCGGGACGATCTCCTCGTTGGACGCACGAGCTTGAGCAAGCCTTTGTGCCTGATCATCATCTTCACCCACGGCTGTTTCTTGAGTTTCCTCTATAACTGGTGATAGTGACTGTGAGATCTCAAGCTCTGATTCGGGCGGACCGCAGTCAACGTGATTAATTTTGGCACCGGATGCGCGGACTGAATGTTCAGCTCTGAGAGCCTTTAGTCTGTTGATGTTGGCTTTCATGGCTTTCCGCGACAAACCCCCGGCCGCCGCCCTCTGCGTCAGTTGTGTAGGTCTGATATTGGCATCCTCAAGCTCCTCTGCTTTAATATCGACTGGGGCTGGTTCCTGCGCTTCAGTGCTGGGAGTCGCTAGCTCCGACCCCTGCGAAAACCCGTCGGATAGAGCTGCATCATCCTGAAAATCTTCGGCATAAAGCAAATCGATGAGCTTGTCCATGCCTCCTCTCGACCTGATCATTTCTTCTAGCTCGTTTTTGCGAGCCACGCTCCACTTGACCACCTGTACAACAAAATTGGACCAAGGAAATTGCTGTTCCAGGGCCTCGATATTGATCCACGGACGTTTCTCCGTGTTGAAGTGGGATTTAATGGAGGACATTCGTGCCATTGCTTTCGAGTGCGTCGCTTTGTCTGATGATCCCTTGATCTGATTGCTTTCGTCGCAAAAGACAGCTCCAAGTAATTCATCCGGATCAAATTTCTCATCGTGGTGCTTAATCGCGACTTCTCTGATGTAGAATTGCGTTAGAATTTCAGTGTGGATGTCGAATGTGTCTTTGACCGTGGCGGGCAGAAAGGGGAATGAGGCGAGATCATAGAACGGTTCCGGGAAGTTGTTGAACATAAAATCGAGGTAAGAGTGACGCTCATCTAACGAGGGGCTGAATACCCTGACCAGCTGCAAGGCTAGATTCGCCAAGTAGAGGACACCATCAGGGCGCCATAGGCCATTGTTGATCTCTCGCAGTTCAGCATCACCAAGGATTTTACGAACGATGAGTCCTGGAAAGATAAAATCTGGGCCACCTCCGTATGCTTCCTTGGTGGTGAGGAACCGCTTCTTCCGAGACAGGAATCTTCGGTGCAGCGAAGGATCGATTTGCAGCAGCTTCGAACAGATGTCCGCTAGCCTTGTTTCATCAGCCCCTAATATTGAGAATAATTCGATTGAATTATTGCGTAAATCAATCAAATTCTCGATAATCGCATCTCGGTCCAGGGCATCCAACAGACTCTCAAAGGATGATCCTGTAGAAGTCGCCTCAAATGAGGCAGAAATACTGCCTTCAAGGCTTTCGGTTTGCTCCGATACCGGTTCCGCTTCAGTGACAGTAGGCAAAACCTGATTAAGGTCTTGTAGTAGTTGTTGCGCTGCCGTTGCTTCTCGGCTTGATGACCGTGTTCGACTTTTGTTTTGATCTGGTAGCGCGTCGATAACAACACTGATCGAAGCGGCTTTTGGAGGAGAAAGAGGCGTGTCCTTTCTGCTGCTTGATCGTAGTCGAGGACGAGGGGCCATAATAGGTCGATGTCAAGACGCGTGAAGCGTGAAGCGCGAAGGGTGAAGGATGAGATGTACCGAGAGCTGGTCTTAGGGTTAGTAACCCTAGACGGGTGGCGTGGGTGAATTAAAGCTGCAGTAGCGCCGAGTAAGGGAACATGAGCGCAGCCTTGGCTTGGCATCGGCTAAGTTGACTATTACGGAACGCCAGAGCCTTGCGGAGTGCCGAATGTCAGGCGACTCGAGCGACTCCAGCGCGAGTGGCAATGTATCTACATCTTGTAAACCCCGCTATATCACACATACCAGTTCACCAGGGGATCACGTAAACTACCGAGAATGAACACACAGCATTATCAGCCCAATGGATCGAGCAACTCATGACGCTCAATGTATCTACGTGCGCATATATGCCATAACGACGGAGAAATACATGCCCCTTGGACTGATGTTGAACCAACTGTCAACCCTTTGCAGCTCCAATATTCATACCATCTAGGCATGTCTCTGCAGCATTCACTGCCGCAATTGGCCTGACGAGACGGGTTGAGCGGAAGCGCTGAGCGCCGGGCCTGGAGCTCCTCCAAGGACACCTAGTCCCCGTTGATCTTGCCCATCTCTCCGCAATGTCTTAGCGAAGGATTGCGGGGGTTATGGAGTTCCACCTATCGAGACTCAGACTCCACCACCCCTACTGAACACTCAAAGGGCATAAGTTCTGGAACCCTCAGTTGGTGGGCAGTGCCTTGTGATCTTGCCGATCTGGCAACAGTGCTCCAGTTATCGTTCATGATCATGTCCTCCATATTGCTATTGTTGGACCAAAGTCAGCACCACTCGATCTTAAACGAATTCTTTCTCAGTGTTAAAACATCATCTGGCACTCCTGCGTCGGTTCGTTTTATTAATCGACTGAACCGAGATATTCAACTAGGAGCAGTCCTCTGTGCACGATGTCTCGCCGCGAATCCGTTGGGCGCCTTAGAGCGGCATCACAGTCCGACTCTGCGCCACCAAGTGTGAAAATGGTATCTTGCGCCGTTCTTCCTCCACGCCTCCCCCCAGGCATGGCTCCACACACCGGCATTGGCGCGTCAGAAGCCTTCAGCTTCGATGAGGCCCTCACTTGGGAGCACAACAGTTCCGCGCACGAAGAGGAGCCTAGCCGGCGAAGGAGCTTCTTTCGTAAAGTTGGTCTCACCACACAACGCAAAAGACCCGACCCAGAAGATGATCTGCCGCCGTTCGTAATGCGTCAAATTCCCTATCCTACCTGGCGGAAGCATTATGCAAAGGACAAGGACGGCAACTACAGAGGTACCCATGCTCCGGCAGAAGATTGTCTTCTCAAACCAGAGGATGTGCAAAAATGGCGACTCGGCGATCCTGTAACGAAGGCGGACAGATGGACTCGAGGCAGAGAGGCGCTGCCTGTTTATTCGGAAGTACACACCGAGGGCGCCGCACCAGAGTATCAGATCGACTGCGTCAACCCAGACCAGTCTCCAGCCAATGAGCGGATTGTGGCTCCGGAGGATGATCGGCCCCCCGAATACTTTGATGCAACTGACCTGCGCGCGAATTCGCAGCGGCAAGCCTCAAGCGTTTCACCCCAACAGCGCTTCCATCCTACCGCGACATCAGCACCGAGGGCCATTTCACCATATCAAGACCAGACGATCGCTGGTGGGAAGACGGCTGCTGAGATAGTCGAAGAAGCCGGAAATAAAGGCAAACCGAAGTTGACGTGGAGACAGAAGCTATCCAAGGGTGCCTCGATGACTATGGGTGCTCCAATGCCCGGAACAGGTGTATGAAAAGACTAGAGCCGAGTCGGGCTCGTGTCATTTTTGGAAGCTTCTACCGTGAGGGACCTTACAAGCGGAGCCTCACTAGGCATTGCTGGGTTGAGTCCATGCTCTGGTGTCAGCTATATGGCATGGTAGGACGTTCGAACTTGTGGTCCGAGCAGACAGCCGACAACTCCTTTGTTCCTACTGCTGCATCTTGGCTAGCTCTGCATTTAGGGCCCGCAGTCACCCACTCCGACCATTTCTGGTTGTGCTGTCCTTCGCGCGGTTGTGGAATGTATCACATGTCAATTCATTTACCACCCAGGGATGTAATAAGCGTCAATATTCACCTTGCACTGCATGAAGAGCGCCATTCAAGGGGAGGACAAAGAGGGACAAAGAGGGCTCCAATTGCCGGATGACCAAGCAATAATATCCCACAGTTGCCAACACGGCTGGCGTGCAGATCCTTGCCATTTGCAAACCTACTGGCTCGATCGCAGGCCCCAGACAAGTTCCCGGATCGTGAAATAGCTCACGATCTCCGTGAGGGAGCAAATTCGCCTCGGACAGAACGACTAAGACATTATGTAGGCGTACGGTCACCATCTGATGGCTCATTGGAGAAGATGGATGAAATCATGTTCATCTGGATGTAAGGGTTGTTTGCTATGAAGGCAGCGAACCTGGGCAATACCTGTGGATACGAGCTCTTGGCCCCTTACCAACCTATCAACTTGCGCAATTGATTGGGCATGCCCTGCGCTGGGGCCCCAGATTCGATCGATGTCCTCTTACCTATCCACCTGGGCAAAATTGGCGTCGTCTGCCCACCTGATCGTCTACCTATTGCGTTGACTATCAAGGTGGGCCTGGGAACCTTACCTGGAACCTCCATGGGTTCTTACAGTTGAATTTTGCAGCTATTAGGACGTTCGAACGGTCCCCTCATGTTTCGGGAAAAGCTATAGGTTACTGGTCCTCGCTTTGCAACAGAGAACATCTCGAGCGATCATGCCTCAAAGGTGCACCATCCCTCACTTGATGCATAAACACGATGCTGGTTCCCATCTTTGGCTGACCCTGACGCCCGATTCCTCCAGCCCTCGACCTACCCCAGCCCATTCAGACTCACTTGCTTGCATTTGAGCAGTAAAAGCATAATTGCTTCGAAAACGAGATATCCATATTATAGTTCTTCGGAAGGCCTCAATAAGGATCTCCTCCATGGCCCCTTCATGCAGAACCATCAAGCGAGCGTCGCATGGTAAGGAAGTGCCCGACGAGCGCTCCTCGATGACCATAAATCAAGAGACCAAGCCGACCATAGACTGCCAGGCTAGGACCCATATTCAATCTGTCAGCACTGAAGCTTTTCAGGGGCAGTCACACCTGGTCACTGACAAAATTAGGCAAGTAACGCTCCGCCGACTCCGGAAGGCTCTGTCGACGGTTCACTCCACTCGTCCCAACAAGAACAAAGAAAAATTCTCGAATCAGTTGTCGGACAATGGAATCGCTTCGCCCCCATTTCGCCAGAAGAAGATCACGGCTATATGACTCAAATGCACATTGGCTTTGAAATAATGTACACTTCTATGCAGCGACGAGGACAGGATGACAGTTTGAAGCTCCGTGAAGGGCTATTCGCAGAATATCTAGAAAAGCAAGAGGTGACGAGGAGCAGGAGGGAGAGGGAGGACGAGGATGAACGCACGAGAATTAAGGAAGAAGATGACTACGGGCTCGAGCGAAGATCAGAAGAGGACAGGAAGCTAATCCGAGAAAGAGAAGCGGAGGATCAACAAATACGCGTGAGAAGAGCACAAGAAGATATGAAAATACTTCATAAAAGGAAAGAAGAAGACGGGAAAAGGTTCCAATTGACAGAAGCCAGCCGGAAAGAGAAGGCGGAGAAGAGGCGGCTAGAAGATTTGGGAGATCGTGGAGAGTACGAAGCCAATAAACGAGTCACATTAGAAAAGCTTAGCTCGTTCGTGGAAGACGCCACGGACGCGGTTTGCGAAGGCCTGGCGAGACCCAGAGCAGGTGGGCAAGACCAAGGACAGCCAGCTGAGGCTACAGCCCAAAAAAAGAGCGGCATGGAAGAACCTGAACAAAGACCAGGCCACGGCACATGACTGGATATGGCTCGTCTCTGAAAGACTGATGAAGTCCTTCGCCGTCTCAACAGGCTTAGACTGTTACATGCCTTGTGGCATCCCTGAAGCAGTGCACAGTCCCGGGTCTCTTCTTCGTCACGACTCAGATGCCGGCACCATTGGCACGACGACTGAGATTGGCGAGTCTGTCTACGCTTCCGGCATCTGCATCAGGGGCAAATGTTTACGGTGGACGATCTCCTCTACACATTGGCGAAGTCATCACGCAAAAGCAACGACTGACTCGTTTTGAAGTCCGATGGATGTGGGTGGATGGTACGTACCGCAGGCATGTCGCTCTTACAGAAAGAATAGCACGGTGTGGTGCAACATCAAATCAGAAGCGTCGGTCTGAATATTGTTGTTGAATTGATGCTCTCTGGTACTCTCTGCGGTGTATTTGAAGTTGGAGGATCAGTTACAACTGAAATCCCGTTGATAGATAGGGTGGTGTGGATTGCTTTGCTGCCTTTTTCTCTTCCTTGTAACCTCGCTGAGCTTGTTCGAAAGTAGAGCGATTCTCTACTCGGGAAATAGACATGTTTATAGACCAGTCACTCGTCTTCAAAGAGCGCCCTCGTGATATATACTAACTTATGGAGCGTAAGCTCTTCTTCCCTACATCCTCATCGAGTTGGTAAAATCTCGACCCCAATCTCTCCACCCTCAAAATGTCCCTCACAAATGCCAGTCAAAAAGTCGTAGGTCCAGACCCAAGTCTGGGCCATACTATCCCGAGCTAGGAACTCCCTTGGCGAGCCTAGAGTCCTTTTCGGATCTAGAACATCAAGTTCCAACGATATCTATGGAACCTAGCAAAGCTGTTTCAGCTCCCACGCTCTTCGTTCTACAATGACCGAAACTGCACGGGGTGCCTCGTTTGTGAGATATCAGCATGCTGTGCAGTGCTTGCGCAAACGCTTTCCAGGAGCAGGACGACAATGCTGACAGTAATTATCTCGCTGTCAGCCGGCCGACGCGAGAAGTGTGCTCAGCCTCACCCACCCCCTTGTCGCCTTTCTACAAGGCCAACCACCACAGCCTTCCCAGATTGAAGAAGTCCGCATCCGATGGCTGCCACCTGTGCATGTTGCTCTGGGCTGCTGCTCCGCCCAAAGTCCATGCTTTCTGGAACGAGATCCTGCGAGACGATCGCCCCGCGCATGGCTGCCTTCTTTCTTCACCATTAATCGAGCCATCTTCTCCCCGCGCCAATGTTCGAGGAAGCTGTTGGTAGAGTACAAGTACCAGATAGGCCTCACCAACCCCCACGACCACGTGAAGCCTGTCAAGCGACACTTCAGGTTACTGTGGAGTGAAGGTATATCTCTCAGCCGTCATCGAGCAGTTTGCTCTCTGAGAACAACCTTCATTGCAAAAGTGGTGTTTAACGATCTCGCCCATGTCATCATGTTTCGTCTTTTTTTTTTTTTTTTTGACGCGTTCAACACTGCATTTTGTGTCTCGTACCTTCTCACAATGCAAACTAACTAATAATTAGAGGCAGGACTACTCACGCAACGAGAAAGGATCGCGTCCACCACCCAGTCTCAAGAGAGCTGGAACACTTTCAAAACGTGGATGTGGACCTGTATCTCCAAACATAGTCAATGTTCACCAAAGTCATTAGAAGTCCGTCAGCGGCAGCTTCCGAAAAGGCTCATCGAAGTCAGCGAAGGAAACACTGTCCGGCTTCGGACCGTTGAGAGCATCGGAGATGCCTATGCTATCGAGTACCTAGCACTCAGCCATTGCTGGGGACTGGGCCCGCGGGTCATTCTTACGTCCAGTTCCGCGGCCAGTCTCTTCGAGGGAGTGGAAATTGCCGCACTTTGTCGCACATTCCAGGACGCCATTATGGTGACGAAGAGATTCTGGGATGAGTTCGCGGTGCGGTATTTGTGGATAGACTCGCTCTGCATTATTCAAGATTCTGCCGAGGATTGGAGACAGGAATCCGCCAACATGGGCGAGATCTATCAAAATGCCTTTTGCACGCTCGCCGCCACGGCGGCAGCGGATGGGCACCGTGGATTCTTTTCTGATCGAGATCCCCGCATGATATCCCCTTGCTCCATTTCTGTGGTGCCAAAAAATGGTGAAAATAGGCCCTTCTACTGCGTGGACTACGAGGATTGGGCGAAGAACGTTTCTCGGGGCCCTTTGAATGGCCGATCGTGGGTTCTACAAGAGCGATTGCTCTCACCTCGCGTGCTACATTTTGGGGCCGACCAGCTGTACTGGGAATGCTCGGGGCTCGAGGCGTCCGAAGCATTCCCAGCAGGGTTCCCTGAAGGGCTCGGAGAGCAGTTCAAACAACTGCTGCCGTTCTCGGGACTACCCCAGATTGAGCAGCAAGGGCCAAGCAGCCGCGGCCCTTACGGCATCTGGGACCAGGTCATGGAAACATACTCGTCCGGGAAACTGAGCAGGCGGACAGACCGACTGGTCGCGTTATCTGGAATCGCTCGCAAACTGCAGCGCCGGCTGATCCAGCACGACACCTACCTTGCTGGCCTGTGGAAACAAGACCTCCCCTTCGAACTGCTTTGGGACGTCAAGATCCCTCCTCAAAAACCCGACGCTGGCCACGAATACATCGCGCCCACCTGGTCATGGGCCTCTCGTCTGGCGACGGTCCCCTGCGAAACTGAGACGTGGGCTTCGGCTGCCACGTTGGTGGACATCACGGGCGCGATGGTGGTTCCCCTGGATAACGACCACATGGGCCAAGTTCGCGGTGGCTATATCCGGCTGTCTGGCGTGCTGGCACGCGGCACCCTCTCCCGAATCCACCAGCCTGGGTCTCCAACCCCCGGCCTCGCCTTGAAGATCGGCGACCGCACAGTCTCCTCTGCGATCTGCCGGCCGGACGACGGATTCAGCCCGGCCATCCAACTACCTCACGTCGTCTACTGTCTGCCGATCCTGCGCGGCACGCGGAACCTGGTCCCCAGGTACAAAGGTCTCTTTCTCGTCCCATCCGGGCGCCAGGCGCAGTTCCGGCGCTACGGAACGTTCACGGCCGATTCTTTTGGCGATGAGTTCCTGGTCTCGTGTCCCCCTTCGTGGCTTGACACGGGTGATTTGGGCCCTGACAGGCGCTATGAGGTTACGATTGTATGAGGGTTTCATGAAGTGACAAATCCAGATAGATCCCCAGGTGGTCCAGGATCTGACAGTTATCTTCTCTTCTCCAGCTATGAACTGTGCACTGTGCACTGGGACCGAATTCACATACGAAACGTTTTGGGTAAGGGATATATAATAGGGTTGACAGGATGATTGAATATACGAGTATATTATTTGCAAAGGGACGCCGGGTGGAGTTAGATCCAAACAAGAAGGGAAGGAGACCGTACGAACAACGATTGCCAGCGTCCATCTTTCTTATCTTGCTTTGGATAGGCGAGGGTACGGAAAAAAGAAAGAAACAGCCAAAGAGAGGCTTCGAGAAGAGGATTGGCGGTCAAGGAAGGGTTCTGAGTGATCTAAGGAAAGCTCCAACCATTCCACGGCAGTCTGTTGTCAGTTGGCCCTCTTGAGCCAATCTATACCCACATTTCGCCTTCAATGCTTGCGTCTCGAGGTTCACTCACTTGTGTCATGACGTCGTCTGAAGCTTCATCTCTTACCATACTGTGTTACAAAGCCGTGTAGTAGTACCTCGACACTCACGCTTCTCCAGGCCTTTCCGCTCCGGACAATAACTGCCACTCTTCTGTTCGGCTCGAGGCTGGCCGTTTCCAAGGAGCGCTGAGACGGTCACCAAACGACATGGTCCCAGGCCCTGGCTCCATCGGTATCAGCTCAGGTCCGCCATGAGAGGCTTTGCCTTGGTCGCTTAGCACTTCTCTCAGCCCACTCAGTTCGTACATTACTATTGCCCGGCAGACCAAAGTCGAAGACAGATACCTCGCCACCACAGCTGTAGCGTCGCTGGTGGAGATGAATATGAGACTGGAAAAGACGAGTGTTCCGTACACAATGTGTAGGACGGTTCCGGTAGCCGTGAACCAGGAGAGGAAAATGTAGAGATATGTCTCTTCCTTGATCTCCAGATCTGCTCCTTGTCTCGAGGCGGATGGTGTGAATTCTGCACATATTGTCTCCCAGAGCCCCGGTGGCTTCTTCGCACCAGGCTTAGTACGGATTCTGGTACGACAGTGGACTGACCAAGTGCCGAAGAAGTGCACTGCAACGGCCAAAAATGCCCACAATGCCGGCAGATATGCAGTCTCCGGGGCGAAAGAACAGATTGTTTGGATGCAGATCTCGTAGCTCACGAAAGCCACGTTCACGACCGCCGCGGCTGCCATGACATACTGGAAAATCGAGACCCCGAATCCCTTGAGTAGTCCCATTGGCTTTATTCTGACAGTTTGCGGCTTCCTTTCCAGCAGTTCTTTCGTATCGATGTAATCGAAAGTGCGGATTGGCGAGACAGCTGGGGCCCCGGCCGCGAGCAGGAAGGCGAGGAAAGGCCGCCGCAGGGCGACAAGGCCAACCTCTACTGTGGTGGAGCCAACCAGGCCTAGAGTTGTCGGCAACAGGCCCAACAAGACTGCAGCGGCTGCCATGTTGGACTTGCGGGTTTCGTTCAGGTTTTCCAATATACAGTCGATGACCGGCGTAACGTATTCGCTCAAATAATCTTTCGGGGCGACCTTGTGCAGGTAAGTTTGATACTCCGTTTGGCAATCATTCTCCATGATTTGCTCAAACACATCCCGGAACTGCCCATACCAATGCTTGAAATGTACGGCAGCCGTGGACGTTGAAATCAAGGAAACAAACACTAATAGACAGAAATGCAGACGCAAAACCATCTTGAATTAATAATCTGACATTTGGTAGTGAGTCTCAGTCCTCGATCGGAAAGATTTCCAGCGGACGCTTGAGCATATATGCGTGGAGGACAAGCAACATGGTCGCCCCGTCCCGTCCGTTTTGGACTTATTTTTGTCGGTGGTGCGAACAAAAAGAGTGACAGGTCTCTCGACGGAGTACTCCTAGGTCACTTCGAAGGTCCCCAGTTTATTGGTTACGTTTCAAACCGAGGGCCGGCCACAAGGTAGTTGAATGGCTGCATAGGCGGTTGGCCGCTGCGGGCGCCTGAATTTGCGATGACTGATGTGGCATTGCACGCTTAGGCAGAAAATCGAGCTGGAGAGAGAGGCGGGCTCATGAGGCTCTGGGACACAGTGTGGGCAAAAATCGCCCCCAAAGCTCAATCCAGGAAAAGGCCAACCCCCGCCCACTGTAGTGGCTGTTCGAGGCAGTGTGTGCTCTGTAATGGGCTAAAGGGCCGTTAACGTCGTGAGTGCCGCTGTCCATGGGTGTGCATGGCTGAATAATAGTGCTCTCCACCACATCATCCATTCTCTCGGCAGTGGAGAGACGATGTTACTAGAATGCAGGATCGTTACCATCTTCAGGAAGAGCAAGCCGAGGACGGGGCAGTGTTTAGATAAACCTAGAGCAATTGTGCACGAAATGATAGAACGTTTCCTCGATACGAGACATGTGGCGCTTCAACGACTCGTCGAGGAGAGGGGGAAAAGTGAGGTGGCTGGGAGTGAAGCATCCACAAAATTGACAATTCTCTCGCATCGGTCTCTCGCACAACCAGCCTCCACATCAACGCTTTTCTCGCTTTTGACCGTGCACCACTGAGTTGACTCTTCGCATGTGAAAACTGTTTTTTCGAGGTACGAGGTAGAAGTCTTCGATAGCTCACTCCCGATACCAGACTTCAACTGATGGCTGTACCACGTTCTCGGATTCATTTGGACTGTCTGGGGATATGGGAAAGGAATTACCAGGGTACGTTGCTGTTGTGCACTGCGGGGACCCTGCGACAAACTTCAGTTCTTGGCACCGCTTCTGGTGGGAATGGGACTTTCTTTGGAGCCAAATGCTGTCTTCAGGGTCTCTTAACATGAAACAAGCTGCCCTTCCTTCATCGTCGGTACATTTTATTGATATTTATTGGCAGGGTGGGTGATCAAGAGCTCAATACTGCGATCAATATCCAATGACGTGTCTGGATGAGCATCGCCTGAATTTTGTCGATTGGAGAGGTGAGAGAGGCGGCAAGTATGGGAATATTGGTCCGCCGAGTATCATCTCACGATAATAACTCAATGCCGTTCCTCAGCTGCGTTTGATTCTGGCTCCGCGTACGCAGTGTCGACCGAATATGACCACAACTGTAATAGCAGGCGTAATCTGCTGTGTTGCCGCTGAAGAAGCTGTTGCGAGCTTCTGATTGCTGGTAGTCTGGGCCAAGGACAGCTGCGTTGATGTTTCTGAAGGCGAAGTTATTGGATGGCCCTTCTGGGAGGGTGGTATTATTCTTTTGCAGAGCAGTTCTGATCGGCTCCTTTCTCAGTCGCGTCAGGTCGTCTTCTCTGCTTCCTCAATGACTGTGTGGCATCACAGCCAAGGTTCCAGGGTTTAGACACGAGGGTTCTTCAAACCGGACGTTGAAATCCGTCTGTATGAGTCGCTCACTTCTTCTTGGCCAAACTCGCCATCCGAGCCGCCGCCCTCAGAAGAGTGACTGTTCCCTCGCGTTCTTTGTCCATCGCCTTGAGCCTCAGCATCTCGACCAGCTCTATCTGATCTTCTTCGGCAGACCTTTTCTTCCTCCGTCGCTTTATATCACCATTTCCACATACAACCGTCCAATCCGGCACATCTCTATCCACAGTAACCCCAGCACAGATCTTCGAGTGTGATCCGATGATGACGTTTCCAATGATTGTCACGTGAGATTCAATTAGGACGCCTTCGCCTATCGTTGCTCCGGCATGGACCTGTGAGCTTGGATGGATGTAAACGCCATCGTGGATGACAGTTTTCACTGGGTCGCGCTCCTCCTCATCGGCTTCCTCAGCACCAGCCTGATTAATCAACGGGCTAGGCTGGTTACTCCCGCTTCCAGGGGCACCAGAGGCTTTGGAAGTCGGATCAGTGGCGGAACCGCCTGAGCTCGGAACAGGGCCACCGATAATACACTTCTCAGAGATAATACACTTGTCGCCGATAGACAGCGGTCCGTGCACAGCAATCAGCTGAGCCCTGGGGTGCACCAAGTCATGTTCACCGACTGCGATGGCGTGCGTGCCGCGGACGTAGGCACCTGGGTCGAGATGGGTGGTCTGCCCGAGCGTCACAGGCGGGCGTGTCGATCCCGCTGAGGTTGATTGGGATGCAGACTGCGGAGGGTTCGCTTGCGTGCTCATCTCATTTATTCTTGGACGTGAGGGAAGGAAAAGCAGAACAAGGGGCAGCTTGGCAGGTCTGATGGGCTTGAGAATCTTTTCGGGAACGCGTCCTTGCGCGTCCCTCGCAAATTTGAGGCCAACGGCACTGACGCGTCTGACTCGCGGCTCACGTGCGCATTCCCCAGAGCAGGTTGAGCCTGCTGCTTTTAGGCTCCTCTTGACCTCCACCCTGTCAACTCTTTCTCTCACCTTTCACTCTCGCTTTCACCCTTCATGTTGGATCGCCTAGTTCTACTACAAACGGCGATTCTTGCAGCGCCTCCTGTCGATTTATTCGAAGTGCTTAAACTTCGTAGGTGATCTGCTGGTCCATCACGACATCTACCACGGCATAGAGAGCAGTTTCTCACCTGTGGATACCGACTTGCTTCTCACTTGCACCAAATCGTATGAAGCGAAAACGACGCCGAGGCGCAAAATGAATCCTCTGAAATGGTGACTATATATAGAGGATATAAAATCTCAATCTTGTCGGAAATGACGGCCTCCCACAAGGGGAATTGAGTAATGGCTCGCCGATGACCCTTGGCACACTTTTACGGCAATGGACAGCTCTTGCCTTTGCTTAGCATTGGAGCAAGCATACGAACATCTCCCCCTTAAAAAGGGATTTCCATGGAAGAGAACACTAGTGAAAGAACGTCGTCAAGCCTCCGCCGAACAACAATAGACAACATCGAGCTTATTAAATTCCTTACTCTACTCTTGCCGTCTGGATAGGGTCCAATGAATCCTGGAAACCAATCAAAGAACATGATGAAGCCTATTGAGATGCGAATATTTTCACGATCACGACCAGATAAAGCGTTCATCGCCATGAGAGGTGAGCAACCAGGACGGATGTATGCTGTTACAAAGATCATATCAGCAGTCACCACAATCAATATCTTGGCAATTTTATTTACCAATGATCGCCCCAAAATGATGAACCACCTTCTAGATGCTCGACATAGCCTCTAGGCGTAAAATCAGCAACGCCAGGTACACGGGACAAGGTTGTGGCGCGGGGAACGGAAAGTTGTCTCGCTCTCTCTACTTCAAGACGAACCAAAAGGCTTAGCCTATCCGTTAGTACAACTGAGTCGGCGAGGCTTTGGCCTAGCCCCTGAAGTCGCTTGAGATTGAAGCTTTTGCTTTCCCCGTCGAGGGTCTTGTTGCATGCCACCCATTACTTGCAGCCGTCGCGGCAGAAACAGTGAGTCCTCTGTCTGGATCTGGACCCCAGAGGCTAATGGCACAGTCAGTGTTACGAGAATACTCTTCATGATACCTGTCTATAGCGGTAGCAATCTCCTTGCTGCCATATAATATAGGCACAGTGTCTACTTCCTCCTCATCGGCAACGCTTGCGCCGCTTTTGGCCTTGCGTCTTTCTTCAACTTTTTGAACTCGTAAATAGCCCCGGATCTCCATCAGCAAAAGATTTCCTTCAGGACTACTACACCAAATAAATTGGGGTGGCCTATATCTTGGCTACAAAAGTGAGAGGCGGCGCTACCAGGGACTTTTTCGCAACCCGCGGAGCGGTCTGACATGGTTTAATGTAAGAGAGCCACGAGGATTCTAGGATTGTTTCTCACTTTGACAGATCATCTTCTTTGGAGTGTTTCAATACTGTTTTGTCCTAGTGATTACATCAGTCGCTGTTGTCATTGATCAAATCTTCAACCGCTATTGCATCGATGCTCCACTTCAACCTGACCTTGCTCATATATGGGGATTTGGATGCACGATCACTAATGGTCACTGCTTTGCCGAATTGTCACGGATTTTGGTCTTCAATACCGCCTCCGCTGTCGTTTTATCCTACGTCAGTTGTCCCTGCTCCCCAAACCTCTTACCGTTCAGACCCAATACATATCTAGAAAAATTGTCTTAGATTAAATTCCCTCGGACACCATCAACCCAAATTTTCGGTGGGATATCTCCTCGTTCTAACGCCTTTAGAGTGGCTTAATCAATACCATTCGCAGAATGTTGCGATGTTCGCCAATGGAACACCAAATTGCAAGTTTTCTGTATCAATATCGTGCTCTATGTCTCGACTTACCAGAATGTATTGTATCCCCATGGGTTCCATCGTCGCACCTGCTGGCTTGGAACTAGTTGCTCATAAGCATTTCTGAGCTTAGGCGCATTCAAGGCCACGAAGTATGTCCAAACCCCGGACCTCAGCGTCTCCCTGGCAGCGACCCTGCTTTGCGCAGAGATGGCTATCGTCTCTTTACTCCATGTCTGGGCCTACTCGCACCGTCCATATGTCAAAGACTCAAAGTGGGTAGTGGGTGAGGATGGCCTGACGACGAGCGGGTACAAGGGCGGCCCTTTCGGCGTCTAAGTCTTGGTCGACGCGCTGAACTGGTGGGATATCTTGAAGGCCATAGGACGTGCGGCCAAGTGGGTGTGCGTTGGTCGCAAGCGCCGATATCAAGACGCCAGCTACGGGGTAAACTATCCTGAAGACTCTGACTTCGAGGGGACGCATCGCCGCCACAACTGGAGCAAACCAACGGATTTAGGCTCTGCAATACCTTACAAAGGCGCCCGCGTTGGAGACGAACGAGCAGAGGGCCTACTCAGCAGCAGTGGGCTTATGGGACACGGCGATTCACCTATGGCCCAGCGGTGGGAGGTTGGAAACGCCGATCGGGATGATTATGATACCAGCGATATCGGTCTAGCTACTCCACGCCATCCACCCTTCCACTCTTCAGGCTATCAATAGGTCCTTGCTCACGCAATAATATTCATTGACCTTATCCTTTTCCAGTCTGAGAATCTCTTCTCTGTCGACCCAAGTGGCCGTAGTGTGTACAGTTTCGTATGTCAACAAGGTTGCTCTCAGTGACAAAATATTCATATCTTTTCATGGTAGAAACAAGGGCTATCATTCACGGGATGTTATTATGCAGACGGTTGTCTCTTGGACGACAGATCTGTGGGTCTGTGCTGTGCAGACTCGGTCCATCCCCGTGAGCCCTCGCCTCGCTAACTACTCCCCTGAGCATCTCCCGAATACCTGTCGAAAAATAGACTGAGCTAGGGCCTAATCTAGCTTCCTAATGACCGACTATCTACCTTCCAACAAGGCTTGTTTTGATAATTTATAATAAACCCTAGTAAGTTCCTATCCTTAACGCTACCATGGAATCGCATCAGAAGTTGCTCTAGAGACGCAGAATCTTAATTGAGGCACTGACCGACTCTGAGCGTCTGATCTAAGCACATAATCTGATTTGGAGGAAAAGGCCGTTAGTGAGCGGTGTTTAGGGTCCATGAGCGGCTTCCTCTAGTCGTCTACGAGGAAATGGATGCTTACGAGGTTAGACACATCAGGTGGACTTCTCATCAACATACGCCCGAAGCCCATAATGTGTCCAAAATAAGGACAAGTCCCTGCTCCGCACCTTTTGCAGCTTTCAAAATTCCCGCGTCGGGTTGTCACACATCAGAGCCAATTAGGCTGCTGGCCCGGGTCGCCAACGAGCATTTGACTCTGTGTCGGACCTGGGGTTTGGATCGAATCGGGGCCCAATCGGGCCCATTACCCTGCCCTCGCTGCCGCGTTCTAACCAAGAAGGTATTATGTTGCGGCATGCTGTTGGACGAAAGGTCCGTGATAACTTGATCGATTGACTACGAGAAGAGAGAACACTACGGTATCTAGTGGCAGAGACCTTGTGTGTGGAGAATTCTGTAGTGCGCTAGGATAACCTGTCCTCTATGGTCGGGAGTCAACACTTGCTGCCGGGTCCTTTGGCCAGCTGTCAAAAGTCACCGGTGTTTTCTTTTGTTACCTTACAAAATACCGGCGCAGGAACTTTGGCCAAACCCCGTATTGTTTGCCTCATTCGGGACCTCGAACATGAATTACCCCTGGGCCTTTTGTTTCGTCACCAAACACCAAGGCGGTGTGAACAAAGTTCGACACTATGGGTCGTCTCCTGCTTTCATCCTTGGTTTGACGCAGAGCTTCGTGGCTCCCGGTTCTAGATACTATCCCGGGACATCAACAGGCTCGTTCTGCTGCAGTATATCTCAAATCTTCAATCATGGTCGAACGCACCATGTTTCTCTATGTGGCCATTTCGCTGTTTTGATTCCTGGCCGGCATAACGTACACACCCTCTATTGAAATACTCCAATCCCCCCTGAGTGTCGTAAGGGTTGGAAGCTATTCGAATGCCGCCACCTACAACTGTGTTGGAGACTTTCGCGGGCTAAGTCTTCATTATGGCGGTAGAAGTCGAGGCGAGGGCGCTGGTTGAAAGCATAAGATCAAAGCTTTGGTGCTTGGTCACAAATGAGTTTGTTTCTACCTTGAACGAACTACTCAAGTATGCTGGTGTTGGCGCGGCCAAATTAGTGCCTTCGCCATGCTGACCCTCGTCTAGTGTCACCGTCGACCTCCACGACAATTCGGCGCAATTCCTGCTAGAATTGCTCCAGAATGCTGACGATAGTGAATTCACATGCACTGATCCGATGGTGAAACTTACATACAGGCCTGGTAGCCTACGTGTAGACTGCAACGAGACAGGCTTCTCGGAGGAGAACGTGAGAGCAATATGTGATATCAAGAAGAGTACGAAACGCTTCAAGAGCGATGCCAGTCGGTACACTGGCGAAAAGGGTATCGGATTCAAGAGTGTTTTCAGGGTTGCAAGTCAAGTCTGGATCTGCTCCGGTCACTACCGCTTCAAATTCAACAAGCACGAACCGCTTGGTATGATCACACCAACGTGGTCAGACTTCCCAGAAGCAAGCCTTCCAGGTTTCACATCCTTCTACCTCAAGCTCGACGAAGATTACGATGCATCAGATCTTGAGCAAAGACTGCGCACTTTTGAACATGTCTCCCTGCTATTCCTCAGGAAAATTCGCGAGATTGACCTCCGCATTCAACTCTCAGATGGTACGTATCTGTCCCGCAACATTCGAAGGACCGATTCTGGAACCGCCCGCGAGCTCTCAGTCTCTCAGCGTTCAGTGACGCAAAACTTCCATTACCTGGTCGAACATCATCACATTCTTTCGTTGAGTCCTGTTAAGGCTCGACCAAACCACGTGCAATCGGAGCTAATACTGGCGTTTCCCGCTGACCTCTCTTCTTGGGATGTGCGATCATTACGACATAATGTGTATTCATTCCTACCAGTAAACAATTACGGTTTCAAGGTAAAATTCCTAGCTCTCAGTTGAACCCAATAGGACTGACCACTCCCTTAGTTTGCACTCCAGGGCGACTTTCTACTGACCGCTAACCGACAGCAAATCGACACCTCATCCCCCTGGAATCAGAGCCTTCGAGACGGCGTGGCGGATGCATTTGTGCGAGCTGTTCGACGCTTCAACAGTGATGAAAGCCCCATCAAATATCAGTGGCCGCTCTATGTTCCCGGGCCTGGAACGGCCGACTTTTTCCAGGAAACCCGGACTTCTATTCTGGCAAATTTGAACGCTGAGCCAGTCCTAGAGACTTATGCTCAAGGCATGGCCAAACCCTCAGAGCTAACCTATGTGGATCCTGAAAGATATGCGGATCGAAAGGGAACGCCTTTCACTCTGAGCTCTTCCACCGAGACACGCTACCTTTCATCAAAGTACTCCACTAGTGCTATTACGTCAATCCTATCGTCGTTTAGCGTCCGCCACCTCAGTAGTGAGCAGTTCTTCAGCGATCTTAGGTCGATGATCGTCAGCGACGCCCCAAGCTATCGCCGTCGCGAAGCCTCGTGGCACGCACAGCTCGCAAGAATCTTGATCAACCTCAATTTAGTCGTGAGACACAAGGGTACCCTACGAGAACTATATATCATCCCCCTTGCCAATGGGCACTGGACCTGCGCAGCGACACAACCAGTCTTTGTCTCCGAAAGCCATCGGCACGCCAATCTCTCAGCTCACCACGCGGGCTTTCAGGTAGTGGACCACGATATTATGGAACAGGTAGATCGACGTGAACTGTTTGAGAAATTGGGAGTCGCAACAGTCACAGATACTTTATTGTGCGAACACATTAGCGTCCTCCATGCCTCCCGCACTTTCAGGCCAGAGCTATTCACCCGCACACAGTTGATCTTCCACGCAAGACTCCTATACAAGGAACGATGGATTCCCACCGACCTATGGCTCGTAGCCTCTGATGGTCAATACCTTAAAGGTTCCAAGCTCTACATACCTGGCGGCTTCAAGAACAACTCTCCTACAGCCAAGGTGTTTCGTCGACTACCCGAAATCTTTCCGCTGATACACCCAGAATACATTTCAAGCTCAAATGGGGATAAGAGATTCATCTCATATTTGATTCATAACCTTTATCTTTCGAAGGTACCGCGGCTTGTGACGTTTTCCAAAGCATCGAGAGGAGGCTTTAAGCTGTCCGACGAGTTCAAGACCATTTTCGAAAAGTGTCCAACAGCCGATGCTCTAGGTGTTTTGCATGATCATTGGAGTGTTTACTATCCATTTATAAGGCCAGATACGTCAGAAGAGCTTGCCGATGAGCTGTCTACATCGAGAGATGCTTTAGTAAAAGCTATCCGCAGTCTCAAGGTGGAAACAAGCAATGGCCAACAATATCTTTCAACCACTGTCATCCCTGGACTGGATCCTGTTCTAGAGGAAGACTTTGACCATTGCACGATGCCTGTCCTAACGATGGATAAACGTAAGGCCAGAGACATGCGCCCAATGCTTGAAAATTTCGACGTGTACGTGCACAATGATGTTTCCTATTACATCGATTGTCTCATTTGGATCAAAGAAACAGCCCGTCCGCAGAAGGAAGCCTTCACACATATCTATGAGGCGCTGCAGTCGCGCTTCGATAGCAATGATGACCCGATTGAGTGAGCTCAAACCACATATGGTCAACAACAGCTAACAAAAGCACAGGGACCTGTTCAAAGAAAATGCTCTAATCTACCTTCCATCAGTTGACCAGCGATTAAAGCGTGGCCGAACGAAAGAGTCGAGCTGCTGGTTCACCGTTGACGAGTGCGCAAACCTTGGGAAAACTCCCGAGAAAGAGTACCCTAGCTGCCACAGTTTTTTCCGCTCCTTATTGGTTATGGCACAGGGCCAGCTCCCAACTCTGGTCCAAAAAGCAGCATCTGTCAAACCCTCGACCAAGCTCAACGAGATCACTGAGTGCTTCTTGCAATTAAGCAAGGTAATGCCAGAGATGAGCGCCCGAGGATTTCGTCGCACTGTACGACTTCTTCGAAACAAACCAATACTTCCAATCACCATGAAAGGCAACCAGTCGACTCTCCCTAACTTCTATGCTGCTGACGACACATCGAAATGGTTTATTGCAGACAGATCTCACTTACGTGGGAGTTTCATTGGTGTCGTGCCTCTTCTAGCCTTTTCAGTTTCTGATGTTGTTGCCATGGAAGACCTTCTGAGAGCGTTGCAACTGGACGCTCGGAGGCTATCGAAGCTTGCGCAGAGCAACACAATTGCACATCGACCATTCAAGTTTTCCGACTCCAAGTCAAAATACATTCGCCGTCGTGTCCCCTTCATTGATGTGTAAGCACCGTCAAATTGAGATACATTCCTGCGCGTTCGCTATTGAGCACGTTCTCTTGGGTTCTTGTCCGCTGACGTATATTTGCGTATTAGTTTAATCCCAAAGTCCAAATCCGATTCTGAGAGGGAGAGGATATTGAAACAGTTGAACAATATCCGCGTCAGTACGGCTGACGCAATCATAACAACCTATAAAATCAGCCACGAAGGACATCAATACAAAGGCACGGGTTGTAAAGCTCGCGCAGCGGCCTCCTTAAGCAACAACACCTTGCAGATCTACGTCCCAGAACATGAGAACACTTCCAGATACCCTTCTTTCGAGCTTGTAGATGAGATTGCGAAGCACTGTGGTATCGACACTCCGGCTAGCGTGACATTGTTGTATGCAGCGCTTGGTGAGGACAGTATTGCAACTTCTCAACTAACATTTGAAAAGAGTGGGCTTCATGTCGCTCTTCCAAATTCTGGTATGCAAGCTTCCCATTCAGGTCAATTCCAGCGTAACCAAATATTTGAGATAACAAGACAAATGTAGGCGAATCCTCTTCGGCCCGCTGGTTAAGTCTTTCGGGGGGTCTCGTGAAGGTCCCAAATCCCCTTCGATACACCGATAGCGATGATGATTCCACGAGCGGCTCTGATTGGGCAGGTCCATTTGACGGTTTTACGCTGCGACTTGGACGTAGAAAATTGAAGAAAAGAGCCGGAAACCACAGACATGGGAAATTTGCCGATAGGCGATTGAAGATGATGAATATTATCGACGGCGAGATCGACTTCTCTGATGATCTTACTGACGGCAAAACGAGATGGTACTGGAGCCAGTGCCCCGACCCGGACCGAGAGCTGCAGTATCTAGGAGAGCGTCTGGTAGGTAGTATCACACCTGAATGAGCTTCTCTGCTGACACAGCCTTTCAGCTGTCTCAAGTCTTTGAAAATGAGTTGGGACGCTTCTACGACCCGAACATCCATTGGGTCAGTCCCCTGAGGACACGGGCTGGACTTCCAGGTTTTGGAGAGAGGGAGGATCATTCTTGGGCCTCGAGTTTCCCCTTCATGCTGGTGGGTGATAGCATGGGAGACGCCGCAAGGAATTTCCTCCTCCCGAGAGCTCCTGCAAACCTCATCCAGCGGATAAAGGAGTCCAGAGTCTTCTTTTTTGAAATTGCATCCTCTGGCTATGGCTCGGATGCCTCCATACCTTGGAGTACAACACAAATGGAAAATGTGAGTGTGATGCCTCTGCTGAATTCTCTATCCGCTTCACATATCAGACTGTCTAATCTTGACGTTGCGGCACCTTTGCTGCGACCATGTGGAAGCTTGGCTAAACTTCATGGCAGATACACAATTTCTGGCTCAATGAAATGCTGAATGAGTCAAGTGGCCTCATGTTGATTCTCGTTCGGATTGGCGACATGTATACACATCCTTATTTCGAATATCATTTCCAGCCTTGGGAGCTTTTCGCATCTGGGATCCTGAAACTTCGACCTGGCTGGGCCTGCGAAATAATAGAGACCATGGTAGAGTCCTCAATGCCTAGGGTTGCTGGTTCTAGGACAGCTGCAGCGGGGCACAGAGCGATCGAAAGCAATCAACACAGTGTTTCCACAATGCAAGCACAAATTCTGCCTGATTTATGCCCCTGGAGAACACCGGAAACGGGTGGCACTTTCTTCGCCAAAGATGTCAAGTCTACGTATAACTACCAGCCTCTGAGGGAGGGCGAAATCCGCTTGCTAACGGTTTTTCCCGGGGAGCCAACCGATCCTCTTCGTGGTATGATCTGTACCGTTGCATTCGAACATGCAGGAATCTATAAGACGCTATCCTACACCTGGGGCGAGGAGAACCAGAGCATGCATAGGCTTTCGATGCCAGATGGAGACTTACTCATCCGAACCTCGCTCGATGCGGCGCTCCGCAGGCTACGGCGGAGGGAGAATTCGATCGCCCTCTGGGTAGATGCCATCTGTATCAACCAGCAGGACGAGATTACCGAGAAACCAAGCCAGATTCGTCTTCTTGGCCGCATTTTCCAGGAAGCCAATTGCACCTTGGCTTTCCTGGGGGCAGACCAGGAGAGCAGTTGTGCTATTGAAACTTTGATGCAAATCAGGGCAAAAGGAATTTATGGCACTTGCGAGAAGCACTGGCCAAAGTGTTTGCCAGCGTGTGCGCCCTCGTGGAGCGAGATGAATATTCCCCGAGCGGAAGACCCTATTTGGCAGCAAATCGTGGCCTTCTTTCAACGTCCATGGTTTCGAAGAGCCTGGGTGGTGCAGGAAGCAATTGCAGCGCCGGTAGTAAAAGTGGTGTGTGGCAAATGGATCATCGACTGGGACGACCTTTTCCTCGCCATTGAGCATGTCGAGCGAGACATAAAATGCATCCCAAAAGTTGACCGGACCGCTTGGCAACCGTTCCTAACCCTGGCTAGGCATCGCGAATGGGAAGCGCGGCACACTCGCTGGTCATTGATTCGAATGCTAGAGACATTCAGGCATGTCGAATCAGGACGAATGCGAGATCGGTTATTTGCTTTGCTTGGCCTTGCGGCTGACGGCGACAGAGATGAGTTCGAGCCAGACTATCAGAGCGACTTCGAAGTTATTGTTAGTCGATTTGCCGAGGCTTTCGTGTGCGATGGACACGGTATAGAGCTCCTCACTCGGGCTGGTCTCAACCCCCAGTCTGATCGATTCCCCTCCTGGATACCTGACTGGACCGTGCCACGACAGATTAGCCTTTCAGACTCCTTCGACCGGGGCGGTGTTTACAATGCGTCCGGAGACTCCGAGGGAGAGTTTTCCGTCACAAAGGAGCAAGACTTCCACGAAATTTGCGTCCAAGGAGTGCTCTTGAGCCATATCGTGGAGGTGAGCAAAAATTCTAATTTGCCGGACGGTGGCGATTCCTTCAAAAATTTGAAAATGTACATTCAAGAAGTCGACAAAATGGTCGACAAGTATTTGTCTCAACAGAGTGAAAGCGACCGCGAACGTGTGAAATGGCAGGTTCCCATTGCATATGTCGAGCCCGAAGACCCCGATGTGATCGCGTCGTCAAAGGCACTGCGAAAAATCTTGAAGAAGGACAAATACCAAGGTTCCAAGAAGCAGGGTTTGGTGCAGAAGGCCATTACCTCCTACCTCGAGGCTGATCCCAACATATTGGAGCCTGAATCAGCTGCTCCGGAGGAGGAATGCTCAGCCGCAGACGACGGGCTCGTTGGGCTTGTTGAAAAGAGCAAAGCCTACCTGTCGCTCCTCAAGGGCCCCGTGCAAGGGTGGAGATTTGTTGTGACAAATACGGGCCTGGGGGGAGTGGCACCAAATATCGTGAGGCGAGGGGACCGCATTTCTCTCCTGAATGGGGGCAAAGTCCCCTTTATCTTGAGGCCGAGTGATCAAAGGCCCGGGGCGTTTCGACTGGTGGGGGAGTCTTTCTTTCTAAACTTGATGGATGGAACATGTTTCAAGGCGGTGGACAGAGAGTACAGCACTCATATCCGAATTCATTGACGTCTCAAAGTGCGCGGCGAGATTTTCGAAAGGGCCACGGGATATATATCCCATAGATACAGTAGCAGTGGATTTTTGTGTTGGGCCAACGGCAGGAACACCACGGGTGGCTGCATTGAAGGCGTGGTGGATGACGGGTTCGAACCACATCATGAGAGATATTAGATACGCGATCAGAGAATGAACAAAAAGGGAGACAGCCGACAAAAGTTCCAGTTTTCCCGTTTCGGTAGTCCGTCGGCTCCGGCATCCTGGTCGGCTTGGCAAACTCGGCCTCGACTGCAGGTATGTATCTATCATCAGGAGGTATATACATGAGTATATATACACCAGCATCATACGTCTTGTCTCCTACCGTGCTGTGTCGACTCTCTTCTCACCCCATGCTCATTGATCCTTAGGCCTCACCTATGAACCCCTCGCAGTACCTGACAATCCGGTAGGGTCGGCGGCTGACCCCGGAGAAAGGATGTCTTCTTACTACGATGTCGACGCCATCTTGACCGACTCGCAAAAACTGCCCTGCACGTTCGAATTGGACGTGCCTGGCCTCGGATATATAGAGGGCAATGCCGGTGGCACGGTCAGTTAATGCCCCTGTGTCTTTGGTCGCGTCTGAAGGAAACGAGCACGCGTGTGCTGATGTACAGACGCGCAGGTTAAGGCGGGCACGAAGGTTGATCTGCCCATGTGGCTGGGCGTCATGCTGGCGGTGTCTACAGGGTAAGTTTCCACGCTTCCTTCCACAAGGCGCAAAAAGCGCTTGAGAAGAGAAAGTGCCGATTTTGATCTTTGGGCTCGTCTTCGATCAGAAACACGCCCGGCTCTCCGCAGCTCGTCACGTTGGATTTCCCGGCGCCGCTTCAACAGCGCGTCATCAACGCGCTGAAGGCAGATCCCAAAACCGTCGATCTGCGCGCCCAAGCACCGCACTTCTACGCCCTCGGAGCACGAATCATGGAGTTGTTCGACGATCGTGCCGTGTTGGACACTTTGTTAGACGTGAGTGATTCTCCATTTTCCTTGCCCCCTGTTCTCGCGTTGCGTTGTATGATTCTAGTCTCGGAAATCCGATATTGATGCGAGCGGTGTGTGGGGCGGGTTAGACATTCAAAGAACGAGCGGCAGAAATCGCAGATCAGGCGCACAATCCCCGCGGCGTGTTGGGTGAGGGAGCAGAGTTCCTGCGAGGGTTGGACGAGAGTGAGCGGCAGTTATTCAAAGCAGCGCACGAGGGTCCGAAAGCCGTCAGAGCCTGGACGCAGGATTTGAGGAAGAATACTTGACACCGTGAATGATGGATGATGGAGAATGACACGCTTGTACGCGACATGACGGAGTTTGCAGGATCGACAAGACAGTGATAAGGAGAAAAGCAGTAGCTCGCATCCCAAGAAGACACTCCTAGCCAACACCCCCCGCAGCTTCTTTGACCTTTGTATGCTCCGGAGGCTCATCCACGAACTGGGGCGGAGCGACTTCATCCTGCAAGAAACCCGGTGTGCTCTCGCCGATGCCCATCTCCTGCTCAAACATCATATCCTCGCCCAGCGCCTCGAGCTCGGCATCCAACTCGGCCTCGTCAACTTCGTCAGGCACGTCGTAAGCGCGGCTTATGCTTTCGTTGATCTCATTGCCAATCTCCATCAGATCTGCCATTTCATCCTGCATCTGTTCAATCTTGTCAATGTTGATCTTGCCATACTGTTGCTTCAGCGCCTTGTTCGTCGTCTTCATCGCGTCCACGGTGGTCATGACATTCTTCAAGTTGTCCTGCATCACCCCGGCCTGTTCCATGTTCCACGACTGCTGCTGGAGCTGGTCCCGCTGAGATTCGTACATTTTGCGCCGCTGGAGGACCTTGAGGGCTTTCTGTTTTATTGCCTGTTTCCCGGGGCCGTCGCGCATTTTGGAGAGCTTCTGTTGGTACGTGGAGAGCTCGGCATTGATTTTGGCGAGCTTGACATCGATGGAGTCGATTCTTGTATCTACCTGCGGTAGGGTCAGACTCTCCCAAGTCGCCCGGAGGGGGAGAGGGGGGGGGCTTACATTTTGTATGGCACTGTTCAAGGAGGGCTTTGGGGCCGTATTCTTTGACCCGAAGAGGCGATTCATCTTTGCGTGAGGTATGGGATTAATGGATACGCGCGGTCATTGGAGGAGATGCGGGGAAGATGTGGTCGTCGTCGTCTGTGCGTGAGGGTGTCGTATGTACCAAGCAGATGAAGCAACAAACCGTGAAGGGTTAAAGGCTTGAGGCTGCCTGTCTCGCTGCATGGCTTTCCAGGTGCGTCATTTCGCTCCGACATTTATCCGGCGGCATCCACTGCAAGCACTGCAAGCTCACCAAGCTCGCTCACTCCTCTGCTCCCTCCCATCTCACCTCGCAATTACCTACCCAGTATCCTGGCCCCCATACCCAGTAGACCGCTATCGGAGGCATCTACTTGTATTTTAAGATGCGCATTCCTATTTAAACTCTGTCAATGCCGTTTGCGAATTATGAATTCCCGATCTGGATGCTCAACGACGCCAATTCATTCCCCCACGGCAAGCTGCTGTGGCAAAAGCAGGGCTGTATAGCAACGTGGCAGTTGTAACGGGAAGGCAGAGAGGCCAGGGGTAAGGATCGTCCCACACGGGATGCAGGTATTGACTTATTACAGATCTACAGATGCGCAAATTGAGTCATATCCTGGTCATGTTCCTGCTGCCCAACGCTTTTGGCAGATGATCCTGGAAAGGTCGCACGTGCCTTGGGGGCCCCTTTTTCCTCTGCCACTCGAAGCCATCTCATCGGCATCTGGTGTCACGCTCTCCCATGCGACACGGCATTTCTGATCTCACTTGTCGGTGTTTGGACCGGTTGGAGGTGTGGGCTTCACTGGAAACAGTTAAGAAGTCTGGGGGCCGGCTGGCCGGCGGCTTGCTTTTCGGCACCCCTCTAGGGAGCCATGTGGCATGGACATTTCGTGGCGGGCAATAATAACTACCAGGCGAGCAGGATAGCACGGGTAGGGTACATGGTTGGGCGCAGTTTGAGGGAAAAAGGGGGCCGCTTTGTTTGTGGAGGCGCCGGCAAAAGGGCCACACGGCGTTGGCCAAACGGGAGTAGCAACTCAGTCCAGAATGGAGCGAGATCCTTGTTCTCGTGCCCAAGTCACTCGACACTCGGTACCCAGTACTTCGTACTTCCCGTCTCCTTCCCTTCGCTTGCCTCTCTGTTTGCGCCCCGTGCTGCTTGTACTGTAGCACAGCTCTTGTCACTATTCTCAGTGCTTGTATCACAGTCTCTCCAAGGCACCAAGCATAATACCACCGCTCCTAGCTCCCAGACACTGGGTGCTGCATTGCATGTAAACCCGAGATTTGTGATTGCGTTGCCAAGTTCGCGCGGGCCTCTTGTCTGTCGCCTTTCGTCTTTGGCCTTTCGCCTCTTTTTTTGTTGCCCGCCGAATCTCCAACCAGTCACCGCAATCATCCCACAACATACAAACCACCGAGCACGGTGCCTCTCTCTCGCGCGCGCCCGTATCTCCTCCATCTCGAAAACAAACTCTTCCCCGTGAAAAACGGTCCTTGGACTCACGTCTTTGACGGTTGTCCCGACTTCTTTTCCAGTCACTCCTTTGTAACAACAGGTAAACATACCGCCGTCGCAAAATCCGAGCCCCCGGCGACTTCGAACACCGCCATGTTCTCTGTTGATCACCTTCTGCGTGTGGTTCCAAAGAGCTGACTTGTTGAGATTGATACTAGCGCTGGACCGCCTGTCTATGTCTTAATAATTCAATTCACGAGTTACGACTTCCCACGGCTTGGTTCTTGACGACCACACCCCTCCGTTACTGTATCATTACTAAGACCTCTTGCGTTCCTCCGGTCGCGTCCGAATCGCAGCCGCAACCATGTTTTGGCGGTTTGGAGGCTACTCCAATATATCTTCTATCGATACCCTTCTTGATAAGCCCAATGTCAAGCTTGAAGACTTGCTGGAAGAGTCCGATCTCATTCAGGAGCTGAAGTCACACCATACAAAATTGATAGAATACCTGCGCGACGAAACGAACCTCCATGCTCTCCTGAACTACGTTGTGGCGCCGGGGCCCAAGGTTGACTCCAACGAGAATGAAGAGGATGAAAAGGGCAAAGGCCTTGCGACGGATAATGAGGATGAGCCGGAGCCTCTGGAAGAAGAGCAGGAGAAAGCCGAGAAGAAGCGGTTGAAATTTGCCTTTGTCGCCTGTGAGATCTTGTCTTGCGAGACCTGGTCAATCACAGAGTCCCTGATGGCCAACACCCCTTATCTCACCGAGTTCTGGGACTTTTTACGACGGCCGGCGCCACTAGACCCTCTCCAGGCAGGCTATTTCACAAAGGTCAACGAGACTCTACTAGAGAAGAAGACTGAGGAAATGCTGGAATTTTTCAAATCGCTTCCGGGAATCGTTCCTGCCATTCTCCAGCATGTTGATTGCCCCATGGTGATGGACCTGTTGTTGAAAATCATCAGTCTGGACAGGTCAGATGGCGGCATGGGCATCGTTGACTGGCTTCATGGGCAAGACTTGATCCCCATGCTCCTTTCTAACCTATCGCCCGAATGCAACTCCTCGACTCAGACTTCTGCTGGGGATTTTTTGAAAGCCATCATAACTATATCTGCGAACGCGGCTCAAAATGAGCAATCTTGTATTGGGCCGAACGGCCTGACGCGCCAACTGGTCTCGGAAAAGTGTATACGACAGCTTGTATCATACATGCTCAAAGGTGGGAACCCGCTTACAGTGGGCGTGGGAATTGTGATCGAAGTTATCCGGAAGAACAACTCCGATTACGATCCTGATCAAGGCCACAGCGCTGACGCTCCCCCGACCAACCACGATCCGATCTATCTCGGCACCCTTCTGAGATTGTTTGCGCACCATGTTCCAGATTTCATGAGCCTCATACTCAGCTCCAAGCATACGGTTACCAAAGGCGAGGAGACAACCGTGGCAGAGAGAGGTCAACTCAAATCGGCGTGGGGAACACAGATTGAACCCCTGGGCTTTGACCGATTCAAAACCTGCGAGTTGATGGCCGAATTACTCCACTGCAGCAACATGGGTCTTCTGAATGAGAGAGGCAGTGAAGAATTCATCAAGGCCAGAGACGCCGAAAGAGAGAGATTAAGAGAGCTTGGGGCTTTTGTGTCGAACAAGCAATCGGAGGATTCCACCGTCGACATCTCGGCGAGTTCGTCGAGGTTCGAAAATGCGTTCACACCCTCGGGGTCCACCTCGACAGAAGAACTACGCATCGCGAATCTGAACGACGAGGATGGTTTCGAGAAGGTTGCTGTTTCCGACGCAACAGATCTCTCTTTAGGCTCGAAACAAGATTCGGCTGAACAGCCGATATCGCCTCTCCAATCTCACAATCAACCGACGACGCCCACCAGCGCGCTGGATGAAACTGTCCGCCGTCTAAGTCTAGAAGACACCGACATGACCGCCCCCGACGAGCACGAACCAAATATTCAGACATCGGCTCGCGAGTCTCAGTTTGAAGACATCTCACCGCATCCAGAAGACAAACCTGAACCACTGTTCGCAAAATCGTCAGATCCCAACAAGACACCCACAGCAAATAGCCCAGAGCCCCCTACAAGCCCGTCGACCGCAAAAGCCCGACTTGATGAAACGGGTTACGGAGGCCAGCCAGAAGGAGAATCGTTCCAATCGGCCCAAGATGACACAATGGAGGTTGTCAAGCCCGACCAACTCGGTGCTGATGAAGCGCCAGTGGTGGGAGATTACTTAAAGATCATGTTTGTGGAGAATAGGGTCGTTCCAACGATCTTGGTGAGCAACCATGTGTTCACTGCTGCGTTCAGTGGGAGATGCTAATGCTGGACAGAGTTTCTTCTTCCGCTTTCCTTGGAACAACTTTCTCCACAACGTTGTTTATGATGTTGTGCAGCAAGTTTTTAACGGGCCCATGGACAGGGGCCACAACCGATTTTTAGCATTTGATCTTTTCGAAACTGGACGCATTACTGACGCGATAATTGAAGGCCAGAGACGAAGCGATGAGGAACAACGAACGAGGAATATGCGCCTGGGATACATGGGACACCTAACCCTAGTAGCAGAAGAAGTCGTTAAATTCGGCGAACGTCACCCCAGAGAATTGCTGTCGCCTATGGTTCAGGACTACATTTATTCCCAAGCCTGGGAGGAATACGTTACCAAGACACTTGCCGAGACCAGGGAACGCGACAATGCTATCTTGGGAGGGTTCCGACCTGATAACGGTCTCGGTCCCAGACAAGCTGTTCTGAATGCTGTCAATGCAGGTCAGGGCTTTGGTGTTTCGAGCGGATTGGCTGGCGTTGGGTTGGGCGGCGGCCAACATGCTCTGGACAGCATCGATTTGTCCAACAACGGCAGCGCCACTAGTGCCGGATACAATTCAAGTGGGTCGGTTTCCAGTGGTTTTGGAAGCTCCTCAGACGATGATGACGAAGATATGGATGATGTGGAAGATGAAGAGCATTCAAGGGCAGTGACTCAACTTTCTGCTGCTGATAGCGGTCTTTCGGCGGAGAACGTAAGTGGGACCAATACAATTCGCCGATTGTTTATTTTTTAGGCTAATGATGCTCTGCTTCTGGAAACAGTCTGATCAGCCAATACCTTTACTTCCACCTCCACCAGCACCACTCAACATCGAGCCATCACGTGCTCGCAGACGGTTGGCTGATCGGTTAGCGAGACATAAACAAGAGGCTGAGCAAGAATTGGCTGCGTCCGAGTTCGGTTCCGAAGCTGACGACCCATTCGCTGCGCTTGGGAATGGCGACGACAACGATGCAGGCGATCCGTTTTCGTTGGACGAAGAAGAACAAGATATTACGTCGTTTGGGAAGCGAAGCAATATCAACTCTCTTAACCCAAGCACAGGAGATCACCACAGCTTTTCAGTTAGCAGAGGACTGACCAGTTTGTTTTCTTCAACCCCGAGTCGAGATATGCAAGGACGAACCTCGCATGATGATTTTGATGGGTCGCTAGATGATTCGTCATCTGAAGGATCTGGTTCTGACATTGACTCGGAAAACCCACCCCTGGAAGCAAGGACGAGCCTCGAGCGGCGCCCACTGGAAGTTTTTGAGGACGAAGAAATGGGAGAAATGGTGGCTCCAACGGAAGAAGTCAACAGCAATAGTTCTGACGAGGAAGTGCTGAGTCCGTTGGAGAAAGAGAAGTTGGAAAATGCGTATGGAATGAACGATGATCCCGACGAGCAGGACTCGGAGTTCGCGGGACAAGCGGACCATGATGACGATGATGAGGATCATTTGGTTGAGATTGCGATCCCTGCAAGCTCGAAGAGGAGATCGAGAGGTTGATGTTTGCCTACAATCTGGATTTCCTTGATGCTGAAGGGGAATCGGACGCGTATGGATGGCAACGGAGCTCTCCGTCGATTCCATGGATCCGATGAGCTCCCACAAGGGGCCCAAACAGATTTGCACCAGCCAGCAATGAGCGGATGGAAGATACAGTGTACAATTACCGCATCTTTTGTGATACCCCCATACACATTCGGTCACGAGGTACAGCATGGAAGGTTTTGAGCACAGATCAAGGCGCGGCATGCAGCAGATGAGAGATGCGCCAACAAATCCATGCCTTTCAGACGAAAGAGTGAGGTTTGGATGAGATGGATGTACACACGAGCGGATGTCTAATAGTTTTTGGAGACTAGCACTTTCAGAGGAGATGGTGAGGTCGACGGAGGTTGCAGGCAGTGAATGCACTGCTTGAAGCGGAGAGAAGGCTGCGGGGAATCCGTGAGCATATCCCAGCCGTGGTTTCTCTTTCGCACCTTTTCGAAGTGACGGCAATTTACTCTGCGGATGGGGGTGCAGTTAGTTGTGTACGATAGTGGCTCTACGACGCGGATGTATTCAAGATGAAGTAAACGGAGTGAGTGAGTGAGTGAGTGAGTGAGTGAATGAGATGAGGATTACTAGACTTATCTGCCTGAAGGCTTCTGGTACCTCCTAGGGAATAGGCAACACATTCACCAGCTACATACTTACTAAGTACCGAGATTACTTACCGACGAAAAATCTATACTCTAAATACGGTTCGATCCTACTAAGTAGATGGTGAGCGAAGGCCGCTTTAATCTGAGCTCTCCCTGAGTAGTAGCGCATTAAGCTACTGGGTACAAGGGGGCCCGATCCGGCTCTCTAGCGATCGGCTACACTTGCCTCGCAGCTACAGCAGACATCTACTTGTATTTCAGCTAAGCCTGGTGACCAGCCTTAGTGAGCTTTGCAAGGCCCCGCCCCTACGTTGCTGCCTAAAATTTTTTTCCTGCCGAGTGTCTGTCAATAGACTCCCGCTACCTATCACTGGCCACCGCGCCTGTGTTCCACCACCGTCCATAAGTACCCTCGAGTAGCTCTGCACTGTCATGACGATCCTCGTCTTTCGTCTTGTACAGTACATACCTTCCAGTGCATCAAGATAGCAATATCACGTGTCAGATCCCTTTGGCTCTTCCAGTGTATTTCGCTTGCCTATGTCCTGGCAGCCTACCTAGGAATAGGGCAAATCTGTCCCTTCCGTAACTGGGCCGTACTGCAGCGGCCGCTATATAGACACAGATAATTCTAAACGCATTCCTTGGGGCCTGCCCTAAAGCCTTTGTTAGAGAGACACTGAACACTCCGCTGGGGCAGACTTGGACTTACGTCCGTCCACCAAAATGGTCTGACCTACAATGTTTCTCGATCTTGGGCTTGGTAGAAACCCAACCAGGGCTGCAATGACCTGCCAGGTTCAAAACGAACGGGTTTATGTTGAGCTGGAGTTATTTGGATTGTCGCTTGTGCGGGCCATGTTCCTACCGCGCCTCATCCCAAAGCAGCTCGAGCCTGGATTGTCTTTTCATAACTCGCGCTTAGCGGGATTCTTTCTTTCTGACAAATCACTCCTTCTAGCTCCGTCCACGTCTGAATAAGGGGACAAAATCAGTCATGGGTGCTCTAGGAGGGACTGAAGAGCAAAGGGCGCATTGCATTCAGGGGCATTGGGCAGTATGCTGTATACTCAAACACAATGTGAGTGAAATGCTTTCATATCCCTACCACGATGGTTCGTATTTACTGTTGACCTGGGCAGACAATCGATGTCGGGACTTGTCGTCAGAAATACTAATTAACTACTAAACGTTCGCTTCTTATTTCCTTTTCGCCTTCGTAAGAAGATCCGTAAGAGCTCTCGTCTAAAGACGCTAGATTTACTCTATTATCGCTATCTACGTCGTCTATATAACGGCGACGATAGAGATAAGCTTACTTTAGATAAGGCGCTCGTCTACGAGACGTCTACGAATGATACGCGTTACTTTCGCTACTTCTTTAATAATTATAATAACGTTACGAGTTATATTTCTATAAGTGCTCGCTATCTTTATATTATTATTATATTAACACTCTATAAGATTTCTACTTTTTATATACGCCGCGTTTAGAAGCTACTTATCGCTAATAAGATCCACGATCGCGGCGGCCTCGGCGTCTCGATCTTTATAAAGGTTCGAAGTCTCATCGATATTCTATCGCGCGAAATATAGTGTTAGACATAGCCTTAGGTAGACCGTAAGTATACCGAGGTAGGAAGCTCGACCGAAAAATAAGGTAGCCTCGAGAGACGAGGCTAAACCCGTCACGTAATATCTAAAATAGAAAAGAAGTAAATTATTAATATATTAGACTAGAGCATATTAATATACTAATATACCATTCTACATTATCTCATTCGAAAGGGCTACATAAGTATATAACCACACTCCCTTCCTTCCTAGATAGTTATACTCTCTTCGTAGCTAATTTATACTAGCTATTAAACTATATAGTTCTTAGTAACATCGACTACTTATATCTTATATTATTAATATCTAGTTTATACTATTTAAGAACTTATTACTAAGATCTCTAACTTAGTTAGACTTTAGTAAAAATTCTAATACTTTAGCCATCATCAGCAAAATTTCCCGCGCGACCCTGAGAGCCCTGGGCTGTCAAGGTAAGTCTGCGTCTTACGCAGCCTATGAGACCGCTGGGCTCGCTGGGCTACTTTAAGAGAGCCCTGAGCTAATATAATAATTTATAACTTTACGAATATATAATTATACTAGTCGTTTAAACTAGTACTAACTAAGATTATATTATACTAAAATTAAAGTAGATATATATAAAATATAAGGTTTCGAACTAAATCTTAAATTATTAGCTTAATAGCGTTAATATTCACTAAGATAAAGACTTAGCGAGTTATCCGCTTTTAGCGTAAACCTTATTTCCGAAATAGAAAAGATCTTTTTAAATTTAATAATATTATATAATAAGTATATTATAAAAGTTACTAAAAATAGATAGTCTATAGAGGCTCATAGCCTAGATATAAGAGCTGTGAGCGACGGTGGGCTCCCTAGGCTCCCTGGGTATATAAGAATACCGTGAGCTGCGGGAAAAATTGCTGATGTAGCTTCTAGATACCGGATTTAGTTACTATTCTCTAAGAGCTATATATAGACTTCGGCTTCGATTTATTCGGGTGACTAAATCGGGCCTTAATTTTAACTAAACCTAAACTTTTAAATAGTCGAAAGCTATGAAAATATCTCTGAGAGAATGAAAGTAATAGTATTAGATAAACTCTATGGAGCGGAGAATTAAAAAGAGTGTCAATCAGTACGGTAGGTTCTCCAACGGACTATAACAATATCTCCCGCATCTAGCTTAGTTTCCACCATCTTATCACGGTGTCCTGCTACGATAATTCCATCTCGGATTGAACCGGCCGATCATTCGTCTCCCTGTCATGTCATCAGCGAAGGGAGTTTTTGATGATGAGAACTCACACAACGGCCTCCTAGCATCCGCCTATCTCGCCTCCTGCGCATCCTCGTCGTACTGCTGCTGCTGCCTTCTTCCCAGCTGTTGCCTCAACCAGGCCTTCCTGGCATGCGTCCCTTGAGCCTAGATTTCGGCAGGCTCTTTCTCTGTGTTTGAATCTTCTGCCTGAGCTTACATCTGGGATTCAGCGGTAGCAGCTAGCGCACCACCATGGCCGTGGACGCAACTGTTGTGTATCATGACTATAGGTGCACTCGGCGTCGATGGTATCCTAACCGGTCTTTGAGTTATCCCCACCGCAGCTATCCGACTTGTCGTATGTTTCTAGGTTCCTGGCACACCCGTCGTAGGAGTCGTTCTCAGCGAACCATCAGATTCGTCACATTGACGGGACAGTAGCCTGGTAGTTACGCTGATTCCTTGTATATGGGGCATAAGAAGGAGCTGTTGCGCAGGAAGAGGCGATGCATTCGGGTGCAAAATGTGGTTGTAAGGGAGTTCGCGGACGGTAGTTTCGTTACGGATGAAATCATTGAGGAGACCTTTAGAATCCTTGAGGCGTTTGATTCCGAGAGCTTCAAGGTCGACTTCGCCCCTCGCAATGCGCAGGGAGAGAAGAGTGCGTTGCCGTCACTGAACTACATAGGTAAGAAGGATAATGACTAGAAGAATGGCAAATGTGGTGACATGAAGACCCATCGACCGGCCAGCAAGCCGCCGCCTGACATATCGCAATGACTAAGTGACTCGTCCTATGCGTTCCATCCATTAGGGAGTACCTCAGCCTTCGTGCCTGGGCTTTATCCCCCGCCGCGTTTGTCACTTCGCTGGCCGTCTGATATTGTCGTATATACGCCGTAGATTTGTTGTTGCGATTCATCGTCCATAATAGAGCAGACTCATGCAAGAGCAGACGCGACAAGAGCGGCATTTATCTAGCCCTCCTCTTCTACAGAGCTTATCACAAGATATCGAGCGATATTTTCCCGACCTCTTATCACCACTGTGTCTTTACTGGCATCTCTTTTTCTGTGCTGGCAGGAGAAAGCACTGCTTGGCAAGACTTCCTCATCTATTCTCAAGCCCGCGGAGCGGACAGCGAGAAAAGCGTAGGGAAAGAGCCAATTGGGGGCGCCCAGTGACAAAACGCTAGGCCCCATCGAGTAATTGTCTATGACCCTCCCACCCCCACCACCTTGGTATTACCGCCTTGTGGCCCGTGCACGTCACGAGGCTCACAGCAACCACCACGGAAGAATCGAACTTTGGTGTTTGCATAATGTTGGATCTCGTGGTTAGAATCTAGAAGCTTCTCAACCATGTCGAAAGCTTACCGAAGCGACGTACATCTCCTCGCAAACGCCAGTCCATGGGCATGTTGCGCAAGCAGACTCAGCTGTGATGAGCAGCCACCAAAGACGTGCTATCAGAACTATCAATAAACCTTCAATCTGTGGAAGATGAGTTAGGAGGTTATCGGAATCGGAAATTGGTAGTCCGATTTGGTTCACCAGTACGAGAAGTCATCGATTCACTTTCGTTGGCTGGGTGATGGCAAGTAATCCACTGGCCCAGTGACAGAGCAAAGAATTGCCCTATGATTTGACACAAAACGCACGCTCCTAGATTCTGGCTCTCCTCACACCAGCTCGCTGCAATATATTTTTCTCACTGAATAGAAGACCGTTTGCTGTCGTCTAGAACAACACACAGAAATTTCCCTTGGACTATATCAACCCATAGAATGGCTGCTGGAGGTCAGTCATCCCGTAAAATTAGCAACGGAACCAATTACGGGCTGTTTGCTTTGCGGCCTCACCGGCACCGAGCTCCGCGCGACTGTAGGTTTTGGTCGACCTCTTTCTAGGTGGACGAGACAGCTAGCTGTCAACAGTCAATGGAAGGGTAGTACAGGAAACTTCATCCTTAGACCTTGGGCATCTCGGCGGTACGTAACAGACTTTCATATTTGTTGGGTCTACTGACACTCAGAGGGAACATAGTCGTGGATCTGCTGAGATGCTTAAAGATGTCGGCTCTCCAGGTTAGAAGCAACAATCTCTGTTCCGTTGATTGTGAAAGCTACGCCGCAAGGTTCAGATTTCCGGTTGAGTCTGGCGCTTTGTCGTCGAACCCACCTAATGCGCGCTCCATCATTTCTCGCTATCTGTCCCGCAAGCCATAGGACGGTTAGATTTAGACAGAAACCATCTTTAGTCAACCGTTCAAAACTCCCATGAGTCACACGCTCCGTCCATGTGGCTTCATTGGCCTCCTTGCTCCTGTGTCGGAGACAGGCCAATATCCCTTCCCCACCACAATTAGTGATATCCGATTCAAGTCACCTGCGACGATGAGCGCGACTCGGACGTGGGCTGAGTCGTAGCCGCCCTTCATTGATCTTGCTAAAAACAAAGAAATTTAAGCGTTAACACTACTGGACTCGCTAATAGCAGGTGAGCTCGCACTACTTCCGTCCAGTCTCCACAATGTAAAAGTGTATCCCGGGTCGAGGGCCGAGAAAGAGCTAACCCTTTGTCACTGAAGGCACTTAATCCACTGCATACACTTCATAAGGTAATGAAAAACACAATCACAAAGTAGACACCGACAAACGAGACAATCAGATGGAAAACTTGTCTGCTAGTCGATTTCACGCTGACGCACCCATGTCCTATCAAAAAAGTACTCAGGATTGTAAGGCTTCGACTATGCCACGCGCCTTGAATGAGAGGAAGTCTTCCGACTTTAGGGTCTCCCGTGCATGCCCATCCTCTGTGTCCCATATGTGAAAGTCCATATCTTCTAGTAAGTGCACAATTGCCCATCAGGGTCAAACGGACTCCTGTCTGTTAGCCCAATTCTCTCTTGTTTTCACACGAGTTTCTGCTGTTCGCGACACCAGAGTGCACGATACACAAAATGAACCTGATATTCGTTACTTTGCGGTACCCTACCAAGTCCAGTAGTGTAGCTTCGAAGGACACCGTGACATCGCTGGTATGGATGGTCGCTTTGTTGTTGATGCTTCAATTGTTCAGCCAGCTCAGCAGAATTGCTTTGCCCACTCGCCTAGCATCATCGAGTACAAGAACTTCTAGTTGTACTACGTAGCTGCAACTGCTAGGTGCATGCAAAGCCTGGGCAGCTCCAACTTCCAATCATCTTTCAAATGTCCATCGAATAAGTCATAGTTAACATGTCTGTGGCGGAGACCTTCAAATGCAACTTTTTGCGGGCGGAGAAAGGGGCCAAGCCTTGCGGTGCGCTTGGCGTCCAATATCGTTCTTGGCAATACCAATGAGGTTGAGGAATGCCTCCTTGATGCAGGCAGGATAATAGCAACCCTCCCCGAGGTCTTCAGCAGACCTGTATATCTCCATCTCAGAGCGCACCCACGTGCATAGCATACGGATTTCAATTCGCAAATAGAGCTATCAGGAGCACAAGAAGGCAAAAAGAAAGAAATCGAAACCTGGCTGATGTGCATATATAAATTCTCGACAAAGAGCGGTTGTTTTCACGGGCAAGTGTCTCAAAACCAAACTATTTTACAAGATTCGTTATGTATTCTCCCGTGGCAGCAATTCAGCGTAACTGGAGGGCTTTCAGTCCCATTGAGAAGCGGAATATTATACGCTGCATAATTGGTATCATGTTCTACAAGTTTGGTCTGGAGGCTTTTACCGGTTCCATCATTGCTCTGGCTACCAATCGGTACGATTACGACGCTGCTAGCCATAATACCACGTCGATCACTTTTGAACGGATCGGCCTTCTTACGGGCTTGAACCAAGCTTTCCAATGCTTTGGATCGATTATCATTGCTCCCCTGGTTCGCCGGTTCGCTACCAAGAATGTGTTGACGACTGCCAGTTTCGTTTTCGGACTATTTTCTGCCATTCTACTCATCGTCGACGGGAGTACTGGTGGTCACATTAAACCATCAAACTGGTCACAGACTCATGATAAAGACGATTTCTCCTATTATGGTGACTACAATACAGACGGCATTATTCCAATATACTGCTTTGCAGGCATCGGCTACGGAATGGTGGAACTGATCCGAAGGATCATCCCCCGGGATATTGTGAGTGGAAACGTAGAGAAGCTACGTTGTATGGATGCATTAGTCCATATATTCTACGAGGTCTCAGGCACGGCCGGTTCACTATATACCGCATTAGCCTTAATACCAGGATTAGGAAACAACTTCTCATTTATTGTCACACCTATTCTGTTCGCGTGCGCTTCTTACGTATAGTTCACTATCTCTAAATTATCCGATCTGCTTAAGAAGGAAGCAGTCTCGGTCGCGAAGTTAAACTACTTTAAGGTAGTTATTAGTGGTATTTTTCTCTTTCTTAACTCTATCTAAACTGAAGCTAAGATTATTTTTTCCTCGCGTAGATATATTTAGCTTCTTTTAGAATATACTTTTACTCTCTACGATTATCGTTATCTCGAGAGTAATCTAGTATTTATTATTATAAGGCGATATTTAAGTAACTTAGCTTAGTATTAAATTATAGTTATAAATTCGAATCTTAGAAAACTATTCGAGACTAAATTTATTTTTCTATTTATTAATATAATTAAGACACTAATTCTATAGTTACGTCTTAACGTTCTCTTATTATTAATTCTTTAGTATCTTCTATATTAATACCCGCTATAGAGTTAATCGAAATATACTTAGATAATATTCAATATATTTATATCGATCTTCTTTAAATGAGCAACTAATAATATTTCTCTTTTAGTCTATATTTAAGCGTCGCTAGCTCGGATTAAGTCCGACATTAGAAACGTATTTACGCTTAGCGCCGTAATAGTATTCTTATATTTAATATATATCGTTATTTACGCTATTATATCGCCGCTCTTAGATCGTTACGTAAATAAAGTCTATAAGGAATTCGATGAAGCTTAGGAGAAAGACGTTTATCGCGCTATATAAAATATCGACGGCGTATAATATACAATCATTACTATTTTTATACTTATCGCTTTCTTTATTTCGAAAGAAACTTTCTCTCTTAATCTAGGTATACTCGATGAGAATTCTATAGTAAACGAGATAGAAATGAACTATATATCGTATTAATCTTAATACTAGAATTAAGAAATAACTTCTTATTTATTATTATATTTATTCTATTCGCGTACGCTTCTTACGTATAGTTTACTATCTTTAGATTATCCGATTTACTTAAGAAGAAAGTAGTCTCGGTCGCGAAGTTAAACTACTTTAAGATAGTTATTAGTAATATTTTTCTCTTAACTTTATCTAAACTAAAGCTAAGATTATCTTTTCCTCGCGTAGATATATTTAACTTCTTTTAGAATATACTTTTACTCTCTATAATTATCGCTATTTTAAGAGTAGCTTAGTATCTATTATTATAAGACGATACTTAGATAACTTAACTTAATATTAAATTATAGTTACGAATTCGAATTTTAGAGAGCTATTCGAGACTAGATTTATTTTTTTATTTATTAATATAATTAAGACGCTAATTTTATAATTACGCCTCGACGCTCTCTTATTACTAATTCTTTAGTATCTTCTATATTAGTACCCGCTATAAAGTTAGTCAAAATATATTTAGATAATATTCGATATATTTATATTAATCTCCTTTAGATGAGTAGCTAATAATATTTTTCTTTTAGTCTATATTTAAGCGTCGCTAGCCCGGATTAAGTTCGATACTAGAAACGTATTCGCGCTTAGCGCTGTAATGGTATTCTTATATTTAATATATATCGTTATTTACGCTATTATATCGCCGCTTCTAGGCCGTTACGTAGATAAGGTCTATAAGGAATTCGATGGAGCCTAGGGGGGAGACGTTCATCGCGCTATACAAAATATCGGCGGCGTGTAGTACACGATCATTACTGCCTTTATACTTGCCGCTTCCTTTATCCCGGAAGGGGCTTTCTCTCTTAACCTAGGTATACTCGATGAGGATTCTATGGCAAACGAGGTGGAAATGGGCTAAGCGATAAAAGAGATCACTGTTGTAAACAGTGATCAGTTAAAAATGGAGTAAGGTTTGACATATGACTATGTTTTGAAAGTCGATGAAAAGTGCTAGGATATGAAGGGAAGAATGCACATCAAATAAGATATTTAGTAGGCATAACTTTTGGATGGGTGGAGTGGTGGGCTGAATTACGCCAACATTTTAGTCTAGGTTTTCATAGTTTTTCATTACTACTTAACAAGATTTTTAGGAATACCCTGAGCTGCCTGGTCTTCCAAAGATTGTTGCAAACTGCTCCCCGTCTGACAACCATTGAGAAGCATCCCTGAAAATCTCGAGAGCGTTGCCGCCATATATACGATGGGATGCCTTAGAAAGATCTTAGCTACTGAGGATTCGCTGCGGTAGCGTCGCTAATCCGGGCTCAGCCACCTTCGGTTAAGGGACGTAGTAGAGAAATTCGGGTAGCCAACTATGGGTAGGCAGACCTGGGTATATGCCTTTGAGTCTAGGTTGCGTACCGGCTTAGGGGACCTTTTCGTGAAATTCACGTAGCAGAAAATATTACAGAGTAGAGAAATATCTATCATTTCGTTTAGGAAATTGCTAGGAAAGGGGGCACTAAGTTATCTCGGAGCACTTATACCGTTCAGGGTTGTTGAAGATAGTTCGCTTGTAAGGAATCAAACCAGACCACACCTCGGACAATGATATGACTTCAAATATAGATGCTGATTCACGAAGATTCATCGTAGTCAACTACAACTCCTGGCAACGATAGGTAATCATGTCGCTTGCCATTCATGTCTCACCAACCATGTCATGGCCAAAAGCCGACCTCTAGCGGGCTGTCATCCCCACTAGACCGCTTGAGGAGAGAACAGCCCCCGAAATCTCATATAGCCAAAGAGAAGACCACGAATTAGAGAGGTTCAGTGACAAAGCACTAGACTCTATTGAAGCTAAATACATTTAATTGGATTCGCCAGATAACTAGCATCTGCACCACTGGCGGTCAATGGGAGCGCCTATCAGGTCAAAGCGCAGTGGCTACGTCTAGAGACCTAGTCGTCCATGTGACCGCAAATACACAACAAACAATCTACTCAGTGCAATTGGAACCTTTTCTGCGAGTTCTTCCGCCCGATCGCATTCTCTGACCCTGTAAAATTGATCAGACCCCTATTTTTTTTTTAAAAAAAAAAAAGAGAGAGAGAGAACCTAACTAAATATGACTCCTATAACGAATATTCACGTTTTCTCCAATCTTCAGAGGCTTAAAGGTCCTGTGATCGGTAGAACCTAGATTCTGTGGTACTCGTCAGCAAGGTCTACATAATCAGAGCGTAAATCAGCCATTTCCTGCATGCCCCGCTTCCAGACGTCTTCGTTAGCTCGGTCAAGGAGAAAACGCCACTTTGCTTCACTGGCAGTTTAAGAGTCGGCGAAGAATCCCCGTCTATGGCAGCCATTCTGCTGTTATGTCGAATAGAGGTGAAAAGAGTTAAGATGCAGATAGGATTGACTCTCTCTTTATACTCCATAACCCACACAATGTGTCTCTTCAGGAAATGTTGAGTTCTCCCAGGAGAAAATCTTAGCGACATCTGCATTGTAGCTACGTTAAGGCTCATATTCGGTGGCGTTGCAAATTTCTTCCCCACTACTCTTCGTAGTTCGCTGATTGATCACCTTTTGATCAGAGTCGGACAAACCCTTTCCTGCTTAATGATCTATGCAACCCCATTCGCTCAAAATGGGAAGGGAGGAGCGCCGTTGACGGAGCGAATGCTAAAGCAAATATTCCTCGGCCATATTTCTGCGGGAACGGCTGATACTTAGTCATCGACGAGGTCCCATTCGCTCATGTACTCCCCCCCGCACACCTCTTCCATCAAATTGCTTCAAGGAATTATATTCGCTCAGCATGAGTTTCGGCTAGTTTGTTGGCTTGATGAATCCTCTGCACTTGATGCCTAGCTTCTCCTACTCCAGGGCGGCGAATATAACGGGAACGGTGACACACCACCCTACACAATACCGCGTTACCTTAGAAAGGTCCTCTAAATTCTTTGCTCTTCTAAATCTATTTGCCTGCAATTTTCCATCCCCTTTCGTGCCCCCGAAGGTCGTGTATATATCCTCGAGGTCAGAAATTATCTTTTTCGAATCCTCATCACCGGCACATCTAGGCCGCCTCCGAAATGATATATGGGGCCTTCAATCGTTAGTATCAGTGTTCCTATTACGTTTAAGAAGCACGCTGACCGATTTCAAGCAGACAACACCTGATTCAAGCGTCACCCAAAAGCATATATTTGCCCTATATCCTTTAATGTGTGAAAAGAACAGTCCCACGGAGCGAGTTGAATCTCGTACGTTATAAGTCCAATCCACTTAACTACATTTGAGATGTCTGATTCTTGCTCAAGGAGAGCCCGCAGCACAATCTTCGTACCATTCTCTGGCTGTCAAGTCAAACTATGGATGCATTAAGGAAGGAAGTCACTCCCATCATGGCCTCAACTATTCAGAATCGTTTGTCTCCAACACATTTTCGAAACAAAGGACGCATGTGATAAACGAACGGAATCGTAGAAACCGGCTTTCGCGAGCCATTCAAGCCCTCCAAGGTGTAGTGCCACAAATGGATTCAGTCGACAGGCAGAAGAGAGGGCCATCTAGAGCGATTACGGTGGAAAAGGCAGTCGATTACATTATTGCACTTCAGCAGGAGGTGGATCGACTCCGCAAAGAATCCTCAACTGCAGCTCAAGATGTTAGAGTTCTCTTCGACCGAAATTCATCATCAAACAATACCACCAGCAGTTGAAGACTAGGGGCCTTTCACCCGTTATCTAGATGATGTAGGAAGACTATAATTAAAGGATTTAGTAGATAACCATTATTTCGTTTAGATCCTTAGTATAAAATAATTTTAATTCTAATATTACTTTTTTTTTCCTTTTTTTTTTAAGCCTAGTGACCGGCACGATAGCCCATTATTTCACCTAGAATTATTTATTCATTTTATATAACTAGGCTATATATACTTTAATAGTCGATTATGGCGGGCTATATTATATATAAAGAATATAGATTCTCAATCCTTTATTACTTTTCGGCCTTAATAGAATTATACTACTACTACTATAATTACTACTATACCTCTATATATTAGATATAGCCTTAAGAGAGATCGGTCATGAGTTACGTAGACGCGACTTACTACTATCATTAAATATATAGAAGAATTCATAGCAGAATAAGACTAGCTCATATAATATACTATATTGGCCCTATATCGGCAATATTTCCCGCGCGACCCTGAGAGCCCTAGGCTGCCCTAGGCTATCAAGGTAAGTCTACGTCTTACGCAGCCCATGAGACCGCTAGGCTCGCTGGGCTACTCTAAGAGAGCTCATAGACTACTCTAAGAGAGCTCATAGACTACTCTAAGAGAGCTCATAGACTACTCTAAGAGAGCCCTAGACTAATATTGTAACAGAGCACTTTAGGGTTTGGCGTGCACGTGCAACAACGCACAGAGGCCTGTCCAGCAGATCGGGAATCGAGAACGCGTTTCTGGTTGATACTGACAAGACAACACCACCAACACCACCCAGAGGGGCAGCGGCTAGGGCTACAAACACCTAGCACAGCGGGAGCATCGACGGATAGGACAGGACTAATAAAAACATTCAGGAATTAGGTAGACGGCGCTAAAAGCCATAGAATTCATAATACTCTGCTTAATCTATAATGAATAGCTCACCACAGTATAGCCACCTTGCCTTATTACATCCCTCCCTCTCCCATCCATAGGACGACCTCGTTCGACAGCACATAGCACACTTAAGAATTATCTAACTCTATTGTTACCTAGAGAATAGGTCCGTAGCACTGTGAGAAGAAGCTCATAACGAGGGTAAATTCTCCTCTCTTATTAGGTCTAGAATACAAACTAAAATATTACTAATAGATATAATAGATTTACTCGGTCTATATAAGAACACCGAAGACGCTCTTAATATTTCGCTTTAATAACCACTCTATCTTAGAGTCGAGTCTATTTCTATACTAATATTACTCGGTGATTCTAGGGTTCGCTCTTAGAATCCTCTCTTAACTAACTAAGTAACGCGAGGAAAGAGAGAGTTTACTCTTCGCGTTAGAGTTCTATTCTAAGGGTTATTACTATTATATTCTAAATTTATTCTCTCTTCGCTATATAAGTCGATATAAGTCTATAATATTTAGTTTATATTTTCTTAGTTAATAAGATTAATAATACTTTTATTTAAAGTGACCATTATAATAGACTTTAATAGTTATTACTTACTAGTTTCTACGCGAGATAATTATAATAATAATATCTTTTTATCTTTAATAATAGCTTAATAAATATTCTAAATAAGTTAAACTTAATAGAAAATATTAATTTTAACTTCTTTAATAGCTTTAATAATATCGTTTTCTATAAGAGCTTTAATCTAAAAGATAATAAATATTTCGTAATTATAGCTATTTAATTATTTATTAATATTAATATTCTAAAATATAAACTATCTACCGTCTTTAAGTTTTACTTAAACTTAAAAGTTAAGATACTCTAAAATAATCGAAATTATTAAATCTTTTATCGTGCGCTTCCTAATCGAATTTATAGCGTAAACGATTCGAGAATCGAGATCGACGTATATTAATTATTAATAATTAATCTCTTAATAGAGAATTAGCTTCTTCTATATAAACTTATCTTATCGCTACGATCGCGGCTAAATTATAAACGTAAATATCTCTCGAACGTTATATAAATAGATTATATTTTATTCGTCTTTCACTTAATACTTTCGATAAATCGCGATATCTCTAATAACGTAATTTATAAATAACTAATCGTTATAATTCGTACTAAGTAAAAGATATTTTAATTCTTTCTTATTAATTATATACTTTTCTAAGTAATAATTTTCGCCGCGAAGAGATTTCTTTACTTCGCGACTATACTCTTTAAATTTTTTTAAAGCGTCTTAAATTTACTAAATTTCTAACGTATTTTTTTTAATCTCTACTCTTTCTATTGTAATAAAAGAAGTTTAAAGTAGAGAATAGCTTTATAATTAGCTAAGACGTCGACGCTAGACTAAGATTCTTCTTATATAGTCCTCGGAAACTATCATTCATATAATAATTAATTAAGTTACGAACGGGAGAACTTTCTTTAGTTAAGTGTACGTGCTATGAAGAGGCTATCTCACCGCCGTACGAGTTAATACTTATGGCTAGTGTGGAATATCGCCCCCTAAAGGTTTATATTAAACCTTTAGTCACGTGATTAAATACGAAGTTTAAGTTCGTATTTAGACCTAGGATCTATGAAATCACGTGATTAGTGCGATATTAATTCCGCACTCTATTAAATGATTAGTCGTGCTTACTAATGTTGATTTGAAATCAACATTTTAAGGGTCTTAACTGTGGACACTTATTGTCTATATAAAGACCTTTACCCTCCCTAGGTAAATAGTTATCTTCAAGTTCTTTAATAGTCACTTACCTACCTATAAGGTTTACGATCTATATGAGCCTTACTATCTATACATTAGATAGTTCTCTAAGTCCTTCCAACAGCTAGTAATCTCGCCCTAGTTTAGTGATGCCACTAATAAGATCTTCGACGAATACTTACGAATAGATGTCTCTCTACGAGCGGTAAGAGAAGATTACGATGAACGACTAAAATAAACTACTTACTAAACTAATAGAATTAAAGAATTACCTACCTACCTACCTACCTAACTAAATCTAGAGAAACTAGCTATATATATAGAACCGCTACGTAGAGTATATTATTTAGATTACTAACTAAGTAAGTCTATTCCGCTATACGGGGCGGTTTACGCTGGCTGTTTATAGAGACCGCTACTTAAGGTGCCTTTTAGAATTACTAGCTATATATATTTACTACTACTATATAGAGTGAAGACTAACGACTTAACGACTATTTAGATTACCTAGAAGAACTAAGAGAGAAGCATCTTTCGAGAACGTAGAAATACGTTTAACCCTAAAAACTCCGAACTTAAGAAGCTTAGAAGAAGTCGAAGAACGCGAATCTACTCGAGAAATAATAAAAATAAGCGGTTAGACTAAATTCACTAAAATAAGCGAAGTTAAAGCGCTATTAATTAAGAAGTAAATCTAGAATTTTAATAAAAATTATTAGTAAAGACGAGAAAGAAGCTTAATAAAGAAGTTAATAAAGAAATAAAAAGAGAAAAAAAAAGAGAAATAATTAAAAATATTAATAAAAATAATAAAAATAATAAAATTGTGGAATATCGCCCTCTAAAGGTTTATATTAAACCTTTAGTCACGTGATTAAATACGAAGTTTAAGTTCGTATTTAGACCTAGGGTCTATGAAATCACGTGACTAGTGCGATATTAATTCCGCACTTTATTAAATGATTAGTCGT